GAGGGCGAAGACGTTTGACTTTCTCGTCGGAGCCGCCGGAGGCGAGGTAGAGGGTTTGGTCCGGGGAGGTCGGGTCGGGGAGCGGGGAAAGGGCGAGGCAGCGGGTCGAGGAGGGCGTGGGCGTTGTGAGAAAGGTTTGCGCAAAGTCTACTGTTGGTTTCGGTGGTGCGGAACTGGGTGTCTCGGTGTTGGTGGAGGGAGGAGTCGAAGTCTTGGCGATTGGTGAAATGGTGAGCGTAGCAGTTATGCCATGGAGGACTCGTTCGTAGGAGCCGGTGATGATCTGGATTGTTGGTGAGAGGGTCTTAGTGTGAGCGCCGCCGTTGATGTTGGCGAGTTCTGAGGGTTCTGCGTCGTTGATCTCGTTCTCTGGGTTGCTTGAGAATGGTAATTTTGTGTGGCCGGTACCATTGGTCGTTACGACTTTGGGAGGCTTGGTGTTGATGATCTTGTTGCTTGGTGTGGTTGAGGACGGTGTCCTGTTTTGGGCGTGGCCATTCGTCTTTGCGACTTTGGGAGGCTTACGGTCAATAGCCTTGTTGCCTGGTTTGCCTGAGGTGGGTTCTGAGTCTGGTCGCTTCCGTTTCGCCATATTTGGAAAGAACTTCGCAAAGCGTTCTACAGCAATCGAGCCCAGGCGCAAACCCGATCGTAGTGCACTATAGAGTCGGGACGCAAGATTCGTGACGAGTACACAGGCGATATTGTAGAGATCAATTCAGAGAACTTGATCCTGTTGCATCGCTCGAGAACTCGAGAAGCAACTCCAAAACTTTTTTTTATGTTAGGTATGTCTGACGAACTTTCGTGGAGAAATTCAATGAGGCTTAGTAGGGCGGACTGAAAAGCATGAACCCGCCAGTTCAAAATGAACGGACACCGTAGCTTATTCGGAACGTACACGATGTGGCACGTGTGGCTTGCAAAACGGTATCAATAGGCTTAGCGAACGTGTCAGGCTGTGGACACAAGTACTGAGCGTTTTTCGTGACCAAGCCTATATGCTAGTCATTGTGAATTTTCAGGCCCGAGAGGGCGCTGAAGGCCTCGGGTTCTTCGCTGATCAAGTCGATAGGATGAGATGAGCCTCACTTGAGCGTCAAAACGCTAGGAAGAACGTATTGAGAAATCCTAGCCAGGGAGGGCGCTGTGGAAGCCCTTGTGCCGCAAGCTGGAGAAAACGCTCAGTTCTTGCGCCCACAGCTTGCGTGTCTCCGGAATGGTACCACTCCGTAGCAGCTCATGATCTTCTTTTCCTTTTCCCACCATGCTCGAGAGGCTCTCCATTTCCATTCTGCTCAACCAGGCCCTTCACCCCCTTTCCCTCTCCAAGTACCTCCTTGATCTTCCCAGCAACCATGATCATGATCAACTCAACAGTAGGACTCTTCCTCGCCAAATTGAAAACAACGCTGTCATGTAAAAGTGCCACACCCTGCAAGACACCACACTCCACACCACTAGTCTGCAAAAGTCTCGCAAAGTCTTCCCCTTGATCTCTCAAATAGTCAGCCTGACCCGTAACAATTGTAGTCGGAGGCATGAACTCCTTCGCTTGCGCCGCTGTCATCAGAATAGGCGAAGCCAGTATTGACGATCGATCCGCAGCGCTGACCGGCAGTGGACCAAAGTAATCGTCCAGAGACTCAATGAGGAAAGCCTCATTGATTAGTGGACCATCTTGGAACAGGAATTCCGAGAAGCGGGTTACCACCGTGGAGCTGTCGATGGCAGGGAACATCAAGATCTGATGGCTAATGGGCAAGTCCAGATCGCGTTGCTGGTTGAGGATGTTGATGGCGGGAACAATCTGTCCTCCTGCACTGTCGCCGGCTATGACAATCTTGTTCGGCATCAGGCCTTTAGTGCGGCCGTGCTTGACGATGTATTGAAGGACTTCGAGACACTGCTCTTGCTGAGTTGGAAATCTTGCTTCGGGAGCCTGTGTACGATTCAGCTGCTGCATCAGAGGTGTTCACTTGCCGTTCGAGGCCAATGTAAGGCAAGAGCGAACTGCGACCGTGACTGGAGTCTGCAGCGGCAAGTGCGTGGGCCTGAGGAGACATTACTTACTAGTGTGTAATGAGGAAACACAAGTGCGAATCCGGTCCTCTCAACCAAATCAAAGACCAAGCTCTCCCAGTCGAAGAAATCACCGCTGATCCATCCGCCACCATGGACGTAGAAGATCACTGGCAGATCCTGTTCCGAATGACTAGGCTTGACCAAGAAGGTCTTGACATTGCCAAAGGCGGACGTCTTGACCTCAAAGTGCGCTGTAGTAATGCCGGAGTGCTTTGGCGCCGGAGTCTGGAACTCTTTGAGAAGCTGGCGGAATTGACTTGCTGAGACCGAGGCCAGGGAGGCACCATCTGCGAGTGTGGCTGCTTGTTCTTCGAAGGCTGCACAGTCTTGGTCGACGTACGGATTGGGGTTTGGGACTGGCGTTCCGGACATGCTGGCGTTCAATGCTTGCAGTGTTCAAGGTTATCTAATGAAGTGATGAACTTGAATCTTGGAGGCAGGCAATTCTGTGTCTTATATATCTCATACAATGCAGTCCGAGGCAGCGGCCGCCACCAATGGCTCATCGACAACTGTCAGCTAGCTTAGCTCGTGATGCATGATGGGAGGCTGCATTCGGCAAGTGTCTCTTCATAGCACTCTCTGGGTGTATTGACAGACTGCTTTGGTTATTTGGGGGCAGGGCTACGTAGTCGCTGAGTGCAAGGCAGTGGCAGCAGTAGCTCCAGAAAGTAGTCTGACGAGACGCATTGAGGCTCTGTGTCTGGTCGATGCGCTTAATTGAGCCAGCGCTGGAGCGAAGCGAACTCCCGTGTCATATTGCTCACCTCAGACAATACAGCTGTGGATGTGTTATGCTATTCATTGCCATTTCAGAAGCTGGAGCGGAGCTCTTCATCGATTGCAGGCGCATGACAACTGGAATGGACCTAGGGGCTCTGCTCAGTCAGATCATCGCTGCAGCTCAGCGCCGAATACTTCTGGAAAGTGCTGATGGTGCATGCGTTGTGGTTATGACCACAGTACCACTGGAATCTGACGGAGAAGTTCGAACGAGGCTTGATAGGGCGGACTGAAAAGCATGAACCCGCCACTTGAGCGGACACCGTAGCTCTTGGGAACGTCATGACCAGGTGCGGGCGCGGGGCCTAGGGAGAATGCAGAATAGGGGCCACTGGGGCATCTTAGGCGCCATTTCCCACGCTTAAGTCCCCTCCGCTCTGTCTAAACACCTGCTGGCATAGCAAGAACTAGATTTTCAAACACCATAAATCTACCAAAACACGTCCAAATTCATCACTTTGAGCGACTAGATCATCTATATCATCGCCAATGAGCACCTCATAGCGATATCATCGATTAATTTGGGTGCTACATGGCCGGTGTTGGCTATGCAGCAGGTGCAGCAGCTGCAATGGAAAAGAACACAACAAGAGTACGCGATAGTCCCAATAGTCGACTCAATCGATTCTCCGGTGTTAGAAGAGTATACTGACCAAGTTTGGTGGAATTTAGACAATGTTTGAGCTCTAGAAAGAGGAAGTTGTCGGAGTTGTTCTCAGTGACCGCGCCGGCAGAACTCGATGGCTATCATGCCAAACTCAAGGCTTTTCAGCATGCGAATGACTTGCAAAGGTACTCATATAACCCAGAGTCGGCCAAGTATAGTTCTTGGGCATCGACTTATTACACGACAGTCAATAGATTCACAATGCTAACACCATGGACAGTGGCCGACGCTTCGACGAGTCGACATTACCACCTCGAACGCGATCAGCGCGACTACGAAGAAAGCAAACGTCTCCATTGCAGGCCAAAGACCGGCAGTTGTCGTCGGAGAAGACGCGTCGGTCAGCCAGCCCTTCGAAAGCGGTCTTGGTCAACCAGATACACGGCGAGAACCACTCGCGTGCCAACACAATCGATCGATTATCACCTCCAGACGAAGAGCAGGTCGTCAAGCATGCCGAAGGCGCCGACATCGAGGGCAGACGGACGAGAGGACGTCCGCCGACCCAGCCACCTCTACAAGAGACCGATCCTGCGGCAGAGGCCCGTTTGTTATCGCCTGTGACCGATGGTATGGGAAATAATGCTAGCATACTGGAAGAGCCGCAAACAGAAGTTCGGCAGCTAGACGAGAACTCACTAGAGAACGGACAGGTATCGAGAGACACTGGTCGGACTCCTCAGTCATCAGACGATGTGGTTCAGCAAGAGATTGTACCTCAAGGTGATGGAACCGTAATCGGACGATCGAAACGGAATGCGGTATCGCCAGTCACAAGTCCTGCAGATGGAAGTCAGGATGAAGCCCGGCCTGCATCGAAGAGTGTCGATATCCCACGGCAGCCCGATACACCAGACTCGACTCAACGACTTCCCTCGGATGATCCATCGCCAATGGACATAGACACCGCTGTGAAGGAAATGACCGGGCCCGACCCTTCTAGTACTGGACAGCCTACAGCGACAAACGTCACGACCGACAGCGAATCTCAACGACCTTCCGTACGTGTCAACACAAACGGCGACCACTACTTCGCGAAGCACTTGGTGGATCAAGCGATGGTCGAGTCTCCAGTGCCCATCACTGGTACTGCCGCAACACCTCGCAAAGCCCAGCCGCCCACACCTTCCGCACTTCAAGACTCGTCCAAACGAGCGACACGCATATCGTCGGGTGTCCTGCAGAAGAAATCGGTCTCAGAGATTCTCAATGAAGCGCAACGATCTTCATCTGACTCGCCAGCGTCCGAGTCCCGCGAGCAGGGCAATGTGCCCAAGGACAGATCCAGGCTGTCTACTGTCGTGTTCGCCAAGCCTCAAAAGAACGACACTGAGGATGCGATAAGAATCGACGCCAACGCGGCTGGCTCTTCTGTGGAACGTGATTATCTGTACACACTCTTCGAGAACAAGGCGCATTCAATGTCGAGAAATGGATCGATGACCTATCTGATCAATAATGCGCACAAAGCATTGTCAACAGCAGATCACCTGGTTGATTGGGAGCATCAGAGTCACTGTCGAATCCTCAAAAGGGTCTATCAACTCCAGGAAAGAGGACGATGGGCTCTGCGGCAACTCAAGAGATCTGAAGAGCCTGCGAGATCAACCTCGCACTGGGATATGCTGCTCGATCACGCTAAGTGGATGCGCGCTGACTTTCGCGAAGAGCGAAGGTGGAAAATGACTATTGCACGCGGTCTCGCCGAAGAATGTGCGGATTGGGTAAACGGCACGTCCGAAGAGCGCCAATCGATGCAGGTCAACGTACGACCTCCTAAGATGTTGGAAGCCAGGGACAGTGGTGTCGAAGATGTCCCAATGGAAGATGACTCAGGCCCGGCGCTGTCCTCGCATCCGACGCCCGACTTGATTCCATCGAATGAAGACGATTCGATGAGCGAAACGGTGCCGGACCCAACAGACATCAACATGACTGTCTCACCGGCTGCCATCTTTGGTCTTGGTGCATCGGAGTGCACATTCCACGCCGCGAAGACACAGGCCTTGGACAAGGTATTGAATGAGCTGCCGCTCTATGAGCCAGCTCCCATTGTGCCGGATCTATCCAAGTCTGATCTCGGCGCGAAGCTGGATGCCCGGTGGAGGACGGACGTCATCCCTGTTTCGAAGTATGCTTACGAGAAATTGAACGTCAAGGAAGACATCCGACCAACCAAGAGAAGCCGCTACGAGTACGATCTCGAGATGTCGCCAACAAGGAAGACGAAACCATTGTCACCTCGCGAGAAGAATGTGGCTCTATTCAACCCGGAGAACAAGCACATCCGAGATCGCATACATCCTGGACACGCCTTCCGCCCGCCTTCCGGGGACCCAATGCCAACGCAGGAGTTCTTCCAGACTCGAAGTTCGTCCCAGTGGACCACAGCCGAGGACGACGAACTCAAGAAGCTTGTCAAGGATTACTCTTACAACTTCTCGCTGATTTCAAGCTGCCTCACGACCAGAAGCTTATATGTAGCCGGACCCGATAGAAGAACTCCATGGGAGTGCTTCGAGCGGTGGATCGGCCTAGAAGGTCTGCCCGCCGACATGGCAAAGACGACATACTTCAGGACGTATTCTGGCAGGATCGAAGCTGCAGGCAAGCATGTGCAAGCGCAAATCGAAGAGTTGCAGCGCAAAGCTCCCAACAACCCGCCAGTCCCGCCAAGGAAAAAGACAACACAGCCCGTTAGAGTTGAGCGGAAGCGAAATCAGCGACATCTCGCCATGCTGGATGCTATGCGGAAACTCTACAGGAAGCGCGAAAACGCTGCTCAGAAGCAGCAGCACAACGCTGAAATGTCAGCTATCCGCAAAGCAAGCAGCACAGAGGTCAACAGGCCGCAGGTGCCTTTTACGCGTCCCGCTCAGTTCGCACAACTGCGGCACGAACGCGATCAAAAGCGTGCTGAACAGCAGGAGATGTACAAAGCACAGCTGATGGCACATCAACGTGCAGCTCAGCAACGTGGCAATCTTGGTGCGAACGGCCTGCCCAATGGTATGCCCATGGCGCCAAACGGGATGCGCGGTGCTTCTGGCGGCGTTCCTGGAATGCCGAACGGGGCCAACATGCAGGTTCCGAACGGCGGTCGTCCTCATCCCTCGATGATAGCCGCCATGAACGGTATGCAGATGCCGCCGGGCATGATGGGCTCCAATAACAAACAGGTCCAGATGCAAATGCAAATGGCCGCTGCTGCTGCACGAGGCATGCCCACATCGCCTGAGCAGGTCCGCATGATGCAGCAGGCTGCCAAGCTGCAACAACAACAGCATGCACTTGCGATGCAGAATCAGCAGACCAATGGTGGCCAGCAATCTTCTCCCAACGGCGTCACTGCTTCGCTGGCGAACGGCAATATGCTCAACGGCGCCGCCTCCCCTTCCACAAATGTGAATGGTGTGGGGGCGACATCTCAAACCTCTCCGCGCTCCGGCCAGCAAGCAACTGGTCCGCTCTCTTCAGGACACATCCCTGCCGTCACTCAAATAGCCAACAAGCTACGTCAGCAATATCCCAGCATGTCCGAAGAAGAGATCCAGCGGGCCACCACCGCACAGATTCAGTCATGGCAACAGCAGAAGCGCCAGCAGCAGCAGCAGCAGCAGAACCCTCCGAATCAGGCAGCACTGAACGCAGCGATCGGCGCAATGAACGCGGGCGCACACGCGAGCAACAACGCTATGGGTAACCCAGGGTTTCCTCAGGGGCAGAGCATGCCGCAGTTGACGCCAGAGCAGATACAGCAGTACCAAGCGCAGCGCATGCGAGTGCTGGCAGCTCAGCAGGCGCAACAACAGCAGCAAGCCAACGGTGCGGCACCGCGACAGGCTCAGCAGGGCATGAATATGGGCTTACAGGCACCAGCAATGATGAATGCGCAGCAGGGTGGCATGCCGGCAGGCAGTCCGGTGATGAACATGGCCCGACCAGTCAGCCAAGGCCAACTCTCTGCTGCGACCGCACAACAGCAACAGATGAGTCGTAGTGTGACTCCCAGCGGTCACACTGCAAGAAGCGGCAGCATCGGCGCTGTTCCTGGCGGCATGGGCAGCCCAGCGCAAGTGCCCGGACAGATGGCAACTCGACCTACGAGCAGTAGGGGACAGCAGCAGAACTTGGCTGTGCCCGGACCACAACAGATGACCAGTCCTAGCCTGGGCGTTGCCGGACCAGCGACACCGCAGATGCAGCAGCAGTCAATGGTGCCGCAGGTTGCTCAGGCAGGAGGCGATGGGGGCTCATAGGAGAGCTCGCCGCCGCGCTGCGTGCAATTAAACTTGAGGTCACCTTTGGCCACGACGCCGTTGCGAGAAGAAGCGATGCTGAGACGTCATTGGTTGCTACGGGAGCTTCAATATGCGATGGGGACCAAGGCTTCGGCGACGGGAGGGGATGGAAGCTGTTAGGGAGGTTCCACCGTCAGCGCTGGACCAACTGACTCTGACGCTACCTTCGCGGGCGGCACTATCGCAGGAAGAAGTGATGCGAACACGGACTCCTTCGCCACTGGATTCACAGATGACGAGCCTAGCGATCCCGATGGCAGAACGAGTCTTCCGTCCAGCGGCTCCGCAAGCGCAAGCAGTGACGAATCCAGCGATTCAAGCGGGCCAGACGACGCATCGAGTGAGGAGTCAAGCGACTCCGAAGGGGGAACGAGCAGTAATACCTCCGAGCCTTCGGCCGCGCCCGAAAGCTCCGACGACGATCTCACAACTGATCCTGACGCTTTGAGGAGAGAGGCTAATGCGAGCGATCCTCCGCCCGGTGGGTGCTGTGAGGATGGCAGCTGTCATGTCTGTCGTTGGCATGACGGCTCGTCGGGATCGTCTGCTTCATGAGCATTTGCCAGGCGAGCGCTCGAAAGACGTTGTTGGAGGAGAGTAAGAGTGCTTATTCAGCAGCGTTAGGTTAGCACGTGCCGACAGACCTATTTGGTACGCGTCGTGCAAGATGCACGAGTTGTGCCGCGCGATAGGCGAATTCGAACAATCACTTGTTTATCATTCTCTCCGAGCTTACAGTGGCCTCCCCAATGTCTCTTTCCCTTAGTTGCTGATGCATCCGCTCCCAGGTGTCGGAGGCAGCAGACCGGTCACCCGTCTCGAGGCAGCCCTCTGACTACTTCTGCAGTACCTCCATTTCGGGCGCTTGATGCTCCCGGTACGAACGCAGCTATCCAGTGGTGTTGGAGGTCGAGTTTGGCCGAGCTCTCGCCTTGGCATCAGACTACTATGGGTACGTACCATTACTCACATGGCCTACAAGCTTACATGGAACGTGCCACCCGCGCGGCCTTCAAGCACTACGAGTTCACGACAATTTCCCGTAGACTTTTCCCAGGTTCGTCGCCTCCACCTCCGGCATCTTTTCTCCCTTTGCTGCTCTAACTAGGCCTTCGATCCAATCTTGGTGACCTAGCAACATCTGCAAAGCGAAAAGTGTTAGCTGTAGTGACCACACGTGGGTGAGTTAAGTCAATGTCGATGTCCATCCCAGGCACTGTTTCCGAGCCGAGCCATCGAGGTTGCCTTATTCGTTCAGAGACGTACATACCTTGTTCGGTATAGAAAGCCCAAACTCCTTCGCCGGCTCCCCAATCTGGCTCTCCTGCGTCAGGATCCTCACCCTCCCGCGCTCCAAATCCTCCACCAACCAGGCATGGTAGACATCCACATAACCCTCCTCTCCCTCCTTTCCCAACTGCGCACTCCATGCAATCCGTCCAGCTTTATCATCCGACGGTGGCACGCTCTCGTGAACAGGACATGTCAGGACGGGAAATCCGAACGTACTGAATTTGAACGTATCGCCCTTCTCTAACTTCGGACCGGAGGACGGTGGCGTTATAGACGAGCAATTTTGATAGTAGGTGTGCCAGGTCGATATGTCGGATAGGTACGACCAGATTCGTTTGGCGCTGAGGTTGTCCTTGGGGGAGGTGATGAGTTCGTTGGTGGCAAAGTTGTCGGTTGTGCCGGGGAGATATTTAGTCGGCCTGCGTGGAGGCAGAGAGTATTAGCTAGGGTGGTGTTTGAGATGAGAAGTTGTGATGTGCATGTCTATCTTGTAATGTGTTCTGTTACATCTTGCAATGTGTTCTGTTATATCTTGCAATGTGTTCTGTTATATCTTGCAATGTGTTCTGTTATATCTTGCAATGTGTTCTGTTATATCTTGCAATGTGTTCTGATCAGTGGGGACGCTTTTTCTCTGCGTTCACGTACCATATTATGGCGGATTGGACAGGGCCTGACATCTCTCGTCGTGCGAGGTGTTAAAGGTTCTGCAGGTGTGTAAGGGAATATCTGTCGCGTTGCCCCTATCGTTATGCCCAACTGGACGCTTGCTTTCTGGGTGACATTCGAAGGTGTTGCAGGCCATTGTTTCCTCAAGCTTGACTCGCGCCCGCATCATGATGGCTATGCACGTAATCATGCGTCAATAGCTCGATGCTTAAAAATATCGCAAATCCCGCTGTCAATCCATGGCCGAGTCCGAGAGTGGGTTGTGAAGCATATATTCACTCCCTTTCAACCGAGAAAGTCTGTCATCCGGTCTGATATCCATCCCCATCTTTGCAAGTACGTAAGTTGCTTCAGGTGATCATGATGGCTGCGCTATTCTCCTCCCCCATTCACATGAAGTCACTCATGATGAGATCTAGGCCTGCGAAGCTCAGCTGCCCAGTCAGGTAAGCTCGAAGAGAACTTCATAACAGTGACTGGTTGGTTGCAAACGAAGCAGTCACGACTTGTGTGCCTATCATGTACCCAGAATTGTTTTCCCGTCGCTATGCTATGCAAATATATGCCCTCTTAATGTCCAGAGTCCACCCCGTACCCAAATGCCAGTTTCAGAAGCTACCGCAAATGCTCGTTCCAGGACCTCGTATGTATCCGGGCCAGTTCAACCCCATAGTCTCATCAAATCATCAGATTAAAAGCGCCGCAACAAGCACGGCTAACGCAGCCACACCGACCGCACTCCTCCCCATCTCGACTCCACCGCTGCTCTGCACATCGAGCGCCTGATCCTCCAACCTCAACGAAGGCTGATACTCATTCGGCGTAGTATCATTAACAGTGCCGTCCCAGCAGAAATTTTGGAAACATGTCCGGCAGACGTCAGGCACGTCACCCCCCTGGCGATCCAAACTTCTAGAGATAATAGCGCACCCCACACAAGTCGGCCACGTCGAGTCAACACTCGCATTGCCCATGGTGGCGACGTCGTAGCCGTTGGCGATAATGGCGTCTCGGTATGTGTTGTCTGGAAAGCATATTAGTATACGGGGAGGTAGACTGAGAATGAAGGGCGGTGAGTGGACTCACTGTAGCTCAGCGTGAACGTCGTGACGTTCGAGTACGCCACATAAGGTGCGTTCGGGATGTACACCACCAGCGGGACATTTAGCCCGTCGGTCATGTTGTTCGGATCGCAGCCGAAGAAGGTAGGTCTGGTGTTGAGTCCGAGGTTGACGAATGTGTTCTGAGAAGGCACGGATGGGAAGCCAGTGCCGTTGGCGATATCTCCGGCTGTTCGCTCGTATGTTGCGACCATGCTGGTTCCGTTTGGCCAAGTGGTTGGGGTGTCGGCAGATGAATCGATAGCAAAGATGACATCGAGGTGACGCTCCGGCTGAATCAGTGGATGGAAAGGAATATTCTGCAGATCTTCCCCGCCGTCCACCAATGTCAAGCGCTGTTGCTCGGCGTCAGGGTTCTCGCCTGATCTATAGCCAAAGAAAGGGTTTGGTGAGTAGTCCGCAATATCATTATCATCTTCGTCGAGTCCTTGCAAGGCGCCTTGAATGAGGCTGAGAATGCTCTCGGGCAAATCGATGCCGGTCGAATTGAGATTGAGAAGAATCTGATTGAAGAGGGATGAAGAGGTGCCCATGACGAAGCCAGCATTGTCGAACCCAACAACACAGGCCGCATCGTCGGTGACCGAGCCGTTGGTCATGTTCGTCCCCAGATATTGCGTGGGGACGAAACCAAACGCAGTTGGATCCCAAGTGCCCATCTCGAAGGGGTTAAACTCGTAGACTGAGGCGTTGAGTGAGATAATGCGCTCACCAGGGGCTCTCGCGTCTGCAATGACGATTGGAAATGGTTGGTTGGCTCGCTGGAATTCCTGATTGAGCGCGATCGAAGACCAAGTGTAGGCCGGACCACCGTCCGTGGCATTTATCAGCTGGTATGAGAGAGCACGACCCCAGATGTCGGTGATACTAGCATCGTATCCAGCATCTCGCTTCCCTTGGATTGCAGAGTTGATCTGGCTGTAGTAGTCGACAGTGCTGAACAACTGAATGCCGTCGCTGGAAGGCCCTTCCACGACCGACTGGCTGAACTCCCAAACACTTCCTGAGGTGTCTGCTTGCAGATCTGTGACAGTAGTAAAGTTGTTCACATAAATCGATCCGACCAACCATGAGCCGCCTGATAAGCCTGCCACATACGTTGATGCCTGGAGTAAACCACCAAGTCTGCCAGGTGCCGTAGCATTTTCTGTCCGGTCATCCCATGCTTTCACGGCCCCAGCGCCGTTCAGCATGGCCCTCCATCCGCCGCCAGAGAAGGCTAGGCCAATATTTGGTAATTCTGAAGCATTCGAGGACACTCTGTCCATGAATCCGTTGACATCGAAACCTTCTATGTTCACACGTCCAAGCAGCTCTCTCATCGGGTCCACTGTGTTATTTCGCCTCAACTCCAGCCAAGAGGTCTCGTTTGGTGACAATGTTGCTGCCGATCTGACACTTGGTCGGTTCGAGGGACATGAGACATCAGTGGGTGTGTATCCTTCGGGCGAGTTTGGTAGGGCACGTGCCAGCAGTCTCAAGGCTGCTTCTTCGTTCGGTTGTAGGGTATATCGGCCTGTAGCACTGGTAGCAAGGATTGCCGCCAGCGCAATACTCGACAGTATCTGCATGATTGAAATGTTCTCAAGCTGTGAATGGAAAGTAAAGAAACGATCACTGAACAGTATATAATATTGCAACGAGCGGCAGTCTGCTGAGAATCAGGCGACAGTGAGATGTTATGCACGGCATACCTTGGACTGTGCCTCACATGAATCTCACGGCTTCGTCAGAATACCAAGGCTGAGTGTGCTTCAAGGCCTGGCAGGTGATATCATATTCGTTTCCGCGTGGGGCCGGGCACGCGATGATGGAGCAATCGAGTAAGGGTAGCGATCTGCCAAGGGAGTCTATGTATAGCTTTGCTGCGCTGGCCATACTGCGACATGTTCGGCATTTATGTTCATAGATAATTATGCACGACGACTATCGTTTCGATGGAGATGCGAGAGGATGAAAACACGAACCGTTGAAGGCGAAGGTGCGCTGCAGATGGCGTCTGCACTGCAGATCTGGTGGCGCAACTGCCGACGAAGCCGAGCTCGTTTCCGGGCTGCGCCTGCCTCCTTTTGGTCGGGCGTGCCGCTTATCTTTGCAAGGAAGCTGCGGCTTAAATTCATGTCGACTGTCACCGCCAAGGAATTTAAGAAGCCGCAACGCGTCCTTGAGTTGTGGTGGTTGCAATAAACTTGCCTTCCCTCTGGCCGTGCCAGGATGAAGAAAGAGCGTTCGTTCCTAAGTAGACAATGCTATCGTCAACGCTGCAGCACACGACTAACAAATGTGACCATGCGCTGCTCCATTCAATCCAGTGGCAGTTGAGGCATCTTTGCCGATGCGCTGGGTCGTCCATGAGGCCTCAACGGTAACGTGCCGGCATTTTCAACTGCGTGAATCTACTGACTGGCAAGGCTGGTGAGCAGAAAAAGCGGCATGTGTCCATTATTTAAGTGCTCAATGACTTTGCTAGCTGATGTACCTAGGTAACGACCGATACATTCAGCTCGTCTGAGCTTGCCATTTGCAGACGAGGGGAGAAAAGTGTGTTTATCTATAGTACATTCTTCCCGCCGAACTCTGTCACGAGCACGAATATGTACGTTCACCGTGGCCAGATCATCGACCCTGTCATGTAGACCAGTATCACCAGGCCACAACTCGCACAATGGTCTGGTGCGCTATTGCTGCGAACTGTACATTGCTGTATGTATCTGATGACGCCGACAATGAAGAGATCCACGGCAATTCAATCCGCCGCAACGACTTATGGAAGTGCAACGACGAGTACCCGAACACTTGCGCTGAGGAGATCGATGCTGATATATCAGGTATTGGGGTCATTCTGGCATTCACGATATCTGCGATTATCGTCTTCGTGGTTGTATTTGGCGGCTACGTGGTGCGACAGCTCGGGTCAGAAAGCTTCAACAGAATCGATTATGGAGTTTTGTCACTGCTGCACCGGCGAAGGATCAGGAAAGACACGCCGAAGCCGAAAGACTGGTCTGAGCTGTACTTCAAATCTGTTCTTATGCTGAGCGACCAACAACTCGTGACTGGAATCGCCATTCTGATTGCCGCATTCGCGCAGATATGTACTATCAGTACCTACCACTTCCAGATATGCACCTTCCTGGCTTGGGTTGCGGGAAATACACATCTTGTGGCTCTCACCTCCCTCAGGCCTTTCCTGCGCGCGCGTCCGAGTATGATGAGATGGCGACTGGTTGGAATGTTCGTCATGTTCGGTATGCTCTTCGCATCTCTTGTTCTCAATGCTTCGGTCAGGTGGCCATCATCTGTAAGTACTTCAGCGACCTGCCCTGCCATTGCATCAGAGATCCATCTCCGTCCCCATCGGATCAAGATGCACTGCCAGCCCCAACATCCTGCTAAGACAGTCACAGTACAACGAATACCAGCTTTACTACGACAGCCCAGCTCGCTGCGCCTGGGTGCCGGAAGCATATCACACCTGGGAGGACAGCATCATTTTCTCTATTTGCCTGTTGTCATTCAACTATCTGACCAGAATGCTACGCCTGTTTGATACATCCGCCGCCTTGACCAAGACATACCTGCTGGATATGCCGCTAAAGATAAGCATCCGAACGCTGGACAAGTTATGGCGCAAGGCACACGCCCCAGAGATACAGCACTACATCTGGAGACTTCTGTACAGCCTCTTCTGGGGCATATGTCTGGTCTGCTATGCTACAATGGAGCTCTACTACTCGTATCTGGCGGAGGTATTCTGGCTGTTCGCCACATTGTTCTGGGGATTGTGCAAACTCTTCATTGTCAGACGAGACTCGCCGCTGACCGGCTACGAGAACACATGGACGTTTGGTCAGGTTGTAGGCATGGTACTCCTGATTCTGCCCATCATGGCCGCCACGGAGATCTATGCCGACGTCCAAATTCACCAACGAGAGGCTGCTCGACATGGTGGCCACATAGAGTACGCGGCTCATGGGAACGATGTGATCCCTGACAAGCAAAAATCGAGACCTGTCTTTCAGGACCAGAGCACGGAGAAAGTCCATCACCAGGAGACGAGTGACTCGAGTTCACACGAGCGAGTCTTCCTCCCAAAGAGAGCGGCCACCGACATCACCGACTACTCTATTACTTCCCAAGGTCCACGATCGATGCCATTCAGGTATGCAAACACGTTGCCGCCGTCACCAACGAGCTTGTCCATGAAAACCGCCTCCATCGCCTTCACCAACTCCATACCCACCGATAGCGCCTCCACGACCGTCCCAATAGACAGCCAGGAGGATCCACTACCATTCGTCAACGCGATTCCAAGCACCCCTGCCACTCTGACTGACCCAATTCCGATTCCACAAGCGCCTCACTCGACAACGCCCTACACATCTCCATTCTTCATCCTCCTCCTCATTCTCCTGGCGGCGCTCCCCCTTGTACCCTTCATAATATTCATCGAGCTCGTCTTCGCTCTCTCGAACCAATTCACCGCCCTGGCGCTGGTTAGTGCTGTTATGATCTGGGGCATTGCGCTTGCTGGGGCAGTTTCCGGGTGGATACTACTCGGCATCATTGGAGGCAGCGGACTCTGGGGCGTCAATCGTGAACGGAGGGGACCGGCTGGACTAGTTGTGAGGCTTGGGGGATGGCTCAAGGCGAAGGTCGGTGGCGGACCAAGCAGGTCTGGCAAGAGGTCGAAGAAGCAAAGACAACGTGCTAATAATGGTGCGACCGATGAGGTGGAGATGATGATGCAAGGGACTGATGGGCAGGGCAAATCGCAGGACGTTGAGACTGCGCGATCAGAAGAGCACGAGCAGCATAGGCGCGCAGGGCTTGGGAAAAGCTGGTGGCAGCAAGAAGCCGGGAAGAGGAAGAAGCAGTGGCGCGAGGATGCCGACGCAGCGACGGCAAGAGGAAGGGTGGCGAGTACTGTGGCGTGATAGTTCCCATAGAGTTGGAAAAATTGAAATGCAAAATCTTGTCAAACGGTCTTTCCAAAAACTCTAGCAATCTCGCTGCAAGGCAGGTGCTACCATGGACTCCCTGACATACTTAAGTAGGCTTTCATGCTCAGAGTACAGCATTTTCATAGTATACATTGCACCCTGACCGAATCTCCCTCCGCAATCGACACAGCGTGTGCAAAGCAGGTCCGCCTGCAGGGCAATTGGCTGCTCTCTGGCGTTGACATTTACCGTGCTCAGCATCACAACCACCTCCTTGGGGAAGGCTCCATTTCCCCAACCAGCCCCGGACTATTCCCATCATTCACACGCGTTTCTCGTCTACCGATTTCCGAATGTTTGCCCCCTCATGGAAACCCACATGAGACCGAAGGGTCTGGCCGCCAGATGTAGACCCTGCATAGGGAGTAATGCTTGCTTCATGTGCAATAAGTCGGAAGTCGATAAATCTCGCCAGCGACAAGACCTTTGGCAGAAGATCGTGTCATCAACGTCTCGAATCCCAGCACTGTCGCTGGCATGTCTCAACACTCCGAAGCGTCGCAGACACCATCCCCAGCCTGTCATCAATTTACAGTGGTGTACCAGAGCGATTAGCCAAAGAGGCCGTAGATGCACGAGACCGTTTGCGGTCCCAGAAGACTGTCCCAGATTTCGTTCCACGCAAAACCTGGTCGCTTCCGCCCGGTGTTGACCAGCAGGCTTTTGATACAGCTCTCGCAGAGCTCAAGCAAGCACTCGGCAGTGAGCATGTCGAGCTGAATGAGGGCCCGCTGCTCGATGGCTGGTATATGCAACATCCGTATGTTTGCCCCCACGTTCGCCGCAAAGCCGGCATAGTCTGACTTGAAAAGTAACACACACGATGCTTACCATGTTGTCGACCAAGAGGAAATGACATGTTCGGCCATTGTGTATCCCAGCACGACCGAGGAGGTCCAGCAGATTGTGAGATGGGCAAACAAGCACACGATCCCAGTCTACCCCATCAGCATGGGCAGGAATTTGGGCTACGGCGGTAGTGCTCCGCGAGTCCCTGGCTCAGTTGTCATCGATCTCGGTCGACGCATGGACAAAATCCTCAACATCGATGCAGAGAATGCTTCGTGCATGGTCGAGCCTGGCGTGTCATATTTCCGGTTGTATGAAGAGATTCAAGCGCGAAAGCTTCCACTGTGGATCGATTGTCCAGATCTTGGTGGCGGCAGCGTGTTGGGAAATGCCATCGATCGTGGTGTTGGATATACTCGGTGAGTTTCTTTCATGTTTCTTCCCTCCAAGACACAATGACTGACAACCAGCCGCAGTAAGCTTGCCACCGTATCTTACCGCTTGCAGATTGCGCTCCGATCGAGCACTATTACACTGGTGACATCCATTCTGAAAACTTACTGACATTTGATCCAGCGTATGGAGACCATTTCGCAAACCATTGCGGGATGGAGATCGTCCTTCCTGATGGGTCGGTAATGAGAACAGGTCTCGGTGCTATGCCTGGAGCCGACGGCGCCGACAACGACTGCTGGCAATCGTTCCAAGCAGCATACGGCCCCTACGTAGACGGCATCTTCTCCCAATCGAACTACGGCATTGTCACAAAGATGGGCTTCTGGCTCATGCCCGAAACAGACCACCAATCATACATGATCACCTTCCCACGCGACTCGGATCTCGGTCGCATCGTCGAGATCATCAAGCCACTTGCTCAAAAGCGCATCCTAGGCAACATCCCACAGCTACGCCACGTCATCCAGGAACTGGCTGTCACAGGAAAACCACGGTCTCATTGGTACACAGGCACAGGCACAATGCCACGGGACGTCATCGCTAAGCATGCCGCCACCCAGCCCTGCGGCGACGTTGCATGGTGTTTCTACGGCACACAATACGGCGACCGTGCCAGCATCAACTCCCAAATCGCGCTGCTGAAGACTGAATTCGCAGCCGTGCCAGGGATGAAGTTCTATCTGCCTGAAGACATGCCAGCCGATCACTACCTCCACTCCCGTGCATTGGTCTGCAGCGGAACGCCAGTCCTCAAAGAACTCGACTGGCTGAACTGGACACCGAACGCAGCGCATCTCTTCTTCAGCCCAATCCTCCCCACGCGCGCTAGAGATGCAGAGAAAGCTTTCGAGATCATTACGCGCCTGCACAAGAAGTACGGCTTTGATCTCCTGCCTACCTGCTGTATAGCGGGCCGCGAGATGCACACGATCGTCAACATCGTCTACGATCGTTATGATGCGGACGCTAAGCGTCGTGCTATGGGCTGCATGCGTGAGATGATTAGAGAGTGCGCTAAGCAGGGCTATGGCGAGTACCGTACACATTTGTTGTTTCAGGATCAGGTTGCGGAAAGCTACAGCTGGGGAGGTGGTGCTTTGAGGAAGTTCAACGAGACGATCAAGGATGCATTGGATCCGAATTCGATCATGAGCCTGGCAGGAATGGCATTTGGGGGAAGAGGTTTAGGGGGAAAGGGTGGGAGATACTGGATGGAGATAAGCGGGACATACTCAGAGACGGCGTGCGGCCGGCTAAGCTATAGATGTTGTTGCTGTCCTGTTAATGATGAAGTGTGTTGCTCATGGTCCATGCAACTCGCATTGTAGTTCGCCCCATCAAGCAGCTGCAGGTGCTATCTTGGCATGGCAATTCATCTGCCTCCCACTGGTCTGGCAAGCTCTGTAGGAAGAAGAAACAGGAAGAAAGTCGAGCGAAAGGCGACTACTTATACATCGCCAGACAAGTGAAGATCGAGGAGAACGCCAAGAACCCACTCCAGTGAATCAACTGAGAGGCATTCACTGTTGTCTGCATGACTCAGACCTCAAGTGAATGGGCATGTTTAACGATGGCAAACGGGAGGTGGTATAGGAATTCTCTCAAAGCACGCTTACAGCGCTCTTGAGCATCAAATATCATTCTACTTTCTAACAAGCTGCATGTGACTAGATAGTCTTTAGCATAATGGCGAGACCTTTCCCTCCTTCAATTCTCGTGAGACCTGGCTCGACAGTGTATCCCACTGCTTATGTGTGTCGGCCTCCGCATCGTAATCATAGAGATGTCTGTTCTACAGCAACAAGGTTAGTGATCTGCCAGACAGCGTTTACAAAAGGGAAGAGTGCTCACCCTCATGTGAAAGTCCTCTTCTTTTAACTCTGCCCCTGCATCCAGCCTCCTCAGCGCGCTGTGCCATCGGTCACGCACATCCTCGCCATTTGTCTGAGAGACGCGTACGCGAGGGAAGCGAATCTTTTCGTAGGTCCGTGTCTGTCAATGATAGATCAGCAGTGGGCTCGTTGAAGCGCTCAAGAAAAATGAATCTAGAGAGAACAATTCGACATACAGCAAGTGGGACATTGTCTTTGCCAGCCAGGAGCAAGCATTGTGCAAGCACGGCTCCAGACTCTGTGGCCTGGCTCGCTCCCTGAGCGGACGTGGGTAGGTGCGGATGGCAGCAGTCGCCTAGGAGGACAATGCCGTTGCCCTTACTGACCCAGTAGGGTATGGGATCGCGGTAGCAGATCTTCCAGTCGAGGCACTTCTCTGTATTTGCGAGGATGGGCGCTATCTCGGGATCGAGATCTTCGATGATGGAGCGGACTTGATTCATATCGCCCGGCTGGAACCAGCTTTCCTTGATGTCCTCGGTATCCTTGTGGGTCAGGATCCAGTTGAATTCTTCTCCACCGCGAAGGGTGTTCTGAACTACGTGGACGTCGTTGCCAATCCAAAAGTTGACACACTCCTCTTTCACGTAGGGAGAGGTGATTTTGGGGTCATCGCGTAGGTGGTCGGCTTTGAAGAAGGCGCGGAAGCACGCATATCCCTGTTGAAGACATCTCGATCAGCTTCTTGTGTCCGTCACTTCTGGCGGAGGAGGATTGCAATACCGAAGACTTCGGTTTATCAGTGAATCCCAAAACCCTCTCTCTGGCAGCGCTCTTTATACCGTCCGCAGCAACAATCACATCCGCCTCTTCAACCGTCCCATCTGCGAAGTGTATCCTCGGCTTCGCAACATCATCATAGCTGACAACCTCCCTCCCCATGAACAACGGCACACCCGCCCTCTTCACAGCCCGCAAAAAGGCGTCGTGATAGTCGCCTCTATGCCCAATGAAGCCCGCCATGTCCATCAGCTCCTGTTGAGCCAGTAGTTTGCCATCATGCCATCGCCTGATCTGCATGTACTTCGACTTGTTGCCGATCTCGACTAGGTCTTCCCGTAGTCCGGGCGACCATCGATCCAAAAGCTTCAGCGCGTTCTCGCCTAGGCCCAAACTGTCGCCCAGACGGTCGAACTTCCGGACTTTCTCGTACATGGTGACCGAGAACCCGGCAGCACTGAGAGCCAACGCTGTGGCACATCCGCCAAGGCCTGCGCCGACGATGATCACCTTCAGAGGTATCGGGGCAGGTTCGATGGATCCCATCTTGCGTGAGCAGGCTCTGTGGGTATTGGTATTTCTGAAGTGAGAAAGCTCAATGCCCAAGTCCAGTTGATAGTAGTGATCCAGAAGGTACTTGGGCTGTATAGTGTCAACGAGTTCCTGCAGCGATCAGATCTGGACCTTCTGATCGTAGCTACGTTGGATCAACACTTCAATATTGCGGGTAGTATCGAGCTCCAGGGAACTCTGCATGTTCGCCTCGCTCTACATGGCCTAGCCAGCACTTGCGTACCCCAATGGAGATATGGGTTATCCGTGTGGTGAGTGAGGTTCCGGCTGCCGCCCGGGAAACATCCACGAACCCCGGATTTGAATTGCGGGCCCCACGGTGGGGAACCGCACGCGTGTAGGAAGAGGACACCCAGTGTTATCTGTTCAATGTCCCTGGAGACTTCTTCATTCCAGCTGTATTCGCTCTCACACAGACAAATGGTACGGCTAACTGCTTCGACATTGTGAAATCCTCCCGACCCAACATTGTCGGCTCCTGGGGCCCCGACTGTTTCATTGTGATCATGGGCGGTCAGGGACAGCTACCTAAGCTGATGAATCGAAGTCTTATGCCGGTGACAGACCTGCGAGCGCTTCTCCTTGCATGCGACCGGCCGGAGCTCTGCCTCGTGCAAAGGCAGCGCTGACCACCGCGATAACTGAATTCGGGCTTGAACTATGAGCGCCATGCCTCTGGGAGGCTATCGAGCCTGCTTTTCTCGTCACGAGCGTGACATGTCTCCAAGCTCGACTATGACACGATCGCAAGGCGCTTCCACGAGACGTTATGATAAAGGCGCTGAACTTCCTTCTGCGCTGCGCTGCTTTGGGTACCCGGGCTGCATCGTCGTGGTCGAGCTCTGCTCCTGAGTCTGACATGCTTTCCATGACTCATACACCATCGCGGTCATCATCTCACAATTTTGAATGGCAGCAACGTCCCCAGGTAGCAATCGCTCGGCCCCAGCTCCAGCTGGTCATTGACGCCGCATAACTCGATGGTCGCATGGGATGGAAAGCATCCTTTTCCCTTGGTCAAGCTTGCTGATCGTGTCGAAGTGGCAAAATGCCTATGGTTTGTTGTAACGCATCGAAGCTGTGAGCGTGCATGTCGAGCACTGCCTGCCTCACGGACGTTTAGCGCTCGCATTCGCATCCCTCATACAGCTGCTTGCATGCTTTTGCAGCTGTAGACCGATCGGCATCAATCGAGGGGCGGCGCTTGTGGCTACCAAAAGCGGAAAGCAGACGCGCCAGGACGTTCTTCCTGGGCATGTAGCAGGGGTCGAGAACATCCGCCGGCCTGGCCTTTATCAGCATACCAATGGTATACCAGAAAGACCAGCCGTTTTGACCACTATACTCACAACACACAGGTAATAATTCATAGTCAAGGTGATAGTTCATGGGGCGTTGCCGACCTCTGCGAGCATCTGCACTCACTTTCAATACCTACTTCAGAACATATCTAGCTGTCGACGACCAATGGCGCCAATCAGCACGAGGGATCTCGCCGGCGAGCATGGCGACAACAATTCATGCAACAGGCTTGACCACAAACAAATGTCCAAATCAGTGACCACACCTGCGGTCATTGCACGGCCTTCGAAAGACCACGATTTAGTACTAAAGACATTCCGACTTCTCATCGCCGATCTCTGCCAGCAATTCAAAGGCGGCCATCCTGGCGGTGCAATTGGCATGGCCGCTATCGGTGTGGCTTTGTGGAAGTATGTGATGGTATACTCGCCCACCGAGTCAACTTTCTTCAACAGAGACCGCTTTGTGCTGTCTAATGGCCACACCTGCTTGTTTCAGTATGCATTTCTACATCTGACGGGTTATCCATCGATGACCCTAGAACAGTTGAAGTCCTATCATTCGAAACGTTCAGATGCGCTCTGCCCAGGTCATCCGGAAATCGAGCATGAAGGTATCGAGGTCACGACTGGGCCACTTGGTCAGGGAGTGGCCAACAGTGTCGGGCTTGCCATAGCTTCAAAGCATCTAGCTGCTACATACAACCAGCCGTCACACCAAGTTGTATCTAATCACATCTGGTGTATGGTCGGGGACGCTTGCTTGCAGGAAGGTGTTGCTTTAGAGGCTATCTCACTTGCTGGACATCTCCGCCTGGACAACCTGACGATCATTTACGATAACAACCAGGTCACCTGTGACGGTACTGTGGATCTGACTAATACAGAGGACGTCAATGCTAAGATGCGCGCTTGCGGCTGGGATGTCTATACGGTTGAGGATGGATGTTTCGACATCGAGGGTATTGTCACTGTACTGAATCAAGCACGCTCCGCCGCCACAAAGCCAACCTTTGTCAACGTTCATACAGTCATTGGCTTGGGAAGTGCTGTAGCCGGCAATGCAAAGGCACATGGCGTGGCATTCGGCGAGAGTGATGTTGCCAACATGAAGAGGGAGGCCGGCTTCAACCCCGACGAGTATTTCGTCATCTCGGACGCTGTTTATGACTTTTTCTCCGACCGCATCAGCAACGGCCGGCGAGTGGTTGACGAGTGGCACAATCTGCTGGAAAGCTACGAGCATCAATATCCGGATCTGGCGAATGAGTTTGCGAAACGTCGAGAGGGACAGCTTCCCGCGGATTGGGAGTCACTCATTCCAGAAGACTTCCCAAACAAAGCCACTGCAACAAGGGCATCATCCGGGTTAGTTTTCAACCCTATCGCGCAGAAGGTCAAGTCGTTCATGGTGGGGACCGCTGATCTTACGCCTTCAGTCAACATGACCTGGGAAGGGAAAGATGACTTTCAATTCCCAGGCTTGAAGACAGACTGTGGGATCAACGGCAGTTACAAGGGCCGCTATGTCCACTACGGTGTGCGCGAGCATGCCATGGCGGCTGTATCAAATGGCATGGCCGCTTACTCGCCCGGCACAATAGTGCCTGTTACGTCTACGTGAGCCTCCCCACAAGCACCGCGCAACATTCGAACTTATGCTGACCTTCGCATAACAGATTTTTCATGTTCTACTTGTACGCCGCTCCTGCGGTGCGAATGGGTGCTTTGCAGCGCCTCCAAGTCATTCATGCTGCCACACACGACTCGATTGGCATGGGTGAAGATGGACCAACACATCAGCCATTGGAGCTTGCAGCGCTATATCGTGCGATGCCAAATCTTCTGTATATTCGCCCCGGAGATAGTGAGGAGACGGCCGGTGCCTGGACTGCTGCAGTTAAGGCCAAACATACTCCGAGTATAATATCGACGTCCCGCCACGCCGTTCCCCAAATCACTGGGAAGACGAATCGAAAGGCTGTGGAACGAGGCGCATATGTTATCGAGGAGTCGCTCTCTGAAGGTGGCAAAGCTGACTTGACGCTCATCGGTGTTGGCGCCGAGCTCAGCCTGGCAGTGGACGCAGCGGCCATCCTCCGACAAGACCACAGCCTACGTGTCCGCGTGGTCTCGTTTCCGTGTCAGCGACTGTTTGACAAGCAGAGCAGAGATTATCGACGATCAACTCTTCGAAGGCACCAGGGAATCCCTGCAATCGCCATTGAGCCTTATGTGGCACTTGGCTGGGAAAGATATGCCGACGCGATGGTTTGTATGAGCACGGATCGTTTCGGGCACAGCTTGCCTGGTCCTCAGGCCTACGAGTACTTCGGTTTCGACTTGAACACTGTGGTGCAGAAGATCCTGGAGTATATGGAAAGGAGACACCGTGGACTGGTGTTGGCTGGTGATTTTGAGGAGTTGTTGTAGGCGCGAGAGCATTCAGGGGATGTGCGACAGTTATCAGCAAGCGCAAGCAGCTTCAATTCAAGTGATTCTATGCTCTTACAGAAGAGTGGCTCTTTGTTCAAGCTCTTCAATGGCATGCCCTAATTTTAACCCAGAGACTGACTGTATCTTGGCCACAGTCGCCGTCGCTGCTCTTAATTGTGGGGCACTGCTCAAAAATTGTGAGCAGAACAGCAAGGATGCAGTAGTGAGCATATCCCACAGCTCGGCCTGGGCAGCTTCGCAGATCGTGCCCAACGCTCGAAACAGATGCCAAAGTGCAGAAGCTGAGGACGTGGGCCCGGAAATGAGCCGCAGAAGACGTGGCTTGTTCTGTAGAAGTACAAAAGACGTGATATGATGGACTGTATTCGCTAGGACAGCGGCGTGACTGGTAAAGACGATGCGAGGAAAATGATACTCTTGCGATGCAGTATGGCTAGTCATGTCTGAGGCATAGTCCACCGGCAAGTCGATGATCTGTTTCATTCGTTCGTCCCTCCGGCTGTACCAATGTTGCAAATGCTCCCAGAGAAGCTGCCACTCAGCATGTCTCGCGCCAGTGGTTACGTCTGCAGCTGCTGATAGGACCATTGTTGCGCGTACGAAAAGATCCAGACATTGAGCCAGCTGCAGCAAGGCTGTATCCGTTGTCGAGGCGGTTGCGACCGATCGTAACATCGGTCGATTGGAGACAGTTGAAGCTGCATTGGATCTTGTCAACCAGACGGCACAGCTCAACTGCGTGAGGAGAAGACGCTCTTGCAAGGCTAGAGAGCCCATGGCTCCTCGTTCGACATCACCGATATCAAGTGCACACCAACTGCTCACCGATGTTACGAAGAACTGTCTCCACAAAAGAAGCGGTCTTGAGAAGTGGTCCGCTTCTCGTCTTGCGTCGATCGCATCACGACATAGATGGACGGATGCAGTGGCAGCGGCCAGGTCTCTTTCCCTGCTGATGGAATTGAGCATGCCACGTCGGGAAGCCGCCGTCGCCAATATAGCATGGTGCGTCGCCTCCGAGAGCTTGGAATCAAGAGTGGCTGTGACGCAAACCACGATTCTCTGAGGCCCAGATCAAGGACAGAGGCTACATGATACCGAAAATAAGCAATCAGTTCAAGCTCGTACTGATCGCGACTGGGGCTCGTGAATTGTGATTGACGGAGTAGTGGTTGACTAATGTGGATGGTGTGGAGGAATCGGCTTCGTCCTGATGGGAACTGGCCGTCACGATGGGGTTTCGTGTGTCGGCATTTCGAGGAAGAGCTGATGCGATCTGCTGGTCGTGCGAACGCAGGTCACATGCGTTGACCACTGTCTCTCCTAGCGCATCTATGGCACTGGTCGGTGAATCTCGCCTCTCTAGGTTGGTCGTAGCGTCGTGGTCCTGGGTTAAGAACCTTCGTGTAGGCCCATCAACGGTGTCCTGAAATTTGGATGGTACGAATGTCAAGGTTTTGCTGCGATATTGGCATTTCAGCCTCTGCCCAAGCAGTTTGCGCATTCAGGCTTCTGCTCGTCACATTTGCGTCTTCGATTTCGACATGTAAGACACCCAGTCCTTGCGCGCTTACGTGCAGGCGCGTCCATTGGCCCAGAGGCGTTTTGGGGCAAAATGCTGCAGTCGATCCGCTGGGATATTGGAACAGAACAAGGAGGATTGAAGCGGGCGACGAGATTGTACCGCAGAGGCTATGCATGCCCGAATGCGGCATGTCATGTCCCACACTGCCCCGCTCTTTCCCAGGAGAAGGCTTCTCCGGGTAGCAGTAGGCGATGGAGAACGGGTTTTTCGACAAACTCCATCTTGTCTCGACAGAGTTCATGAGAGCAACCACAGGCTTCCAGCCTCGTGGCTGCTGGCTTTCGACCTCATGATCTATAACTTTGCCATGAGCAAGACCTCGTCTAACAGATGCCCAGCAAGATTTAACGTGCGTCGCAGATAGTCATGTTCGACGAGACTGCTTTACGGTTTTGCGAACAGAGGCCACGCGTTTTCATCGTCTCAGATATCTCCAATGAACCTGATGACGCGGAATCTCTGGTGCGATACTTACTATACGCTAATGAGTTTGATACTCGAGGCCTCGTTGCCTGTACATCAACATGGATGAAACGTATTGTTCATCCGGAAGACATGGAGAAAATAGTGCGGGCGTATTCCAAAGTCGTCGACAGTCTCAATCGGAACACACACCCAAAGAACCCGTACCCATCAGGCGAAGCCATTATGACGCTCATCGCTACTGGGCCTGCACTTTATGGCAAAGAGGCTTTGCAAGAAGATGTGCCTTTAAGCGAGGGCAGTCGGCTGCTGTTGGAGCGTCTAGACGAATCTGATGCGCCTCTATGGGTCTTATGCTGGGGCGGTACGAATGTTTTAGCGCAGGCCCTCAAACATGCTGAGCGAGAACGCTCCGTGGGCGACCTCCAGAAATTACGGTCCAAGATCAGAGTCTATGCAATTTCAGATCAGGACGACACGGGCATGTGGATCAGGAACCACTACCCTGACATCTTCTTTATTTCTTCCGTGCACGGTTGGAACCAGTACGGCCTTGCCGCCTGGACGGGTATCTCTGGTGATAAATACTACAAGTTTGATCAAGGAGGACCAGATTTTTCCAAGGTGTCGAAGGAATGGATCAAAGAGAACATACAGATCGGAGATCTGGGCGCAGCGTATCCTGATTATATGTTCATTCCTGAGGGTGACACCCCTACGTTCCTGTACCTCATTCAGAATGGCTTAGGGAGCTCTGAGCACCCGGAATGGGGCAGCTGGGGTGGTCGGTACCAGAGTACTGACGTGGCCGAGTCTCCTGCAGGAAGGCATTACACTGATACAGTCGATACTGTGGTGGGCAAGAATGGTCAACAGTACATCAGCAATCACGCAACTATCTGGCGCTGGCGAGATGCCTTCCAGAACGATTTTGCCGCCCGGATGCAATGGACCCTTGGAAAGAAACCGTCTGAGTGTAACCATGCTCCCGTGGTGATAGTCAACGACAGTGATGCGGGCCCGGGACACCTCTACGTCGAGGCCGAAGCAGGTGCAACGATTTCGCTGGATGCCAGCCGAAGCTACGACCCTGATGGTGACAAGATCTCGTTCGAATGGTTTCAATACAGCGAGGTCAGTGCTACACAATGGTCAGTGAAATCTGAGGTGGAGACTTGCGAGATCCGGAGCGAGGGCACGGAACCTGGTCGCGTGGTCTCCATTCGATTGCCCTCCCCGGAAAAGTGTGCGGTCGATTTGTTTACAGGAGAAGCGAGGCAGAAAGGTCAGGTAATGCATTTCGTTCTGATGGTGAAAGATAATGGCGTGCCGGCGCTCACTACATACAAGCGTGTAGTAGTGCAAGTTACGAACAAGGAGCTTCGCGGCGGACGAGCCCAAGCAGTGCATTCGATAGCGGAGGCTCAGATGTTCAAGCAATGATTCATACACATGTAGGAGTACCTACGTAGCTAATAACGATAGACTTAGGCCTCAAGGTGCCCTTTGACGGCAGCAGACAGATATGCGACTTTAGCTATCCTAGGCACATCTCACGGGGCAAGTCCCAAAGCTCGTGAATGGGAGGCGACGGCCATCGTTGCAACCGGTGCGATCGCGTCAAAACTTGTCTGCTTGTTGCCAGCATTAATAGACTTCCCATCGGATTGGGTTCTCGTGTGAACATTTTCGACTCGAAAGACCACGGAAGAGAAGAGCAGCGGCGGGAGAAATTGTGGATCGCAAGGAAGTAACCTCGAGGCAAGGTTCCCAGGGTGTCACAAACTTCCCGGCATCCGAATTCGGACATCACAAGCACCGCTTGCCGTGAGCGGGATGAGAGGGGTGGGCGAACCCCAACACACGTGTCACTGCTGAGTTCATGTGTAGGCATGACAATCAAGCGTCTCGGAATGTCGTTCTATGAATGACCCGACACATCTAGATACTAAGTACACAACGACTTGCTCACGAACCTGAGCCACATCGATATACCTGCTGGAGTTGGAGTTGCCGAAGCGACGCCAACATGGCCCCTGGATTGACCGCCATCAACCACACCTCCTTCGCTGGAGATATACCGCAAACTTCGAAAAGTCTTCCACGCGGGATCGAACACAGCTCTTCTGATCTCGAACAGACCATTGCCCGAATAGCACAGAAGTACGAAAACCCATCTTTGGTCGTATTCGACCACAAGCTCAGCCTTCGACAAACTCCGATACCACAGCCAACGCCCACACAAGCCCTTATACATATTCGTTGCACAGGCATCTGTGGATCCGACCTTCATCTCTGGCACCGTGGAGCTATCGGGCCTCTTAAAGTGACCAGTCCGTGTATTCTTGGCCACGAAGCGGCCGGCGAAGTAATCGCTGTTGGTTCTGCGGTCCAAAATCTATCACCAGGGGACCGAGTAGCCATAGAGCCCGGAGTGCCTTGCGAATCATGCTTTCTGTGTCGGTCTGGCAAGTACAATCTCTGCGAGCGTGTAAAATTTGCAGGTGTCGCAGAATGTGATGGGAGCATTCGCCGGTTCATGGCTCATGAGGCCCGATATTGCCACAAGATACCGGACACCATGAGCTTCCGTGCGGGTGCGCTTCTGGAGCCACTCGCAGTTGTGATGCACGCTATTGCGTCTTGTTCCGGACAGATCGCTCTGGGGAGGCCGGTGCATATCTGTGGTGCTGGCCCCATTGGATTACTCGCGCTGAAGGCTGCCAGAGCAAGCGGAGCATGGCCACTGAGCATAAGCGACATCGACCCTGCGAGACTGAGTTTTGCAGAGAAATTTGTCCCTGGCTGCCGTACATGGCATGTGTCAGGGGCTGGCCCCATAGCCGATGCTGAAAGCGTGAGGACTCTCCTTGGCTGCAAAGGCGACAGAAACGTCGAGAAAGGATTGCCCGACTCGGACGAGTATTTCGCACCTCACGTCGTACTGGAGTGTACTGGAGTTGAGAGCAGTGTCGCTACTGCTGCGTATGCTTGCCGAAGAGGGGGAACCGTTGTGGTCGTGGGCGTTGGCAAGGACAGGATGGACAATCTGCCCTTCATGCATCTCAGTCTGAGTGAGATCCAGCTGCGTTTCATCAACAGATACAAAGATATGTGGCCTGCTGCGATAAATTTGCTGGGAGAAGGACAAGTTATCAACCTGGACGACCTTGTCAGCCATCAATTTGATCTGAGCCAGGCCATCGAAGCCATGGAAACTTGCGCCGATAGGGCATCAAAGAGCATCAAAATCCACGTAGTAGATGATGTTGAAGTGTCACTTGGGTCAGCGTAGAGTCATTACATAGGCAGACTACCACTTAGATCTTTATGACAGAAACGACGACGAATTGTACAAGATCAGGTTTCATGGAAGTTGTCCACTGGTTCGATGAATTGAAATCCTGGCGAAAATGCTCAAACAGCTGGTCCTACGCAAATATTCTCAGAGGTTTATCCAAGTAAAATCCAGGATCATTGAACCTCAAGCCCCTGTCCAAGGCCGCGATCGCGCCGAGTTCGTCTGCCTTTAGATCAAAGTCCGTCACCTCCAAATTCTGTTGCAGCCTTGCAACGTTGTTGGACTTTGGGATCACAGCAATATTGCGCTGTGTTGCCCAGCGGAGCAGAATTTGAGCAGGAGTTTTGCCAGCTCTTTCCGCAGCTTTCTTGACGACATCGACATCAAACAGAAGTGGCATATCCTTAGCTCGTTCTCGGAAGGCCGGAGGTAGCTCTAAGAAGCTTTGTGGCCCGAAACTCGAGTACGCGGTGACGATGATGCCGTTCTCCTGTGCCATTTGAATGAGCTCGGGCTGGACCAGATATGGATGATGCTCAATCTGCAGTGATGAGATGGGGTGTCTGGCGTAGGTCATGATGTCGTAGATTGTCTGAGCCTGGGCATTAGAGATGCCAATTGATCTGGCTATTCCAGCATCAACAACCTCCTCCATTGCTGCCCAGGTCTCGTGCATTGGGACCTTGGCTGTTTTGATGACTTTATGATCTTCGTCCATCCACCAAGCCGGGTATCTCAGCTGATCTGGAGAGATATACTCTAGAGCCACCGGGAAATGGATCAGATAGAGGTCGATATAACCAAGCCCCCATGCTTCGTTCTGGGCTTTAGCCATTTCCAAAGCCTGGTTCTTGCTGTGATAGTTGTTCCAGAGCTTAGTGGTGACGAAGATGTCTTCACGCTTGACAATGCCATCTGAAATAGCCCGTCTGATACCGTCGCCTGCCTCTTTCTCATTCTGATAATCGTATGCACCATCAAAAAGCCGGTAGCCAACTTTGATGGCCTGATGGCTGTAAGTGTTCGCTCTCAATCGTCCGGGATGATCTCGTCACTTACATTGTAGACCGTATCGCTTGCGCTCGCGGCGGGCACTTTCCAAAGTCCAAACCCGACGAGGGGCATCTTGCAGCCAGAGGCAAGCACTGCTGTCGCGGACATGATGTGTTGATTGAAAGGTGACTTGCTGCCCTCGATAACGTTTCTTCTCTCAACAAATGCGTGTTGCAAAGAGCCAGATCAACATTCGTGTCGTCCGTGTCGACGCCTAGACTCGATATCTATCTCCTCATTCCATGCACAATTTGCTCATTACAAGCCGAGCACCCATCGCAAGCTTGACAAAGACACGTTGCGCCGCAGCAAGCCGACCGAGTCTCCGCCGAACCGCCACCGAAATTGCGGTGGTTTTCCAAAACCCACCGCATAGACTTCGGCGTGGCTCTTATTACCACAAACGGCAGTCGCAGACGACTCTACCATCCGAGCCACAGTCATGGAACCGCTCGACCGCAATTTGAATCGATCGAATTGTGGCAAGGCAGCTGAGAGAGAAATCATACTTCAAATATGGGGATACTTGAAGCTTCACAGCTGACGAAGCATGCCTAGTAGATAGTCATTGGCGTCGAGGCTCGCAGGCTAGTCCTGGAGGATAAGTGTGTCTTGATTCGTGCTGTTCTTCGTGCTGTTATCCATGAAGGCTCACCAGCACTGTATAGCATAGGACCCTTTCTGACCGCGCTTGACAGGTACCATGGATATCACAACGTGTGTGCTGTCTGATGCATGCAGGTGGGGCACTTCACATGATACTAGATCCAACTTTGTGTGCGTGTCAGAGGCAATATACTCAGACCTTTGAAGCGTTCCGAGAGTAGAGACTGCCTGCACGATAGCCCCAGAAGCTTTCAAGATCTTTGATGCGCCATCTCGAGCCCCAACCCGAACAAGCCTCAATATGGTGTAGCAAATCAATGACGGCCTTATGCTCAGATCGATGAGTGAACAGTTTTCCAGCAATGTACAATGGTTGTATGGCGTTGTTGAGGCATCCAGGATGGTGATTAGTCAAAGAAATGCCTACGACACGGCGGGCGTGCCAAAGCGGGCTGTGCGAGACGCGCGAGGGGGTCCCAGTGACTTGCGGACGCATCTCATCAAGCAGCATACATGCTGTGTGGTACAATTGATTCCCTGAGATGGCTGCCCAATGTGCGAACAATATCCGAGGGAATGCATGCGATTCTTCAGTCGAATACAGCTCATTGACTGACAGCATGTGAGAAGGGCGTTCTTCGTACCAACGATCAAGGGAGGCTTCCAAGAACAGCCATCGACTGCGGAAAGACTCGGGCGTGTATCCATTGTCCTCGCCTAGCTCAAGGTGTCGGGTGCGATGAGCAAGAAGATCGCAAACATTCGCGCACAAGTATACTGCCCAGTTCGCGTACATATCACTGGCTTTTTGACCTTCGCACAGGAACGTATTGTTAATGGTCTCCTGCCTTTCTGTTGAGTCGGTTGGATGTGACGGTGGCAGGAAAGCCCATTTGTGGATCGGAAGGATGGCACTATGTTCGCCGTTGGATATGATCGCTGCACAAAGATCCATCCGAGCGTAGCACCAGAACACGGCCTGAAGCAGACCACCAGAGAAACCATTGACTCCGAGATGGCCGAAGATTGCTGCACAGCCCTCTAAATGGCGGCGCCAATCCCGTGGACTAACACTCATCATCTCTAGGACGCATAGAATGCATGCGGTCACAGGAACTTCAAGGTCGATGGTGCCGATTGACGGAGCCAGAGATGTAATGGCCTGTGAGTACAACTCAAGCTGTCCTGGAATGGATGGCCTGATACATGCTTTCTTTCAACCTGTCGCGCACCCAGCGCAAGCATTGCGAAGAACACAGCGGGTGACCTTTGAGCAATGGCTGGTATTTGAGTACCAAAGTGCCGCTCTTCATCAAACATGTCAAGCCATGGGGCACATTCGCAGATCCAAACCTGAAGGTAGCGAATCTTTCTGTCCAGAGGTATGTGATCATGACGTTGCTCTAAATGCTTCAGTAGGAGCTCATGACCGTGTGTGTCATCTGCTTCTGACGACTGGGCATCTGGACTCTGCTGACGTGTATTGCCGGCACTTCGGACTTCATCCAAAAGATAAGTCCTTAAGCTGCTTTGTAGCTCCTGAAAACGAGGCTGAAGCGCCAACTCATCACCGAGAGTCCCGCTTGCATTCGATGGCGCGGCAGGAGACAACAGTGTGGTCGACTCGAAATCAAATGCAACCTCCATTGTGGCCTAGCTCTCGCTGGCATTGAAGTTAAGCGACATCTGAGCTGGTTCTGCGTAGTGAAATCATTTCTCACCAAGAGCGAACAATGGAGCTGCTTGATTCATTTGGCTCGAGCCTTGCTTCGCCCTGCTCGGCGCCCGCGTTGCGGGACGAGGAACACCTCGACGGGTTCCAGAGACTCAATACCGTCACCAGCTTGGATGGAGTTGCGGCAGAACTTCGAGGATGCACTATTTCGTTTTAGGACTAGTGCGCACCTCCGTACTATTAACTTCACCGAATTTTCTCCTGCACATGATGTTACTTTTGCCAACATTATGTTTCATGGGCCAAGTTTGCCATGTCCAGAACCTCGGACTCCAGGTCCTGACGCTGGATGCCGGCTCCAGATGGGGTTGTGCATAAGCGCGCGGAGTCGTCCCATGGGCTTTAAAAGTATCTGGATCTGAGAATGCGCCAGACTCAAACTCAGTCCTAAAGCTCGATCGTGCCGATCAAGCTTGAAAATGGTGAGAATAGGCACTGATTTCTCTTTTCGTGCAACACAAGCACCAAATTTCTCCCTGCTCCCTTCTCCACATGCCCGCGTCCGAGATTGAAGCTGGGGAAGATTCTCCGGGGACCGCTGTACTGAGCGACTCGAGCATTGACCTCAGACTATATAATGAAGCCGGACTTCCAGGTATCTGAGGACGCAGATCCAGACTCGCACTCCATCTACGATTGATAGCTTCCAACCCAAAAGTACATTGCTTGCAGACGACATGGACAGCAGGCCGCCACATGTGGGGAATGAGGAGGCCCAGCAGGCAACGTTGACCGGTACTGAGCACTCGGACAACGTCGAGAAGCACACGATGCAGACCTCGCACCAGGAGCGACACACTGTCAGCGACGAACTCGCCCATCTTGCCAACGCCGAGGATCATAAAGATACCAAATGGCAAGCCATCCGTCGTAACCCGTGGGCTTTCGCATGGTGTCTGTTTGCTGTCTGGACGGTTCTACTCGTCAGCTTTGAGAATCAGGCGTCTGGAAACATCTTGGGGATCCCAGAATTCCGCAAAGATTTTGGGTTCTACTACGATGGCAATTGGGTACTGTCAGCAAAGTGGCAGTCTGCCTTCAGCGGTGCACCGATCGCGTCGTGAGTCCTGCTGATTCTGGCGTTGCCAACACATACTGATACCATGACACAGACAAATCGTGGGAAATCTAGGCTCAGGCCAGGTCGCAGATCTAATTGGTCGACGTAATACCTTGATCATTGCTCTAGTCATCACCTTCGCCGCTATCACCATGGAGTTCGTGGCGACCACCAATGAGCTGTTCTTTGGTGGCAAGTTCCTCAAGTATGTTACCCCTTTGCAGCGCAAGACATCTTCCTGATCTGTTTAGTGGATTTGCAGTCGGCACCATTCAGACGGTAGCGACTACCTACGTTGGCGAGGTAAGCTAGTTCCAATCTCGGTCCTCAGGGGAGGTCTAACTGTGGTTGCCAGATTGTGCCACTCGCCCTTCGAGGGTTGATGACATGTTTGATTGCCCTCAGCTTCACCGTGGGTCCATTTACCGTGGCTTTGATTGTCAACAGTACGGGCACCTACGACAATAGATGGGCCTACCGTGCCGTGTTCTGCTCACAATACGGCTTCGCTGTGATCTCATCCCTTTTTATTTGGCGCATGCCCGAGAGCCCATGGTTCCTCGTCGACAAGCGTAAGAACGAGAGCAAGGCACTCCGGAGTCTCCAACGCCTTGGGTACAGTAGCAGCTCCGGAGAAGACGTCAAGCGCTTGGCCAACATCAAGCTGACGCTGGAGCAAGTCCGCCGGGAGACCGACGGTGCAACCTACCTAGAATGCTTCAGGAGGTTTGTGGTGTTGTCATTCGTGTTCTAGAAACCAACTAACCATGAAATTTGCAGATCGAATCTCCGCCGCACCATCATCTCGATCACGCCGCTGTCCGTCCAGCAATTCACAGGCATTGTGTTCGCTGCATCCTACTCCACGTACTACGCGCAGCTAGCAGGCTACAGCACCGCAATGTCTTTCAAACTTCAAATCATCCAACAAGTGTTGTCCATGTTCGGCAATGTCATCTCATGGTACCTCATCGATCGTGTCGGCCGTCGCTTTCTCACTCTGTACGGCACAATCGGTCTCACAGCTGTCCTATGGGTGATGGGCGGGCTAGCAGTCGGCGGCTCGCAGGGCGAGCTGAAGGGTACTGTTGCAATGATTCTGGTCTATTGCTGGCTGTACAACGTCACCATCGGCGCCACAGCCTTCACTGTCCTCACAGAGGTGTCGACGTCTCGGCTGCGCGCAAAGACCATTGCTATCGGGCTAGCTGTCCAGGGATGCCTCAACATCTTATGGTCGTTCGTCCTGCCGTACCTCTTCAACCCTGATAAGGCGGACCTTGGCGGAAAGCTCGGTTTCATTTTCGGAGGTCTTTGTTTTCCTTGCATCGCGTTCTTGTGGTGGTATCAGCCCGAGACGCGCGGTCGTAGCTACGAGGAGCTGGATGAGATGTTCATGAAGAGCATCGCGCCCCGGAAGTTCGCTAGCTACACGACTGAGGCGGAGATGAAGGGTCAAGAGGTTCAACAACGGGTCTACCCAGGGAAAGAGACCGCTTAGCTGGATGCTAGTTATTCATGACTTCACATCGCTCGGCATTTTCACTAGGATGATCCTGCATAGCTTCACTGTGCTCTCACCTTCAGCCAAGGCGTCTACGCAGCACCAGCGCCAACTTGCTCTAAGATAGGCTGAAACGCGCCTCTCCATGTCTTGATAGCCATCTCCGAAAAGCCGACACCCACTTCTTTCACATCAGCCGGCTTCGTCGACTCCATGATCTCCAGAACCTTCGTCGTATACTCCTCTAGTGGCATGGGCTCAACACTAGTAGCAGCTTCCTTGTGCTTCAAGTCCAGCTCAGTCGCCACGTAGGGGGGGAGCAATCTCGACAACTCGCACACCCGCAGCGCCTAGCTGCGCGCGTAAACAGACTGCGAGATGGTGTGTCGCTGCCTTTGTGGCGCTGTAGACCGGGTAGGCGGCCGCGGGGACGAACGTGATGCCTGAAGACGTGATCATGAGAAAGGCCTCCTGTTCCTTGCTGATCTTCTGGAGGTGAGGAGCAAAGTGTTTGGCCAGCAGGGTAGGAGCGGTGATGTTGACGATGATCTCGTTGGCAATAGCCTCATCGCTGGGGACTGAGTTGGGGTCGGCGAAAGAGAAGCTTTGCTGGACGCCGCTGTTGACCCAGACGGTATTGATGGTTGGGTACTGCTTCAGCAGGGTGTCCACGTGACGTGGTAGGTTGGGAAGGTCGCTGATGTCGAATGCCTAGGTCTCGATGCCGGGGAAATCGGCTTTGAGCTTGGACAGATTGGCCTCGCGACGGCCTGTAGCGATGACCTTCTTGCCTTGACTGTGGAAGCGGCGTGCGAAGGACTCCCCGATGCCTGAGGTGGCGCCTATGATTAGGGTGGTCTTAATCGAGCTGGCGACAGACATGCTGAGGGTGGTGTTATTGTTATCTGAGGTCGTGAGGTAGTTGTAGGTCTGCTGCAGTTGAGCGTCTGTCGATCTTCTTCGAATTTGTCCTGCCTAGCGCTTTTATGGCTGTGAATGTCGCCAACGTTTTTGCACAACTTACTTACTTCAGCATTGTGCCTGACTGCAGGCAGTGTAGATCCCTTGCGAACCAAGGCATCTTTGAGCGGCTTCGAGGTTCAGCGCACACCAACTCAGCTGCCACATTCGGTCAAGCAAGATCGGATGCACGATGCAGCCTATGTGCAGACTCGGAAACCTGGGGTTCAATAGCTCCGAGTGGTGATGCAACGACGGGAAGAGGGAATGTATAAAGTATTCATCGGAGCCGAAGTAAAGCCCATTATCTCCTTGTGGAAAACTGTGTTTCGAGTAGCACTTCAAATCAATATACCTATGTACCATAATCACCTGTCGTACGCTTCTCGCATACACATGTGACATTATACTTGTCGGTGTTCCAAAACATGTATACAATAAGATCACAGTACCTTGCCCAGACCTCCTAGCTTTTCGCTCACACCTCCAAGGCCTTCAGAAGCCGCCTCCTTCCCAAGACCACCACTGACTTGCTCCAACTCGTCTTCGCCCATGACAGGGTTTCCCTTGAGCGAGTCTACACATGTCAGTAATGAATGTGACTGTCCGAATGCTGTACAGAAGCGAAAGTCTGCAAGTAGCGACAGGGTCGGGCAGTAGACTTACCCTTTAGCACGCCCTGCACCTTTTCACTGCCAGTATGTGCAAGCGCTGTTGCTTCAGCCTGGGCTTTCGCACTGTAGTACTTCTTCGCGGCGGCTTCGAGGATATCATCGGCATAGCCAGAGTAGTAGATGCCGGCAAGGACTAGCAGAATGGTTGTCGTGGTAATGGCAATGGTCGTGAAGATGATGGTCTGAGTTGAGGTCTGAGACTTGCCAGTCTCGTAAGCGGCAGCAGTGGCTGATGGTATGGCCTTAGAGAGGCTAGACGACACAGATGAGGCCACGCTTGATGCTTTCGAGGATGCGGAGGACATCTTTACTGATTGAGGCTATGATACAATCGAGGACAGGATGGTGAGCTAACGCGAGAGAGTTGAGAGATGGGTCGAAGTGATGGTTGTGGCAGGACAGCGACTTCGTACACCATTCATATATCAGTCCAAGGATCATTCTCATGCTTGTGGCGCAGAACACCGGCAGCAAATCCCGTCAGTCTCTATGACCTACCTTTTTAACTAGCACGCAAGAAACCTGTTTGACGTGGGACACGAGCCGCCCGCGTAGATGCTCCGACCAGACATAGAGCTGCAAGCTCAGATCTGATAACATGGCATGGTTGATAGCAAGATTGCTGCCCCTAACCAGGAACCGGCATGCGTCCCCGCTTCCAAGACACGGGCAGTGTTGTTCCTGAGACGTCACTTTGCATCATGGTAGTGTCGGGGATCGAGAACATGTGAAAGTCGCAACCCGTATTCACGTAACCGCAGTGACCACAGCTTGAGCGCGACAATGACTTCGCGGCGTGAGATCAGATGTGCGATCAGGAGTATAATACAATTAGAGGATAGATAGCAGAAATTGTGCATCGCGTGCCTGGTTTCTCCCGAACCTTCAACCACATGTAGGTGGGGGCCAGACTGGTACCATTGCGAAAAATCTTGTTCCGTATCAAGAGTGCAAGATTCCGGAGCTTTTGCAATATAACAATTTCGAAGCATCGAAAGCTCCTTGCGATCGACCAGAGGCTTTGCACAGGAGAATAGAACTCGCCCGTGCTCGCTGTTGCGGTGGTGCACTCCGTTCAGTGTTTGTAGCCGCATTCCTCTTGGCAAGAAGTTCCGGAGGTAAAGGTGGTCCATAGATTGCGAGGCCATTGATAAAGCCGAGATCTGACATGTATCCTTTCGGGACGATATACTGACCAGGAGAGTTGTACTCCCATTTGTACGACGCGAGTTTGATAGCGTGCGGAAAAGCTGTTAGCGCCGCACCGTCCGCACGGCATGTCTTCGGACCACACCTATGCGCATGCCACAGACAAACAATCGCCGCAGCAGCCGCAACAGCCGCAGTAGCCGAATCCGACCATTAAGCCACAGACCGTTCTTGGATTGTTCACTGCGAATTATGCTCGTTCGTTACCGATCGAAATGTATACATTGGATTGATCCCAATTATCATGACGTTTCGAGCCCTGGACGGGGATGAAGCACAAGTCCGGGAGGTTGACGATTCAAGAATTTACGGTAGAACTGTCGCACTTAGCATTGACAATGCATTCCCCAAGCTTATTTATAAGAGCTCATCCGGAGGGCATTATTCAATCACATCGCCACCTCCAAATACATTAGCAGCTTCCGCAGTCTATTATCTGACCATCGTCCGTCCATCAGAATGGCCTTTGACCCTCGAAACCCCGACGTCGCAAGGCCTACCTTGCCCGATCTTGATTCCCAAGCCTCGACTTCCACCATAGAGGACGGCACGTCAAGCCTAGGAATAAAAGAAGGACAGCAGCCCAGCCTGACCAGCCAAACAAAAGAAGGCGATCTCGAAATACAACACACCCGAATCCCACGCCCACAGAATACCCTCCGCGAGGCCCTGTTCATCACTGTCATCTGCTCCTCTCAACTCCTCACCCAAGCCGGTCTCGCCCAGTCGATCGTGCCTCAACACGTCATCGCCTCCAGCTTCGACCTCGATAAGCAGCCCTCCCAACTAAGCTGGTTCTCTGCATCCTACTCCCTAACAGTCGGCACATTCATCCTCATCGCTGGACGCTTGGCGATGTCTTCGGCCACAAGCGCCTCTTTATCGGAGGCTTTGCCTGGTTCGCTGTATGGTCTGCCATTGCTGGCTTCTCGGTGTACAGCAGCGGACCAATTCTGTTCGATATTTGTCGCGCCATGCAAGGTATCGGTCCGGCTTTCTTGCTGCCGAATGCGATCGCTATGATTGCGAGGACCTATGAGCCCGGGATGAGACAGAATCTGATCTTCTGTCTGTTCGGCGCAACTGCGCCGGGCGGATTTGTGCTTGGTGCTGTTTTTACGGCGTTGTTAGCACAGAAGGCGTGGTGGCCGTGGGCGTACTGGATCATGAGTATGATCTGTATTGCATGCACGGTGCTGGCGATCGTCATTATTCCAGCAACGCCGCCACCGACGCTTGAAGACCTGGACGAAGCCGGCAAGGAGGGCAGGTCAGGCTTGTGGGAACAGATCGATGTCCTTGGCTCCCTTACTGGCCTTGCCGCACTCGTGCTCTTCAACTTCGCTTGGAACCAGGGCCCCGTCGCTGGCTGGAAGCCATACACGTACATCATCCTGATAATCAGCGTCCTCGTCTTCGCCATGTTTATCTTCGTCGAGAAGCGGATATCCACACACCCACTCATTCCCTTCGGCGTCCTGGAAGGCGGCTCGTTCTTCACTCTAGCATGCATCTCAGCGGGGTGGTCGAGCTTCGGCATCTTCGTCTACTACATGTGGAACTTTCTCGAGATCTTGCGACACCACAGCATCCTCCTCATATCTGCTCAAATCACACCCATCGCCATCAGCGGTCTGTGTGCCGCGCTCACCACAGGTTTCATCCTCAATACTTTCCGCCCCTCGACTGTGATTCTCATCTCCATGACAGCGTTCTTCGCTGGAGGCGTCGTCCTGGCGACCATGCCGGTTGGACAGACTTATTGGGCACAGACCTTCATCGGCATAATCATCTTGCCCTGGGGCATGGATATGTCGTTTCCAGCTGCGACCATTATTCTCAGTCGTGCCATGCCGAAGCGACATCAGGGTCTGGCGGCTTCCCTGGTCAATACGTTCGTCAACTACTCCATTTCGATTGGCTTGGGAGTTGCTGGCACAGTCGACTCGCAAGTCAATCAGCAGGGCATGGATATTCTTGGTGGATATCGTGGGGCGCTGTACACTGGCGTTGGTCTCGCGGGTATGGGTGTTGTTATCGCATTGATGTTTTGTCTTGTGGATAGGAATCGTGCTGGCGAGGAAGCCGAGAGTCCTGCGTAGAGCGCGCTGACCTCGACATAGCTAGCTACTTTACCATTAATATCAGACCGTTGTTCGCGTCCCAGAATATGTCAAAATCTAAGAGTATACACTCGACTCGATACCTGTTCCCCATGCTTACAGTCCGCTGTCCGGCCCAAACATGGACAGAAACGGCTCAATTGTGAACTGGTCCCAATCCAGATCAAAGTCGAATTCTGCTGCGTTGATATCAGTCGTACTAGCCGTCCCGTGACTTGTCGGCCCAAGCTGATCTGGCTGATGCTCGTATGACTGGGCGCTTCCGATGCCTTCCAGCTGCGCTAGCTCCTTGCGCTTCTTCGCTAACCGTAGGCCCAGCAGATGCCGCGCGATTGACAACGTCTCTCGCATCAATCGCGTATTGGCACTATTCGCGACCTGCTCCAGCGCTGCAAACACACCTGGTATATGCTCAGACGCAACCGGGCTGTCTATGGCCAAGAGCACACAGGCATACTGAAACACGCTGCTTATGACGTTCCAGAACAGACAGCCCTGCGCCGCGAGCTGTACAGCCGCTTCGGTGGCCGCCTTACCAAAAGCAATGGCACTTTCGACAGCCTCCTCTGGTATGCCCATCTTGAGCTGGTAAAGACGTCTGTAGAAGCAGAAGGCGAGGTCGGCTTCGTGACTGCTAAGAATGGATGGGCCGCACATGGGACTGCTTCCAATGCGATTAACCGTTCAACTAGCCCTGCTTTTGGTGTCACTTGCCCTTGACTCTCAGCTCGGTACATACCCTTCATTGACGGAATTAGTTGGGTTATCGCCACAAATTGACCCGAAAGTGTCTGCACTGGCGGTACTATGCAGCTCACCGTACCAAATATGACAGGCGATCGATCGTACTCATACGAGAGCAGGCTGTGTCCAGCCCATGCGATCCAAAACACTCGTCTCAGCTGGTTCACAGTGTGTCCCAATAGGGCAGCATCGGGCGCAGAAGTGATCCTTTGAATGGCGTTCTCGTCATTCAGACCCACCGCCTCGCACAAATGCATGAGCGTACACGATGCCAACCACGCGTTATTGGGGCGGCTTGTGGCGCGCAGATAGAGCATACGAAAGCCCCATCCAATGACATGGTCGACATCTGGTAGACGGATAGAAGACGTATCATCTAGAATCGTCTTGGCATATTGGACGAGATCGGACTCTCGTTCGCATCTGTTGGGTGACAGGAATGATCCTATTGCGCATACACCAGCAGCAACCGCAGAGAACGCAATGGCAGTGCCGCTATATCGATCATGATCGTAGTAGTGCCGACACCGCCGTGTGTATACGGCTGGGTCTATCAAGTCGATGACAGTCGCCAGACTGGAGAAGAATACTTCCGAGTATTGTGCCAGGAACGCTTGCGAGATAAGCGTACCTAGATCAGGACGATTCTTAGACGACTCTTCAGGACGATTGCCAAAATTGAAGGCAAACGAGCTTGTCGTTAAGATGTCCGTATATTCGGATGAACCCAAAGCTATGCCCAGCACGTGTGGGAAAGTGGTAGCTGCACAAGATCCTGCGTATCCACGACCGCCGTGGCTTTCAGATGCAGCAGTGGAAGGAGGCGTGTGTATCACAGGCCTTTTCGTGGCACTATCGTAGTCCGTCGCATAAGTGCTTTGGCTGTGATCAACCATTATGCGCTTTGCTGCTGAGCTGGAGGCCGCTTTGCTCGGATCAAGGGCAGCAGCGGTATCGCCTTTCTTCGTATCGTATGTACAGTCGTACTCATATCTAGTACACATGTCGCATGGATAGTGAGAATCACATTTCCGTTTTCGAGCATGACACGGTGTGCAGGCCTTCCTGCTGCGCTTTCGCTTGGCTGTCACAGTCGACATGAGGCCTGTTGAAACAGAAGCTGTCGTCACTGTTCATATCGTGCCCAGGCCGACGCGCTACATCATCGACGACAGCGATTGAGTCTAACGACAATGTTGCACTTACATTGAGCACCACACTCTAATGAAACAGGATGGTCTGCACTTAGGTCGAACGTCGCGACGCCTCACGAACCACGTGTCCGGCGTGCGGGCCAGTTTGCCCCCAATGGAGAAAACTTTAGTTGTTGCAAAGAGTTGCAAGGACAGCAAAATTTTTGCAATATATAAATGTGCGCACGACAGATTTCCTTCGCAATCGACCACAGGGTGTGGAAAACAAGCCTTCCCGTCCGCTCAGGCAATTTAAGCCACACGCCGAACGGTTAGTAGTTAAGTGGGTGACCATTAGCGAATCCCGTTTGTTGATTGTTTTTCCTTTTTTTCGCATCAATGACTGAGTTGACTTCCTCACTTGGGGACACGCTCTTGGTGTTCATTTCGCTCACAACATTGGTCTGAGTCTGATCTGAGTACAGCCATACGGGATACATCTACCGCTGCCCCGTGTGGACTGGCTCAGCGCCCAGTGTCTAAGTACAATCATCGAGAGGCCATAACGTTGAAGTGTCTCCATAGTAAGATACACAAGAAACTGGCTTGAAAGCTAACATGTCACAAGTTTTCGTTCATAGCAACGAACGCGCAACACGCGAGTGCAGCTTGCACAATGGCCATCGCCGGTCACTTAATACCAAGGATGTCCGTGGGTTCTGGCGGCTGTCACAGTGCGCAGCGAACACACATTAGCTACGATTCGAGACCCATACCACCGCTTTGGACCAGATCCTGTGCTTGTCATAGTCGTGACCATTTTGGTCACCAAATCCTTGTATAAGTGGCTGCAAGACAACCATGATAGGTCTGCCATCAAGCGACCGATCTCCTTTCTCCAGACCTACCACCCTGGCTGCCTCCATGTCCGGGGAAGAATGCTTGAATTGCATGCCCTTGAGCATACGCGGTAAGACGTACTTGGGTTCGTGATTTTGCGACCACAGCTGCAGAGCTAAGTTGCCAAACTTTTGCACGAGTTCGGCAAAATCAGATCGCTCGCGCTTGGATAAACGCGAGTCTAGGAGCGGTCCGGCTTCGAGAAGGATCTCTGCAGCATGGGTATCGAACATTCTATCCAGTCTGCCTTGCAAGCGAGCCGTTTCAGCGAGCACGCGGACGGTGGAAGCTCTCCAAGTATGGGCAATTGAAATCCTGTCACCGGCATCTGTGAACGACTTAGCTGGACCACAAACACGGTGACGGACTTACCTTTCTTGAGCCTTCTCAAAAGCCGCTCAAGAGCACGATCTGTGGAATCGTGATGATCTACTGGCGATGCCTGTGATCCGATCGTTTGTATCTGCTCAGCCACGAAGAATGGAGTGCCGAGGAATCTTTCGCATATCTCGATGGACAGATCTGCATTGAGAAGGGTGTCCGTCGCCGTGGAGTCTTCAAGATCAAATTCCAAAGCAGTGTTAGGGTCATCGGGATCCAGCCTGTGCACAAGCCCGGAATTATCCAGTTTCTTCCGAAAAGGGACAGTTTTGATCACTCCTGGGTCCTTGTTGGAGTTCGTTCTCGACCACTCGTGGAGCTCATCGAACAAAGACTCAAAGCATCTGCGAATCTGGTCGTCTGGGAGCGAATTTGAGACAGTGTCCGACAAGAGCCTGACAGCAGCATTTTGTGCCTTCGTGACCGATGTCTCAATATATGCGCTCTGCTGCTGGATCGTCTCTCGTAACATGGACGATTCTTTCTTTCGATTCTGAAACTCTTTTGTGACCGACTCCAACTGCTCAGCTAATCGAGCTCTCTCCTGGTCATTGAAGGTTATACGCTGCTGCAGATCTCTGTTCTGCTTCGAGAGTTCATGTATCTGACGACCTCGTTCTTTGCGCTCGGTTTCCATAGAGTTCTTGTGCAACATCAAGGCCGCTTCACACGTCGCGAATTGCTCTCTGGCAGTATCACGCTCTTGCATTGCTTGCGCATTGTCATCGCGCAGCGCCCGACATTGACGTTCGCAAGTCTGCAAGCGGCTTTGGAGGACGTGAGGGTCGATTCTCTCATGTTCAACTTCTGCGGATCCTGTCGGACGGGTGTTGCCAGGCGACATTGATTGATCTGGGCCCCGGTCTTGACTAGCATGCACAGCAGCAGTTAAGGCCATGTCGGACATGGGCGTCTCGGACATGTGCGTATCGTGTTGCTCTGCGTATCTCGTCGTCGCCGATGGCTGGTCCGGCATCTCAATATCGACATGTTGTCGGGCGTCAGCTCGAGACAATTTGCTTCCAGAAGCGTTTGGGTCAGCCATAGCCCGACTGAGTGGGCCACGCTCTTGTCGGCCTTTAGGCGTGTTACCTTTCATCTGTGTATCTCATCAGCTAGAGAAAAGTCGGCCGACGATGGTGTCTACGCGTATTCGACAACGATGCACCTGGCCGGCTCTTTAGGCTAGCTAGTCAATGACCTGATGAGGGTTGTCTGGAAAGATGAGTGGCTTCACAGAACAGCAGAGGCAGATGCTTTTGGCTTGAGTTGCCTTCTCCTCTAGAAAGGTGCCCAACGATTCATGATCTGAGAGCTGACAGAGACCCATCGTGGCTAGAGCAGCTCTGATTGCTTTCCTGACATATGGCGAGTCCTTGGTGGCCAGACCAAGGCAGCCGCTCGACCAAGGCAGCCACTCGCGGCTCGCATTGAACCCTGTGCCAGATCATTAGCGTGCTTCAGTATGCATAGGTATTTTACCATACGACAATACAATCCCAGGGCATCACGTATTTCAGGCTCAGGAGCGGCCACAATCGTCGTACTTGGTCTTCCCACGAGCTCAGTTTGGACACTGGCAGACTCGACCATGTCGCTCGACAACACTCTTGCTGATGACCTGCGTCTTATGTCGCTGCGCTCGCAGAAGCAAAGGACAAAGTTGATCTTCGGCATTGATTTTGGAACAACGTATACTGGCAAGTGCCATGCCCCGTTTGTAAGGCAGACACTGACCATACAGGGGTTGCGTTTGTCCACGAAAACGCGAAAGACATCAAAGAGATCAAAACATTCACCGACTGGCCTGGTACGTCTGAGAACAGGGAGCATTTCGAGAAAACGCCTTCCATCATCGCATATGCATCAGAGAATCCGGAACAAGGAGGATCAGATGCGTGGGGTTATGATGTCGCGCCTGATAGCACAGCATATTCATGGACAAAGCTGCTCCTCGACAAGAATGCCCTTCCAGTGGTGGAGGATGATCCCAACCTTGCAGGTTACATGAAATCGCGCATGTTCCAGCTGCCTAAGGGTAAACAGGCCGTCGACGTCGTCACTGATTATCTGGCAAAGGTCTACAGGCACATATGGACAACTCTAACAGAGAGACTGGCTGGAACAGACATCTTGGACGTTACTCCTGTCGAATACTGGCTCACCGTTCCTGCTATCTGGTCGGAACAGGCCAAGTTCAATACTATACAAGCGGCGCAGAGAGCTGGGTTTGGGACACGTTCGATCGACGAAGTCAATCTCATTCCAGAGCCCGAGGCAGCTGCGCTATTAGCTCTTAGGTCTAGTCTGGACCAGACGGATGACTTGGTCAAGAAGGATGCCAGTATCCTCGTGTGCGATTGGTACAGTCAAACCCCACCTCCCACAATATTCCCAACACAACCTTTAGAATGATACATTAGCTGAGCCTCGCCATGTAGCGGTGGAGGCACAGTCGATATCACTAGCTACACTGTGATGCGAACCAGCCCAAGACTCGAACTGAGCGAGTCCAGCGCCGGAAGAGGCGGCAAATGTGGAGGAACGTATATCGGTATGTCGGAATGCACGCTGTGCAATCTCGTTGGCATCATCAGCAGATCCGAACCTTATAAGCTCGTGAGGCGCTGATATGTTGCAATTCATCCTCCACAGACCGCAACCTCCATAAACTACTAGAACGCAAGTATGGCAGTGCGTTCACTTCCCTGGATCCCGAGCGCATTGGACCGGGCAGCGACTTTATGAAAAGCTTCGAGGACAAGAAGCAAGCTTTCAGCATCACGGACAACAAACGAGTCACCAAACTGCGTCTGCGCATGCCAGATCTGAGGAGCTCCGCAGAAGGATATGACAGCCGCTACGGTGAAGTCAGTCTGCAGGAATCCGAGATGCGAGCACTCTTTACACCGGTTGTCGCCAGGATAATCGACTTGATCCAGGCGCAGATGGAAGCAGTTCGACAAGGCAAGCATAACGAGGTCACAACTGTTGTTCTTGTCGGCGGCTTGGCGTGCTGCAAATTTGTTCGCAAGACTGTGATGGATTGGTGTCATGCTAGGCAGATTCGACTCATCACGCCTTTCAGTGGCGCGTAAGTACTGTCCCTGCGAGCTGATAGTCATGTGAAGTCCACTGATGCGCTTGCAGGTGGTCAGCCGTTGCTCGAGGAGCGGCACTGCACGGATTAGGGAAGGTCAAGGTCATCAAACGCATGCTCAGAAGGCATTACGGCATGGTGTTCTCGCATCCTTACGGGACGTACCCCGACCCAACGCCGGAACAGCTGAATGGAAAGTGGCTGAACCGCTTCACAAACAGCTTCATGATACCAGGTTACATGAACTGGTATATCCCCAAAGTATAAGCTTCTGCTCCAGCAAGCTCTGTGTGTCTCGCTAATTCAGCATAGAGCTATGTCTTTGATGAAACTACGGAAGTCGAATTCGAATGGAATCAACACTGGAAACCAGGAGACCAGATGATCATCGCACAGGACCTCTACTCTTGCTCGTTGGACAAGGCTACGCTTCTTGAATCGGATGCAGGTATGTTGACACGATTGTATCATGACTCAGGGCTTGTGGTTGACATATATGACCATCAGCATCAGAAAAAGTCGGCACCATGACCATCGATTTCAGCGAAATCGACAAGTCTAACTTCCAGCGACGCGTTCACGATACGGAGCCGGAGCAAGTTCACTACCGCTTCCCTGTGAAATGCCTCGTCCGATTGGGCGATCGTGATGGGACACTCTCGCTGAGATCGGTTATCGCTGGCCGTGAATGCGGCACAGGATACATCGACTTCTCCGAACATTGAAATCACCCAATCGTACCAAAACCTCTTATGCTAGATGTATAATGTGTAGATGGGAACAAGCTTTAACATGTCGTATATGGTGAGAAACACGAATAGATTTGCCAAGACACCTAGAAAGAGCGTGGTCTGGTTGCCTGCATCAGACAGGCGGTTCACTGGCATCGACGGCGCCCCCAGAGCCTCCAGAGTTCCCAAAGGCATCAACAAAAAGCATCGACAAGCCCCCAGTAAGCGGCGCTAAGATTGTACACAGTGCTGCCCCACCGATCTTTGTCCACGTTGCCGACTTCTGGCTTCGCTTTCTCTTGTTCAGCTTCGCAATCTCGGCTTCGAGCCTCTGTTTTTCTGCCTCACTTACTGACTGCTGTTTCTCCACCATCTGCTGGATCTTTTGATTCGTGAGGTCAAGCTCTTGCTTGTACTGCGCAACTGCATCGTCTCTTTCCTTCTGATATAGGGCAACTTGCTGCATGTGTTCCTTCCTGTCGACTGCGCGTTCTTTCTCAATGTTGGAGACGATTATGCGAAGATTCGATTCCGAAGACTCAACAGCAGCTCGAATGCGTTGATCGGCATCTGCGCGCTCAAGGGTCAGCTGCTCCTGCAAGGCATCTAGCTTGGAGTCTCTTTCCTTCTTGTCTTCGACCAAGCGAAGTAGCGAGTCCTGGAAATCTTGCTCCATACGGCGCATCTCTGCACTGCGATCGCGTTCCAGTGCTCGTTGCTCCTCCTGCATGCGCCTCAAGTCATGCTCTTTCTCACGGCGTTCCACTGCAAGCATCTCCTCAAGCTCAAGCTTCTGCTCGCGTCGGGCTTGCTCCATTCTCTGCCGGACGTCTTCAAGCTCCTTCTCATGCTGTTTCAGAAGTTGGGCCACCTCGGCGTCCAAAGCCGCTCCAGCTTTCGTGTGCTTGATGTCCAAGCCGCCATCCACCATCTCCTCTTGGATCTGTAGAGTCACGCGATCCTTCGTCACATAGTCCCAGATAATGTCGTGCGCAGACTGCTCAGTGTTCATGAAACGTCGAACTGCAGCACCCTTTTCAACCATATAGCCCCACCACTCCTTCTTTGCGACTAGCTCCTTCTCCTTCTGCTGAGCGTGTACGCGATCGGTCTCATCCCAGAACGATGTCAAAAGGGTCAGGTTCTTCAGCGGATCATCACCGCACAGGTCCATAAGCAGAGACAGATTGCGACGTACAGTGCGCGTCACGCGGGTGTCGGTGATTTTGTGCACGTATATGATCCCTGCGAGTCTGAGCTTGTTCTTATACATGGCGCTGAGCTTTTGGCCCAATTCGGCCAAAATGTCGGCGTCCAAGCGATCCGCATCATCGAAACCTGGCGTGTCGAAGAGCACAACCTGGTTGCCGCCAAGCAGGAACTCGTGTTCTTCAACGTTTTCCGTGCCTGGGGCACTCGTCAGTTTGTAGAGTCAACGTAAACTGACAACATACAGGAGCTAAGATGATGCCCGACCTTGACCTGCGCAGACTGGGTAGCGTGTTTGATGAAGTTGCTCTTTCCCGAGCCTGTCATTCCCATCACTGCGATTGCGGTGATTTTCACAGCGTCTGATTCGCTGACATTGCCATTCATGATGGCCGTAGAATCGAGCTCTGAGAAAGTCATCGCGTTGGAGATGAAAACTCAGAGCGATGAGAAGTAGCTGTCCCAAAGTCTTCGAGTCAGGCTGGCCTCAGAGGGAGGGAGTTTATAGCCCTTAGGGCTGCATCGAGTACCGAGGGGCAGGAACATACAGTCTCCTTGTTTCGAACACGTTCTTACAATACACAATTCAAGCCATGAAACACTGTCTTAGGCGGCACGAAGGCTTTTGATCTCCTTTGGGGACTTCTGTTGTTGATACGAGGTGCGAACCGCACGCGTGAGCCCATCGTTGCAGGGTCTGAACAGGATTGGGCGTCTAGATCGCGAACTGAGGCGCCATTGTGGCCGCCTTGCGATCAGCCTCTTGTGTTTCAACAACTCATCATGAAAATGCAGATGGCTGACTTGGCCTGTATGAAGACCAACAGTCGATCTGACATTTCTTAGCAAGTAATGATGTTGACAGCGACCAGCCGGCTGCTTGTTCTCAATTCCCCGTCGAAGAGATTGTCGGAGTAAAGAGCCTCGTCCAGATTAAAGGCGCGGATCGACATCTCGGATCCCCTGCAGACAGCAGGGTTGCTGTCTAGAGACTAGCTTCGTCGGGAACAGAGAACTTTTTCACGTACAATCAAAAACATGACCAACACGAGCTGCATCGTCTGAAGCAGCTTCCGGGATGGCTGGCGAGCTAGTACAAGAGCCAGCCTCACCGTGCCGTCCGTGCATAAAGGCCCTGAAAATTGATGAATCTGGCCTCAGCCGCAAACCGGTGAGGTTCTGAAATACGAGAAATGGCCACCTGGATAGTCTCTTGCAGTACTCTACCTTGTAACCGCATGTAGCTTCTCCTGTTGAGGTGTGAGGTTGGTCCAAGGAGTGCGGAGTAGGTGCTTGAGCCGGATGGCGCCAAGGCCCGCGCCTTTCATCCAAACTCCAGACGCCAGGTGACAAGGTGGTGTGGAGTGACATCTACACTCGGCGATAGGCGATCATTAAGTGCTCAGTATACAGATAAATAACGTCTTGGCAGGTGTCCAGTCCTGAAGGACGCTGAAGACGAGGACCAGAGCAACCTCTGGTCACGAGTTGCAGAGAAAGGCGAAGTCGAGATTTTGCCTTTCAGAGGTTCTAGGCTTTGTTGGGCCGAAAATGACATTTGCCCGTCTGGCCCGCATTTTAGCTCGCAGCAAACATTAGATCGTGATGTCCACGCAGCATTGCACGTGTCGTTGAAGCGCGAGATACCAGTATCGTCCGACGACCATGGAAACCGTCCTTCGTTCTCTTTCAGCTCATCTTCTTGCAATGGCCGAATTGAGCCCAATCGTGAGCTTGATGCGTTTATGATGCAGTCAAGCACTCACTGCATGCATATATATCTTGATAGCATTAGAGCGTCTTTAGAACGTCCAGACATACGAGGCTTGCGGAACTGATCAGATAACGTCTGGGCGGGTAGACTTGCTTGCAGCATGGAAGCTAAAAACGCCCACAGTCGACGTGAAGTGGGAAGGAGACGTGTCATATAAGAAATCCGGCAAAAAGCAGTTGGCAAGGGGTCCCCCCTTGGTCGACTGATCCGTTTCCCTGGTCGATCGAGCCGCAGCGCGGTGCTCCCGGTTCTCGTGGCGGCGACATGGTCAGCTTGTGTCAAGTGGTCTGGAGAGTCATGATTGCTGGAATTTTCCGCAGTCATGTGGGAGTCGAGCCGAAGGAGCGGTGGTAGGCATGACACCACCGAGTCGAGGAAAGCTCTCCTTGTGAATGCATAGGAATGCTTCTTTCCAGAGTGTCACATGGAGCTTTCTCATCAACTTCTACTACTTGCCCTCCTCGGCATCGCTGAAGCACCTTGGACCACGCTGGATGACAGCCGTGAATCGTCACTGAGATCAGCAGATCGCCCTTCCGTCGCCCTGAAGCGTCTGTAACCGTCCTCTAGGCTCCCCTCTCACTCAGACCGTCTGCGTGCCATACCCCTTCACCCGATCCGCAAACGCCCAACTCTGGTTCTCCAGCTTCTCATCCTCCTTCAACTCAATTCCTTCTTTCGTCACCACCGCAATACTATACCGATCCAGACTCCTCGCATCCCGGTAGAACAACACCTTCATACACGCCTTCACGGCCTCCACCGCTTCCTCCCTTCCCACATCCTTCACACTCTCCTCATCCTTCGGCATCAATTTGCGCAATATGGGCTGCGCCAAGTGCGCACCAAACCCCGTTGCCAGCGTCGGCGCGCTAAACGTTGTTCCCAGCAGATCTGCCGACGCGAGGAAAGGTTGGTCTTGAGCATCGAAGCCCGCGACGAGGATTTGGTTCCACAGGGGGTTGAAGTCCGAGCGGCGCTTGTAGAAGACTTTGGAGAGGTAGGTGTGGATGTTGGATGCGTTGAGAGTGTGGTCGGAGGAGAGGTAGTGTTCGTGTACGTCGAGCGAGTTGAGGAGGCGGTCGATGTATTGCATGTCTGAGACGTCTCCGCCGAAGCCGATTAGCGTGGAGGGGGGAAAGGTGCGCAGGCGTTTGACGTCGGTGAAGCGGGCGAGGGAGCCGTATGATGCTGTGGGAGTGGTGAGCGGCAGGTCCATAGGACTAGACGGGAATGTGATGTACCTAGATTATCGGTGGCTAACACGACGCCATCGCGGAACTTAACACCTATTACTGATGTGCCAGTGACGGCGGGTGACTGTGTATGGGTAGTTGGATGTGATTGTTGGACGTAGGAGTGATCGTAAGGGCCGTAGACATCGTCTCTGGGCTTGAAATTGTTAGACCATGGCTTGCGGCGTTGATGGCGGTGACTTACCCGTCCCCAGGCTTGGGGATAGTGGTTCATGGCTCACGATCTGTAGATGGCGATAGCGGATTGTGTCAAGACTGTTGACCAGGGCTATGTCGTACGAATCAAGACCGAGAGAAGCTGTGAGAGGTGACCGCTGGACAAAAGTGCTCGAAGGTGCAGATGAGGTCTACGCAGCCGCGTCAATGACCGGCGGCCTTCAAGAAGTCGCGCTTGCGCTTGCATAGGGTTTAGGGTTAGAAATTCGACTTCATTTCGTTCGAAAAGCCTTCACAGCTACTAGTCACTACATCCAGAATTCAAGTCAACAAGATAGGCAACAGCCTTTATTGAATCATGCAGTGAGCAGTGAATGCAGCCTGCTTGAGTCAAGGTACCGATCGCTCCGTGTTTGTTCGAGTACTTCGCTTGTTCGACGAGGTATAAGTAAGTCGTATTGCCCTCGACTTCCTCTCCTTCTTTCTTCCTTCGCGTCACCTCTGGAAGGACCCTGTAGTATGTTGCCATGCCAATACAGCATCAGGTGCTAATTGACGGGGCGAATCCAGTGACATCCATCTCATCATCTTGCTTCAGGCGTTTCTGCCCAAGCGTACGCTGTCTGCCCGGTCTTTTCGTACTAACAGCAATCCGCCACAAACTCCCCAAACAACGCCGCAAACCCAGCCGGATCATCAAACATCGGCGCATGCCCCTGCCCTTCCAACCGTATACACTTTCCCCTCCAAAGCCGCGGAGCACCCTTACAAGTCCCCTCAACACTGTCCAGATCAAGCATCGGCTCATCCGCCCCATTCACGACCGCAACCCATTTTCCCTTGACTGATGCAACAGCTCGACCTGATTGCTCGACGACCCCTCCATATGCTTGACAATCATTGATCGTCCTGCCCGGCGATCTAGTCTTTGTAAGTCGTCAATGATGAACTGCGGTACTGGTCTGGTCTGGATGAGCGTATCGGCGACTTTGCCGAGGTCCTCGTCCGTCGCGTCCGGGTTGAAAAGGGCAGAGACGTCGGCGCCGTCCTTTTTGAACCCGGAGATATGCTGCTTGGGTACTGGAGGTGTGCCGCAGATCATGATGCCGTGGATTTTGATTGATGCAGAGGCCGCTGCAATGGCAGAGATGAGTTCGAGTGCGACGTGGCCGCCGACGCTCCAACCCAAGACGATCACATCTGTGACTTGGTAGTGCTGGAGGACCTTGACCGCTGCGCAGGCGTAGCGTAGTGATAATTGGCTTGGCTTGGGTCCGGGGCGTTGGTGGAGCGGCCGTGGCAGGGTAGTCGAAAACAATGATGGAATGATTCTGGGTCAACGAGGTTGCATGCTCGATGAGAGGACCGAAGACTCGCGAGCTGAATCCTTGCCCGTGGAGTAAGAGGAGGGTTGGACTGCTAGACTTTATCGTCGAGGTATTTGAGGGTCTGCTACTTGCAGTGTATAGGTCCCCGAAGTCGGTGTGAAGGATGTGCTCTTCCATGGTCGCAACTGTAGTGACTCTTGAAGATACAGAGACACGATTGTTAGGCCTCTTATATAATCTCGTGGATCGTATATAGGCCCTCCTGTCCAGTTGCCGGCCTTATGGTCCTAGGGTTGGGGGACGTTATGGTCAAACATTTGGCCCCGAATGTCTGGCACATGATGTGTGCGAAGGTGGGAATGGACGTAGCTAGGCTCGCTAGTATGGGCAATGCCGAACATCGTCGGAGGCATTTGATCAGCTCATCCGATCTACCACAGTAGCTTACGTACCCGGCCTCAATGCCTCATGATAGACACAACTTGATGAACGTTAAAACTTACGCGAGCATAAACGCTGCCTGGCGTTACACCAATTTTAAGGTTGGCACCTGGGCAATGGATATGATATCCGCATGCACTTCTCTGATGCTCTCCCTGCGTCCTGGTCAAAAACACCATCAATGTCGATGGCCTCATGTTGAGCGTGTACCCAAGCATCACGTCAACCGAATTTGCAAGTGCCTGTGAAGCCCTAGAACAGCTATGTCACGATCGCTTGAATGGCACTAATTGGTCTGGCGTAAATTGGACCGGAAGGGAACTACGCATCAGACAGACTCGATCTCTTGCTACATCTCTATATAGCGCGACGTCGCCAAACCTCGCAGAATCGTCCAAGCGCGACGGCGAAGCCGATATTGCTGCTGAGGATGAAATAGGTGACGATGACGACGAGACGGTGAGGTCCCTGCCAAACTGCAGCATTATCGTGACTGACAGCCCCCAAGCTCGTGGCTCATCCTCGATCAAGGTTGAACTTGACGATCGATTTCTCGATCACACTTTCGCCGACCTATTCAGTGCCGATGCTCTGGTTCATCGCTGCTGGCCTCGGTAGCCTTGAAGCCATCCATCAAGTTCTTGTTCCGTCCCATCTGCACGAGGCTGTTCGCAGCATTGGTGTCCTGGGAGGGATCAGTCAGGCCGTGAGTACCTAGCCACCGTGCACCATACCTTCTGACGGGCCCAGTATCACCCAGTAACGGATATTCCGTCGTTCTTCATTCATCCTTGCAATACCCACGAGGCACTTTTGGCCGTTCACACGGGCGAAGGACTGTTACCTGAGCAGTATTTGATGCTCTGGCTCGGTGTTGTTGGTGCGGCGGTGGGTTTGCATGTACCGAGCAGCGTCGTTGCTTCTCAAGAAGCCGTGGAGAGCCACCCAATAGTAGCCTAGATCCTCTGCATGCTGGTGCGGTAAGGATGCGCAGCCTTGTGGTCTGTTCCATGTGGTAATTGAGACGAGATTTTCGCCTGCATGTTTTCGTAGACGGCATTGCTCAATCCGAGTCAGAATCTTCCTGCATTGGAGCGTCATCGTCGTCCTCCTCCATAGGTGCATCAGACTGATCGTCTTCCTCTTCTGGCGGCTCATCCTCTCTGGGACGCTTGACGCCATGCGGTGCGACCTCCGCAGCCTTGACACCATTCTCAACGGGCTTACTGGGAATAGCCGACGGGGGGGCATTGAATATCGACTTCTGTGCTTCCGTGACTTCTGACGTAGCTGCGGCCGGCGCCGCATCAAATGTGCCTCGCAGCTTAGGTATTATGTTCGACTGGCCTTTTCCATAGACAATGACCAGCTCTTTCCCGAAGAAATCGAAACCCTGCAGTGTCCGCATAGCTTGTGTGCTTGTCTGGATATCGCGGTACACAATGTGTGCCTGGCCGCGCATATGCTGGCTCTTCGCGCCTACTCGTGTCGTTACAATATCGAGGACTGGGCCGTAGGTCGAGAAAAGCATGTACAATGCCCTTTTGAGCTCGGTCTTGTTGATCTTGTCGTTCAGGTTCTTGACGTAGAGTCTATACGCGTGAGTGACTGAGCACTTAGAGTGGGCGGGCGCTACTCACGTCTGGTTTGGCGAGCCGCATCACTGCCAGCGGTACCATTCGCGACTTTAGGTGGCATGGTCACGCTTGGTCTGGTAGATCAGCTGGTCGTCCTTTCGAGGAACAGGACAGGCATAAGTCGCAGTTCAAGAGGCACGTCGGGACATCGCGCACTCAGTGTATTGCTTCATCAGACAACCTCTAGACCTCTAGTTGTGCATAAGCATTCCTCATAAGTTTATGAATCTGGAGTCGATCTCACGACGCTCAAGAAATTTATGGAGAAAGGCTTGGCACGCAGGGCACGGAAGCATAAGTAACTAAAATCTGCATCGAGCTCACACAGGCGCTCACCTCCCATGTTCGCTTCTAACGTCGCCGCGCCCGCAAGTCACTGTCATCATCGCTTACAACGAGCTCCTCTGCCCTGTGACTCTCGTTACGCCGAAGATCGACCAGTATCGTTTCCGCGAAATCATCCATCTGACTTGCCTTCTCAAGTCAACCACTGCTATGTTCGGCCACGAGCCGTCCTCTAGCACTGTCATCAAGTCCGTGAAAGAGCGTTGCGAGCATGCTATTCTTCCACAGACTGGCTCTCGTCCGTCTCGATTCGACCATGAGCACCAACGAAAAGGTCGCCACAAGGACAACGACTGCACTAGGCAGGATTAACCAGAGCCATCTTACTGTGTAGTAAGCTTCCGTAGTGTGCGAGCTGCCAATGGCAAAGTCGGCCCCTGGACTGTTCTGCTCGCGCATGTGTATCGATATGCTCCTCGTGATGTACTCCAGATGTGCGGCTAGGTTGCCTCCCTCCCAGAGTGAAAGCATCACATCCGATTCGAAGGCCAGGGTGCCACCCTTAAGCGAGTGATTCCGATTGTCGTAGGCTGTCCCGTTGAACATGTTTCCTATCATGGTTTGTAGTTCGTATACGAAGAAGCCCAATACCATAAAAATCGAGCCCTCCCATCGTGGGTCTTTCGGCACATAGCCCCAAGCATAGTTTGACGAGATTTCTTGGGCTACTGTCTTCTCTATCTCCGTCCGAGTCTCGGTGTATTCACCATTGTGAGTCTGTGCTCTTATCTCATTCAGACATACTCGGAGGCTACAATCCAGCGCGGTAACTTCGAGTGGGTTCGCTGCTGAGCCGTTCAGGAGCGCAATGGCCATGAATGAGCCCTCCAGTGGGAACCTGTCCCCACCCGGCTGACTCCATATTGAAGTAACGTTCATGATGCCGTCCGAAAATCTATTGGTGAGGTTCGCGTATTGAGTGTCGACCGTGATCGAGATGTTGAGATTATTGTACTCGTTCGGCAGCGCCCAGGTGACATATGATATGTTTGCGTAAGTCGAAAACGATGTCCATTCGACACGCTGGACAAGCTCGCCAATGTCTCTGCACTCGCTGCAGACTGCCAGGCTGACAAATGGATCCCAAGTGCAGTTGCCCGAGGGACAGGTAAACGGGGGGTTGGGAAGGCTACCACTGGTAGGGAATCCGTAAAGAGCATTGTAGTATGCTGCTCTCATGGGCAGTGCGGCGCTCGCAACCGCTCCTTCGCCTGTAGCGCAGTTAGGAATATCCCCGGTGGCGCTGAGTAGAGCGTGGACCAGCCCTGGACACAATGAGTGGAGGCCTACGTACCTCCCATACTGATTGTCAGCATCTCGGTCGCGTTGACAGCTTTCCCAAGCGATGCTTGCCCGGTCACCTCTTCCTTGAGGGAAACACTGACCACTTGCTGCGCGAACGGCCCAACTGCTAACACTAGAATCGCCAACACCGCACCCAAAGAACCGATGATACTGCAATAAGTCAAAAATTCACTAATACATGCGACTTATGCATTTCACTGACCTTCCCCGAAGTGATAACAGAAGCGTGAAACTGCCCGTAGTGCTTCTGCTCGCGTAATCCAATTGCTGGAGGTCTTGCAGAATCTGCTTCTTCCGCTTCAGCAAAACCCATTTCAGCTGGCCAAACCCCGACGCAAGCGGCAATGCAAGAGCAGCGTCCAAGATGGTGATTAGGATGGAAATCACAGCGTTGAGTGTGATACCAGCCGTCCATTCCCGGATTGGCTTATGATCATACTGTAATAGTAGGATCACTAACGCTGCCAGGCAAATAAAGCTAAGGCCTATACTGAAGAGCTCTTGCAGCCACGTATCGAGACCGAAGCGCCGCCATGCTGCGCGGCTCCTTTTTCGAAGACCAGGACGAGTCGAGCATTCGTCATCGTCGATATCATATTCGCTCTTTGTATGTGAGTTCACGAGGGGTCGCCGTATTCCTTCTGGCGCGAACGTCTCTGTATTTGGGCTGTCGCCGCTCTGTTTTGTCAAGATGTGAAATGCTGTGTCAGGCGAGGCTTCCCGTGGCATTCGATTAGCGTCGCTTGTCCGCATGGGTTGATGAGACATCTCCTGAAGCTCGGTCGAGCAGATTATCGTTGATTGCTAGGGTGAATGGAGGACGCTTCTTCGACGAGGATAATAAGCACATACTGGGCCATCTATGGATATATACAGGATGGGTTGAAAAACACCAGCCCAAAATCAGCCTAAGAAGGCGCATGGTTGACCGGTTTCGCTTCGACTGGAACTAGTGCTTGACGTAGCAGATCGTTAGAGCTTGGCTGCATGCACATACTTCTGCGCCCGTTCTGGATCATCGAGGCATCGACAGCACGCAGTGTAGCGACAGATCGACTAGTAGTAGGGGCCAAGGTACAGACTGTCGACGTTCAGCTGCATGGGGGCTAACATTGGGACGATTGCGTCGCGTCCTCTGGGCTTCACCGACCAGCTCAACCCGACTGAAATCACGACGCAAACGTATCATACTCTGCCTCTTGTAAGAACATCTCGCAGGACTGCGGTTTAGTTCCCATCGTACTAACAGTGTCTGTTTCACTAATGAAAGCTCGATCTTTGTCTCGTAAGTGGGACCGGGTATTGCGATTTGTCTAGCCTCTTTTTTGCAAGGCTCAGATATGGATTTGAATAGCGTGCTGCCATAAGTCTTTGGCGAATGCTTGTAAATGGATCTCAATGATCGATTGCACTGCTTGGTACAGCTCTCTACGATGTTGGCCCCTCGGTCAACCCGATGCAAGGCGTCATGGATGGTGATAAAGAAAAGACGATGCACGCTCGGGCTGGCAGACTGTCACCAGGGCAGTGCTCGCTCTGGGTTTCGAGGACCAGAGGGCCAATGGTCGGCGGCGCCCAGGCGCCAACGTCTCATAGATCAGGAGTTGTCGACGCGTGAAGGATGGGGCATGTCATTTGTGGTCATTCTGGAGGCAGGCCCAAAACTCTGCCAGCGATACGAACACCTCGTTGTAAAGACCGGAGGCGTCAAGGCAACGATGTCAAGGTTTGCCAATATTTTAGTATCTTACGAGCTTGATCGCCCGCACCCTCGCCGACGCCATGCCCACCCGCGACAGAAACGAGAGTACATGTGTGGACGAGCACGCGTAAAGCGGCCTCACCCTCTCTCAATGCCAGGTGCGTTCGACGCCTTCTCCCAGACCTGGCAATATTCCTGCCGCAGCATCACGATTTTCGACTCGCTTCTTCCAATGTTACTCACCTATTTGCCTCTCATCCATGATGCCTTGTCTCTCAATATGTCCTCAAGGAAAGAGGGATATTGAGGAAGCTGCGTTGTGCATTCGACACTCATCTGCCGCTCGACACGCGTCCAGAGTACACTTCGAGCACCCTTACTCTCGACGTATCTCGAGCGGCAGATGATTGTCGGATGCACAACGCAGCTTCCTCAGGTTGACAGATATGAAGCATCGCCGGTTGCTGCCTGTAGAGTACATGATGCTCATCTCTGCAGGCAAGTCGTCATTCATGCTAAGACAATACTACGTGATTCTACGCCCCGGAACTGGCTATGTCCTTTGCAAGTCGTTTCAGCATGGCCTAAAATGAAGCACGGATTGCCAAACCGATAACTAGGTTCCGGGCTTGAAGGAGATGGCGGGACATTTCGAGAACTGAGGCGCTTGTCGGAGTTGGCCATGGTCACTGAAGGTGCTCCAACGGCATGCCCCAACCTCCCCTCCGATCGTACCATTATCTAGACCTGACTATCAGATAGTGATTGAGCAAAGATCTTCGCATCGTAGCGGTATATGGGATCAGCCTGACCACCGCTCCCTACGAACTTGAAGAAAGCCCACATGAACCACTCCTTCAAATATTGGAACGCCCACGTACCTCCCGCGGCACGCATCCATCTGTTCTTGTTTGTGAAATCTTGGACGAGTGCGAGCCGCTCACGACGGTGTGCTTCCCACTTCTCCATCCGAGAATGCAGAGCTTGACGATCGAGCTTCGCGTCTGTCCAGGAGCGGATCGTCTGCGAGAGGCATTCCGCATCTTCCAATGCCAAAGACGCCCCAAGCCCGCCTGTGGGTATCATAGCGTGCGCTGTATCAGATTAGCCTATCTCCATACCACGGGAACAGATAAGAAGGTGTGGCCAGGGTTGTGTAACCAAGGTGTTTGTCACAACACTTTATGACATCTTACCTGCATCACCAAGTATGATCACTCGGTCACTGGAGGACCGCCATCGCGGCATCGGCGGCGCGATGAAGAATCTGTTGTCAACGGTCAGCATCCGCGACACAGCAACAGGTCAGCCACTTACGGCCAGGAGCAAAGAGTCTGAGCTTTCGAGACTTCGCACACCCCACTGACGAGATCACACCATCCTTCAGCAGCGTTAAATCGGTCCTTCAGAATCTGTCTGATTTGTTCTTTGTCGTCGTACAACGCCCTCCACTCTCCCCTTGTCCGCTCCTGCGGAAACTCCATGGTCGAAAAGAATCCGATTTCTTCGCCAGCCACGTCCGACGGCATGATAGCCATGAACCCATTCTTCCCAATGAAATGCGATGGCAACTGCACCCCTTCCACCAACGCTCCCAACTCACTCCGCTGCAGATACCCCGTCACTCCGAGCATGTGCTCAAACACACTCTCACTCCCAGGATTCACATATTCCCGTACCACCGAGTGCAACCCGTCCGCGCCAACCACCAAGTCCGCGACCTCCTTCACTCCTTTTCCATCCGCCTCTGCAAACCGCATCTCCACCCTTCCGTCCTCCCTCTCGACCAACCCCTTCAACTTGACCCCCCACCTCATCCTGACGCCCCTCTGCTCACATTCCTCGACCAACACCCTCGCCACATGCCTTCTGTGGATGCGCATCGCCGTAAACCCATACCGATCCACGCTCCCATTGTCAAACTCCGCAATTTTACTCGCCGCCGCGTTCCTCAGGCCCAGCTCCTCATACGAGTTTCCAATCGCGTTGAGCTTCGCCGACACACCAATGTGTGATAGCACCCGCAGCGCATTTGGGGCTAGCGAGATGTGCTGGCCTTCTTCGATGCTGCCATGTGGACGTGCTTCATAGATGGTTGTGGTGATGGATGGGTGCGATTGTAGGTGTAGGGCGAGGGTCGGGCCGGCGATGCCAGCGCCGATGATGGCGACGTGTAGGGTCATTGTGGCGGGCTGTTGATCGAGCTTAAGCGAGAGTGAGCTGGTGCTGAAGTGTTGTGGTGGTGATGAGGCCAGGCGCAGGCCTTTTCAAGAACAGAAATTAAGCAGGATCATCGGTGCATATGTAAGGCACCTTACGACATTATCAATGCTACCAACTAACGCGCCAGCGTCTACGGCCATGGATCGCCATACCGAACGATATTGTGGCCACCTGCGTGCTTGCCTGCCTCGTCGGTGCTCCATCTATGCCACTGCTCCGTCCTTCTGTGCCCGGCCCCGAAATTTCGGGAACCTTCCCAAGGGCCGACTTTCGAGCGCAACGCACACCGTACGATCGCCAATGGGACGATCACGCTCGCCCCACCGACCCTGGACTTCCTCAGACAGCCAGATCCGATCACTCACCAGGATCAGCGACCACAGTCCCAAGCCACCTCTCATCCCGATCCGGCTTACTCGTCCACTTATGCTCCTCATCCTGCACATACAACCTCACAATCCTCCCATCCGGATCCTCACAAGCCATGACCCAGCTCTTCAAGCCCATCAGCACGCGACTGTGCTCTACACCATGCTTGTCAAACCACTGAGCCCATCCTTCCAGGTCTGCACGCGTACTGACTGCCCAGGTGATGGGGTCCGAGCCGCGTTGGGCGCTGGCTTGGTCGGGGTCGTAGCGGAGCTCGAGAAGGAGGTTCGTGGGTTTGTGGGTGAGGATCTGGCGAAAAGGCCGCCGGTGGCGTGCGGTGGTCGTAGGCTGGGATGAGGGTGAAGGGAAGTATGGTTGTGTAGAAGTCGCGGGTTTTGGTTAGGGAGTGGACGGGGAGTTTGAGGTGGTCGATGCCTTTTATCGATGGCGGAGGCGGAAGGGGGTTCGTGGTTGAGTGTTCGTCGGCTGGTGGTGACGGCATGGTCTGGTGTGTGCGTGTAGCGGGCCGTGTCGAGAGATTTCTTGCCTTGGCATCTGGACAATCTGGAATTATATCTCGATGTACAGGACCTTTATCCGGGCCCGAACACGCGTCAAGCTTGTGAAGCCTCAGGCGCTGCTTGTCTTTGGAAACACGATCGAGTTCGGTCTCGAAGATTCGGGACCGGTCGGCTCGCACAGCACTTAGGCAGTCCTGCTCGCATGAGCTCAAAGGAGAATGATCCCTCAATTCGAGGCGCAAACATGAACATCCGATTTCGCGCTGGGAACAATTCTGACAGAACTAACAATGTCGACGAAATTCGCCCTTGCTACGCTCAGGACGAGCAATGGCTACCGCGCAGCCATGCAGGTCGCAGGCAAGTTCTACAAGCTGGGGAACACCGGCAACGGTCAGGACTACCCTGCCGATACCACCATGATGGACCTGCTGCAGGACTGGCCCACCGCCATGCCGAGATTAAGCAGCATTGCTTCAGGCATTGAACACAACAAAGGCACAACGGCGGCGGTTGACTTAGCTGCGGCAGGTGTCTCGACAGACACGCCAATTCGCTTTCCGCGAAAGCTAATCTGCGTGGGTGCGAATTACGGAGGCCACCTGCGGGAAATGGGCTTGCCAGCGGAAAAGATGATGCCCATGCCATACTTCTTACGGCCACCGACGACTTCACTGGTCGGCCCGGGCCAGACGGTACGTAAGCCACGTATGACAAAGGAGTTCGACTGGGAGATCGAGGTTGTGATTGTGTTGGGTCGACCGTTACGGAATTGTGAGACACTGGAAGAGGCAGCAGATGCCATTGCCGGCTATACAGTCGGGCTTGATCTGTCATGTCGTGACCTGCAGACTGCAAAGGACATCGGCATGGACGTCGGCCGCGGTAAAGCGCAGGACACTCTGGCGCCATGCGGACCGGTAATGGTACCTAAACAGTCTCTGCCGGACGGGATAGGGGACTTGAGCCTGAAGCTATGGGTGAACGGAGAGCAAATGGTCGACGGATCGACGAAGGATATGCTGTACTCTCCCGAAGAGCAGTTGCAGGAATTGAGCAAGTTCATGACGCTCGAGCGGGTGACATGGTCTTCACTGGGGCGCCAGCTGGGTCCGCGAAGGCGAATGGAAATAGGTGGTTGCAGATTGGCGACCGGGTTACGGCAGAGATCGAGAGCATAGGTGTCCTCGAGGTGGTGATACGAGAGGACGACTGAATGAGCACAGTCAGTACCTCACTACGATACCTCTCCCAAGTAGGCTTCGGAACAGTGAGCTTGGTCGTGTACTCGGCGGTAGGGTAGTCCTTGTCGCGGCGTTGAAGCATTGCAACATCTCCGCGAGTGCCTCAACGGCTGACTCGGCTGACGGGATCTCGATCGCTTTATCGGCACATCGCGTTCACAGTTACAGTAGTCCTGATGATTGATTGCTAAGGGCCGTCCTGATGGAGTCAAGTAGTAGGTTGCGGATGCCGAACTTTCGGCGCCGCATGGCTTCTCCATCACAGTCGCAGATCAGATCAAACCACTAGAAAAGCAGTGGGATAGACGATGCAGCGACAGAAGCTGTCGATCTGCCCATCATAGAAAGCAGAAGATGGCGTCGACCAACACCAAGGCTGCGATAACGCCTGTCAAGTTCGCGCATGCCGTACTGCGCACGAACAAGATTAATCAACTTCGCGACTTTTACCTTGACTTTCTTGGGGCGACGCTTGCCTTTGAAGAACCGAATGTCATGGTCTTGATTCGCTATGACGACGAGCATCACCGCATTGGCATCATCGGCATACCAGATATCGCGGACAAGGTCAAAGCCTCAAGCGGACTAGAGGTACATCGCGACCGCCCAATTTCTGCACACCGAAGTGCTAACGAAGTGGTTAGCATCTGGCTTTTACGCATGCCTCCGTTGAAGAGCTCGCTATGGCATACAAGGCGCGGAAAGAGCGGCACATAATGCCCTTCTGGAGTGTCAACCACGGTCCGACGATTAGCGTGTACTACCATGATCCTGATGGTAACATTGTTGAGACGCAGGCTGATCTGATGAGTGCTGGAGAAGCAGATGCGTTCATGCGGTCGGAAGCATACCGCAAGAACATGATCGGGGTTGACTTCGATCCTGACCAATGGCTTGCAGCGGTAGAAAAAGGGCAGGATATGAGTGAGTTTACCCAAAGGAGGGACATAGGGCACCGTGGTCCTGATTCGGTGCCTGAGTGAACGGGCGGGAGGGGCTTGAGGGTTAGTGTGAGTCGGGCCCGCGCGTTGCCGAATTCGGTAGCAAGGAAGATCTCTTCCTTCGCCGGGGACTGTCGGTGAACAGTACAAAACACCACTGGCATATACACCTGCGTCGAATGACTCAGTTTCCTTGTTTCGTCCCCCACGCCAGCGTGCAAATGTCGGAGGTTTTTCGCCGTGGCCCCGGCGTTGAGGGTCAGTGTATGTCTGGCAAAGCAGCTAAGGAATAATATAAGCTACTCGCTTATCTAGATCGAACGCTTGGATCTGGTGTTTGCGAATGCAGATTCACAGCCGATGGCCACAAGCTCATGCACTTCGTGCTATCGGCGCAAGCTGAAGTGCGATCGTCTGAGTGATGGCTGCTCTTCATGCTCAAAGGCCAAGCTTCCATGCATTTATAAGCCCTCCTCTCCGGGAGAAAGACGAGGACCTGGCAAGCGTGGCCCTTACAAGAAGCACAGTACTGCACGCGAGAAAGAGCTCGAGCACATTCTGCAGGAGCTACAGCACCGGGTAGATGCCACCAACCTTACAGCGAGCTCAGCGTCCTGGACGAGCGAGCAGCTGGACCCGAGCATGGTGAACACTGTCGCAGCTGCTTCCACTGGGCCCGAAGCGACTGCTTCCATGCATCAAGTCGACCTCGGGCTTATGCTCGGAAACGTTGAAGAGGTCGGCCTTCCCTGCCCTCTGCCGCAAGAAGGCTCCGACCCAATCTTTGTCGAAGCGGCAATGCTGGCCTCAGTCAAGCCGACGCCATATATAAGCGAATCGAGCACTTTATACTTGTGGCATGTCTTCACAGACCGAGTCGAGCCGATGACGAGACTCGTCCACGCGCCTTCTTTCACTCCCGTCGTTCTGGCAGCTGCAAGAAATGGTGGTTGGATGGCAGATAAGGCCGCAAGCATGCTGCTGGCCAGCATCTTGTTCGCAGCCGTGAGTGTCATGGATCAAGATGATGGCACGGCTCCCGACGATCTTTGCGCAACCACGCTCTGTGCGGCACTTCGCGCCCAGATCGACGATATGCTTAGCGATTCATCTATGGACATATCGCCGAGTCTGCATTCGCTGCAAGCCATCGCGTTGTTACTTGTAGGATGGAGTTCCTTTCTTGATAACACCTGGTTAGGCTGATACTGTCGCGCAGGTCGTGCTCCGAGCCCAAGGCGAAGACCAATCCATCGGACCGCTATCCCGTCAGGCAAGAGCGATGGCACGAAGTCTGGCACCTATGTCGACGCCGTTCATGACAGAGATGCATCGCCGGTGTTGGTGGTCTATCGTCGCAGTGCAGAACCGATGTGCAGAGGAGTGTCGGCCGTTGACGCGTGACTACAGTTGGTGGGATGACTTCGTATACCCGCTGAATGTGAATGATTGCGACCTCCACCCAACGCTAGATCAGACACCTCAATCAAGGAGAGGCATAACAGACTTGACCCTGCTGCTCGTTCGTATGGAAATGATGCGTCTTATCAACACTGTCACTGAAGAGCTTGCTGGTGTGCCATCGGAGGAGGCGGTCAACCGTTGTCGGGATATCGCTAGCCAGAAACTGCAGTTCCTACAGCATGAGTATTTACGTCATGCTGATGAGTCTCGACGTGGTGACGGCTTCTTGATACTGACCTGCAGAGTCCTTAAGGTATATCCGCGCTTCATACTCTGGTTCTCTGCTAATCGATGCTCGAAGGCCAAAATCAATATGATGATTCTGCGGCACCAGATCGTTTGCTCTGAACATCAGCCACAGACCGACGCTCTCAAGGACGAAATGGACGACGCGGCCATGACGGTGCTAGAAACGAGTCAAGCCCAGATGACTGACGTCCGCTACAGACCGTGGATGTGGCTCTTTGGAAGCTTTCATCAGTCGTACGTTATGGCTTACATACTTAGCCGCCTTGGTGAAGATCAAGCGAAAAAGCATGGGACTCGGATGCGCGCATTCCTGGCGGGCTTGTGTTGGAAGTCGTGGCTCGATCGTCTCGATTCAGCTGAGCACCGCGATATGTTGACCAAGCTCCATACACAGGCACAGCATCTCGACTACGTCAATGCAGGAAGTCTGTACGCCGGCGATGCGTTCGGTCAACTGGACACAAACAGTCGAGGTCCAACGCAGCAATGGGCAGCCACACTTGCACAGTAACGAGATGAGATCCTCACGACCGGGCACGGAAATGGCGCGCCTTTCGGCAACGCCAAGGAAAGAGCTTGGCAACCAAGCCTGAGTTGAGCTCTAAGCCAATCTCTTTCACTATTCCACCCTTGATCGGTCCTCTGCAAAAGACCTTTCCTCCTGACTTACTGAATATCTATGACCACCTTTCCAAAATTTCGCTGCGATAGCATATACGAGTACGCTTCCTTCAGCTGCTCCAGCGTGAAGGGCTTCTCATCCACAACTGGGTGAATACCTTTCGCCTCAATAGCTCGAATCGCGTCCTCTAACAACGCTCGAGATCCGACCGCAATACCTCGTACAACACAATTCGACGTCCAAGTACTCAACAACCCAGGATCACTTTTGGCAGACATGTCACTGCCGATGCTTCCAGCAACAGCGATTATTCCATCCGCCTTAATGGCAGAGACTGACTGCGACAGCGTCGAGGGACCCCCGACTTCAACAATGAAATCAACGCCATCGCCGCCAGCAGAGAGTGATCTCGCAGTCTGACCCCAGGATTTGTCCTTGTTGTAATCAATGATGTGTGACGACCCAAGTGCTTTAAGTTTCTCGCCTTTACTGGCACTTGATGTGGTCGAGATGACAGTGGCGCCTGCAGCAGCCGCAAACTGGATCGCAAAGAGGCTCACGCCTCCAGATCCCAAGGTGAGTACGGTGTCACCAGGCTTCGGCGCTCTACCTGGGAGGCCGTAGAAGGCATTCCATGCGGTGACTGCAGCGCAAGGAAGCGTACTCGCTTCACGAAACGAGAGCCTCGATGGTACCGAAACAAGGCCTGACTCTGGAAACACGCCGTATGATCGCAAGACACCGTCCAGTGATCCTCCTAGACCAGTCAGAGAAGCTGCTGGTGTGAGAGGACCAGCGAGGTGCGCCTGATTGACAGTTGTGCAGACCCTGTCGCCCTTCTGGAACCGTGTCACCTTCTTGCCGACTGCTATGACGGTGCCTGCGCCATCTGAGCCCGGAACAACATCGCCCTTCATTGGAAATGGATAGACACCCTGGAAATAGGATCAGAACATGATTTGCTACCAGGTGAACACCCGGATCTTACCATGGCTATCATGAGGTCTCTGAAGTTGAGTGAGACTGCTTCGATCTTGACGAGGCAGTCACGATCCCCAACCTTCTCTATTGGCACACCTCGGCTGAGCTCTAGGGCGTCGAAACCGTTGCTGCCTTTCGGAACTCGCCATGCGTTATTCGAGAGCTGTTCTTGAGCCATCGTGTATACGCAGTCCACTGCGCAGCTGTGCTAGAGGCTCATCCTGGAGATATACATCTCTCATACCTCAACGACTGACGGACACGGCTTGATGTAGAGGTCCGTCGTAGGCGAGACAGGCCATTATCGGAGACACGTTGAGTGCCTCCTTAAGCGAGGCCGCAAGTCGGACAAGCAAGCGGCGGAGGCCAAGAATGTGGACATGGACATCGACCCATCGCCAAGATCGTTGATGGAGCATTGGAGTGCAGTAGATGCCACCGGGCTCAGCAACGGGATGCAGACGACTATGAAAAATCGCATGTTGTCCATGCAAAGGTACAGAATTGTCTTGGCAGAAGTGAGCTAGCCCGAGTCAGTAAAAGGCTGGTCGGCCGCTGCTTGGGTAAGCATACTGAACGAGCGACTGAGACGCGGCCAAGATCATGGAGGCGTCCTGTCTGCTATGTCTACCGGCCGTAGTGGCCCAACGGGGGCTCCCTACCCGACGATCATACGCATCCCAGGTATACAAGATAGACGAATTCGGTTAAATGGGACATAAGCATTTCCTATCCAGGTAATCCTTAAGGCCGTCTGTATACATGATTGCTACGCATCCGAAGCGTCATTCAACACCATGGAGAGACAGATGATGAGGGCAACTGGCCGAAGATGAGCATGTACATCTCGTGTCTGTTGTCGTAATAGACTGTCTCATTTCATACTTTAGCTTGCTTGGCCTTCGCGCTTGCGCCTTCAAACCCCATACGACCAGCCTTCCTGGCCCCTTCAATCTCATGCACCCAGGAGACTCGATTCTCGGTGAATTGCTCGAGTTGCGGCCTGAGCTTAGTCTCCATCAGGGTGAAGTCGTCGACCGTGCCAATCCGAAGGAGACTGACCCCCGGATAATCCTCAGCTATGCGATACATGAGCGATCCGCATGTCTTGCAGAAGTAGTTGCTCATATTCATTCCGGACACAATTGTCTGTTTCTGCTTGTAAATCGTGAAGTTGTCTTGCCCGCGCTCGTGGACCAGGTGCTCATCAAGGACGGTGAAGTTGGACGCAAACATGGAGGCAGTGAACTTGTGGCAATCAGGGCAGTGGCAGACGAATGTGCCTACGAATCCAGGACCCTCCACTGGCTCGGATTTCATGTCAGCGCATAAAACAATTGCATGGGTCATACTGGGACTTACAAAGGACAGCTGAATGGCGCCACAGTAGCATGTAGCAGTAGCTCGGCCATCTTTGTGCCAGCCATCTTGAGCACCGGAGGCAAGGGGAAAGTACTGCTTCCCTTCAGCCACGTGAGCGGCGATTTTGTTCGGCATTTGGCGGCTTGGGACACCGATGATCGGATATCGGTGACGTGTGTATACCTTCGGTTCGTTGCGTGACTTGATGGCAGAAGAGTTGGCTGTAAGTATTGCTCAGCCTCTATCATCGGAGCGGAAGGGCCGCTATATAGTCGTATGAAGTGAAACCTTCTCGGCTAGACGGTGCTGCCACGCACGTACGACAATACCTGTGCAGTCATTGCATACTCCAGGATCCTGGAACCGAAGCAGCAATCATAGACTGCCCCACAAGCGGGATGAAAAGCCTCGAAGATGATACATACATCTGGTACGTAGGTATGCCTTACCTGATATGAATGTCTGCAAGCACGACTGCAGTGATGCTTTCAAATCAGGGATTGTGAACTTCGCTCCTGTGCCAAAGTAGAACCGCGGTCGACAAACTCGAGACGGCAAGGATCGAGAGGCTGGCCCTGTCTGGCTATCATGATAGGTCCGGATGTGGGCGTAGCCATAGGCAAATTCAAGCAGAGCGTCGATTGCTGACCTGACCACCTAGGTACTGATCTGTCCAATGCCACGAATTGGCAATGATGCTGCCATGGAAGGACTTTGTCGCAACGGTACAGAGAAACGAGCCTGTGCCCAAGACAGCCACGTTGGGCCTCCGACTCGATAAATGCGAGTGGTGCACAGTCCAGAAAAATCCATCCAAGAGAAGGAAGAAGCAGAGCTTCATTTTCTGGACTGTGCACCACTCGCATTTATCGAGTCGGAGGCCCAACGTGGCTTCCTCAATTGAGCTGCATCCTGGTGTCGAGGAGAGGCAGGTACGCGACGGGAAGGATCGATTCAGGTCCCATTCTGGACGTGGTTGGATGGAAGGAGCGTGCTTCTTTCCAAGGTTGGAAGGAACGCGGCGTGAACGAAGCATCACGTCACAGTTTATGTCCATCGTCGCTCTTTCTGGTATCCCTAACTTCAACATGTTACACACTGTCGATGCTTCTCATCTCGCGGCGCGTCAAGGTCCTCAGAGCTTCTGTCAACAGGTCCTGCCTAGTCGATCCTCTCAAGATATACTGGCGTATACCCTCTGCAACTTCGGAAGCTGTGTCTCCATGGAGTAATTGTGTGGCAAGGTCGGCTGAAAGAGAACCAGTGCCAACCAAGAGGGTTGGCCACGTAGAGGTAGGATAGCGTCTCAAGAGACAGCGAAGACAATGTGTTGGTGGTTGTCGTCGCCGTATCACCAATGCTGTCTTCTGGCAAGTCACATTTGGGTCTAATTTTTTATCATTTCCAATTTTTATGCTTTTTTATCTGACAGACAACAAAAGTGAAGGCCTCGTACCCTGGTCAGAAATGTACCACGCTCCGCCCGTCGTGCGTTTTCCTCCACGCAGTGATGACGACGGCCACCGGACGGTACGAGCGGCGACCTAAGAGGGTATGGGTCCCGAGGTCTTCTGGGAAATCCTTCCTCTGGCCCAGACCGACTTCACGATGTCTCTCGTTTTGTGGTAGAATGTGATAAATGGCAAATGCGTCGAGATGCTTGTGAAGTTCAATGCTGAAGCGACCAAATCATTGTTTTTGGTATTTTGTGGTGATGACACCTTTTCCGAGCTTTTCTAATTAGTGTTGAAGAAACAAATGATGATGGTTTGCTGCTGTTTTGGGCGGTGACGATCATGTCGACGGTATTGTTCTTGTTGATGGGAACGACGTAGTTTTGTTTTTTCCTCCCTCCCACCCGAATAGATTGAGCGTTGATAATCTGCAGCCCTCTAGGACTTCTCAACATTCGATGAGGCCATCATCGAAGAGAGCAGAATCGTTGTTGGCAATTTTGTCCCAGAATCTCTGACCGTCGGCAGCAACATGGGAATCCTGAGTATGGCAGATGAAGACTTTCCTGCAGAAGTCTCGTTTAAGCCAATGCGTCGTCGGCCAGCACCACGCCCGTCAGGTGAACAGCAAGCCCCCATGACTCCGACGGCAGACCAGCCGGGTGATATGAGCCTCAAGAGAAGTCCCATCTCTGGGTCTTCTTGAGCGTCTTGAGATCCCTCGCCGACTTCCTCTCGCTCGACATGCCTTCTCTGAGCACCTCATTCTCGATGTCGAAGCAAGCACGCTCGTCCTGAGCATCAGCACAGAACGGCAGGACCTCTCCGGTGCGCATATGGCAGTACAGCTTCTCCGCACTGTTCGCCCAATCCGGACCAGCGAAGCCATTCTCGATCTCGGCACACTTGGTCTTGGCGCTGTAGCGTTCCGCAGTGTTGCTGGTCAGGGAGAAGATGTGGTCCCACTGGTCCCAGAACTTCGGTGAGACCGCGCGCTTGAGAGGTGGAAGCTTGATGCCATCCTTAGCATCAGGGTTGTGTTCCTCACCGGGAAGGAGCGGAGCGTAGCTGCTCTCGCCATCCAGAGTGACTCTCCATTTCCAGTGGTTGCGGTCCAGGACCCAGCCGGCGTCGAACTGGGTGGAATTGTCACTGATGCTGCCGTCAGCCCTCTCGTAGTACTCGAGGTTTGGCTGAAAGACCGAGGGGCGCCAGTTCTTCTTCTTGATGTCGCCGGAGTAGTAGTTCATGCGGGGAGGGACGTTGCAGAGCTGCTCCTTGCTTTCGTTGTAAACCTTGGCGGCCTGTTGGCTGTTGGTCAAGTCCGGCAAGTGGAAGAAGAGGTGGTCCGGGATGTCGGGCTGTTCACCACCGATCCAGAAGCAGTATGGCTGTGATGGGCCTTCTGTCAGTGGCTATTGGTTCACAAGAGTCATAGCAGGGGCAGGTACTAACCCTGTGCTCGACAGATTGGCTCTCGTCGGCGCCCTGAGGAATGACTACCTCAGAGTCGTAATATTTGTAACCACAGTGCTTGAGCATATCACCGGTGATGATGTACTCCTGGTCAGAGATGGGTGTCTGGAGTCTGCCCAACGCCTTGTCAGTGAGTGTCCACATGGAAGCACGCAACCATGCGATGGCTTGCTGATGGCTTTGGCTCAGTGATAGAGCTCTATCCTTGCCACTGCCAAACCTGCACAGACCACCGGACATGACGTGAAGAGAACTCACCCGACGGCCGCAATGCAGACAGCATTGTCCTTGTCTGTGACGAAATGTCAGAAAGGGGCTCTGGAACAAGTAATGATGCGATCAAAGAAGACTTACTCGAGTGCAGATTAAGATAAGATGGGTCCGGACGGTACTTCGAACCCAAGGTGTCCTTGTGCTGCCACAGATAATAATCGATATGCTTCTCCGTGTGATCCTTCGCGCCGCCCTCGAACTCGACGTACTCGCTCAGATGATAGCCATTGTCATCAAAGGTCTGCATTGCGGGAAGGTCGCCCTTCATATCCTCTGCCGGCTGGTGACCGGCAGCTGGCTGGCCGACCATGATCCTACCTCGGGTAGCAGTTGCTTTCTCGCCGCCTTTGCTCTGCTTCCCGCTGGGTTTGAAGTCATTGAAGAAGCCTGTTACACCTTTGCTGATGGGCAGGTAGTTCACCCCGTATGAATCAAGGATGAGCGTGATGGTGATGTTGAGCGACACGGGGTTGAATAGCACCGAAGGGGCGACCATGTTGGCGACTGTAGGAGGGCGTGACCACCAAGGTTCCAGGCAGACGAACAAGGCACGAGAGGTCGGATCTTCTGAATAGAGCAAGCACAAGGAATGTCAAGAGTCGAAAGAGAGGCAACTTGGGCTGAGGAGCAGAGCTGGACTAATATTCTCAATGGAACAACTCTGCCCTGCCAATATTCTGAGCAAGTAAAGCTTCGACTTCCTCAACAAAAGCACATCAAGAGAGTCTAATGACCAAACCTACCTGGAAGGCCCATATCGTCAGGGGTTGTAGCAATACCTTTTCCGCGATATGAAGACATCACTCATCTCACGGTCCACTCCAGACCAGTCCACAAGGCAGTATCGATTGGGCAGATGCCAAGTACCAGGAGGGCGAGAAGCAGCTTTGTATGGGACACGATGTCCTACAAGCTTACTCAAGGCTCCACTGTGTCCTTGTCGAAGTCGTCGAACAAGGCTTTGAGGTCTGGTCATCAAGTGCATGTCGAGTCCACTCCATCGAGTTGCCTCTGCAACAGTTGCGAGGACGTCTCCTGCGGGAGGGAGATTCGCTCCATGGTCTTGATATTCTTTGTCGTTGCTTTTCGAATGGAGCTAAAGCTGAAGCCTTGTGCGGCGACGCGTTGCGAGCGCGCGAATCGCTGGACCGCAAACTCGCTCATTGTGAAGCTTTGAACGAATTGACGACGGTGTTCTTAGGTTTGACGATTCTAGACCACGCGTCCTGATATGTGCTAGGTAGTTGCACAGCCTTCTTCATATGAGGAGCGAAAGATGAAGTTGCGAGAGCAACCTCTCCATACACGCCCTGTGGAGAGCGCACCCTGTTGTTGAGATGGTTCAGCTTGTCGGCAGAAGTACAAAGTCAGAACGAACCTCTACAGAAGACAGCATCAGTTGGTTTGCGTGACATCACAGATGATTATAACTACTAGTCGTCCCTGCCTGGATGCTTGGCAAAATGAACGGCCAGCACTATCCTGCTTAGCCCGACTATCGTTCCAAGCTACCTGGTACGCTCTACACGCAGGTGCGATCGATTGACTGCATATGCTCTGCCGTGAAGCAGAAAGATTGTCCCCTCGGGTATCTCAGAGGCTGAGATGAATGAAAGCTTTGGCTTCTCGACCTGAAACCTAAAGACATGGAAGGTATCATCCTTCCTGACACGCTAGCACTGATTACTACCACATCCAGGTGAATTTTATCATGCATTCATCTAATCGTAGGGCTCCCTCGTCCAAGTATTTTGAATGACCATGCAACCGTAGCAACTGAACGCACTCTGCCTGCTCTGAACGCCGCATCGCTAAAAGTAGTAAATAAGTCCCAGCCAGTAGCCAAACGTCACGCAACCTGCTTTTGCTCGCGCATCGTCTATCCCAGCGTAGCCATAGTCGCCATCTTCTCCTCTCCATCCCCATCTCCATCCCGCGCTTCCCCACGTCCCCCATCTTTAACGACTTTCCACCCCGTCTTTCCCCCCTTGACCACCACTGGCGCAAATTGATGCCAACAATTCGGCGCCTCCAACACATACCTTCCCATCGCCTCCCTGAACCTCCTCTTATATTCCTTTGGACTGGTCACCGTTGGCATCCGTTTTCCTACGCCCCCAATCCCCGTTGCACCCACCAGTCCCGCTCCGACAGCAGTGAACTGATTAACAAAGCCGCGGTCCTTGATCCAGGACTCCAGCTTCTTGTCCCATGTGTACGTGCGTATACAATCGATGATGCCCACGACGAGTTCCTTCCTGACTTCATCGATAGCTATCATGAGAGAGTAGTCCATGACGTTTTGGCGTGCAAGGAACAGCGTGTCGTTATGGACTGAACTGCGAAGTAGCTTCTTTGAGTGCTCGCGCGCAAATAGTGGTGATTCGTAGATGAATTCCACCATGTTCTCATCCAGAAGCACCTCATTACTAGCTCCCGTCTCCCTGATCTTGCGATTACGCATGGAGCCTTTTAGGTCGAAGATGCGGGTCGGTGAGCGGTCGTAGAAGAGGTTCTCCATTAGCAATAGATACCAGTTGTACTCCACGCCTGTGGCCGGGTTCTTGATTACGATCTGATAGAATCCCAACATTTTCGCGATCACGCTAGGAAGTTCGTGAAAGAATGCTTCGGACATGATTTGGAAATAATTGGGCGCGAATTTCAGGAAGGATTGGGTCTCGATCGGACTCAAGCTCTTGAGGACGAAGCGATCGTCTAGGGTTTTGAGGAACAGAGACTTCGTTTTCCCGCCCTTGGAGTCCCACTTCAAGCAACGCGACAGCGATTCCACCACGCGGTCCGCAACGCCGCATTTCCGGCGCACGGCGTCGAACTGCTCGGCGAAGAAGATCTTGCAGAGCATTTTGGCGGGACCCTCGGCGAACTGGTATTTCAGGTGGGTGCCGTTCTTGCGCAGGAGGGAGTGCATGACGTCTGCTTGAAAAGTGCCTTCGGCGTGGGTGTGGTTGAACATCCCGTCCATGTTAGGTGGGGGTGATTTCTCTTGTACGTCGTGGAGCATAGTCTTGTAGTCGGAGGAGTTCAGGGCGAAGGCGATGATGGACGATGGCTCGTCTTCGCGGACGATGATGTCGCAGTCTGAGAAGACGTGTTCTGCTGCGAGGAGTGGGTACTCGAGTGGTGCCCAACCGGAGGACGAGCGCTCAGCCCAGAAGGTGGTGAGCATTTGCATCAAAGATTTGCGCTCATGTTTGGGGAACTCTTTCATCTCCAGATCGTCTTGCGAGAGGCGAAGGAGGTCTTCTGGCGAGTCAGGTAATAAGATCTGTTCGCTCAATTCTTCGAGATCGCTTTCTTCGGCGTCGGAAGGTGCATGGCTCGAGAGCTGGTTCTCACCTTCGGTTTCGGTGGCCTCGGTGTGCGTGTCTTCGGTTTGAGCGTCATTGCCTGACACTTGGGGCGTGTCTGCGTCTTGCGCCATACCCTCGGCCGTCGGAGCAGTCTCACCGGGATCGATCTCGTCGATCTTCACACTATGAAAGAGTTCGGCATGTGGCTCATCGACAGCTTCGTCCACGTCTCGGTATACTTCCACGATAGGCTTTGGTGCTGCAAGGGGGAGTACTCTCGATTGGGCGGTGCGTGTGGCTCGAAGTCGGATCTCTCTTCTTCGCTCGCGCTCAAAATCACGCGCCAGCTGCTCGAAGTGCTTTGCCAAGTTAGAGACACGGGATTCTTTTCTATGCGACACTGCCCGCGGGATGAGAGAGCCCTTTTTCCTGAAGTGGGCGAGACCGAAGCGCTCAGAGAGCTTCTTCTCGGGTTTTTCGGTGTCTGCATCAGAAGGCGTGCTCATCTTGCTGCTCCTAGACTGACTGATAGCCTGGCTGATGCCTAGCCCACTTCCCGAGGACACGGCAGAATTTGTTCGAGTATTGGGAGGTGGCTCTCGCTTCGGCACCGAGGCAGCTGGCGTGGATTGTGCTCTCAAGAAAGGCGGCGTGTTCCTGCGTGACTGCTGCTGCACAGCTTGCGGAATGAGTATTCGCTCGGTACTGGCCTTGGGCGTCGCCATAGACGGACTCATGGGGTCAGCAATGTTTGCCGCCTTGGGCGTCATCGGATCCTCGGTCTGTAGCATCTCCGGCGTCTGCACATCAAGAGTCGGCAGAGTGGTCTCATCTGAAACCACCGGAGTTAATGTGGAGCTTGGTTCCGCAGGAGGCAAAGCAAGGTCAAGATGATTGATCACGCTGGTATCCATATCTCCCTGATGGACATTTGGTAAGATCTCAGGCACTTTCTCATTGACCTCAGGCAGCTCGCTGGTCACTTGCTGAGGACTTGCGTGCTCTTCGAGTACAGCTTGAAGTACATTGTGCGTTTTCTCTGGCGACAACGTTGTTGTACGTGGACGCAATGGCGGACGTTCCCCTCCGGTAATTGCGTCCTGTTTCTCGTCAACTGCTTCTTCGGGAGGAGGTGTAGCCGTTCCTTCGTTATCAGACAGCAGGGAAGTGACTGATACGTCTCGATCCAGGAAAATCTTCTTCAGCTGCAATGTCGCAAGCCTTCGGATATCCTTTTCAGAAGGGAAGAAGTTCTGCTCGAATTCCGTGAAAAGAGCATCCCATTCGGCGACTTTCTCTTGCGTGGCGTGTATGACCCGATTGAGCGGAATGATCTCCCAGTGTCGGCTATTTGAGTACTTCTCTTGTAGTTGCTTGATCAGCGCCGCATGATCATCATTAGCCTTCTTCGTCAACTTCTCAATCTCTTGCTTGCATGCGTCGATGTTCTCTGGAAGAATCGCATCCGCATTGATGCTCTTCAGCCTCAATTTTACTGAGCCCGTGAATCGGGTGACCCTGTTCTCGATGCGGGTATACACCTCATTGCGGAAACGGAGGTCATTGTCGACTTTCCAGGTCACTCGCATCCGCGGCACAATGATCTCGAGCAGATCAATGGGGTCATACCGAACGCAAATTGCCATGTCCTTATATCCGAAGTAGCGTAAGTGATCTCGGTGCAAGTCGTGGTTGCACTGTCCAGCAGCTCGTGCGTGCAAATCCGCACTCCAGAACGACAACTCGAGATACTTGCCAAAAGAATACTTCCAGGTACTGACCGACATGGGCGCGACCGTAGTTTCATAAGAACATATCCTACACGAGCTCCACATGAGGATGATATCTTGCAGTCCGCGCATTTTAGCAGGGTGCGGCTCGATGAACACACTGACTTGTGCTTCACCATGGACGTACTGACGGTGATGCTCGTACATACGCTTTTCGCAAGAGCTCGACGTGCAAACATCCTTAGCACCAATACATAGATCTTCGACGTACTGGCCCAGCGTGCAGTCAGCTTCAAATTGATCCTGATCTTGCTCGCTGTAGAAATTGAAAGCTAACAGATCCGGGCCATGACAGGGTACTGATGTCTCCGTGGCAACATGACTGAACAGAACTACAATGTTCTGGTGCGCGTAGGGATCGAACAGGTTACGATTGCCTGACAAGTAGGTCTCCCATTGCCGTTTCTGTGTCTCGTAATTGTCCAATGCCTTATCGTATTCAGTGTCGTGGACAGCATGAATGGCTTCACGGACCTTCTTGCTAGAGCCTTGGAGCGACGCGTGGAGCATCTCAGGCTGGATCAAAGTGAACTTTTGAGCCTTGGACTTTTCTTCGGTCGATTGAGAAGCACTGATGTCTTGGTCGCGGAGTCTTCTCAGGTACGCAACTCGTCTTTCCAGTTCCCTGGCCTTCATTAACAGATACGGCTGCATAAATCTTACAAAAGGTGAGGCGGACAGGATCTTGGTCTGGTGTTTGTCGACAAGGTCCTCATAAAACGTTGGCACCGGAATGTCGTCTGGAATATCAGCTGAATCTGGACTCTCGAACGAGACGCTGGCTGTTGAGGGTGGTGCCATCTTCTCGTCGCTTGTACCACTCGTACCGCTTTGTGTCAAATCTGTTGTGTCTGACTTGCTGTCTTGATTGGTGCCCATTGATCCGTTCTGTACTGTACCAAGCGCTAAAGGCAGATTCTTGTCTTGGAGGGATCCGATGGGCGGGACAGGCACTGCCTGCTTTGTCAACTCGTCGATGCTATTTGGGATCTGTGCCCACTCGTCCCTCATCAAACAAGTCTCGAGTTTCAGGTTGTATACGACGTAGATCATGAAGTCCGTGATGCGCTTGATCTTCGAGAGTGTTTTCTTATCGGCACCTCGAATGGCGATTGTGCATCCCAGCTGCGGAGGACAGCCCGACAGATAGACGTATGTCTTTTTCCTGCCTTCAGACATGAATGTCTTGACCTCAAAAGACTCGCACGTGCCCAACTGGCCAGACTGTGTACCAATCTTGTCCACTGACTGGACCACCCGGCTCTGCGTGCATCTTGAGACTGCTTCTAGCACTGACGACTTCACGTTGTACACAGTAGTTATTCGGGCCTTGTCGAGGAGTTGTAGTGCCAAGCCAGAAACATTCTTCTGAGCCAGGAGTACATCCGGCTTCAAGGTGGCTATGCGGCTGACAAGGATCTCGAGGTATTCCCGCTCCTGTCGAATCACGGGGTCCAAGCTCATAAAGTGCTGCTCATGCCGCGCATACTCCAAAGCGAAAGTGACGATCAAGATACGTGGAGACATGACCAGCCTCGACATGCTTTTCAAGGCAACGTTCTTCGTGAACACGACTCCCGAAATGTAGGAGGTATCACCAGGACGACCGCCCAGGACCTTTTTGAGCTTCACATAGTTTCTGATGTCGATATCGTCTCCGCCTTGTACGTCCGGATCGACGTCATCGGTGGCCTTGAGTAGAATCGGAACAAGAGCGTCCTCCCAACTTGATATCCTCGGAACATCAGCATCTCTCAGAAGCTGTTGCAGCAGCTTGTGCACATGTTGAATACTCGCTTTGTTGAGTTCCATCGCAGGAGCACCATGACCGTGCATAGAGGCGCTGCGGATCATTCGTGACACTCTCGTCGTTGGGTCAGGCTGAACGGGTGTGACAGGACTGTCGTCAACACCTCCTGTCAAAGCGGTGTGCAGACGCTCACGTGTCGTTCTTGGGGTCGCCCGCTGGTGAGTGCTACTGGCTACACTCAGATTCCGTCGTCGCGAGGATCTTTGCAGGTCTCTTTGGCGCGTGCTGATGATGCTGACCTCGTCAGAGTCGCGAGTTAGGTTGAGAAGACCGGCAATGCTTCGGTCTCCGATCCGCGAACGGCCTTTCCGGACAGCCGCGAGCAGTCCAGCAATGGCTGACTTCTCCCCTTCTCCCGTACTTCGCGACAGCTTCTCTGTACCTGTAGCAGAATGGTCGTCCTCTGCACTGGAGGCATCGTCGGACAGATATTGCTCCAAATCTGGATCAATGATGCTGTCACGATGGAATGCTGAGTTAGAAAGATCCCTACTTACATCTTCGAGAGTCCTTCGCTGAAACGGGGCCCTCTCCTCATGGTAGGCTTTGATGCTACGAAGCTGCTGTTTGGATTGGTTCCGTTTGTGTCCATGGCCCGCCGATTGACTATGCTTGAGTGACCTTGAAGAGCTAGGGCGTGGAAGTCCAGGATTCATTTCGATCACCCTCGACGTACTGTCCGCGTCAAAGGGCCTTCTGACAGGTATGCTCATGGTCGGCGTTTTGGACAGCTGTTCGCGTGATACTGAATAGAGCGATGCGGTGTCGTCATCGTCAAGTCTCTGGGCCGAGCGAAGCAGATGCGCGGTATCTGGGGTGCGTGGTCTTGTCAGTGATTCTGGCAGGTTGATGCTCTCCGGCTCCGAATAATCTGATGAATCGTCATGGGTCAGAATCATGCTTTCGCATGGTTTGCATACTCGAACAGCCGATTGCGAACCAAAGTGCGAGCCATCTACGATGACTGTACATTTGTTATCAAAGATTTGTCCGCAAGAGCGACAGTGATGTTTCCGCCGGAATGTGCTGAAGGGCTCTCCACAATTGAAACAGTCTCGAGCGTTTTCATCACGCATCCAGAACTCTTTGTCCAATAGTCTACTCCGCAACTTGCTGACTGGGTGAGACCGGAATTCATGCTGCCCCTGGTCTGCAGTGCCATCAAATCGCAGAGCTCTTGCAGACTGACTGAACGCTGTTGTTGGCGCCGAGTCTGTTGACGAGGCTTGAGATCCAGGGTATCCAGGAAGTTTGGATTGTGGGACCTTGGGCCCTGACTTGTTGGTTGACATGGAAAGGATCAACGACACGCTCGGCTGTGATCCTTCCGTGACTATCGTCGGCTTCAATGCAGCCGGACTCCGAGATGTCGACGCGTGATGTCCAAGAAGCTGTAGCGGGTTCGACTTCGGTGCCTGTGGCAGGATCCTTTCCTGTCGAGCGTTTTTGCTGGTGCCTTTCGACGCGTCGTCTTGGACGACGACAGGAGCAGCCGGAGGTGCAAGCATACCGACATCGCCAGAAGCATTAGAGTCTTGACGAAGATGGCTATTGGGACCAATACCGTTCACTACTGGCAGCGGGCTTGCAAGGGGTTGCTTCGTACGTGTTGGTATCTTGACCAATTCGCCACCGAATTCATCTTTACGGGCGGAAGGTGGAACACTCATATCTGTCCCTGCGCTCCGAGGTGGTGTTTGTTCATCAATGCGGTCGAAGCCAGAACCTGTTCGTGAGTGATTCGCAGAATGAATCTTGTCAGCGTAGATGTGGGTGTTCGTGATCGCCGGATCCGCCGAAATTGGCGGCAACGGACCTGTCGGCGATCTTACTGCTGGACTGTGTAGAGACATCTTGCTCACACTAGTCGCCTTTGATGAGGCTTTGGACGGCTGCGGCAGGAAGTCTGGAGAAGCAGGAGTCTCTGACGGAACAGGCCGTGGAGACACAGTCGTTGATGCCTTGCTGGAACTTGGCTTCGACGATGACACTTCCTGACTTGAGGCAGTAGTAGGCGGACCATTTCGTTGGTCGCCTTCGGTGGCCACTCCGACTGTAGCCTTGAGTTTTGTGTATAGGCCCGTGATGCCGCCAGACAGGTCTGCAGCGAGCGACTTTGTGTCATTCTTCGATGCCGAACTTGGCGGATCAGTGTATTCGTTGAATACAGTAAGGCCTTGGGACTGTGAAGCTACGCTGTGAACGCTGTCCAGTGCCTCATTTAGAGCGTCCTGGTCAAGATCCGCGGCTATGGATGCCTTGGAGTCACGGCGAACTCGACGAGCCAAAGGCAGGAATACGGACGAGGTAGAGGGGCTCGAAGTGCTCTTGGACGGCGGTAACATCGTGTTGGCCTCAACCTGGAGGCCAGGACACCTCGCAGTGCTCGTAGATCAGCAGCGACAGGGCTATCATTATGCAGGCTGCATGGCGTTTCTCTGGTTGGTTCTGACAGTGCCCAAATCCACTCACTGCATGTAGGTGCAGTGCTCTCACAGAGTATATCAGTGAAAGCCCACAGCCACTGCACCCCTTCGCTCGGTGACAACGCATGATCGCCGCCGCGGAGTCGAGCGACGTCAACTACGGCGGCTCCTACGGCACGTATAAAGCATCTCCCCACTCACTCGCTCTCGAATCAAATCGCGACGCGCTCTCTCGTAAAACGCGTTTCCTAAGCCCCAACGAACGTGCTGTAGGATCCGGCAGGTTGACCATAGCTGCTGCAAGCATGCTCTTGGCTGTACCGCTGGACGTGGCAGCATGTTCCATATGTCACGACGAGTGAGCCTTGGACCCGCCCGACATGAGCGACGACGAGTACGATGACACGCCAGTGACTCAGGCACAGATTCCCACGCAGAACGGACACTTCAGTAATAGGAGGCACGGAGTCGCGGGCTCGAGGCAAATCACTGTGCCACAGGACGTTGCGTCGAAAGCGCCAGAGAACGACAGTGTGAACGGACGAAACCTTACCAATGGCCAGGCACGCTCGATCAAGAAACGCGAGCTCGCTGAGAATGGAGGCCGTGATGGTAGCTCGGCGAAGAAGCCGTGCCTCGAAGGAGACTCCGAAGAGCCATCCGCAGCACAGTCTCTGCTTCAGAATGTGGACAATCTCACGCAGGAGAAGAAGTTTGTACCAGAGCGAATTCAGCATGCATCACAGGTGAACCAGAGCGTTCCGTCTGCAATCCGTTCCATTACCAGCAGGCAAGCACACTGCCCGCTTGATCAGAAGTCAATACTGGAATCGTCTGGCATTGAGTGCCCTCCACTGCCGGGTCACGACAAGCGACCAGGGACAATGCCTCAGAAGCTGTTTGAGCTTTTCACTGCACAAGCTGACCAAGCAAGCAGCGCGTCAAGGCTATCAAGTGGCCATATCACTGAAGTCAAACTTCCAGCTCACGAACAAGCAGAGCAAGCGGAAGAGGAAGAGGACGATCTGCCGACCCAACAGGTGTCTGGTAGTCAGTGGCCGGCGAGTCCAGACTATGCGGCCAGGGTCGCACCCGCGATTGAAGCAGCCCAGTCTCCTGAATCGTCTCCGATATCTTCTGCTCCTTCCTCCGCAAAGCCACTCCGTACACGCATGCAAGGTCTTCCACCAGACAGTCCACCGGCTGCGGGCCAAGAAGCTACCTCAGCATCCTCCGTCGATCTCGAGCCTTCGCGTAGCGGTGAAAACGCGCTAATTGCGCAGCCTTCCAAGGAGAGTGCTAGTACGAAGGACCAGCAGTCGAACCTGCCGACGCCTTCAAGTGATTCGGTAGAAGACGTAGACACGTCCGCTTCTGACGAGGAAGCATCGGATGCACTTTCGATCATGGATCTAGATCGGCCTCACGCATCAGCATCGGTTCCGGTCTCACTGCCCGCCTCTACTTCAGGCACGAGAAAGCCTGTTGAGGTCGAGAGGACACCATTTCCCGGCAAGCAGATTCATCGCAGGCAGGAAATGGTGCCTGGGTCCACCTTCGTGCCGTCCACTTATGCGGATGCTATCAGAACGGTGCACACCTCCGATCCACTGCCGGAGATGTACAGCTCCGACTCTGAGATTTCTAACAAACGAAGGCAAGACCGACAAGAGTATCACAATACACAAAGATCAACCCAGATGGGATCCCAGGCAAAGGACAAGGACCAAGATGCCGTTCAGCACGAGCGAAAGATGCAGGAGCATCGTGAGTGGCGCCGAAATCTGCTGAAACCAATAACAAAAGTGCCGACGCAATCGTCGCAGCCTCAGGTGATGGCGGAGGAGACTCTGGTTGTCGAGACGAGTACAGAAAGTCGGGTTGATGCAAAGTCGAAATCCGCAGACGAAACAAGTGTTCAGGAATCATTCCAGCCTTCCACAGAAGCAAGAGCCAATACGTCCCAGGTGAATGGCAACTCATCGAAGAGTCATCATGAAGCAGCCCGGCCTAGCTCACCTCCGGCACGTCCCGCACATCCAAGTCAGCAGACTAGTCTCAGATCTACGACCAGAGTTCCATCGATATCGGCCCACCATGGCGTTCCCACCTCCTACGGGGCACTGTTCGAGCGCTTCAAAGCAGCGTACAGCGATTATGGAGGGACGGTGAAGCATTTTGCAAGTGCCTGTGAGATGTTGGCAAAGCCTAATGTTGCTACGCGTGTTCACCGATCGTTAATGGACGACTTTGTGTTCCACTACGCCAATACCTTCCTGCCGTATGTGATTGAGAGCGCAGCTTCTGGCGAAGGCTCCATGCCATATACGGATTACTTCTTCACCTTGGACGACCTGACTCATTGGAAAAAGGTGTTGTCGTCAGCGGGTCTACACGCTGCAGGCACCACACGCTCTGCGCGGACCTCGGAACTTTCACAAGTCCAAAAACGTCGTGTGTCCTACGGACTGCCCTCAGTCTCAATCAAAGATGAGAACAGTATCAGCACAACACCCAATGTGGACACGCTTACCCATGCGCCTGCACATGTACAGGATCAATTTATGGCCCAAGACCTCGAGAAAGCGGCATCGCACGTTAGTGTAGAATTTGCTGGCCAAGCAGAGCCATCCGAGATGGCCAAGGCAACCGCCCAATCGCAAGATGCGTCACAGCAGTCTTCAGTGGAATCCTGGCTAGAGCAAACAGCACACGCCCGAGCCCCGTCTCCAGAGCTCGGAACGCCAGGCATCGATCGCTCCGCCGAGCAATCACCTGACGCCAATGGCTTGCAACGCCGCATGTTAACGAATAAGAGAGGCACGATCTCTTCATTGGCAGTGGACCCACCTGCTGCGAAACGGGCCAGGGGCAATATGGGTATGGTCAGGCCCGCGTCCGCTTCCATACAGGAACAGGTACAGCCGACGGGATCGACACCACGGCTGTCAGTGGCATCCGCCTTGGACGGTGCGCCCTCGACTGCCCCACCCCGAGATCCATACGTCCCGCCACGATCCACGCCGAAGCGCAAGTCCTTGCCCGCATCGTTTGGCATCACGAAGAGCTTACCACCATCGAGCACTGCGCCGGCTGTTGTTGCTCGTGCTACCGTCTCAAGGAGCTCTCGTCCACCAGACGGCTCACCTGCCTCGAGTCCAGCCCTTGATCCTGCCTTGAAGGGCTTCATCACAGATTCAAACGCGGCTGGTCCTTCGCGATCGTTTGTCAGGCCTCAGTCGAGACGAACGAGCACTTTTAATCCATTCATTAAGCCTCCACCTAAGCCACGGATCGTGTCAAGTCCCTCGTCGAAGGGCAAGGAGCCTGAGATCCCACCATCATCTGCTACATCGCGACCTCCTCCTTTGGCGAAGAAAACCTCGTCAACTTCCTTATCCTCTGACAAGAAGAAGCTGAATCCCGACTGGTGGAGAAAGGAGGATACGCCGTACCAGAGGTTTGCCTCAAACTGGATGAGTTCTGGGGGATGACGATTAAATACTAGGCATACGTTACATGATTTTCTGCCCAGCAATTTTAAACACTTCCATCGTCTCAACTTCATTCCGACAAGTCGCAACGATGAACCTCCATTCGGAGAGTATGATGTCATGAAGGGCTCCGAATGGGTGTCAGTGCTGTAGCGGCACGTCTCGACAAGCTTCTGAAGGCGTTTGTGGTAATGTCTGCACGAGCGACTGTTCAGAAATTCCGTCGAGGGGACGAATTCCAAGCTGTATTGTATAATCAGCGTTGAACAATAGTGCCATTAGCGAGCGTATGCAATAGTTTCAATCTATGTCAGTCTCGCAGATTTATATTCAGCTGACCCAGACGAGGCTTTGAGTGAGCCCGGTTGACCAGCTTCTCGTCAGTCTTTGATTGAGAGGAAGGCGCGTTGACCATATTGCTGATGGCCGCGACAGTCGAGGCAGAGCCATAGTCCAGACCGGTTGACGGAAATAAAATTTTTGGACCGTCCAAGTGATGCCAGATAGCAAGTGATTCAGATGCGTGCAAAGAACAGTGAGCGGCCCTAACCGACTGAGTGAAGCGACGGACTCGGTTTCCGCCGGCTCTTTATTTCATCTTGAAAGTATAAGTATTGGTCTCTCCCTTGGCTTCATCCTCTTCTCTTCCATTCAGTGCAGCATTCGAGATAATAGTGAGAACGCACTGTCATGCCTTGGTAGCACCTGTTGCTGTCTGGTGGGACGAGCAGCTTTGTGAAAGCAGCATACGATGCTCTAGCATTCTTCCGCCCTGCTTTCACATCGCGACAACCCTCGAACATGGTCCTGCGACGCCCTGATACATGACTTTCCTCTGTGATGCCCTTACTTAAATGTGGTGGACAGCATCTGGTTCGATCATCGTTCACGCAGTGTGTCAAGCTAACCATACCTTCGCAACCTCATCTAGCGTCTCCTTCAGACCCGACTCCTCAATCTCCAGCTCCGTGTCAAACCCATGCTCACCCTCCTCGTCCACCACAAGTCTCACGCGCAACTCTGGATCATTCTTCCCCAGCGCCTGAAAGAGCTTCTGCGTCCCCTCGATCGGCACCACACTATCCTTCTTGCCATGCCAGATCCACACTCCGCCCCTTGCAAACCTCTCACCTCTCTCAACACGCTCGATCGGAAATTGTGAGGGATCGTCAAAATCAAAGAACCTATGCACGATCACGCCATGCTGAATGTATGCCACCATCAACGAGATTTCAGACAAGGTCGGATCTTCGGATCGGACAGTCGTGTTCGACTCAGCCATCTTAGCAGCGTGCGCGGCTTCAAGTTCTGCAAGATTCATCTGTGGGAAGACGAAGAGCTGTTTTTCGTAGTGCTCGGTGAAGTAGCGGCTCTTCAGATCTGTGCAGGGGTAGGCTGCTGTCACGGCTCTGACGCCATCCGGGTGGTTCAGTCCTGTCATGAGGGAGAGGTAGCCGCCTGCGGAGTCTCCGGTGGTCATGATACGTGTGAGATCAGGTTTCACGCTGTCGTTGGTGACTGAAGCGAGGTAGGCTGGAAGGGAAGAGAGCATCCATTGCCAAGCATCTTCGATGTCGGCCAGAATGTCGGATTGGCGGCACTCAGGAAGGAGGCGGTAGTTGGGGCTTATGATTATGGCTGAGTGGTTGATCGCGTACTCCAGAAGGTGGCGAGGGAAGAAGCCTGGATAGAGCGCGGAACCAGTCACAAATCCACCGCCGTGGAAGCGAAGGATGGTAGGTGCACCTGTAGCTGGGCATTTCAGGTTCTCTGGGGCTAGCACGCTGAGTGTGATTGGGTGTGAGCCAACGGTCTTGTAAGTGGTTGTGTGAATCTTGAAGGCTTCGTAGCGTGAAAAGTCATCCGGGTCTGGAAGCACTGCCATGATAGCGGTGGACGATCAACGAGGCACCCAGGCAAACACGAGGCGAGCGATTAGGCAACGAGGTCGGTTGATAGCATGAATTGGTCTGTGCTAGGTAGTATGCATCGCAGATCCTTATATACCTTCTTTTCAGGGGGGTTTCGTGCGATGCGCGTGCAGACTCGCACTTCGGAAGGTTGCAGGAGCGACGGGCTTCGATTGGCAAACTTACTGTTAGGGGCAGTACCTCGGCCACAGGGCAGCTCGCATTTTGCAACACCAGAAGCAGTCGCATTTTGTCATCCGGCGACATTGCATCTGCTCGCACTACTCAAATCAGTCCGTCTTCCGAAAGTCTAGTATTGACTCTAATTTATGAAGAATCATAACTCGGTTGCCTGATCGTGATTCTCCCTTGCACGTGACGCAAACGATCAGGGTCAGTTTTTCAGGCGAAAAGGCTGCAAGCCCCGAGCCTAGCCTATCCCGCTCTAGTGCACAGCCTAAGGCGTCAGCTTGGCTTTCTCGACCAGATGAAAACAGATCGCTCATTCCCCGGAGCTTCCTTCGACCTCGTTTCGCCTCATCCTCGAAATATTCCATCTCTTTTGCTTCTCGATTCCCATCCTTTCATCACCAAAATCATCACCGATATGAACCATGAATCCCCTCGAAGGTATCCCACCATCGCCGCCTCGCGATAGTCTAAAGCGCCCCAGAAGCGAAAGCTCGGATGACGACGCGGACCCCGAACCTATAAGCTACAACAACCCACCGGGCGTGCGCTACGGCAAAGACTCTCTTGTCTGTGATCAATGCGGCGTCGGCTTCCGAAAGCATTCAGACCTCAAGTATGTGCACATACCGAAATGAGCCTTTGGTTGCCTTATCCCTAGCGATGACGCGTTGTACTAATGTCTGGCTTCAGGAAACATAACGCCCGACACGCGCGACAATATCGGTGCATCGAAGTCAACTGCCCTCGTACATCCATCGGTTTTGCGACAATCAACGACCTATACCGGCACGAAAAATCGGTGCATGGTAAACACGTCGGCAAGTCGCGCATGTACAAGTGCTTCGCGCCTGGTTGTGCAAAAGCTTCGAAGCTGTGGCCGCGGCTCGACAACTTCAAACAGCATCTTATTCGCATGCACCCGAACGAAGACATCGACGCGTTAGTAAAACGGTAAGATTCCATTGCCTTCTTTTGCCTCGTCTGCCTCGCCACTAACTAGGCAACCAGATCAGAACAGTGGCAAGAAGAAGAGGAGGGTGGTCCAGATTCTATGCAACTTGATCGAATCGACACTCAGGACTCAGTCATATCTTCACTGCAGAACGTCAAGCGTCTCAGGTCGCCGCCGCATCTGCCCGGTCCGTCGGGTGATCGCATGCTCACCCATCGCTGGGACGTAACTCCTCCCACATCAGCGACCAACCCCCAAGGTCGTCCAGATCAGCTTCTTCGCGGCATCGTCGATAAGCCACAAACGAACGGCACCCCTGCAAGTGGTCGTCAGCCAGGCGATCCGTATCGCCAAATTCAGCCCACAGGCCCAGACGGTAACAGAATGGGCGGACCCAACGCGACTCCGACCCACCCATCACACTCTCAAAGAGACAGCCAAATGTCCGAGCCACCGCCTCTCGAGCCAGACGAGAGCAAGACCATTTCACGCGCAGCTGAGGTTCGAGAGCTATCGAGCGAGGCGAGATGCGGATCATGTCATCTAGCAGGCAGGCGCTGCTACATCGACAGCGCGAACCCACGACACTGTGTCTCATGTCCGACTGAGAACCACTGCATCTTCCGTCGAACTGTAGTCCGCGAAGGACCTGCCACTCACTTCCTCTGGCACGAATTAGTGGGCATTCACAACATTCCACAGGCCATGCCCCTCCACCATCAGCAACAGCACATGATTCACATGCAGCAGCCTCCGCCTGGCCCAGGACCGCATCCGATGGCACAGGGACCACCGCCGCAACAGCCGTCGCCGATCATGCACCCTCGAGGTCCTCCCCAGCCTCAAGGTCAGCCGGGCCTAGATCCAGCTCTGATGACGCCAGCGCCAGCAACGGCGCCGAGCCAGCCGCCTTCTCAACCTGCACAACTGCCTCCGTCGCAGCAGCAGACACCGGCACAACAGCAGCTACAAGGACCCCAGAGTGTCGCGTCCACCCCACAGGGGCCGGCCCAGGCTTCAGCGACGCTGCCTGCGGATCCTAGCCCCGCGCCGTCTCTGCAGCAGTAGCTTTGCCTCCAAGACGGTCTCTGAGCGGGCAAGCGCAAATGTTCGCGGACGTGCGAAATCGCCTATTTTGTATCACAGCATCGAACTTGCTGCTCTAGGGAGGCTCAATGCATACGCGAGTCTGAGCACATCATATTCATCGATGTCAGCACAAACGAACGGCCTGCTAGTTACTAATATTGCCAGGGAGGCCTCCGCCGCACTCGCGGGTCGGGTCTTGGCGGCTGACACTTTGTCGGGCGACAACGTGTTGGGGCGGGCTTCATTTCTAGTCGATAGTCCATTTACTCGAGTAGTTTTATCAATGAAAACGCGATTGACCTGGTTTACATAGCCTCGGCGCAATGAAGAGTCTTGTGAGGTGAACTTGGTGTTGCCTCTTTGCCTTCCTGTTTGCCTGTTGCCTTCGAAGGCGGCGATCGTTGTTGCCTGATAGGCAACGAGGTAGATGGTAGTGAGGTGGTGGTGTGGTCGTGGCGGGAGAGTGATGTGAGTGCTTTGATAGCTCGTGCTGGTCGAGTTGAACGAGCCAGTCCATGGACGATTGCTTTGTGAATAGGACGACGAGCCTGATACGCTGTCGCCGCCCATGCGATGCTACGGGAAATTCATACTTGCAGACTCGTCGGCTTGCCACGGCCACCTTGTCAGCATGCTGAGGCTCGCGGAAGTCGACTTGTTTTACGTGTGCACTGAAAATGTCGAGCAAGTGTTCCCTCAAGCCCTACGATAGGGCTGCCTCACGAGAGAGCGCGTTTGGCAGAATCCCTTTCCTGGCCGCATCCTCGCCCGTCACCTGCACCGTCTTCGTCGCTATCGCCTGAGACTGATCATCACAAGACACATGCTTGCATTTGCCACACGGCTGAAGTCCTAAACTTGCGCATCTGAAAGCTTCTTCGAACAAGAATTCCCAGGTTTGAGACCAGCCCCCATGAGGCAGCGGATGTGGAGTTGCGAGAAACTACGGTGTGGTCAGCAGACCATATGCTGCATCTTCGTCGACTTTCTCGATCTCGTGTTCCATCTACCTGTCACACACCGCACCTGCCCTCCGCTGCCACGTCCAAATTCCGGTCACGTATGGCCGCGACACCGCTCTCTCGTTGACGCCCTTGCTCCCACGCTTGCGACCGGCCATTGCCCATAGTCTATCACAATGGTATAGCTTCCCATCTAACACTCCAACTTTACACCTACAATCTCGAGCGCTGCTTCACAACTGCAACAAAGCCAGCTTCGCTCCCGCACCCCTTCCCTTCCAGCGCAACTGCTCACACGTCCGCCCACAGGTCTTCCTCTTCTCCCGCAATTTCCCAGACCGCCGCCCCCTCCTCACCAGTTTACAAGCCTTCTTTGGCATCGGCCCCTCCCTCGCCCGCAGCATCCTCTCCCGGCACAGCTCCACAACACCATCAAAATGCGCGAGCTCAACTCCCAACAGATCCTCGACTTGAACGCTTATTTGGAAGGCATCAAGATAGAAAACGAGTTGAAGAGATCAGTGTTGGCGGATATAAAGAGGTTAAGGGATACAGGGACGTATAGGGGCAGGAGGCATGCGATGGGGCTGCCGGTGCGGGGCCAGCGGACGAGGGGCCAGATTAAGAGTGTTTGGCGGTTGAATAAGGTGGAGAGGAACTTGTGATCTGGAGGGTATGGCGAAGGCAACAGGCAGGACGAAGCTAAGATTTAAGAACCAGGCAGGGCCGGACAAACGAGCTTGTTGAGAGTCCAGGACGAGTCCAGGGGGAACGCAGCTGAATCGTGTCGCTGTGATGGACAGTCTTGCTTAGGACAAGTGTTCGATCGAGGTTTGCAAGGGACTTGGCTGCCGACAGAGGGCGTGCTTTGGCAACGTAGATGCGCCGGATTATCGGAGGAGACAAGGTCGCGGGCAGCGTCGCACAAGTGCAAGCTTTCACCTAGCAAGGCGAAGCTACTGGAGCAGAAGACGCGGGACGAAAATGTCCTTCAGAGTGGAAGTATGGATTCTCCGAGAGCCATGCCAGTCCGTATCGACCCGACGAACACGATCTAAGGCTTTCCAGGAGGTGTCCGAAGCACTTCCGGACGTCGTGAGCGGAACGAAACGCCCTCTTCTTCAGCGAGGAGATAGGTCTTCAGAGGCAGATCAAGATTATGGGGGCGGCCAGCCTGCCCGAAACGTGTTGGATGGTTATGTGTATACTGTACAACAGACAACTTCTTTTGTCAAGACCAGCGCTCAAAGGCAGCTTACTGTTCAAGAGACGACATATAAGATGAATGAAGCTGTTCATTTCTGCTCAAAGCTGTCTAGCCAACAATCTGAACGTTCAGGACGAAGCGGAATAGCGACCCGTCGTCCTTATGCTCGTGATTGTAAGACCTCCACCTGATTGCCTAATGGCCTCGTTTTTTGTTTTGAGCCACTCGATCATGGCTTTTTCTTTGATTTGTGCCAATGGCTCATAGATTAGTAGTAACAACCAGCCCTCCCAAACCACTACTATTCACCATCAACACCGGCACACATTGCCCTGGTCCTGATCCCCTAACATCTCCGCTCCCGCCAACTACTACCCTCGACAAGACCTCCAGATTGCTCACATATCCCAGACTCTCCTTTTCGCTCTTGTACGTCCCTCTTGTCGGCGCCGGCAGAGTCGTAAAGATCACGGCCGTGTCTTCGCTGTTCTGCGCCATGAGCTCGTTCAGGATCAGATGTTGGGCGCGCGAAGGGAGAGTGTTGAAGGAGAGGGGAAGTGAGGCGGCGAAGGGGAAGCCAGTGGCTGGAGTGGGAGTGGGCCCGTCGTGTTGGGGAATTGAGGTAGCGGTGGGGGTAGCTGTGGGTTTGACTTGAGGGCTGCCGATGTTGGCAGCACGGCTCGGCGAGGAGGAGGTCGCCCGGGCGTAGATTGAGGACGTGATATTGCTGGTCTGCTGAAGCTTGGAAGGCTGTTGGTGATGAAGACGGCGAGGGTGAGGTTGCTCGGCGAATTGGATTGAGGGCCCGGGAAGGGCGTTCGGGTCGATGTTCTCACTCCTATTGTCTGGCTCTAGGATACTAAACATGTTGGCAGCGGATTTTTCCTGAGCGTCTGGGCTGGCGGGAGTGTCGGCGACGATCTCCTCTTTGGCGTCCAAGCTTGTGCCGCCAGCCATGATACTGTCGTCCTTCCTCGGTTCGCGAGCGATGGCTTCCTCGGGAGTCACTGGCCTGGTAAGCGGTGATGTCGAGTCGCCTGGGGTCGAATGACGCTTCAATTGTGTCGTCCGTCCTCTATTTTCATCAAATAAAGTCTCGTCAAATTGGATGAGATCGTCATTGCTGGCATACTTTGTGCCAAATCCATTGGCCTGTGGTCGCTGCTTCGAGCTAGCTCTACTGCTCTTCTTCGACGAAGCTTTCGATTTTGATTTCGTCGATTGGGACTTTTTCGAGATCGACGCAGTTGACTCCTCGAGGTTCCCGTCTTCGCTCTCTGTGTCGTCCTCGTGAGGCTCCTCATCGTCATCGTCAGAAGATGAATATTCCGAGTCGCCACCATGTGAAGCATGTCTGCTGATCATGTCGTCGTCCAGGCGGGAAGTGCGCATGCTCATGCTAGCAGCCGCGGACAGATTTCCTATACTTGACCGAGCCCTCGGTCGTGCAAGCATCCGCCTGATACCCTCCATCCGGGACACTGAAGTCGCTCGAGACTGCCTCGGGCCCGGACTGCCCCACTCCACTTCCTCTGCAAGAGACATGCCATCGACGGCTGACATATCGCCTCTGTTAGATCTGACGTCTTGCCAGCCTGGCTCGTCTTCCAAGACTTTGTCGATCCGTTCCTGTGTGTCAGCGTCGACTTCTTTGGCGTTGACTAGAGCCTCGTATGTGTCGAGTGTGCCACATGCAAGCCAAAAGACCAGGACTTCTGCGTTAATGCGAAGATTCGCTAGTAATGAAATGGTCTTGGCACGTTCCTCCTCGACGTCCTGCTCGTACTCGACGAAGATTGCGACTCTGAGGCTATAAGATCGCTTCCATGAGGGGACTGTGTTCAAGATACACCCTAGCTGTAAAATCAGAGTGTAGGTGTCAAAATTGAATGTCTTCGGATTCTCAGCCTCTTCCTCCGTGTTAGCCGTCATTTGTATGGGCCACAAGTCGATGTATTTCTTGGTGTTGTCGCCATCGGTCGCTGGCAATTCAAGCTCATTAAACCCCGCAGCAACGGCTATGATCGTCCGCAGACTCAAGATCATATCTTCAAGGACCATAACATAGCTCTGTACATCAGTTCGCTTTTCAATGTAGCAAGTGTCAGTCGGTAGATCTCCTGTCACTCCAATGCTTTTGCGCCTCTTCCTCTGCCTGACCTCACGCTTCACTTCTGGCGGCGGACTAGGCACATCGACCAGAGGCTGCTCGCTGCGAAGCTGTTCAAGATTGTAGACGCCAAAGATGACGAGGTTCGGTCGCATACTACCCAGACCGGCAGAAAGTAGTACATTTCGAGCTCCCCATTCGATAGATGGCGAGATAGCCACGTTGACGAAGGCTTTGATCCTAGAAAAGTCGATATACTTGGTCCAAGCCGCTTGCTGCTTCCTGGCCTCAGGCACAGATGCTGCAAAATTATCGGTGACGATAACGTGACCGAGGATGTACAGCCCGCCCTTCTTCAGACTGTTGCAGAACTGTATCAACTTATACCCCCTTCTTGGGTCATTGACGAAAAGCAGAATCTGTGGTCTCCAGAACTTGACATGCTCGGTCTTTAGCCGGAGGAGATACTTTCGCACCTGATGGTAAATGAGGACTTCTGAGATTGATCCCCATGCCTTCGGTGGCGTTGTGTAATGAATCATGGTAATGAGTAGAAGTAATACACATATGGAACCGGACGCTGAATACCCATCAACGAAGAACATCGCTGCAATGCTCAGAACAGCACCCACGAAAGCGGTCTGCCAGTTGAAAAATTGAAAAGAAGGTCGAAAATTTGGAGCCGAGCCAATCTTGAGCAGGAACGTGGCCGCGTTGAGGGCGAAAAAGGTCATGAGATAAGTCATCGTGATGTAAGTCGCAATTTGGTTTATGTCCAGCAACAGCACAGCTTGTGCCACCGCCCAAGTAAAAAGAATGGCCTTTATTGGTTCACCCGACTTAGAGGTGCCAAAAATAGCCAGACCTGGAACAAGATTGTCGCCAGCGATTGCCTGCAACTGTTTTGCTGGTCCAATTACGCCCATCAGTGTCGAGAAGAAGGTTGACGCTAGTTCACCTGCGAGAATCAAGATGCCAGATATGTTCACATCCTGAACCACGTTGACGTTTTTGTAGAATGACTCCCGGCTGATAGACGCCGCCATTGACACAATCACAACAGTATAGGCGACGAAGGTCAAGCCCATGCCATATAACGTCCCCCTTGGAATGGACTTGCTTGGGTTTTCGAGGTCACTGGACAGACTGGCGCCAGCTAGAATACCACAGGTGGCCGGAAACAGAATGCCGAAAAGATCCTGCAAGCTCGAATGTCTCTTGAGCATGCTTCCAGCAGCTCCTCTGGTGAAATGAGGCAGCAGGTTCTCACGTAAGGTCTCCAGGCTCCATCCTGTAAAGTCCACAAATTGCTTTCGCTCTTCGAATGGGCTGAGAACAATGGACGAAAGAGGGATACTGATGATAGCCACAAGGAGGATGACTAGAAGACCACTGCTGAGTTTGGCGAAAAAAGAACTCCCAGCCAGGCAAATCAGTACGCAAAGCAGAACAACGAGTGTAGTCCAGAGATACTCCCACCAGCGGCCCTCTGGTAGAAAATTTGCCCAGTTGCCAGACTCAGAGCCAAAGTTGTAGATGAGGCAGTCGATCAGACCCGCAGCATTCAATCCCGTGTTGAGCACGAATCCGAGGTAGGAAATGATTCCAATAGCACCGCCAAATTCGGGTCCCAACGACCGTGAGATGAGGTAGTAGGCACCGCCTCCACGCACGATGCCGTTTGATGCCACTGCTGAGATAGACATGGTCGTGACAAGGTTGATAGTATAGGCACATACAAGCATTCCAAGCATGCCTAGCAGACCGCTCTGGCCTAGGATGAAACCAAAGCGGATAAACATGAGGATACTGAGGACATTGAGACTGACAGGTATGAACACTCCCCAAAGAGTGTTCAGCTTGGTTGCGGGCGAAGATGGAGTCGTTGGCAGTTCCGACTTGGACTTCGTTGGCGTGCCTGACTTGATGTCGTGCGTATGCATATGAGCGGCGAGCGAGTCATTGGCGGGCAGGACACTGCCTGCTGCAGTACCCGGTCGACTTGCATCTTGAGATTCATCGGCTTGTCCGTCAACAAGCGTCGACACAAGGCGTTGCGTGACTCCTTCGCTAGGAGTGGTCTCGACTCGAAACGCTGGTGGTCGATTTAATGAGCTTGCCGGAGGAGTGATGTGGCCATTGCGTGCCTGGGTTCCGTAGTCCAGTTGAGGAAGAGAAGGGTCTGATGTTCGTCTCAGCAACTGTGCACGCTCATCTGTTGCTGTTCTCGTGGTGAATGTCGGTCGTCCTCTTATGAGCGGCCTTCGTCTCCCTCGAGTGGCGTTTGGTGACCCAGGATCCGCCATGATGCATCTGGTGTTGGGACGACGTCCCTTGATCTCTGTCACCGTCGAGAGAAAGTATCAGTCATGTTAAACAGTCCTTTCAGCTACGCCGTCCGTGACATGCGGTTGGGTGGTACAGCAGAGCGGAGAACAACAGGTGCTTTGGTCCGAACGAATGACAACGCTGTAGATGCAGACGCGAACAAGATGAATGATGAAAAGTTCCTCTCTGGGTATGAGACAGTCCAATATTTCGTGCCTAATAGTGATAGAGTCTCTGTTGGAAGCAGATATCTCTTGTTTGATATCCGGATTTGAATCTCGACTCTTGACGCCACAGTCGCTCTTGTCGTTCTTGGCTTTCCGTCCTAACGGGCCATGTCTGATTGGCTTACCAACACGGGCAGGCACAGAAGCGGGATCGCCCTCGTGGCTGCTGCTCCGCTTATCTGCGGCTGGTGACATGCTTTTCGTCAACTTTGTTCTGTACAAATCTGCTGACCCTCTGATACCTCGGCCACATTCGTTTACAAGTCGACAGCACATAGTCACTACGGGCAGCAATTGTATATCAGTACGAGCAGGACGGACTCTGACTACGCCGGATGCAGTGTCTTGGGCAATGTCAGCTCCGAGGGATGTTGCTCACTTGGAGCCCGGCCGTTCAGGTTCGCCGATAGCCGGATCACCTGCAACCAGACATGCCTCCATTGCGAGGCTGTCCTCGCCCGTACCCTCGAGCCGCCTCGGTAGCAGTCCGCAGCAGGTTCCAAACCCCGCGCAGCATCCTCCGACTACCGATGGATCGCAGCTAGCTGGACTAGATCGTTCATCGCCTGGTCCCCGTACTGCGCGGTCGGCACTATCGACAGCTTTGGCTGGCAGTCAGGGCCGCGAGTCGAGCATAACGGGCACTCCACCACGGCATGCACATAGCGGGTCGATCGGGGGCGCAGAGCGCGCACAAAGAACAAACTATGGCTCCTTCAGTGCTAAGGACATCGCAGGAAGTCCGTCAATACATGCGGGCGATCCCGAAGTGGTCAAGAGACACTTGGTGCTGCCAGACGACGCACGCGCTCGGTTCCGGAGCGTTGATACCCTCAAGGCAGACGGACCAGGCCCATCTCTGAACGACGATGAGTTCTCTAGCCTTCAACTGCAGGGAGGCGACATGACAAGGAATGTCTACAAATGGCTCAGGAGGCACAGAACAGCGTTCGTGGACGTCCAGCTCGCAGCCAGAGCTTCGCTGTTGTACGGCCGGAACCAGAGGATGAGTCTGAGAACATCCAAAACATCAAAGTGCCAGGAGGGTTCCGAAGAGACTTTTTGAGGAGAACAGCGGAGAGTCCAGCTCCCGATTCTCGGCAAACCGGCAGCAGAACGGCATCAGCAGTCAGCAAGGCGGTCAAACCGCCACCTCAGCTCTTCACAAATAATTTCATCGAGTTTCTGACGCTATACGGGCATTTTGCCGGAGAAGAGCTTGAAGAAGATGACGAGGTACTCGAGCCTGACGAGTATTTTTCATCTGATGCGTACGGCGATGCGGATGATGAGGAAGAATTTGGCGAAAGCAGCGCACTTCTCGGCACCCCTGGACGACGGAAACGGAAGCACAAAACTGCGGCTGGCAAGGGCACAAGCAGTGCTATGAACGCAGCTCTACTGCTTCTCAAGTCCTTCGTTGGAACCGGCGTTCTATTTCTGCCACGAGCCTTCCTCAACGGTGGCATGCTCTTCTCCTCGCTTGTACTTCTGGGCATGGCATCTATCAGCTACCTTTGTTTCATTCTACTTGGTGAGACCAAAAAGCACATCGACGCATCTTTTGGTGACATTGGAGGTGTTCTGTATGGCAAATGGATGAGGGCAGCAATACTTGGCTCTCTCGTCCTCAGCCAAGTTGGGTTTGTGTCGGCATACACCGTCTTCACTGCAGAGAACCTTCAAGCGTTCGTCCTTGCGGTGACAAATTGCAGAACATACATCGACATCAAGTGGATGATTCTGATGCAGATCATTGTCTTCCTGCCGCTTTCCCTCATCCGCGACATCTCCAAGCTAGGGTTCACCGCTCTCATCGCAGATGCATTCATTCTCTTGGGTCTCATCTACCTCTTCTACTACGACATTTATACCATTGCGGCTCCCAACTTCAAGCTAGACATAACCTTATTCAATCCGTCCTCCTGGACACTCTTGATCGGCACAGCGATCTTCACTTTCGAGGGAGTCGGTCTGATCATTCCGATCCAGGACGGCATGAAGCACCCACAAAAGTTTCCGTTCGTCCTCTTCGTCGTCATGATTATCATCACGGTACTATTCTCGGCCGCTGGCATAGTCTCGTACGCCGCCTACGGATCCAAGACCAAGACTGTCGTCCTTCTCAACCTTCCCCAAGATGACAGGACTGTCAACGGTGTTCAATTTCTGTACTCCGTCGCCATCCTCCTGTCTACGCCTCTACAACTCTTTCCGGCCATTCGTATTCTCGAGACCAGCCTATTCTCCCGTTCCGGCAAATACAACCCATATATCAAATGGCAGAAGAACGCATTCCGCTTCTTCCTCGTCTTCGTCTGTGCGTTGATTGCATGGGGCGGCGCCGGAGACCTGGACAAGTTTGTTTCATTAGTGGGGAGTTTCGCATGTGTGCCGTTGGTGTACGTGTATCCACCAATGCTGCATCTGAAAGCGGTGGCACGTACGACGAGGCAGCGCGTGATAGACTATCTGATCATTGTGTTTGGCGCAGTGGGCTGCGTGTATACTACGGTATTGACGGTTCAGCAGTGGGCGGGTGGAAGCGTACATGAGCCTGGGTACTGTGATGCATAGTAGGCAGGTCGCAACAGGCGACTTCCAGGATAGACGAGCGTTCGACTCGAGCGCGCTACGTTTAGATCCAGCTGTGAGATGAGAAAGCCTCTTCTCAAACGCTGTACGAATGGGTCAATGCGAATGCACCCATTCATCTCTAAAAGCTCAGGGCCACCTGCAGCTGCAGTATGATTCCTATGTTGCATCTTCTGTGTGCATGCCAAGACTCGTTCTTGGCCCCTGAACGCGTCGCGACTGCTCGGACGCGTCTCCCTACTACCTATCAAAGTAGACCTTCCTTCCTTATCGTGTTATCACCGTCCACACTGCAATCACTGCTCCAAAATACCCGGCTGCTTTCTCTGCTACAGCATCTGAATTACCATTCCGGTCGGCCTTCTCTACTATTGCAAAATGCCTGTCGTCAAACGGAAGCATCAGGCCGGCGGTGAGGACAATTATAGGAAGCCCAAAGTTCCGCGCAATAGCCAACTCGACGCTACACAATCGGGCAGCATAGGAAAGCCTGGCATCGGTCTACTCGATCTACCTGCAGAGATACTGCTCGAGATATTCTACTGGACTCGCGAGCCGTGCATGATCCATGCATGTAAACAGCTATATGAACTGCTCCCAGACTATACTGGCCACAGCAAGATGCTGCTCGGCTTGGCCTTCGCCACCAGACATGGGGGTTACCTCACACCCTGGATTACCCGACATGCAGACATTGCCCGGTATGAAGACAGGCCTCTTGCAGGATTCAACCCTTTCGCAAAGTTCTATCCACACTTTGGCCCTTACCTGGACCCAAGGGAGGGCCGATTTGGGCATTCCATGAACGCCGTGAATTGCAACACGCTGTGGCAGGAAGTAAGTGGTTACGGCCTTCACATCTACGAGCTCTTCACAGATTCTTGTTTGAGAAGGTCGTGTCACTACATCTGCTGGACAATCCAGACTATCGAATCACAACTCGTCAGAATCAGCGCCTTAAGGATCTCGTCGCTGGCCATGGGGGTCCCAATGCTGATCTGAAGCTCAGGATGCAGGTGGAAATCAACCATGGTGGATGGTATCACGCTGTCCTCACTTTGCGTGACAACTTCCTTCATGTCAGGATCCATAACCAAGAACGTACACAAATCTTGTACGACCTGTTTGCTTTCTCGTATGTTCCACATTGTCTCCTGCGAGACGCTACGGCAGTCGACAGCGCAGACCTTAGAGATCTCTTTGTGCGCTGCTGTAATGTCACCCCAGGAGATGCCCTCCACAAATTGACGAGGGATCCGGACACTGATCATGTCACTCGCTTGCTCAAGTGTGACGAGCACTTGCTGGAGCGCCGGATTCTACAGACCCTGGAGCTACCTCCTCCCCACCTCCGGACCACACTTCATAGGATAGAGATTGCCCAAAATCTGCATGAGCTGCTCATCCTCAACTACGTGTGTAGAGACCCGGTCACTGTCAGCTGCAATATGCTCAGCGCTTGTGTGGAACACAACCTGCCCGAGTGCCTCGATCATCTCCTCGGCAATTATCTCACCACGGCTTCGAGCTACTGGGTCGACCGTGACATACAAAGGAGAAAAGCAAAACGCCGGACCGCCGTCACCGAAAAGGACGTTGTGAGACTGAAAAACAGAGCTGCCAAACTAGACAAGAAGAATACAGAGGGGACCTGTCTTGATCGACTCGAAGCCGAACTCGAGCACTACTCAGAAATGAAAACGCTGGCGAGAGAGTCTGGTGTCGCTACCTGGCAGGAGGCTGAAGATGCACTCCGGGACCAAGAACGAGAGGTCCGCGACCACATGGAACGCTTTCATGACGATGACGATGATGAGTCACTCGGTGAGGGCGAGTGGGACTCGGAGGACTCATCTGACGAAGACTCGGACCCAGGACTGTTCGATCCAGAAGAATGGGGGCCGGAGCACTTTCTTGACTATTCGGAAGACTCGGACTCGGATACTGACGACGATGGATTTGAGGACGGTGAAGACTCTGGTCGAAGCTCTCCAAGCGAAGCAGAGCAAGTCTCCGGGCCAGATACGTCGTGACGCAGCTATGGCAATCGCAGATGACTCAAAGTGCCACGAGCCAACACCTTGACAGAACATGCTGTTTCCGAAGATCGTCGGCATTGACGACATGTCAACAAGAACATTGTAATATCAACCTCTTGCGTTGGATATGTGAAACTACTTCAGGCCTTATCAGACTTAGAATCGTAACCTTAAGAGCGCGGCCGCTGTCTGTGTTCTTGCCGTAGCTGTGTCCATACACGTACCCTCGGCCTGAGTGAAAACTAGGAAGGAGGAATCGCCGTGACAACAAGCTGCGGCATGAGGCGGCTTTTTCTCGATTCTTTCCATGGAAGCCCATAGCGAGGACGTGAACTGAAACCTGGAAGGTTCAATGCTGCGTGAGATACTACACAAGCTTGCTGTGTCTCCAGTAGAGCTTGCCCGTTTCTCTAGCGCGTGCCCATGTCGGCCCGCGGAACCAGAGCTGCCCGATACTTTATGGAATCATGATGGAAATGCTTCAACATCAAAACTTGTCAGAGGCGATTTCTCACCGCTACAAGTGTGGTGACTCAGCTGTGAATCAGTGCTGTAGTGACGACGTGGCAGTTGCTCGGCTGCACAGGGTGTTGAACGAAGGGCGCGCACGAGAGTTTTGCTTTTCGATTGCGACCTGGCCAAGGCCATCCTCGACATCTATATACGGACACAGCAGGCATATATCCAGAGTGCCAATCTCAACGCTGCAAGCGACAGATCCCAATCATCAGACCTGTCCGATCACTTCTTCCGGGACTTCTGTCAACGACAGGACTGCAAGCATAGGCGACCAGCAACGAGGCAAATTTTACTTCACACCCAGACCTGCGGCCACACCGACGAACCCTCACGCCAGGGCACATCGGATACACCGGCCTCGCCAATTGTATATCACTCCAATATAAGGCCGCTCAGTCACCCCAGCTCTTTGCCACAATGGCCAACAACCCACCATCACCACCACAACACCCCCTCTGGCGCCGCACCCCCCTAGTCGAATCCGCCATCCTCTCCCGCTCCGCCGGCTGCCGGATCTTCCTCAAACTCGAAAACCTCCAGCCCTCATCCTCATTCAAATCCCGCGGCATCGGCAACTTCGTCCGCAAAGCCGCCGATGCAGCGGCCGTTGCTGCTTCGCAGTCTGCAGCTCCTACCATCAACGGCACCACTACGCAATCTGGACCCGAAATCCACTTCTACATCTCGAGTGGTGGTAATGCAGGCTTAGCAGCTATCTCAGCTGCTACTACGCTAGGCTACCCGTGCACGGTCGCGCTCCCGACGTCAGCGTCGCCGGCTATCCTCGCGAAGCTAAGGGCTGCTGGGGCGAGCGATGTGCTTGTGCACGGGCATAGTTGGTTTGAGGCGGACCAGTACTTACGGGAAACCGTTATGCCGGACGCGGAAGCACGCAGTGGAGTTAAGGGAATCTACGTGCCGCCGTTCGATCATGAGGATGTGTGGGAGGGGCACAGCACGATGATTGGGGAGATCGAGGCGCAAATGCGGGAGTTAGGAGAAGAGGACAGACCAAATGCAATCGTCTGCTCCGTCGGCGGCGGAGGTCTGTTATCTGGCGTCATTCAGGGCGCGCAAAAGGCAGGCTGGGTTGGTCGCGAAGCGGCTAGCAACGGCACGAAGACTAAAATAATAGCGACGGAGACAGTGGGAGCAGAGTCACTGCACAAATCCCTCGAAGCAGGCAAACAAGTCACCCTGCCGGGGATAACCTCCATCGCGGCCTCCCTCGGTGCAGTACGGGTGGCGGATCGTGCGTTCGAGCTCGCATCTGACCCCTCCAACAATGTCGTCAGTGCTGTGCTGACCGATGCGGAAGCGGCCATGGGCTGCTGGCGGTTTGCGGACGATGAGAGGATGTTGGTTGAGCCAGCATGTGGAGTCAGTGTGGCGCTGGCGTATGAGCCGGACAGGCTGAGAGAGCTGGTTGGGGGCGACTTGAACAGGGAGAGCAAGGTGGTGATTGTGGTTTGCGGAGGCAGTCGGATTGATTTGGATACACTGGAGGAATATAGGAGGAAGTATGGGAAACAGATCGAGGAAATGAGGTTGAGTGGGAACGGAGATGTGCCTAGTGCTCTGAAGGGTGTCTGAGGCGTAGGCAGCCCGCTGAGGTGCTATGATCATGACGAGCTCGGTAGTCAGTGCTCTGGTTCGTGTCTGTAAAGCAATTCCGAGTCCTAAGAAGCAGGTGAGGGCCGGAAGCAGAGCCAAACGACGTTGTCTACATCACGACGAGCGTCTCCCGCTCATGAGTCACGGCTTGAAGCCTGCCTAGCCGACTCAGCCGACCACGTGGGCATTCAAGCCATCTCATCAGTGGTCTCGAACCAGCGATAGCGAGTTCAGAGAGCATGGTGGTGGCAAACAAACAATGTGGTTGCGGATTCAGCTTCTTAGACGCAGCCACGTCAAGGCGTGTGGCTTCACTAGTCTTCAGCGTCTCCTGGACAGTGCACAGACAGACCAAAATTCCCTGGCAGTCGTGCATTGAAGGATGTTTCAGCCTCGTAAGGTCGACTGACTATTCGCTTGGCGATCGTGTAGCCTCGCATTTCCGAGCGAGGCCGTCCGAATTGCGTAAAGTGCTTGTCTCGTGCCTGCATTGGTGTGTGCGACGGAAATGGTGGTCCGTCATTAGCGGAGTTCTGGACTTCGAGCTAGTGGTGGAGTCAGCCATTTTTGCGGGGGGGTGTCCTCGTATTTTGTTGTTCAAGAGTGGCCAGACTGCTTCGCAACAGTCTGTTGAGAGTTCCGAGGCCGGTTTAGCCTGCAGAATGGCTGAATCACCTCAACTGCGAGCGTATGGATGGCAAGCACCTCGCCTTAAGCAGACTGGCTAAGGGAGCAGGTCTCGGCCCATTGCAGCAACGAGTCATTGTCACTCACGTTGACAGGCAAGCCACTTTATCTTTCTCATCGGCCAGCTGAGGGCCACTCGAGTGGTTACACAGCCAAGGCGCAACGGTGCCGCACGGTCCCTCCTGTGGGCGAATTCTGAAGTCGTAAGTAGTACGTAGACAGCAAACAAACTTACGGTTGGCTACTTGGCTCAGCGGTGTTTCAAGCAGTTGCGATGCCAATCTCCGACGGAAGGATGCTGTCATGTACAGACATTGTAGCGGTCGTTGCTGTCGTTCCTGAGCTCGTGCCACTTTGACCGTCATGGGACGTGGATAAGAAAAGAGCTGATAATAAGCACCGCGGAAAGGTGCTTGCAATCGTTGGGAAAATGTTCTGAAATTGGCCTGGAGTCGAGTCGCGGTCTAGTCTGGCAGGGCCAAGCGTTGACTGTATGATGTAGTCTCGGAGTGGTTGCTTGGAAACACCCCTGACTCTGATGCCGCATGCTGTGGTCGTGAATGATGTGCATATGGTTGCTCAGTGCCGAGCCGAAGCGAGCATGGGCTAAAATCGCGTATTAATGGCTCAATAGTCCGAGATCTACTACTCCTGGCTGTAGAAATAGTTCAACAACCCGCGCCGTTGTGTTCTGAGATTTTGAGCCTTCATGCCCAACCTTTGATAAGGTATACTATTCCAAAGAACACTATGAACGACCTTGTACCCCCCGCGGAAGTTATGCCAATGTTGGCGGAGGCAGGGACAAAGAAAGGCAGAACGCATCCTCTCAGGATTTTTTGTTCCGGTGTCGGGGCTGGATGTTTGCTCTCGTTTGCTGCCGCATCGGCATTAACGGTTTCCACATCGTCTTCGGTACGCAGATCGTCCATAAGCTCATGATTCGTGCTAACCAGTCGCTTAGTTGAACGAGACCATGCCAGGCGTCGGTCGGTTGCTTGCTGCTCTTGTCTTTCCACCTGGCATTATTATGGTCACCTTGACTGGCATTGATCTCTGCACAACATCATTCATGGTATGTTTCGTCACGCTTTGGTGGCATAGTCTGACCTGTGTAGTTTACCAGTATCGCAGTGTTCCATCAAAGGCTTTCGATATGGCGAGCTTTGTTGCATTGGGTGATCAGCTTCTTCGGTAATTTGGCGGGTGCTCTCTTCATGGTGTGCGTCATCTTTGGATGTATGTCAGGTCTCATTCCAGCCCGGATGACTGAGCTGACATAGATAACAGATGGCGGCAGCTTTGACAGCGACCCCTGGAAAACAGCGCTTGCCAACTTTGCGACGACTCGTCAAGTCAAGCCGACCTGGCCGATGCTTTTTCTTCGCGGTATAGGCTGCAACTGGCTGGTGTGCTTGGGGTGTTTCTTCGCGATGCAGGGCCGAGGCTTGGTTGCTAAAGCTGTCGCCCTATACATCCCAATATTCACCTTCGTTGTTCTGAGCTTTGATCATGTTGTGAGTACTTCACATCCGTGCCACGACAACGCTGACAACTCTCCAAATAGGTTGCCAATATGTTCTTCATACCAATGTCGATATGGGTAGGACATCCGTCTGTCACGATTGGGCTATACATCTGGAAAGGTATCCTACCAGTGTTGATGGGCAACATTTTGGGCGGCAGTGTGATGTGTGGTGCTTATCATCATCTGATGTATTCGTGGAGGACTCCCGAACACGAGCCAGCAGCACTCTCGCCTAAGTCCGACCTGGAGTCAGGTCTCTCACGACGACCATCGTCATTGACATGCGTGGTCACGGAAACAGGCTCGGCCGCTACTGCACAGATTGTACCCAAAGACTGAAGATAGCAGCAGGTAGTCATGTACAGTAGTAGCTGCTTTCGAGTCAGGGTTGCTTGTTAAGTCACGTGATTACCCGATTTACTGAAATCGATGGCCGCTGCAGCGGAAGGTTTGCTACACGTCCCGCCAACGCGTCTATTCGTACCTCACATCGACATATCTACTGTATTTTGTTGATCTGGAGACCAGCATATCAGCGTGAACAATGTAAGTACAAGCCCTGACTCGATCCCTCATGCGTGTTTCAAAAGCCGGGCTGCATTCTGTAACGGCACGCAGTCAGCCATTGCCCCTGTCCCCTGACTGCTTAGCCTGGCATTTCAGATGTTGGCCCACATCTTTTCCCCCTCTGCTGCCAGGCCTGTCACTCCGAAACAATTTGGCTAGGCGGGTTTGCAGCATTCTGTCGACATCGAGTGCGATAGCAGTCTTCACTATGTCATTATCGTCGCCTGTGCAGTGTTGAACGCGGCTCTCAGAGCTTCCTGGCTAACCTCCTACTCCCGCAGTCATGTCTGGCGGTGTACGAAACCTCCGGGCTATGTTCGAGAATAAGACTGGCGATACCTCGAATTCTCCACCAAGCAGAGGCCGATCTCCAAGCAACTCAGTTGCTTCGAGTCACAGCAGACCTGTGAGCAAGGTCCGAGCCAGCTTTGTGGCAGTCGAACGATCAGGAGAGCAAGGACAACTCTGGGGTCTGCGAAAGGCCAGCGACGTGAGCAGTATGGCAGATGCTTCGAAAGAGAACGAGTCAAGCGTGGTCGATGGGCCGCCGTTGAGCATGTCCAAATCGACACCGGAGAAGAGCCCAGGTGACGGACTGGGATCGATACTGAAGGGATCGTCCTTTGTGGCCACACCTAGCAAAGAGCTGCCGAACAAGATGGAGTTTTTGCCAGAGAAATCGAAAGGTCCATTGACTGCTACGACGGCGAACGAGCAGAAGCAGCCTCAGACCAACGGTATCGGCGCTCGAGCTGCAGATGCCGCAAAGAAGATCCAAGACAAGGCCAAGACAGCGGTCAAGCCGAATCCGCAACCTATCGAGACTACAGCCAGTTCAGACAAGTCGCCAAAGAAGTCACCAAAGACACCCACGAGTGCTGGACTGAAGCCTCGGGGCGGAGTTGCAAAGATACAGGGAGTTGCAGACTCGGCCAAGAAGGCAGCTGAAGGGAGGGAGTACACTAAGAAGGCAACCCAGACCAACTCTGCTCAGAGTCCCACAACACCGAGATCGCCTGCGAAATCTAGCACACGGAAAGACCAGCCAAGAGCTGCCGCAGCGTCGGCCCCGAAGTCGCCAGCAAAGCCCACCTCAGCTCCAAAGTCGCCAGCAAAATCGATAAAGGCACCGTCTGCAGCGACAGCAGCAACAGAAGCGTCAGCAGCGCACAACAGGCCGAACAAGGTGGAAATCACGAAAAAGCCTGCTGTTCACTCGGACAGACCAGTCAAGCTACCCTCAGCAGCCACTGCCACTACTGCAGCGTATGCGTCACACCATGAAGCACCAAAAGTCGAGACAACGAAAAAGCCAGCGCATTCGGATCGACCAGTGAAGCTGCCCTCAGCAGTCACGGCTACGACAGCCGCTTCTGCAGCCCATGAGCGCTCGTCCATCGACACAGAACCCAAAAAGCCGGCTCCTAGAAGACAGTCGGCAGTGACTGGCACCAAGCCAAGACTTTCAACCCTAGGCACTCAAGCATCGCTGGCCAAGAAGGCGTCGAGAGCATCGTTGGCAGATCGCCCAAAGTCACGCGCGAGCTTAGCCAAGCCAGACGATGGTTTCCTGGCAAGGATGATGAGACCAACTCAAGCGAGTTCTCAGAAGACCCACGACAAGGTTCAGATAGACAGCCCACCCAGAGGTAAGGCTGCAGCTCCGACGTCAACGAAGCCAATTCCTAGACCAAGCTTGAACAGCCAAGCGCACCACGATCGTGCTAATGGACAGAAAGCGCGTAGCGAGAAATTGCCGATCACTCCAGTCACACCTACCTCGCCCAAGCAAGCCAGAATTGTACATCAGACCCCAGGTTCGAAAAAGATCGAGACACCAAAGAACGGGAAGACCGCCACAGGACACCACCACCATGACCACGTGGATGCAGATGGCGATTACTCAAAGCCACCCAGGAGCCCTGTCGCAGCGAAGCATGTAAAGCCTGCGTCTCCAGAGAAAGCGCAGTCAAGCGAGCCCGCAAAGGACAGCACATCAAGAGGTCGAGCACATAATGATCACATCGATGTCGCTGGTACATATGCAGAGAAAGGCCCAAATTATGTGGACGCCTCCAAGAATATTGAGCATGAAACCGTGCAGGAACCAGTCGAGGAGGGCGCCAGTAGTCCGGTCAACGGCATGGATACTCCTGGCACGACGAACGGTGCTGAGGCAAAGGCGCAAGAGACAACACCGCTGCCTCTGACAGAGCCAGAGCCACTGTCAGAGACCAAGGGCGAAGCGCAGATTCCACCTCCGAGGAGTCCTCTGGCGGAGCCGGTCACTGAGCAAGCCGTCACTGCTTCTGAGAGCAAGACCGAGGTTCCCAGTACCTCAACGCGACCAGCAGAACCCAGCACGGAAGCTGGATCTACCACAGTCGAGACCCCGGAGCGTCGCAAGCCTCGCAAGCTAGGTCCCAGCAAGAAGAATTCGGTATCGAACGTACAATTTGAGGCAAATGTGCCACGAGCGCAAAGCTCAGATCAGCAAGCCGTTCTTCCTAAGGCTGAAGTTCCTACCACTGGTGAGCAAGAATCGGAAACCCAGCCTGTTTCGAGTCTGCTAGGGATACGCGGTAATGACTAGAAAGCGACCGCGATGCCACGGGGCCCGCCCGGCGGGAAGCGCCAGTGGTCAGGTTCTACCGGTCTTTGGCGTGGGCCCTGGTCATGAGGTGGCCTTCAGCTTTCCGAAGAGAAGGAGCTTTGTCAGAGAGCCATTGTATTCGTTCGCTCTTGAGGATAGCAGAAAGCATGGCGGGGCGGGCTCTGCCTGATCGACCTTAAGACTCGTCTTTCATTTGTACGTTGTGTGTGCCCGGCTGTGGCTTTTCAAAGTTTTGAGAAGGAAGTGAGATTTACTCGTAATGGATTGACAAGCCGGGAGGCCTTCGCTTATACGGCGCTGTGCGCTGACTAGGGAGGGAATATAGCAGTCGAGGACTCACCAGGTCCACTGCTGTAGACCAGCAGTTTCTCAGGTACCAATATCAGGAGCTGAGAAGAAGTGATGAATCTTGTCTCTCTTCATTTTTTACCCGACCCGACCTTGCTGATTTCGCAAGTCGCGCTGTGGTGCTCTGACTCGAATGCCTGCTACAGTGCAGACGTTGTGCCTTGTGCCGTTTCTCTATTCCGAAGATCTTCGAGGCATCTACGTGATTGACGCCATTTCTTGCCCATGAATGCTTGAGCCGACCTTTTTGATCCATATGCAACACTCCTTGGGTGCCTCGCCCTTTGCGCATAGCTGTGTCGACTTTCTCGTCCACGTGGCGGCCTTGCTTCGTGCAGTGCTTCCTGATGATCCGAACTATAAGGTAAAGCCATCCGTCGATCTTGGGCCGGGCCGCGCGTATCCATCCATATGCTGTGTGCCCTCATCTGGGGCTAAGCCGATATAACGACAACCATCGATGCAGTCTTGTTTCTGAATGATAGACGAACGTTTCGGAACCTGATCTGGACGGCCGTTCGAGCTGATGAGCGGATAAGACTTGGATCATTTGTATCCTGGAGCAATCCATCGCTCTTTGCAAAGATACCATACACCCTCACTACCGTCCACCAAACCCAGGCGGCGGCGGAAAGCCCCTCCCACCGCCCGGCGGCCCACCCCCAAACCCTGCCGGAGGCCTCCAAAACCTGGCGGCGGACCACCCCTCCCTGGAAAACCACCCGGCGGACCAGCACCAGGCATCCCCGGTGGCGGTAACCCACCCCCAAATCCTCCAGGCGGCGGTGGTCCACCCACACCTGCAGCCGGTCCTCCCAAGCCTACAGGCAGCCCACGTCCCGCTGGTCTCGAAATACCAATGCCAGGCTGTAGTGTTGTCGCCGCCGCACCGCCTCCGGGCGCGCTAGTGCCGAGACGAGCAGAGGGGTCAGATGGGGGCGGGCCCTCGACGGAGCAGGAGACGATGTTCGTGCCGCGGAGGATGACGAGGCCGAGGGTGCGTTTTTCTTCTTGGTAGGTTACTGCGGAAGATGAGTCGGTGGCGCCGGGCGCGCCAGGGCGGGCGGCAGCGCGTTTGCGGGATTTGCGGAATTCTTCGGTGTCGGCGAGGACGAGGTTCATGTGCTGTGGAGGGAAAGAGGTTAGTCAGTGTTGCTCTGGGGACAATAGGGAACATGAGGGAGGGGAGAACGGGTGGGTGTCGTACCTTGTCGAAGGCGAGCATTTGCCCAGTCATCTGCCGGCCGTCATTCAGGATGACACGCATGCGGTAGTTGACGAGGTTCTGCATCTTGCCTTGCTTGTTCGCCATGATGGGTGTGTTGCACACCGAAGTGCGACTTTCTTCGAAGTTTTGTGGTTGTACAAAAATGAGCGTTGCGTGGGAGAGAGCCGCGGCTTCCTCTACGCTGCCAGGTCGATGGCTACTTGGGTCGTCTTGGGTACGAGAAGACGGAAGCAGGCTCGAAATGACGGTACGTGTGATTTGTGTAAGTGGTCAAAAAAGATGCAAGGCTGTCACCTCCAACAAGCTGGGGATTGTGCTATATCGCGCTAAGTCGAAAGCAGGCTAGTCTGACTCTTGGTCTTGGCAAGCACACTCCGAATTCTGCAGAAGTTCCGCTCCACCTGCGACGACTTCAGTTCTCAATCGTCGACCTGCGCACTTCGACAGCTCACACAAACACTCTGTCCTCTTCGTTAAACCCACCATCAGGAACATACTCCAAGATGGCGGAAGGCAATGACAAGAGCTCCAACCCTATGCGTGAGCTGCGCATTGACAAGCTGGTCTTGAACATCTCGGTCGGCGAGTCTGGTGATAGACTGACCCGTGCTGCGAAAGTGTTGGAACAATTGAGTGGTCAAACTCCTGTCTACAGTACGGCAACCCTCTCTATTCTTCATCGAACGAGAGACTTCAAGAAATACGAGAGCGATATAGCTCGTTGAACAATGACTAACAATCTCCCCCACAACAGGCAAAGCCCGCTACACCGTCCGCTCCTTCGGTATCCGACGTAACGAGAAGATTGCCGTACACGTCACCGTCCGTGGTCCCAAAGCTGAAGAGATTCTCGAGCGCGGTCTGAAGGTCAAGGAGTACGAGTTGCGAAAGAAGAACTTCAGCGAGACTGGCAACTTCGGTTTCGGCATCTCAGAGCACATCGATTTGGGCATCAAGTATGATCCTGCGATCGGTATCTATGGAATGGATTTCTACTGCTGCATGTGAGTATACACTACGTCGAGAAGGTCGATGTTATAGGGGAGAATCATGCTGACAACTGGGAACAGGACTCGGCCAGGTGCACGCGTTGCGAGACGGAGACGGACAAAGTCTGCTGTCGGTCGGTCACACAAGGTCGGCAAGGATGACAGTGTCAAATGGTTCAAGAATCGATTCGAGGGTATCGTCCGCTAAATCACCATTCACAATACTCGGTATTGCGAGCATGAGATTCCAGCCGCGGAGGAAGAGTAACTTCTGCACATGCGGAAGCTTGTCGACAGGTGCTTTCGATGGACAGGAGCAATCTCGCATCGTCGAATCCATCACATGGCAGGATCACTGGCACTGCATGCCGGATCACGGACATCAGTCAGGTCTTAGAGAAGGAGCGACTTGATAAGTTGGCCATGGAGGAGTCAGCAGCGTCTATGGCACGCTTGATTGCACGTCGAAGAGCTGCGGTCTTAGCGACATTCAAATGAAATCGTTCGAACTCCTATGACAATTTCTGCTTTTTCAGAATTCTCAGAAGATAAGTATGCAGGTGTTAGGTGTTGTGTGCCTATGTACCTAGCCATGACCTTCAAATCCCAACGCCTTCGCTATCATGCAGTCTCCAGAGGGAAATACATCTATCCACAGATATATCCAGATTCATATCAAGTGAATGTCAGACCAAGCCAAATCGCTCGAACCGCTCACTTTTCATGTCCCACGTTCGTCACAGTCGTTCCTACTCTCTTGACGTCCCATACTACATACCAGGACATTGGGCCGCAGTTCCTCGTGCATGAACGTCTTCAATTGTACCGCCTTTGCCTTCTCTTTCCCTTGACCTTCATCTCCTTGACTTCTCCATCGTCCTCATTTTCGTCAGCTGCTTCATTATCAACAACTCCTGCATCTCCTTCGATACTTTCATCCGCTCAGCGGCATCGTTCACGCCGTCTCCTCAGGGTTCCAATCCCCTCAGTCTCAGCAACTCCGTCGCGTCCTCGTCCTGCTACCTCTCCTTCCTGCTGCAGCGCAAAAGCTCACTTTTCTGTCATCTACAAGTCTCTCAACTTTTCGATTCCATTTCTCAGGACATGAATTCCTCGTTCCCACCCATTCTCGATCGTCCTACCGGACTTCTACTGCTTCTCCCGCTGTCCCCTTCCAACGGGCTGACCGGACTTCCAGGCAGACTCGCTCCCACAACACTGATACTTGGCAGGTTCACCAAGGCCGGCAGCTGCGGTGCGCTGCCACTCGCTGCTCCAGCCGGCTCGATCGTGGAAGCTCGACTCATCTCGTCGAATGCACGCTGGCTGTTAGTCCTGTTGGGACCTGTAGCTTGCCGCCGCAGCGACGCCATCCGCTCCTGGTATGCCGGAGCATCACCCCAATCTTGAGGTGCTTCCCAGCCTGGAGGCGGGGACATCGGCGAGTCGGTATTGTTGTTGGCGATGTCAGTCGTGGTGATGGAAGTCGATGGAGGTGGGATGCGAGCCTCGCCGATATCGTTCTCCCCTTCTGTGCTACCCTCAGGCGTAAAGCGAGTCGCTGTTGGAGAGGAGTCCGAGGTTGTGTCGTCGGAGGAGGTGTGCCGGTGTGACGAAGCGTCGCCTCCTGCGTGAGTTGAGGTTCCTGGGGTGGCTCCGGACTCTCAACGTCCGATGCCATTGTGGAGATACTCAAAGCCGAGGACCCGGATCGTTCGCGGCCAGTCGAAGGTCGTCCTGTGGTCATCGATGGATGTAGTGAGTTTCCATCATCGCCCATCGGTGCCGCATTATCTAACAACCCACCACGCTCCGATTCGGAACTGTTCGCGCGTATTCGCGTCCCGTCATGGCGCACTTGCCCTACATTTGCGTACGCCACACTCGAGGTCCTGCGATCCCGACTACGAGACTGGTGCTCTGCGACCATCGTCGCAGCTGAGACGCTCAGTCCGCCGTTGAGCGAGTTGGTGCTCTGATTGTTCGCTCTCGCCCGCGAATCACGCCGCAATTGCTCCAGTCGGGCAGTATCGCCAGCTTCCCGAGCCTCCCTCCGCTCCTGCCTGCGTGCCTCCCGCTCCGCGATCTCTCGCCGCCGTTGCAGCCGGATCTGATACAACGACTCCATCTGTTCCTCCCGCCGTATCTCTTCCTCATCGTGGGTCTCCGGGAACTCGACAACTGTGTCCATTCCCTCACGCTCTCCTTCACGGCCCAAAACTTGCTCCTCGTCTCGTGGGGAGTGCGAGTAGGCGGGCAGCGTCATCACCGAGCGCACGGAAGTGTTCCGATCGACGCCGGCCGCCGCGGCATTAGTAGCAGCTCGCTCTTCGGTCTCGTGGGCGCTGTACGTAGTGTTTACGTTGAGGCTGGTCCGTGTCGAGTTGTTGAGAGAAGAGTATTTTTCGCGGGGCTTCCAGGCCTCCCAGCGCTTCTTGAGAAAGCCAGGATGATCCACGGTGTCTGACCCCGGGCACGTTTGCGGCGGAGGTATGTCCACGTTAGGGTGAGGATAATGATAAGGGCGACGACTGCTACCGCGACCTGGGGACAAGCATATCAGTAAAGGACCCTTGGGGAACCACTGGGAGGCCCTCTGCCGTTGTGGACGCTCTTACAATGATCAGAATGGTGTTGCTGCCTCCGCCTCCGCCGCCATTGCCGTCTCGAGGTGGACTCGATTGCCGGGCCTCGAGGACGACTGTGCGTTTCTGGATGGGCCGTAACGACCGCGATGGGGCGGTCATCATGATTCTATCGTTATATTGTGGTATGTGCAGAGAGCGCCTGAGCGCACGCAGATCGTGCAAATTGCTCGATTTCGTGCTCTGCTGATGGGCGAGTGAGCCGCCGCACGCCGTCGTCAGCTCAGCACGAGTACCCGCAGATCGTGCTTTCCAGGTGTGGGGACGGGGACTCGACAATTTCGATTTCCTCGCAGTCGATGTCGCTGAGTGGGAGGGCGGAAGTGTACAAAGAGATCAATGACTACAGACAAGGCACGACAGATAGTGTACAGTATATTCGCTTCATAGTGAGGTGATGATGGGGGCTATAATTATCGACAACGAGAACGAGGAAAGTTGGCGGTGCATCGCATCTTGCACCAGCTTGTCAGCTTTGGCTTTTGGGGAAGTGGACGCGGGTCGTTAGGTCACGGCAGGGGTCTTCTCATGCCGTCAGCCAACGGCAGTGGTGGCCCTGAAAGTACTTCGTAGGCGCTCATTTTTCAGGCAAATGGGCTGCCGGCAATGCTCGTTCTTTTGGCTACCTAGGTAGGCATGTGGCTCTGAGCTGCGCCTGCTTCCGTGGCTTGCTCATGAACAATACCTTGGGCATAAATTCCGGCCGTAGACACATGTACAGTATGTGCTTGTTGTAGTATGACGCGAACGCAGCTTCCATGGCCGACGAAGATGCGAGATCTCAGACTTTAACAAGTGCACGACACGCTGAAACAGTGCAGCAGCAATGAGCAACCACAGGTTCGTTGTGGTGTGCCGTGGGTGAAACACTGCCACTGATGCTCATGCACGATATGCTAAACTTGTGATCTGACTGCTAGTGAAATAGGCGGGGTTTAGGTATGCAAAGCCCTGGAGCAAGCCTTGGCGGGTGTCATTCCATTGTTTACGCTTGCCGATTCGAGTGTTGATTGATTGATTCTCCAAATTTCGACTTTACGACTGCTCGTACTTCCTCGACTTTACTAACGACAACATCAATCCGCCAGTATCGACCACAGGTAAGCCACACTAGAACGCGAGGAATACCAACACGATGCCAGTCGACGCCGGTGTCCACGACCGAGGCACGTATTTCAGCAACTACAGCAGTATTCACTCCATCGACGCGTACGTCGGCCGTCAACAAGTCATGTACACGCCTGGCTCATCACCGCCCGTCAATCGTCGCGCCAAAGGAAGCTCGAGGTTCAGAACAAAGCAGAACACAGTGTCTCAGTCGATCATGATGCCCGCCAATATGCCGAATTCCTCTCAGATTCTCCCCGAGCGTGGAAGTCTACGCGATGTTCATGTACACTACAACATTCCTGCCGACGAGAAGCAGATTGTTGCGTCACTGCGAGCTCTTCAAGAGCAACTCGACAATGCGCTGGTACAGATCTCGGACCTTACTAAGGAACGCGACGATGCGCGACATGAGCTCAAGCGGCTTCGAGAGACTACAAAGAAGAGAACATCATTTGCGAAGCGATTCGATGAGGAAGAGCACTCTCACATCGAGGAAGAGCTATTCGATCTGAGCAGAGTGTCAGACTCACCAAAGCTATCTCCGCAGCGCATTCAGAAGAGTACTGCCAGCAAGTCTACACAGAAGACCACAACAGACAAAAACGCTCGACTGATCTCCCACATCTCCTCTAAGAGAGTCGCCTCACACTCTCCCAACCACGACCGTCACATGAGCAAAGACAACGACGACAAGCGCAGCTCCAAACGTGCCATGGTCCAAGACACCGAAGAGAGCCTCAACGCCGACATCACGGCTGCCTCTAACATCTCGCGACGCCGACGTCCTTCTCTCGACGACAACATGACTTCTGCCTACATCATACCTGATATCACCCTCGCCCTGAAGCACCAACAGCAACAGCATGCTCAAGAGCAACAGAAGCGGAAGTCCTCCGAAAAAGCAGGCGCTCTATCTACCCAAGCCCAAGCAATCCTCCACGAGCACGACCCCCAACATATTGCTTCGTGCGATGTCTGCCAACGCCTCACCCACACAAATAAGACCAAGCCCACCAACGCACGAGCCAACTCCGAGCCTCCCAAATCGTCCACCGCTAAGGCCGGCGAGTACACCGCCCATCTCAACATCATGATGCGCGACATGGCTCTTGACGAACTCACCGCCCGCCCCAAGATCCCGCCTACGCACGCACTGGCCCACATGAAGAAGCTGCTGAATGATCAGTACGAGCAGGCGAAGGAGAAGCACGGCATTGCGTGGGAGCGATACGATGCGATCGACGCGCCGCAGCAGAGTAAGAAGCATAGCGCTATCGCGGAAGATTTGAGGGTTCATGCTGCCAAAATGGAGGAGTGCAGGGTTAACCTGGACCAGTTGAGGGATGTTGAGGAGGGAATGAAGAGGAGTGGCTAAAAGCGCGATGGTTGTGTGTGCTCGTAGGGATTGCGACTCGAGCGACTGGTAAATGGATTTCAAGATCGATCGGGACGGATACAGTCAGTGACATGAGGGCTCGGAAGACCTCGGCTTGGACACTGCGATGGAACCAGGCTTCTTGATGAAAGAACATGCTTGAGGAGTGCGGGATCCAGACATCACAGGTGTCCGGGCACTGACAGACCACTGGGTCTTATTACGAATCTGAGAGCATCAGCTGGTCCAGGACCAGGACCGGCATCGGCGTTGCGGGTGTACCTTCTCTTGTATTATCAGGGACCGTCTGGCGTTCTAAGAAGGAAAAGCGGGCATATGTGCTGCTGTGAATCAATAGCGTTCAGCGAAGTTTTGCGACAGATCGATTCCTGTGACGCTAGAGCACAGCAGCGGAGGCGCGATGAATGAAATGCCAGAGCACTTTTCTTTTCTTATCTGTCCTCTCAATGTGTCAGTGTTTCTGATATCTGCCCCGGCTCCTATAGCCATTCGCGATAGAGGTGATCGAATGTACGGGGCGAAACGACCCCCTTATGCCACCAACTTCTGCCTCTCACCCCTACTACTAGAGTGGTCTTCAGCAGAAAGGCACGGCGTCAGAGATCCCCGCTCACACAACCACACTCCGCGGCTACCGCTTGCTGAGAAGCAAGGGTTGCGAAGAGAGGAGCGAGTTCTTGATCTTGGAGTTGAGCTGCAGGACCGAGACCTGGAGTGCCACCATGGAGGTGCAGGGAATCGGCACTCAGTCGTTGTTGAGGTGGTCCTGCTTATTGGGGACTCCATCTTGTAACGCAAATGTGGAAGTAAGAAGGCGTGAAAGACACACATGGACACGCATAATGGGACCAGACTGAATGAAACGAGTGATTGTGGTCACCGTAGTTCGTCACGATCGTGTTGACCAGACTTTCGTCAGCAGATAATGTAGCAGGCAGCCTGCGTGGACATGGAGCGACAGTCGCGGCTCGATCAGGCTCTGCTTCAACCCAATCACCCTCGCAACCTCGCAGCCTTGAAACGACTGACTCTCTTGACCTCTCCCGTCTCTTCGTTCACCAGCACGTTTCCACCCATCAACTCGTCATCTTCATCCTGCTCGATGTATCCGTCACTGTCCCACTGGTCTCGTACGAACCCGCCTTGCTCGTGGATCTTCTGATTGCGCATCTTGTGGTACTCTAAGGCGATCTGGCGGCGGTGCATTTCGTCATCGATGGCATCGTGATCGGGTGGGGCAGAAGTGAGCGAAGTCGGTCGTTCGAGGACTGTGGGTGCTACCAGGGGACGATCGGCGTCTGCTTGGGGGTCGTATTCGGCTTCGTGAGTATACTGTCTGCTACTGGCGCTCGGCTGCTGCTCTGCCGCAGTCGCGGTGCCGGTCGCTGTGCGCCGGGAGGCTTTGAAGCGAGACGCTGGCTTGCTGGTTGATGGTGCTGGAGGTGGAGGCGCCGGGTCGTTCTCTTGATCGACATCACGTTCCAAGACTGTCTCGCCGATTGGGTTGACTGTAGCTGTTGGTGTTTTCTCTGCAGCCTTGTGTTCTACTGGCCGTTCTTTGGCTATGTCGAGATCATCGGCGAAGGCGACACTCTTTCTTGGCTTCTTTCGCAGTGGTAGTTGCTTTGGCGCTGCCTCATCTCGAGCGATGGCTGCTTTGCGTGCAGCTTCCGCGGGCGAGGGCCTATCGAGCGCGTTTTGTACGTCAGGTGGTAGTGCTGGCGTTGGTCCGAGGTTCTTGAGGTCAGTAAGACCGAGCCGCTTCTCCAGCTCTTGCATTTTCTGCTTGTACTTCTCGGAGATGACAGGATGTTTTACACGGCCGTGCTCGTCTTCGGACTCGTCGTCGTCGTCATCTTCGTCATCGTCGAAGTCGGAGTCCATGACAAGGTTGTCGTCATCTTCGTCGTAGGACACATCGGTGTCGCCTTCTTGCATGTCGAGTTCGGCGACGATGGCACCGACTTCATCTAGACCATATTCCAGCATTTCCCTTCTAATCTGCGCCTCTTCTTCGGTGTCTCGAAATTGGACGGCTATAGGGTTCTCGCCGCTTCGAACCGGTAAATTCGACCTGTCAATGACTTCTTCGATTTCGGAGTCGTCATCATCTGAACTGCTGGCTTCTACCAGCCGGGACGTTGTGTCAGAAGCTCTGGAGCTGGTCGCGACTGTGGCTTTCGTGCTGGCTAGATCTTCTGATACATCTGCGCTGTTGTTGTCGGGTTTGAATCCTTCCACACCAGCTTTGCCTAATGCCTCAGCTAAGCCGGCCGCACCAGAAGCTGGGCGATCGACTTTGCTCGAGATCACATTGCCGTCTTCGTCGAGTATTTCAGTGATTTCTGAAAGGGGCAGGATGGCATCTTCTCGCGTTTCTGGTTCTTCGACAAGCAAGAGGGCATTCAGCTTTTTCTGTTCCGCTGTAATTTGCTTCCGTATGCTGTCAGCATTTCTAGTCACGTAGTCAACCCGATTCGACAGAAGGCCAGCCACTTGTTTCGGCGTGCGGGCTGTGGAATTCTTCTCGGTTATCAGCTCCAGTAGATCCTTCTCTCCAACAGCAACTGATCCGAAATCCTTCGCCACACGGAGGCAATCATCCTTGGACGCATCGACGGGCAGCAGATCGAATTCTTCACGTAGTCCTTCATAGTCGAGTTCGAGATTTTGCCAGTGGCGCAAGGACTTCCGGAGCTTTGCAATATTTTCCTCAAGCGCGAGTCGTTGCTGCTCAACCTTGTGGAGCACAATTGGGTCCATCCTTCCGTGATCGTTCCAAGGAGACCTGCGAAAAGTGTGATTTGCACTCGGGAGTGTACAGTGTCGCTGTAGGAGGGTCTCTAGTTCAGTGCTTACTTAGGCCCGTCGAGGTTGATCTTGAACAGGATTATCATAATGAATTGTATGAGGAGGACGTTTTTGTTGTTCGTATTCTGAGCAGCTACTTCGCGAGGAACTAGGCTGAGACCGTAGAGAACGCAAAGTTCGGCGTATGGGTCGAGGAACGGGTAGCGGTGACTTAGAAAAGCGAGTACGACGCCCAGAGATAGAATTGAGAGAATAAGGATGATCAAGATTGTATGTTCGCGCTTCTTCTCGTCGGATAGCTGAGGTGGCTGGCCGGATCTGTCAGTACTGTTGATACGAGAATCTTCGAGGAGAGGAAGAGTCTCTTCCAAATCACGAGGTGACGTTTCTTTTCCCATGGCTGACTCGCGTCAAAGGGAGATGAATTTTCAACAGGAAGTATTGTACAGGCGATGGTTTAGTCACGCTTCCTCCAATCGTACGGATCTCAAAGCAGATGAGTCCTGGCTAGTCGATACTGCAGTCCGTAGTTTGATGATGATCTGGGAATGGAAGAAAGACGGAAAGCGCGTGCAGGCGTGGATTTATACTCACAGTGTTCCAAGGTTCAAGGTACTTCAGGTGCCGCGCTGAGTCTGTGTAAGACCTCAGCCCAACTCAAAACACTTTCAGCGGGACGTGACGTGACTTTCGGCGCCTCTTTTGACGATGTTCGTAGTGACTCGGGAATGGTAGCATGTGAAGTTCGACGGAGACATCAAGGACTTCTATTTCAGCAATTGCCAGGCAATTTTGCCGCTAAGACCGACTTAGTCAGCCGTTGTTGCCTTGCCGTATTTCAGTGATCGCCTTCCATATCACATACACCCTCGTTGTCGCCGTCACCCTTTCATTCGCTCTCTAATCGCGACAGTGCACCCGCTACCGGAAGGCGCGATCGTTGCAACCATCATAATGGCACCCATCGCCACCGCGCCAGATCAGTGCCCGGTATGCAAGGGCGACCAGACTACGAATCCGCACATGCAGTTCAAGATCAACGTCGCGTGCTATCATCGGATCTGCGAAAGCTGCATCGACCGTCACTACAAGGACTCTGGATCGAAGAACTGCCCGGTCTATGGCTGCGACAAGATCTTGTGGAAACGGGACTGGCGGAAGCAGACATTCGAGGATCTCAGAGTTGAGCGGGAGGTTGAGATCCGAAAGCGAGTAGAGGCAATGTGAGTATTATCACCGGTCCCAACAACATAAAGCTGACTCAGCAGACTGCAACGTGACGAAGACGAATTTGAGGATCTCAGAGCCTACAACGACTACCTGGAGCTTCGCGAGATTATGGTGATGAATCTCATCCTTAACACAGACGTCAATGCCACAAACAAAAAGCTTGAGAAGTATCAGAGAGCGAACAATCACTTCGTCGACAAAAGTCTGAAGGATGCTACAGGCCAGAAGCCCAAGAAACGAGCGGTTGACGACAGCGTCGCAGACCCTAGTGGTCTGATTCAAGGCTTGAGGAAGATCGTCGCCCCTGTTCGAATCCCTGATTACGACGCTTTCGAGGGAATGCACGCTGCGTACGATTACTTTACACTCAAGGATGAGTATCACGAGCACTGGACCAAGGGAGGTATCTCATCAAGTGCACTTGCTGGCGGTTTCGATTTCCAGGTGAGTCGGACCACGTTGTCATTCCCTTTGGAATGCCTATTGACTTGTATGTTCAGGCGACAGCCGAAGAAGCCCTACTCACGGCGTTCGCTGGCCTGGGCGTCTTCATCGAGGACGAGAAAGCTCAGGCTGTAGGTGCGACGGCATCGTCCTTTACGCAACCTGCCAAAACGGCTGTTGATGATGTCTTTTAATGGAAATGACATTAACGACTGCACCTTGTCATGCTGCTACACGTCGACGTCGATCTCCGACAGCCGTGCTTGGCGAGGTCGGACTTCCACTCGAGATGAGTTGATCTTCTCCAAATTACCCCCATTTTCGGTTGTGCGGCACCATGCATTTTGCGAACATGCACCACAAGCGTAAAGAGTGGTGGGCACGGTCTATAATGACTCTTACTGCTCTTTCTGTGACCGGATTTTTTTACCAGTGTCTTCATGGATGCTGTTGTCCATGACCGCCATCCAGCTTCCGCACCAGATATCAACAGATGACGATCAGCGACTTGGAGAAACCCGAGGCTATCGAGGAGTATGACGACAATGGCTTAACCAGAAGTCCAACCGCCGTCGATGATATTGGACGAGCAGATGCGTTGCAAAAGACGACGTCCGCCGCCAGCGCAAAGGTCAAGGCCACCATAGGCAATGTACTCAGCGCGACAGCGTCTCGAGTAACGACTCGCCACATCACCGACCCAGGGCCTGCCCCAGATGGTACGTCGCCTCTCCAAACCAATGAATCAGAGCAAGGCAGAGGCATTCGTCACAGATCAGTGACTCTGCTGGTTGCCACGGGGTCTAGTCGGGCTGAGGACGAATGCTGACTGCTTGGACAGGAGGAATTAAGGCATGGATACAGGTAGCGATGGCTTTCCTGACTTGTGTGTCGACATGGGGATACATAAATTCTTTTGGCGTCTTTCAGACATACTACACGGAGGCGCTGGGTGAGACTCCTTCAACAGTCTCATGGGTCGGGTCCCTGCAGCTGTTCGTGATCTTTGCAGTCAGCGTCTTTTCAGGTCGGGCCCTCGACGCTGGACTCTTCCTGCCTACGTTCGTTACGGGAGCCGTCATTCAGGTCGTTGGGATATTCAGCAACAGCTTCTCTAAGACGTTCTGGCAACTACTGCTGAGTCAAGGAGTCTGCACAGGCCTCGGGTCTGGGATCGTCTTTTGTCCAGCGATGGGGATCGTGACCACATACTTTCTGGAGAACAGGGCGCTCGCGATCGCAATTGTCAGCACAGGAAATTCTGTTGGTGGTATTGTCTACCCGATCATTGTGCGATCACTTCTTCCTAAAATCGGGTTTGCATGGACAATCCGAGCACTTGGTTTCGTCAACCTGGCTTGCTTGGCAACAGCTACCGCCTGCTTCAGAGCACGACTTCCACCACGCAAAGGAGGACCAATCGCCGAGATTTCAGCATTTCGAGAAGTGCCGTATCTGTGTACGGTGCTGGCCTTCTGTTTTGTCTTTGGCGGCTTGTTCTTCACCTACTATTTCGTAAGTACACTCACCAAGTGGTGATCATCGGTGCTGACTCCGCATAGCTTGGATCTTTCGGCCGTGACGTGATCGGGATGTCTTATACCGAGTCCACAAACCTGATCACGATCTTCAACGGAGTCGGTGTCCCCATACGACTCCTGACCGGACACATTGTCGACAAATATGTTGGACCGTTGAACGGAATGATCCCACTGCTATTTCTGAACTCGATCTTCGCGTTTGCCTGGACCGGAGTAAAATCTAGAGTCGGCATGTACGTGTTTGCTGCTTTCTACGGATGCTCGGCAGGAGCATTCCAGTGTCTCTTCACGACAACGATCACAAGCCTGAACAAGGACATGTCGAAGAATGGAGTGAGGATAGGCATGGCATTCTCAGTCTTCAGTTTAGCTGGGTTGACCGGTCCGCCTATCGGAGGAGCGTTATTGCAGACGAATGGAGGCGGAAGAGGTGGATATATGGCAGCTCAAATTGGTACTGGGCTTGCCACGCTGCTCGGGGCTTGTCTGATGTTGGTTGCCAGGATCAAGAAAGACGGGTGGACATGGACAAAGTGCTGAGTACTATTACTTTTGACAGAGGTCTCCGTACGTGGAAGCGGCCAACCTCAAGTCCGGAGTCAAGATTGATTTCCCAATCTCCACGGAGTGACGCTTATCTAGATAGCTGGTATTCGCGCTATCACCGTGAAGACTTTCAATTGATGATGTGTTTGTAACTCGCAAGCCATGGCATTAGCCATGCATTCGCCAGATTCCACCTCCGGTCTCTTTATAGCGGCAGCCTTGTAAAAAGACAGCAAGGCTGAGTCGCCAAGATTTCGCGGAGCGGCACACGTATTTTCCTCTGAACGACCAACGACTTCAGTCCTGTGACGGAGACTCGCATACACCGCTGAACCACTCACAATCACGATGCCCGGTCCATCGAATACCCTCCTGATCGAGGGATCGTTCTCCGAGCTGTCGGAGGAACTTGCGCAGTTCATCGACGGAGTCGCGAAAGCCGAAGAAGGCGCAGGCCTGCGCGGGGACATCAAAAGCAGTATTGAGGAACTACAACAAATAGAACAAGCCGGGGATGCACAATCAGCAGACCAGACTAAGGTCCAACAATTAAAAGATGACATACTCAAGAAAGTGGTCACCAAGGCCGCCGACCTCAACAAGGCACCCGAGAAAGGTAGAACTGAACCGTCACGATCTCCGGGACAATACTAACAGCCAGCAGAATTCACAGCAGCATACAACCTCCTCATCAGCCTCTGTACACAATCCTCAATCCGCGATCAACTCTTCGCACGCCTCTGCTCATACCTCGAACAACCCATAACCAGCGCCATCACCCACGGCTCATCACTCGCGATCGCAACCCTCACAACCATCTTCAACGTCCTCCCCCCAACCAGCGAAACCCGCTACCACGTCTTCCTCGCCATCGTCAAAGTAATCCGCGCCAAATCCTCCCAACAAGCATTCGACGCCCTTATCCCTCAACTCGAAGCCAACATCTCCTCCTGGGCCTCCGACTGGCAACTCGATGAAGAAGACCTCCGCGCCCTGTACGTTGCCGTAGCCGACGTCGCCAACGCCAGCGGCGACCAAGACTTGGGCTACAAGTACAACCTGCGCGCAATGGAGACCATTGCCCCCTCAGCCGCCTCAAACCAAGAAGCGCACGACCTCGCCCGAAAAGTCCTCGTGCAAGCCCTTTCAAACCCCACCGTCACAGATTTTACCCCCCTTACGACCTCCGATGCGATCCAAGCCCTCTCGAAATCAGACAGCGCGCTATTCGAACTCCTCGAGATCTTCTCCTCGGACGACTACTCCGCCTATACCGACTTCCTCGAGACCAACGACCTCTCATCCCTTGGCTTCTCCGGCTCATCTGGTGACGTCCTCGCCAAGAAGATTCGCCTGTTGACCTTCGCCAGCATTGCCGCCTCCACACCGTCCCGATCCGTGTCATACTCCACTATTGCCTCTGAGTTGCATATTCCAGCTGAGGACGTCGAGATGTGGGTCATCGACACCATCCGCGCCGGCCTTGTGGAAGGCAAACTCTCGCAACTCCGCCAGGAGTTCCTCGTGCAGCGCGCTACATACCGCGTATTTGGCGAGCGGCAATGGGCAGAGATTCAAGGCCGGCTGAACGTCTGGCGGAGAAGTCTGGAGAGTGTGCTGCAAGCCGTGCGCGCAGAGCGTGAGCGATTCCTGCGGGAAGGCCCAGGTGGTGGATATGATGATAATCAAGGATATCAGCAACGGAATGGCTATCAGGATGGTGGCGAGAGAAGGAGAGGGGGTGGCGGCGGCAGAGGTGGATTCAGAAACAACCAAGATCGCGGGCAACGGCAGCAGGAGCCGGTCGATGTGGGCGGTGATTGAGAAGAAGGCGCTGGTAAAGAAGTTGAGTAGTACCTGCGTATGAGTGATGGGACACGACAGACTTTCAACACGACGCTCACGGGATGACTGCGCGTGTTCTGCGCACAAAGCTCCCACCGACATGATGCAACAAGACGATGTAACGGACTCGCCTTACGGCATCGAAGAGCAGGTCTTACGAGAGATCTAGCGTGGTCATAGGACTGTGCAGCTGCGCACAGTCGGGGCGACAGCTCTTAGGAGTGGCTCATATAGCCAGTCTTGAAGTTGCAATCTGCGCAGGACACCCCCAAGGAAACGCAAAATAAGTCAACTGCTGTCATTTCTGAGGGTATCTCGTGGTCTAAGCACGGACATATATGATCGTATTTTCGGCCATTTTTCATCCCTGTAGCATGTGAGCCCACTCCCTTCCTGTCAAGAGAGTGGCAGCTCAATCGCCTCGTCGAGCTACGTACGTGGTAGACAGCATACTAGCTCATGATCTCCAGTAACTCGCAGTCGCATGGGGCACCACTCCTCCTTCCGAGATGCTCCTTGATGCCGTTGCCTGTGATGTCTTGCTACGCGATGGGTGGATGCCGGGCTTTACGTCATGGGCTCTTCTTTATCACGAATGTGACAGTATTGAAGTCAGCCACCATGCTCCACAGCGCTGGCTCGCAGAAGCAGCTAAGGGAGATCCCAAATGGTCATCAGTCTCTTGATAGCCAAGGCAGTCGATTCCTCCAAGGATTGGTTGTAATGTTGGCGAGTGGTCACCAACTTCGTCCGAAGTCCGGAGCAGTGCGGAACGACCTTGATCCGAGTAAGAGTCCGCTCAGCATTCAGACATCCCAAACGGCACTGTCCCATCCTTGCATCACGGAATGCCGCGTGAGGTCGAGGCCGATTGTCGTCCGCCGCGAGTCTGTGCGTGATCCTTCTGCGCCTGTTCTCGTGTCGACAGGGATGTTCTGCCGCTCACGACTTGTGGTCCCCGTTCGTGACCGTCTCCTTGGCCGGCATCTCGACCGGCCCACCAGGCGAGTTCTCGAACCGCGCCGTCAGGACCTCGACACCCGTCTCAGTCACCAGCAGCGTATGCTCAAATTGCGCCGACCGCTTCCCATCTACAGTCACAGACGTCCAATTATCCGGCCACGTCACATCCCGATAACTCCCAATACTGACCATCGGCTCAATCGTAAACGTCATACCCGGCGCACACTTTCCCACACCCTTATTCTTCGCATAATGCGGCACGTTCGGCGCACAGTGGAATTGTGTGTTGATTCCGTGGCCGACGTAGGTTCTGATGACCCCGAGATTCTGCGACTTGGCGTGCTTCTCAATGATGTCGCCAAACTCCTTGATCGCCACACCGGGCTTGACGTGGGCGATGGCCTTTTCGAGACATTGGCGGGTCGTTTCGATCAGACGGACGTTGTCGGGGTTGGCTTTCGATTTGTTGCCGACGTAGTATGTCTCGTTGAGGTCGCCGTGGTAGCCGTTGTGGAAGAGGGAGATGTCGAGGTTGACAATGTCGCCGTCTTCGAGGGGCCTGTGGTCGGGGATGCCGTGGCAGATGACTTCGTTAACGGAGCTGCAGTGGGATTTGGGGAAGTGGTTGTAGTTTAGTGGGGAGGGGTATGCCTGGATACGGTCAGTGAGGTTGGGTGGGATGTGTGTCCTGGGACTTACGTTTCGCTTGATGCAGGCTTCGTGGACGATGGCGTCGAGTTCGTCTGTTGTGATGCCTGGTCGGATCGCTGCCGCTGCCTCGTCCAGGACTTCGCGGGACAATCTGCAGACTACCCGCATGGCTTCTATGCCTTTGTCGTCCAGTATGGTGATTTTGTTTCTTCTCGTGTAAGGGTAGTTGGGCATGCCGCTTTCTGACCATTCGGGATGTGGTATCGACTTCGGAATCTCTCGTTTCTTTGATAGTGGGTATACAGGCCTCAGAGGACCCGTGTAGTCGTAGCTGGGGAATGGGTTGTAGTGGCCGGTTTCTGGGTCGGGGTCAGAAACGACTTTTGGGGCGAGGAGGTTGCGCAGAGGATTCTTACTTTTGTGGACTGCTTTATGTTCGCTCTGGGACACCTCTGTCAGTCGTGCCTCTCAAGGCGTTTCTGGAGACATGTTACTCACCCAACTCCGCTTGAAGCAGTCTTGTGAGCAGAAGAAACTCGGTATATTTTGCTCTTTACATTTTGGACATTGCAATGTGCTGGCATCATTCGGGCAGTCTACACCAGGACATTTCCTGGGCTGCGCCGCCGCCTGATCCATCCTGACGGCCTGTCTGTCGTGTCCGCACAGTCCTTCCCGACCTCGAGGTCGCAAGGCGTCCGCTCAAAACGCCGCGGGATGGAGATATCTTGGTACTGCGACGATGCAAGTACGCTGATCTGGTTTATGCCCGGTCAGAACGATCCTATAAGCAGTCGCGATCACGAGTGCCTTCTTCGTTGGCTCTTGCTGTCTCTGTGGCTTGGTGGGAAAGGGTCCCAGCACGCTCGCTTGATCAGCGAAACAATATTGAAGATGTACCGGAGGTAAAATTTGCTAAAGTCCTGCCGAGAAGGTTCGTTAAGCGGCGATGCCTGACGCCTGGCGATCACGACATGATGCATCTGCGGACCTGCGAGAGCCGCAGCTCCGGGGCGAGACCTCCCTTGGACTTGTCATCGAGTCTCGGTGCATTTCGTGTCAAATAAAAGACTCATCTCCGTGGCCAGCATCGCAAGCTGCACCTCACGTACTTGCCATGACCCCGCGCAAGACTGTTGTGATCGGTGCTGGCCCGGTGGGTGCTCTCGCAGCTCTGTATGCGGCAAATCGTGGTGATGATGTCGCTGTGTATGAACTGAGGAGTGGTAAGCAGAGATCAACGCTTTTTCTTTTTGTCAAGGTCTGATAGATCTGTCAGACCTCCGTGAATCGACAACGACGCCTCTGAACTTCACTAAGTCTATCAACCTTGCATTGTCGCAAAGAGGGATTGAGGCCATATTGGCGGCTGGCCACCCGCTGCTTCTTGATACAGTGCTCCAGGAGACTATACCTATGGCAGCACGAATGGTGCACTATCGAAATGCACTTGGTAAGGTCATAGAGGACTCTCAGCAGTATGATGTGCATGGTCGTTTCCAACGAGCTGTCGATCGTGGTCTTCTCAACCGAGTCCTCTTGGACGAGCTGGCCAAGATGGACAACGTCAAATTGTTCTTCCAACACAAGCTGACAGGCGCTGACTTTCGGCGAAAGAAGGCCTGGTTCGAGGTACAGAGTGACCGAGACGCAGTGGCTGGTCGACGAGCACAAGAAATAGAGATCGACTTCGACCTTGTGATCGGAGCGGATGGTGCCCACTCCTCGACAAGGTACCACATGATGAAGTACGCCCTCATGGACTATCAGCAAGAGTACATCGACTGCCTATGGTGTGAGTTCAGCATGACACCATCAACTACAGACGACTATCGCATCTCTCCTAATCATCTCCACATCTGGCCTGGTGGCAGCTTCATGTTCATCGCTCTTCCTAACCTCGACAAGTCCTTCACATGTACATTATTTGCACCAGTCGCAACATTCACGGACTTAGAGAAAGCCTCGGACTCAGATCTGGTACATTTTTTCGACAAACACTTCCCAAACGTAACCGACCACATCGACTCCGCCAGCCTCAGCGCCCAATTCCGCCGCAATCCTCATCTACCCCTGATCAATATCAAGTGCTCTCCACACCACTTCTCCGATTCAGCCGTCATAGTCGGCGATGCAGCCAACGCCATCGTCCCGTTCTACGGACAAGGCATGAACGCCGGCTTGGAGTCTGTCCGAATTCTGTTCGAAGCACTCGACAACCACGAATCACCCGCTGAGGCACTGGCCGCATACACCAAGACTCGAACAAAGGACACACACGCCATCGCAGATCTTGCGCTCGTCAATTACAAAGAAATGCGATCGTCCGTCACATCACGCTTCTACAAGCTGCGGAAGTATATTGAAGAGACATTGTACCATTATTTTCCTTCTGCGGGCTGGGCGACGCAGTACTCGCGAGTTAGCTTCAGCAACGTGCCGTACAGTCAGGTGATTGAGCGGTCGAAGTATCAGGAAAGGGTGCTCAAAAATGTCCTTGCATTGTGTGTGTTGGTGCCTGGCATTGGGATTGCTTTTCGACTGTCCAGATATCATGGGGTACGGAGGGTGCTAGGCATCGGACCCTGAGACCAGACTTGCCTTTCGCAAAGACATGGAGCTATCACAGGCTCATCCCGCATAGAGGACGTGTGGCTCACGAACCCCCGCGGCTGACCTCGTCGGTGTGAGCAACCTGCTGGTGCCCGACTCGACCTCCGCTCACTCACACACCAGGCAACCAGGGTCATTCTGGGTAAGAGAGGCTGTGTCAAAAATGCTCGATACTAGCTCAAGCCGGAGCACACTCAACTTCGTTTTAATGATGCCACGTGGGTTGATGAGTGTATGATGTACTATTACATACATATTCAAAAGTGGTGTTGTTACAATAATTCAAAGTCAGATCTCGCCAGTGGGGCCTGCCTGGGTGGAGCTTTGTGCTACATCGTCGCTTTCATCATGATCCCAATCCAGCTCGTCCTCATCGTCAGAGAAGTCCGATCGCTGTGAGCTCAGCTCATCGGCCAGACTCGCATCCTCATCACTGTCGTAGTGCAGCCTCTCCATGAGTGCTCCCTGCTCCCGCTCCTTGTAGTATGAAAATTCAGCCGCTTGCCAAGAAACGAAGCCTTCTGTCCTCGCCATGGTCTTCATGTCTTCGATATGGCTAAGTTCGGCCTCGATCAGCCTGACGCAGTCTCTATCCCACCACAGCTCGTCAGCCTTGTCTCTCAGCTTAACGAGATCCTCTTCGGTCACGGACGTCTTGCGTCGCCTCTCCGTCACGTTCTGCTGGGGCTCCCGGTCGCTGCGCCAATTATCTCTCCACTTCCAGTCGTTCGTAGTAGTCATGGTGAAGTAGTTGCCGAGGAGGTGACCGAGGCAACCTGCGAGCTTGTTTTCCACGCAAGTGTTGAGCATGTCGTAGGTGATTGTGACTGGATTTCCGCAAGCATAATTGAGCAATAGCCAGTTGTAGAATCGTTCTACATCGGATTCAATTTCGTTTGGGATGCTCCGATGGATGGGTTGTGGGCGTTCCAGTGCTCGTAGGATTCGCTTCTCTAGCAAACCTTCATCGCACCTCAAGTGGCAGTACATGTTGTCTGCATCCGGACCCCTCATGAGCCTGCAGAAGCCGTCCTCAGGCATGATTGTGCAGCAGCGTATGTAGAGATCTCTAAGGTCTGATACCTCCTCGATGGGCCGTTCCTCCCAGAGCAGGCAGTCCGGAATGAAGTTGATAGAGTATAATTGATAGAACTTCTGTGTCCGTGTCTTGTCATGGATCCTCACATGCATGAAGTTGTCACGCAATGTCAGCATGGCACGGTGCCACCCGCCGTTATGTCTAAGTTCGACCTGCATTCTAAGCTTTAGGTCAGGGTCGGGCCCTCTATGCTCGGATACCAGAGCATCAAGAGTGACACGTTGTTCGTTGGTCAAGCGATAGTCTGCATTCACTATTACTTGGTTGGTGACAAGTATATCGAATAGAAAGCCGTGGAGAGCTCGTAGATGGGAAGGTCGTATCCACTTGCCTACTGCTACAGTGTCTTGCAGTTCCTCGCGCTCGTCATAGTCCCAATCGTGGTGCTTTTTGCGTCCAGGAAGTGGCCAGAGTTCTGTGTGCAGGTCTACAAGAGGGTTGGGCTCATCATCGTAGTAGAAGCCGAGATGGTTGCTCCCAGTTCTGGTGGCGAAAGCAAGGCCGAGGAGCATTTTGCTGTATCCAACGAAGTCCGGCAGTAGATTATATAGCCTCTGACATGCATGAATCATGCAGGGTTCACGGACCAGGTAGAAGATATCAAGCAGTATCTCTGCAGGGAGGTCCAGCAGGCTGGCTCTCGCAGGCCCGTCCACACTCTCACTGTTGAGACGGCTGCTACACCGCATTTTCGGGGCTCTGAATTCATCTTCACCGATGGTGAGATGCTTACGCTTGACCGCGGGCATTGTTAAGTGGACAAGTACGACTATATGAAGCTGAAGTGAGCAGATACGTTTGAACAGATTGCTCCGCAGAGTTAATCAGCAGCGGACTGGGATGGAAGGAGCAAGGACGAAGCCGGAGAAATGCTTCTGGACAGTCGCGACGCGTTCTGGGGCCGAAGACAGGGTCTTGGCGGCCGCACGCGTTCTTCCACCGGTCACTCAGCCAGGAGTTTCGAACTCCATTGCCTGCCGCACTTTGATATGCCCCAATTCGTGCCAGTACTTCGTGAAGGTAAGCGATATGTCGAATTTCAACGAGCCGACCATACATTCCCATTTAAAGGATCACAACTCCTCATCGACGCGGTGATGTCAAGAGTCTCCGCAGCTTTGACAAAGGACGTGTTATCTAGATCAATCCGAGGCTGACACGCACTTCGAGTCTGATCGGTCATCACTTGTGAGGCCAATGTTACGCGTGCTACGTCCCTATAGCTGTCTCAAATGATCAAGTCAAGTCCAGGTCTGCTAACGACGATACGATATCTACTAGCACGCCGAAGAAAGCATTCCAGAACTCTTCCACGGATCGGGCTATGCCTTGGCGCTGGTGCCGACTATTCATGCCGGAAGCTCAGGCACAATTTCTGTTCTGTCGGATGCTGACCAGCCCTCCCTAGTGCCTCGGTGCATCAATTTCAAGAACTTTGCGGCAAGCACTGCTCGCTAGATGATCAGCTGGGGTGCGGGGTTAAGCTCGCGGCATCCCGGACCAACAGCCAACGAACGCTCAGCTTGATTCTGGGGCGCGGCGGAACCTTGTCTAGCGGCAGCACCAAGGCGAAATAAGCACTCCTCAATGGTCACCAGCACTGATGCCAAGGCGTCGGATAGCATTGGTGGCAGTCACTCCCTTGAGTGCATTTTCCGTCTCGTTCCAGACGTCAGCTCAAAAGGCAGCCATGCTGACCACTCCCCCGTGGCTTCAAACCCAAACCTCGACTTCTGTCAAACGCCATGTCAGATAGCAGCGAACTCAAGGGGCGCGATGCGCCTCTGAACCATACCGTCGTCCACGATGAGACCGTGCATTCCGCTGCAGAGCATGGTCATGTGGCCACTGACAGCCTCGGCCGCTCTCTGTTGACCTTCGATAAAGCTGCAGAGTCGCGACTCCGGCTGAAGATTGACCTATACATCATTCCTACCGTTGCCATACTGTATCTGTTCTGCTTCATCGATCGAGCGGTGAGTTCTTTGCCAGTCCTGTCGATGTCCGGAGCTGATCAAGCCAAGAATATTGGCAATGCTAGACTCGCTGGGTTCGAGAAGGACCTCAAGTTGGTCGGATATGACTACAATACAGTTCTCAGTGTCTTCTATATCAGCTACATTGTGTTCGAGATCCCTTCGAACATGGCTTGTAAGCTCATTGGACCTGGATGGTTCATTCCGGCTATCTCTCTTGGTTTCGGCGTCATGACGGTGGCTTTCGCATTCGTTCGGACATTCTCAGCAGCTTGCGGAGTTCGCTTCCTCTTGGGGCTTTTCGAGGCAGGTATGCTACCTGGTATTGCATATTACATGAGTCGATGGTATAGGCGAAGTGAGCTAGCCTTTCGACTAGCTATGTACATCGTCATGGCGCCGCTAGCAGGAGCTTTCGGTGGCCTTTTGGCATCGGCCATCCTCAAACTCGACCACTTCGGCTCGACAAAAAGGTGGGAAATGATCTTCGCGATCGAAGGCATCGTGACGATCTGCCTCTCGGTCATCGCTTTCTTCACCTTGACGGATCGGCCTGAGACAGCTCGATGGCTCACAGCCGAAGAGAAGGATCTTGCCATCGCAAGGGTCAAGTCCGAGCGAGTTGGCCAGACGGAAGTCCTCGACAAGTTGAACACGTCTAAGACTCTGCGAGGAATCTTCAGTCCTGTCACTCTTGCAACATCCTTCATCTTTCTGCTGGACAACATCACAGTGCAAGGTCTCGCTTTCTTCGCGCCCACCATCGTGCGGACGATATATCCTAAGAGCAGCGTCGTCAGCCAGCAATTGCACACAGTTCCGCCATATATCGTCGGAGCATTCTTTGTTGTCTTGTTCAACTTCCTGAGCTGGAGAATGGACAAGCGAAACATTTTCTTCATCATGAACGCGCCTCTAATGATGACTGGGTATATTATGTTCCTGGCGAGCACGAATCCCAACGTTCGCTACGTGAGTACACTTCTGGAACTGCCTTTGGAACTCAGGCTTCTGATCCGAGGTTGCTGACAATCTGTGCAGGGAGCAACGTTCCTTATCGCATCCGGAGCGTTCGCCTTTGGCGCATTATGCAACGCACAAGTATCGGCGAACGTGGTTTCGGACACCGCCAGGTCATCGGCGATCGGAACGTGAGTGAATTATCGCTCTTTCCATATATTTCCACTGACAATGAGCAGGAACGTCATGCTGGGAAACATCGGCGGCTTGATTTCGACCTGGTCGTTCTTGCCCACCGACGCGCCGAACTTTCATATCGGCAATGGCTGTAAGGTCCCTCTCTGCTGGATCAGGACGTACCACAGTACTGACACGCCTCAGTGAATCTAGCAACGAGCTCGGTGATATTGATACTCTCGATCTGTCTTGGTATCTGGATGACAGCAGACAATCGGCGACGCGACAAGAAGAACATCGAAGCCGAACTTGAGGGACTGAGTGAGAAGCAAATTGAGGGTCTGGACTGGAAACATCCGGCTTTCAGATGGCGAGCTTAAGCCTGTCACTTCTCTTCGTGCCGCTGAGGAATGCCGTGCTCCTCTCCTGCAGAGCTGTAATGTCAAGCTCTTTACCGTGCGTGGCAATAGCTTATTTGCCAGTCTCTCGAGGAAGCTGCAGCAAACACGGATCTGGCGTAGCTTTCAAGTAAACCAACAACTACTTGACAAACATACCGTTCTTCAATGTATCGTAGTATCTAGTTCGAACCTCGGAGCATGCGTCGAGGGAGGGACCAGCCCCTGCCAGGGATGATCTATTTGTCCCAGGGCCTCGCCTATTTGTCCCAGGCTTCTCCAAATGTACCAAAACAGCCTAATCATGCTGCACTGAGGCTGCACTGAGGCTCTGTTGAGGTAAGATTGAGGCACAAGTCACTTGCAAATAACTAGAATCTAGTGTAAAAGATCTATAGATCAGGTTTGTAAGGTAATAAGAACAGTAGCCCTAGAGTAGATACACTATAGTCTCAAGGGGAAAGTAGCTGTAAATTTCAAGAAATTTATGTACTTCAAGCCCTCAAGTGATGTATCTAGGTGACCTATAGACGTGCACATAGGCATGGGCTTACCTATTACACGGGGAGAGTATTAGGCCTGAATGGTGCTTGTGAAAGGCTTGAATAACCTCAGTAAGACCTACCTTAAGCAGGCCTGGAGTCCTTCTCCAATAGGTATAGCCTGGGACAGATAGATCAGGCCCTGGGACAAATAGATCATCCCCCCCTGCCACCGGAGCATAAGCTAGCGCCGCTGCGAGCCAATGCTGATCCCTAGCAGAGCTAAACTTTAGGCGGAAGGTCCTCTTGAAGAATCCCAGAAGCACTTTCCTTCGACATCATCTCGCATGATGTCCAGGTACAGCTATCTCGAGCTTCAAGTTTGTGCAAGATCGCCAACCAGTGCCTGCACTACAGAGTACACAACACATGGCAAAGTATAAGGTACGAAGATTGCCTTGTGACCTCACTCGGTGAGCCATGTCCACTTCGTGACATTTTGTGTATTCTGTGATCCGTCCATCATGAAGCTCTTAAACTCCCCGTTCTCTCTGTTACACCTAACTGCTGTAGCATATACTGGTCTGGGAATCAGAAGCCACGCATCATCACTCTCTCTAAGCAGCTGCCCATCGCTAGCTGATCAACAGATCCTCACGCAACCATTCCCCTACATTTTCAATGACCAGACTTCCGATGACCCCTTTCCCATGTCATTATGCAAAGGCCAGATCTTGGAAGAGGCCTCAATCGATGACATGCAAACATGGATGTCATCAGGCATAATGACAGCGGTTGACCTCCTCTCCTGCTACATTGACCGCTACAATCAAGTCGACTGGTACACCAACAGCGTCCTCCAACTCAACCCTGATGCCATGGCCATCGCAAAAGTGACCGACGACGAACGCGCGGCAGGTCGAGTCCGCGGGCCCCTTCACGGCATCCCCTTTCTCGTCAAAGACAACTACGCTACAAAGGACAAGATGGAAACGACAGCTGGATTCTGGGGCTTAGTCGGTAACATCGTGCCTCGGGACGCCCATGTAGTTAAAGGTCTCCGCAATGCAGGTGGCGTCCTCTTCGGCCACGCTACCCTCACAGAATGGGCAGGGATGCGCAGCAACAACTACTCCGAAGGCTACAGCCCACGAGGCGACCAAACTCGGTCGCCTTACAACCTGACCGTCAACCCAGGTGGCTCTTCCTCCGGCCCGGCCGTTGCCGTCGCAGGAAACCAAATTCCCATCGCAATCGGCACCGAAACAGACGGCAGCATCATCAATCCCGCCGAGCGCAACGCCGTCGTAGGAATTAAACCCACCGTGGGCTTGACCTCCCGAGCAGGCGTCATCCCCGGATCTCACAGCCAAGACTCCACTGGCCCATTCGGCAAGACCGTCCGTGACGCAGTATACGCCCTAGATGCGATGTATGGCCCAGATCCCAACGACAACTACACCTTAGCGCAGATCGGTAAAACACCCGAGGGAGGATACGCACAGTTCCTGGCCGACAAATCCGCACTCAAAGGCGCCGTCTTCGGCATCCCCTGGCTATCGCTCTGGAACGTGAACAAAGCACCCGGCCAGAACGAGGCACTCCTCGAGCTGATCGTGTTAATTGAGTCCGCAGGTGCAACAATCATCAACGGAACTGAACTCCCTAGCTGGGAAACGACGATCCCCCAAGATGGTTGGAACTGGGATTACGGCACCACGAGAGGCTATCCCAACGAGAGTGAGTTCACCGTCGTGAAGACGGACTTCTACAACGACATCCGCGCGTACCTCTCGGAACTCAACAATACAGACTTGAAAAGTCTGGAGGACATCATCAACTACATTCTCGACAACTTCGGATCTGAAGGCGGTCTTCCGGGCATACATCCCGCGTACGGGTCTGGACAAGATAATTTCTTGGTGTATAATGAGACGCAAGGCATTTACAACGAGACATACTGGCAGGCGAAGGAGTTCATCCGACGCACAAGCCAGGAGGAAGGCATTGATGGTGCTTTGGCTGCTATTTCACCAAATCATCCGAGTGGAAAGACGAAGCTGGATGCTTTGTTGGCACCACCGGATGCAGGACAATCCTACTCCGTAGCAGCCCAAGCCGGCTATCCTCTGATAACCTTGCCGGCTGGCGTTGGCGGCGCACTCTCATCCAGCATGCCTTACGGCCTGATGCTTATGGGCAGCGCATGGTCCGAAGCTACGTTGATCAAATACGCGTCGGCGATCGAGGACTTGCAATTGTCGCAGCCAGAGGGTTATCCGTATCGACGGACGAAGCTACGTGGGCGAATTGGAGGAGCCGAAGTCTTCCCGTGAGCTCTGGATTGTTGGACTATGCTTGATTCAGAGAGACGAAGAAGGGTTCGTAGACGACATGGCCAAGTAGAGGCACGAACGCACGCGGTACACGAAAGAAGTGAAACGGCCTCGAGGCACCAAACCATTGCCTCATCTACCTCACCGGCCCAAGGCTAGCATTTATCTCCTTCGCCATCTTCTCAACACTCCTCTTATCGGCGCCAGCTTCCGCCCCACCTAGCTTCCGTAGCTCTTCCGGTCCTAATTCCCTCCCATCAACTCTCACCCGCGCCACCAGAAACGCCAAAGGCGAGCTCTTCCATAGCTCCTCGCCCCTGAACTTCACCGTCACGGCCAAGAAGAACACCACACATAGCACGAACAACACCGCCGTCGGCACCAACCACGCCCAGCGCGCATGTAGGTAAACTTCCTCCCGCCACTGCGTTCCAAGGATCGTAGCGCCACCGCAAACAGCGTCGCTGCCGCGAGCGTGATTCGTGAGGGCGGCGGCGAGGGACTGAAACGCGCGGTCGACGTACTCGAAGGAGCCGACTTTGGGGTCCGAGAGGGAGGCGCCGTCGGACAGGCCGCTGAGGGCTTGCAGGACGTCGGCACCTGTGCCTTCGAAGCCGGGTCGATTGCTGGCTGTGCGGTAGCCATAGCCAGTGAGGATTGGGTCGAGAGTGTTGCTGATTGAGAGACCTTGGGCGGAATAGACGGAGTACGTGCAAAGGTCTGGATGGTCTGCTGAGTTTATCTCCGTGCCATTGGCGTAGCAGGGGTCGGCGGTGAGGCTGAGATAGTTTTGGAAGTCCCATTGCCCTGTGCCGTTGAGAGTGGCGCCAGCAGATGTCGTAGAGACGATGGATTCGGAGAGTTTGCCACTTGACATCGTGGATTCGTAGGTGTAGACGGCGAAGTGGATCTCGCACTCTACGGCTACAGGCGGAGGGACTTCTGGTTCCTGAGGCCTTTGGCCAGGGCCGGTGATGCCATGCCAGACGTATAGAGGAGGGTCCTCTCGAGGGCGTTCGGCGAAATCGGAAGCCCTGAGCGTGTAGTTGACGGTGCTATTGATCGTTCCATAGGGGATGAGAAACAGGCCGGATCTAGGCCATTCGGCATGGCACAGAGGAACTTGATCTGCACACTCACGCGGTGTCATAGTTGTGTTGTACGTAGTGTCATTTGTTTCGGTGAATCCACGCTTGGTCAAGACTAGTTCAGACGACCGATCCTCGCATCTTGCCACGACACCAAGAGACTGATATCTTGGAAAAGTACAGTTCCCACTTGGGCAACCAGGATCGATTGGTGATTGCGCGGACGTTTGCATCAGACCATCATACATCGCGCCCATCACTGGTAGATTGACCTTGTTCATGCCAGCCCCACCGCCAAAACTCATCATGCTGAACATGGACGTGTTGCAGATCGGCATCGTTGCATTTTCGCTGGTGGCCTCGACTAGGCGGACGCGTACTTCGATGGTCTGCTGCACGGTGGGTCCGAGTATGACCGAGATGGTAAGCATGAAGGCGCCGAAGTACGCCAGATACCACGATCGTATGCTGCACAGAAGTCTTGCAGCGCCCCAAGCGCTTCGGCTTGCTTCATCGAAAGTAATCAAGTCCACTAGGCGTCTTTCCTGTCTGAACCACGACCACTTTAGCTGGGACAAGCATTCGGTGACTGTGATTGCAAGAGCTCCCTTCAAGATGGTCACTAGTACAGAGAGTATGGCGTTGACGGTGATCTCGGAAGGCCAGTCTGGTAATGGTTTGTCGTCGGTGGCCCGGAGGAGCGCTACCATGCCAGCAAAAGAGGCGGCCGCGACGAGAATGCTGGATGTTTCGTAGAACCAGCCAAACACACGTCGCGACGACGGTCTGCTTCGTGCACGATCCTCGATCACAGGCCTGGGTCCATATTGCCCTTGTTGTGGTTCTCCGAGCTCATTTTGATATGTCAGAAGTGCTCCTGACTTCTCATGACGTGAGTCTGGGTTCACCGATCTTCCAGCTCTGGTCGGGCGGGAGGAAGAGTCCTCCCATATCGGGCTTGGATGTTGTGCCGTGTTGTCGACTAAATCGTATACATGGCGTGTTGGTGCCATGCTTGCGGCTGACGGTTGACTCTGGTTTGCGATAGAGCTGGCGACAGCTGTCTCGACGACGACCTATAGAGCAGGACAGCCATGGCCTTATCGTCGAGCGGGCCATCGAATTGTTAAGTAGTCCAGACCTGTGTTCAACGCTAGCTCTAGCGAAACAGAGAGACCCCTGGTGCAACCAGCCTACCACCAACGAGATCTTCAGTCGCCAAGATCATGATGCTTGTCCTCGATTTCAGCTGTGGATTGGGTGGCCTATTTCTGGTGCTTCGTCGGCCGTTGCAAAATCCACCCTTCGTGCATTCTGGTGGTCTGCATAGACAGCATACTGCCGCATGAATCGTGTATGCGGAAAGCGAGTAGAAGAGCATGAAACGGTGACATCCATGGCTCTTGCTCTACGGTCGTTCTGATGCATTCCAAATTACCTGCGACCTTTCCGGAAGTAGTGAGGCTTGAGATCGCACCTTTCGAGCTGAATCACGTCGTGCATAAATGTCACCGTTCTCGAATAGCTAGCCTTATGCTTCCCGTCGACGTGCATCTTCACCCGTGATGTGGTCTTCGCAATGTTGAAGCAATTCTAAGTCAGGGCTCGGAATCACCCATCTTTCATAGGAGAGATGGAATCGTTGGATATCTCTGGCGAGCCAATGATGAAAGACCTTCTTGGCCCCGGGTTAAATAAAGTGTTCGAGGCTCCCCGTTTCAGTTCAGCACTCCTGCATGCATAATTTGTTTCCACATAGGAGCTACTATACGGCAGTCTGGTCAGCAGCATGAATGATCCTCACTCCGCCGTACTCGAACGATAATCGTGTGCACTACACCAGACATTGTCTTTCGTCAGCCTTCGAAAAGCCTGACAGAAGTGACGGCGTTCCCGATCGGGCAATGGAGTTACCACGTTACAGACCCTCTGCATGCAGCACGAATATCTGCTCGGGACGAGCATATGCATGTTATGATGCCACCCCGCTGTTACGAAGTGTGACAAGATGCACCACAGCCTCGCAGCTGTACACCCAGCGGATGTCGACGGAAAGCAGTAGAGCAACCGCATGGGGTTCCAGCGCTGAAACACTGAATTTTGCTGCCACCAGGCAGAAAGTCAGGCCGAGGTCGAGATGCCATGCATGCAAGTAGCTGAATCGTGACTGAAGTCCTTGCGAGGGATTGCTACACCGACCATAGCATTGCTATGACATTCGTCCATGCTTTGATAGCACGGCGAGGCAACATTCCTCCTCGCGGTCGACTTGTTCATGGCTTGTCTGCCTGGTCGTAAACGATCGTGAGTCGTTCTCAGAACGTCCTGACATTCTCATGCCGCCACAGACCCAGCACAGCTCCGTTCTCGCTAATCCATTCCCGCGTGCTGTTGACCGCAGCCTTTGCCATGCCCGTGTTTCGCCTCCTGTGGCCCTTCTTGAACGCCGGTCCACCTCCTACGCCTTCCCTTTCGCCCGTTGCATATTCACTGCCCATGCTAGGCAGCACATTCTCCCCTGCGCTCAGGCTGACAAACAGCGCGAAAGGCACGAGCCAGACACACAGTCCGAAATAGCTCGCGATCTCTGTGAAAGACGGTTGTGGTGTATATGTGTACCGATCTCGCAGTATACGGTCGTTCGAACGGCTGTAGGTGGGCGCATCGCTAAAATGCCGAAACCAGAGCCAGTGATTCGCTATGACCAGACCACAACTCATCAAGAACCATGGATCCGTCAACTTGACTATTGGGAAGTGTCGCAAATTGGTCATGTATACACCATGGCTGGCAATACCGAGGAGGGTGAGGTAGAAGGGAAACCCATCAACGAGCCATAGCAAGGCTTGGACTAGTATGACGGCATAAATCAGTCGACGGAGGACTTTGGCGCTGAGGACGGAATGCTCTTCGACGAGTTCAGACAGGTAATACAGGCCGGAGGCAATCGAGAGTGTGAGAAAGATGAAAGCGCTGAGCTGGCCCAGAAGGGCAAGGACTGGGAGGACGTAAGGCATTGTCGTCTCTAGCCGTCGTTTATTGATGCACGGTGATCCTCCGCTGATGCTCTCCTACTGTGGTTCGTGCGCGAGGGTCGAGCGAGGAGATGCGTCTTCGAAGGAATGCGATTGTGTGCACAGTGGAGGGGTTATCGGAAGTCATGTAGTCCAGGTCTGTTGTACATCGTGACGAGACACTGGTATGGTCTCGTCGTTCCGTGAAGGTGTGTCGTGCAAACAGGAGAGGTGGCCACAAGTCAATGCGCCTGATGTGACGGGACTCTGGGGGAGTCAAGGGAGCGCAAGGTGACAGGTCATTCCAGGCCTGGAGCTGCCATCAGATAGTCGGGTGAGCAGCTAAGCCAACGGGGCAGAAAGTACGGTGGTTGGTTTCTACAAGAGGCGGCATCTTCGATATCTGTCTCCTGTCAACTTGAATCTTGGATGTTATGGATCAATTTGGCAGTCGTCGCAGGTGCCGATATGTTACTGGGCTTTTTCAGGTAGCTTGCCATATAGCACGACCTTGATTGTCTTATTGGGATCTGACTCGGATCTTCATGCTTGCTCCAGGCACCCCCTGGTGGCCAGATCGACGGCCGTGCTGATGCTGAACGCTCAGCTAGGGACCTGAACAACGACAGTGACCCCGGATATGGCTCATGTTATTCAAGCAAGGCAGGAACACTTCGTAACCCACCTTGGTCGCAGAGCTTGGAAAGAACGACTCGAACGCACGACCGCGGTAATTGCAAATCATCCTTGGAGATTCGGTCTTGCGGAGAAGTCAATAAGGTAAGCACGGGTATAAAATGTATAAATTAGTTCAGGCAAGTAGGCACATAAATCGTGATGGCGATCACGGCTTCACTTTTCCTTACCTTGGAGTCACATCTACACCATGGCCTCCCAGACCAAGCCACATCTCCTCGCGCACCCCGTGTCGTCCTACGTCCAGAAAGTGAAGATCGCCTTGCGTGAGAAGGGCATCGAGTTCACAACTGAAGTACCATCAGACATATCAAGCACTAATGATGGACCCCTGCATGAATCAAATCTGCGAGTCGAGGTTCCAGTGCTACTTCACGGAGATACCACGATTTTTGACTCGACGATCATCTTGGAGTATCTCGAGGATGTCTGGCCGGAACCTGCCCTTCTGCCCAAGGGGCCGGCCGAGCGTGCCAAAGCTCGAATGATTGAGGACGTGTGTGACACCAGCTACGAAGCGGTCAATTGGGTAAGAATTGCCCACTGCGTCCGAGCGTCTGATATTGACGATATAGGGACTGGGTGAAATCCGCACCTTCGGCCGTGCAGACGACAGTCCAGATCTGAAGGCTCAGCTCGAGGCCAAAGCTGAGCAGCAGACATCGGCAATCCAAGCCTGGCTAGAACAGCAGTTAGTCGGCCCCTGGTTCAACGGCGAGCACTTCGGCTGGGCCGACATCTGCGCTGCGCCAATGGTGAATCGAAGCTTTACATACGGCCTCGCACCGAAGGAGGGCTCAAAGCTCAAAGGATGGCACGAGCGACTCAGTGCTCGGCAGGCCGTGAAGTCGACATTCGACGAGTACGAGAACGGACTGAAAGCGTTTCGGGATCCTCGAGCCAAGGAAGCTTACCTCAGTGGAATGAGGAAGCGTGAGTACAGGGATCATAGACTGGAGTGGATGGTCAAGAGTGGTGCGGTCTCGATCGTGGAGAAGGGCATCAAGAACAACAACATTAGGTTCACGTGGCCATAATGCCGGAAGGTTGTGGCGTGTTGGTTATTGTATCCAAGTTCAAGCGCACTGGGTCTTGTCATCTGACGCGAGATTTGAGATCTTCGAAGATACTCGCCCTACCTGATAGCAACGGATGCCATCAAGGTATGGCAATGTGCCCGTTCCCACGGTGGGTATGAAGAATCTAAACACGGTATCGAGGATGAAGCAGATACTTATACCTTGCTGTGAAAGTCAAGGTCCGTGGCAAACCGACACGTCACTTTGATGATTCGGCGCGGAAGTATTCACTGTTGGTGCACGATTCAACTTAGCTACCGCCTAGCGGTGATCCACTTCAACAGACATAGATAGCTTCTCTCGCTTGAATCTTACAGGGTGCTCTGGTACTTCGGCTTGACGACGGCACGTCACTGAGACTCCAAAGTGATGTGCTGAGAGGGAATAAGGTGCTCATACACGAGGTGCAAGAGTTTTCTGTCCTTCGAAGTAGTCAAGTCCGTGGTGATTCTTTTTGGAGGAACAGTCGAGACAGCTAGATAACCTGTCGACTACACCATGATTTCACGATGTCTGTGAGCTTACGCAGAATGGTAATCTCCGTATCAACTATCATTGCTTGAGTACTGTGCTAGGAACATTTGGTTCTGGGCGGAGGTAATCCGGCCGACTCTCAGTCGTTGGCCTCCGCACCCCATTTCGGCCAAGTCGCCCGAGTTGGGACCTCTTACAAAGCAGCAACAGCCAACCCCAGTGCACCCAGAACCTTCATACCACCCGCGACCATCGCAGTCGGAGCCGCGTAGCCGCCAGAGGTAGCAGAAGCCACAGACGCACTCGCAGAGCTCGCAGCCGAACTCGCGGAGCTCGCGACACTCTCAACGGCAGACGAGGCGGAGCTCTCCGCGGCACTAGCGGAGGAAGCCACGGACGAAGCCGCGGAGGAAGCTGCAGCACTCGCACTAGAAGCCGCACTGCTGACAGTCGAGGCCGCGCCCCCTGCTAATGAGGTGGCGTTGTTTGCAGCATCGACGGCGATGCCGCCGTTCGGGCAGGCTTGGATCGCGTATTGTGCCGCCGCTGTGAATGGACAAGTCAGAGCGTGTTTCGCGGGGAGAAGTACAGATGAGCGAGTGGACAGCTTACCTTGCTGCTCTTCTGGTGTGCAGGTGGCGACGCATTTGTTTGTCGAGTCGTAGTATGCCTGATTCTTGCAGAGACACTCCGCGACTGCTGGATCGGTTACTGGACAGTCAGTCTGCGCGGTGATCCCGTTGAGAATGCAAGTCTGCACGCATTGTGGCAGAGTCGCGAGCTGATCCAGCGGGCTTTGGGCGCCGACAAGGGCGACGCTGGCGAAGGCGAGTAGCGAGATTGTGAACTTCATGTTTGCTGGGAGCTTGTTAGAGCAGTGACTTTTGCTGCGCGATCCGCCGACTTGTAGGTATTAAATTTCGCTTTGGGTTAAGACGTCGAGGAAATTTTGGATTAAACGCGAAGGTACGAAGCTACCTACCTGCCGAGGGACTTCAGCTTGTATAAAAAGCAGCCACAAATGACATCTCAGGGGTCGACCACGTAGGTACGAAGAACTAGTGGTTGAGCCAGTTGTTTGAGCATGGCTGCTGCACCAGGACAGCACCCTTCCGCTTTAGGGTCATCGTAGATGGAGCTATTGGCGTTGGAAGAGCCATGCCGGACTAGTGCCCGGAAAGGCATGTCACGACCAAGAAACATGTCTAGATGCTGGCCGACCAACGATCTTCTCGATGTTCTCGGAAGGGATTCGCGACTGCCAGACCTCATTTGCAAAGACGCGTCTCGGTTGTGCCCCAGCTGCTGCAGACGAGGGCGGGGAAATAGGGGCCCGGTCGAATTGGGAGAGGTTGCCAAGTAAAACGCATCCATTATTGGCGGATTGATTGATCGGTTGGAAGCTCAGCGTAGTTTCTGGCTGCTCCCGACGAGCTGAAAAGATACACATGGCTCGCGAAAGCGAGCTGAATTTCTGGTATAAGCCAGTCACGGTCACAGGCAAATTACTGAGTCGCATTCGACAAAATGCATGCCGCGTCGAGGGCTTTCGAAGATAGAACAATGACTTACCGGCGCGCCAGATATTGTGAAGCGTTAGGGCCATGTTGTCCGTGCTCCGAAACGTGGCTGGTGCCCACATGGCAGCGGGTGGGTTGACGGAACCGTAGAAGCGCGGAGGTCAAGCAACTTTTTCAATTGACCTGGATCCGAGCTATCGATTCCAGCGACGAGGAAACGCCGAGGCATGAGGTGAAGGCGCCCGAGTCTGGACCGCAGAGGGTGTCGACTCGTCGATGCATATGCACTAGCATTCAGCGACACCTGCAAGTACGAAGCGAGAAATGGCTTACAGAGCCTGACGCGGTAGCAAAATGGCAATTACCAGCCTAAGTTGATGTAGAAGCACGAGGAGGATGGCTTCCGAGAATCGTGAGATTTGGCTGAGGCGATGGAACAGCCGGATGTGACAGCCGTGATTGCCTGCCGCCTCCCGCGTAGCTCCAATATCAAAACTTATTCTTGACCTCTCTGTACCATCGTCCCTTCCTCGTTGTGCGCAAGATTGCGCGAGACCATGTAATTCCTGCTATATCACTAGATGCCCGATGGGCTGGTCGTGCTCACTGTCGTGAATGAATCACAGCGAATAACCAAGATTTGCTAGGAACGGAATGCCACCCTGCCCTGGCCCTACCACTCCGAAGGAGACATCCAGGCCATCACACCTCCGTCCCTTGCACGGGCAGCATATGTTATGCTCGCGTTGCTGGTCACGTCGCCGATCGCAATGTCCCTCATGCAAACGCTCATGTGTTGTAGTGACGCTTTCAGCATAGACATTGACGAACAGTTACCTCATGCACAGTTTAAAGTCGGTAGGGTAAGGAATGAGGTTTAGCAAAGGTGAGCTAGATATTCGGAAGTTCGAATTAATTGTCTCGACCTCGGACTCGAATCAGACTACTGTCAATCGTCAAAAACGCAAAAACTCAACTCGAGCCCGAATTCTACGGTGGGCTCGAAGCTGAGAAAATCCCATCAGTGCATGGACCAGACCCAAGCTAAGTCTGGTGATGATATTGCCGCACTGGAAGGATTTTTTTGACTTGTGGCAACAGTACTCTTCCTCTCACTCCTCTCACCTGCAGGCTGAGACCAGCTGCACGTTATCCATAAAGGTCCTGAGGCGGGAGGATGGGGAAGTAGTACCTCCGACACGAAACCCGTACATATGATGCCTGAAGGTTGAGGCCAGCTGCACGTTGCCCTGTACATCATATGTGTGGATTTGGGTCAGATTGTTGGGGGAAATATTCATTATTCGAATATATAACGAATAGGTGATGTGCAAGTGAAGTGCCAAGACTCTGGACTTGCTGCCGCGGGTGATGGGCGACGTGGCGAGGGACTGGAGGACTTGTTTGCCACTGCAAGCGCCCATTTGATCATGGTGCTACTTATCAGGACGCTATTGTACCCCAGATTCGATACAGAGGAGGCGGTCTCATTCACGATTCTACTGCTCAGGCGTGCGCTACAAGACGTCTGTCCCAGATATAGGCTTTGAGATTCTCGCGGAGGACATGAAGGTTCTTATAAACGGCACTCAGTCGATTATCCACGGCGTGACCTCACTCTAGAACAACAACTGTACACACTCACTGCTATCATAACTTCCCCTCCTTCTTCTTACTTCTCGCAATATTCCTCGACGAATCAAGCGCCAAGCTCGCATGCAAGCTATTCGCAACCATCTCCCCGGCCTCATCCCACACACTCACGTCCAAGTCAAACCTCCCTTGCTTGATCACTTTACTCTGCACCCTCACAAAAAGCCAGTCTACTCCTTCCGGCGGCAGCAACTTCTTCACATTCAACGTCAACGTCAGCGTTGGGTACCAGTATCTCGCCCTGGAAGCCGGTTCTCCGCCGCCGTTGGTTTTGTTGATATCCTCAATGATCTTCCGCATCTCCGCCACGTCATTAACCTCAATCGCAGCACGTTCGGCGACAGGGTTGATGTAGTGCTCTATGATCTGTGGGAACATATCCACCAAGAAGCCGATGGAGTCGTTGGTCCACCTTCCCGTGCCGAGAGCAGACAGACGCTGCTCGTCGGTCGGCTTCGATGTCTTAGGCAGCGGTGCGAGGCGGATCCACTGGTCGTTAATTGATTTCGGCCACGACTTGGGGCGCTGCGAGGGTTTGACGAGGTATAGCGCGACGTTGAGTACCGCGCGGCGGAAGCTGGGGAATGGCTCGGGCCCGCGCCGACGGTAGTTCTGGTCTTCGCCGTGGGCCTCGAGGGTTGGGATAGAGGCGGGGAGGGGCGGTGGGTGCAGGGCGTAGGATGTTGGTAATGAGAGGCCCTCCTCCTTGGGGATGTTGCTCATCATGATGTACCCTTCCACTATTGATGTCTTGGGGTCATTGTTCTGTGTGAGTGTGAGGTGGAGGTTCGTAATGCGGCTTCCGAGCTTGACGTCGCGGACGATGAAGGTCGCGGGGCCGACAGAGGTGCGTCGGAGGAACTCGAGGTGCAGGTTGATTGGGTGTGGTTGATTCAGCTTTGTGTGGGTGGTGCTCATGTGTGTGCGGGCGCAGATCAGGAAGTTGGAGGTGGTGTAGCCGCCGTTGGGCACAGTGCCTATGATCCATTCTTCTAGGAGGTTCACGTCGTATGTGTGGGAGGATGTGCGCGTTATGGGACACAGATCCGCGAACGTCGTGGTTTGCGCCATGGTTGCTCGACAGTTGCCGGTGCTGATGGGGTGGGTGGTGCTGTGGTGTGTGGTGTTTCGTCTAGCGCATGGTTCTCTCCTTGCCGTGCTTGCGATGATGACGAACTCTGGACTCCTTGAGGCTTCCTACTCTCACTTCAAACAGGTGGAGCGCAACGTCAGCTGGAACATTTTCTCAACACGCTGATCGACATCATCCCAGAATGGGACCTCGGCTTGGGGCCAAAACGCGTGTTGGAGAACAGCGATTGTCCCTGTCATCCGGCGTACCCTGTCATCCATCCTACCTCTCGGGACCATGTTTAGCAGAACAGGTGAACAATCGATGCTTTCGCCGATCCTGTGCTTCGATGCGTGCGCTTCGTGAGTTTGGTCTATGTTGATGACCAAAGGTCTCGAACACTGCCAAGGCGATGAAGGTAGAGGTACGCGCCAACATACATATATTCGAGCCAGCGTCGAGCGAAGCGCTGGTCTGGGATCACTCTGAAAACCAGGCATGTCTACTTCGAGGTCAGCGTTGTGCGATGTTGTATTTCACATCTCAGACTCGCAGAAATATCGCCATCCATGCCAGTGATGATGTACGCCGTCGATGGCCTCCTACGGCTGATACCACTGGCACACACACGAACAGAAACACGTCGACCACGACTCTAGATCATGTCTACTAAATGGTAACTATGTTTCACTCGAGTTCCTAGAGCGCGTTGACGGGTGAGTCTCTATCTGCGGCTCGAGGAACGACCAGAGTAAAATCTCAAGGGAAAGGGTGCAAGCACCCTACTCTGGACGTTTCCTCGAGCCGCAGATAGAGACTCACCCGTCAATGCGCTGCTCAGAAATGTGCAGAGGGCATGGCAGGAAGGTGCAGGGAGAACTCCGCTGGCAAGTACTGGGAGGAATCCGAAGGCAGGTGCGTTTCGCAAGCCGGAGCTCAAGAACGTGGTGAGGCAAGTGCGATGCTGTCTGCTTCGTCGAGGCACCAACACTTATACCGCTTGCCGACATCCTCGACCTGTTCACCCTCTTTGCCAGCTCCTATCACACCCACTCCCAATCCTGCACCCTTCTTCTCATCCAGTTCCAGCTCGGCCTGTGCATACATAGCCTGCTCCTCTGCACTCTGTTGGAAGTAATGCACAGCGAGCTTATCACCAAAGATCTCCGCAATATCTTCCAGTGATCGCTGCTTTGTTTCGGGGAAGAAGAGATAGATCAGGATGAATTGTATCGTTGGTGGGAAGATGAAGATGAAATAAAACTTCCAGCCGATGTTGTTGAAAGCGATGGGGCCGGCGACCAGGACGACAAGTGTGCCGCAGAAGAGGCCAGCCATGCCTATTGCTGTGCCTTGGGAGCGGATGTGTGTTGGGAACTAGTATTATGAGTCAGCTGCGGCATGAGGACTCATAAGGAACCGCTTACAATCTCTGAGGCATATACGAATTGCGTAGCGTCCAGGCAAGAAGCCCAGAAGAAGATGAAAAGGAAGATGCTGCGTGTTGTCAGCTTTTGAGCTCTGTTGTTCGTTACAGGTGGCTCACAAGAAAATGGCTGCGTTCAATCCCGCTGTGTTCTCGGGTACTTTACCCACGAACGTCGCTTGCAACGCGATCTCGAAAATGTTGCTCATCGTGGTGCCCGCCAATCCGACCAGCAACAGGATCTTCCTCCCAATTCGGTCGACATACAACGCGGTAAAAATGTTCAGGGGAAGTGTGATGGACACCCAAACGGCGTTCAGTAGCAACGGCATGCTACCTGAGAAGCCAATGGCTTCGTACAGCACGACGCCATAGTTGGCAATAATCAGCACACCTACCTATGGGTCAGCGCGGTCTTGACTTAAATTCAGAAGAGCACATACCAGTGAATTGATTCCCAAACATCAGGCCGAAGGAGAAGAGCGCACGCTTGCGATTCGACGGCGTGCGGAACACTTCGAATGCTCCCGTCTCTGCTCGGATAGAACGATCGAGCTCAAGCTGCTTCCGCATCTGGTAGAATTCACGTTTTGCTTCATGACCCTCGGGGTCTTGCTTTGAGCTGTGTAGCTTCAGTAAGACGGTAAGAGCTTCATCAAAACGGTTCTGTTGAAGGAGCCAGCGTGGACTGAATGGAACGTTCTTGGAACCTGCAAGCAGCAAGAGCGGCGGGAACCCTTGAAAGGCGAGTGGGAACCGGAAGCCGAACGTTGAGCTAGTCGAGGAGAAGTAGCAGCCGTACCCGATCCAGCCAGACAGTGAGTAGCCCACAGCAAACATGACCCCATGCATGCAAGTCATGAATCCGCGAGAGGCTGGTGTTGAGACTTCGCTTTGATACATGGGTATCACTGTGACAAGAATTCCTGTCGATAGCCCGCTGATCAGACGACCGACGATGAACATGCCCGGATTGACAGATCCAGCTGTGATCGCGGCGCCAATGATTGCAATCAAGCAGCCAAGCTGGATGGAACGTTTCCGCCCAGCCCAGTCGGCGAACCAAGAGACGAACAGGCAGCCCAAAAAGCCGGCACCGGCGTTGGCGCCATTGAAGCCGGAGATCAGATTTGCTGTGCCGCCGTAGCCTGGTTGACCTGGCGGCACCAAGTCCAGAGTCTGATAGAACGACGGTTGACCCAAAGTGCTACCGGTGACGGCGAGTGAGTAACTGCATGTTGTGCTCCCCAGAGCCACGTATATGACAACGAGGAGGTTGAAGGTGTTGGGTATTCGTCGGAACATGGCCAGCTGTCTCTGGGCGTTAGAGCTTTAATACACAGAGCAGCGTATGCGGACTCGTGGGAGATGTGATGCGAATTAAATTGTGCTTTGAGCGTAGCATAGCTGGCTATATCAGACGACGCGCTTCTCCATGCGCTATAGCAGTGAACGACCTAGGAGGGGTCCGATGGGCATAGTCCGAGGTTAAGTCATTATGCTCAAGCGAGGTACCGAAGGCACGGAGCAAAGATCGACGTCGTGAATTCTTGACATTCGCCCGTTTGATCGGTAAGCACGTCTGGGCATGGTCCTGAAACTACTTAGCTTTGCACCAACCACCCGCACTATGGGTCTTGGAGGCTTGCGGTCAAGCAATGTAGCTTTCCAGAGGTTGCGTGAAAGTTGGACGCTGTTTGCAACAACGGCAACAGAGCCTGAGCCCGTGTGCATTATGTCAGTGTATCAGTAGATGGTCCGCAATACGCCAGCGTGCTACCGCGAATGTGCGACGGCCTTCGGTGTATCGAAGCGCTGGACATCGCATGGCTAGGCAGGCACCTACGAGGTGAATTCTGGAAACAGCTCGTAGGGTGGGTCTTCTCCAGATTTCAAGTGCGGAGAAACCCGGAGCAGGAGCGTTCCTTGCCCAGATGATTGATCACAAGCGAGATCTCTTCGGTACCGAAGGAAGGATGCGCCATGGTCGTAGATGAAGCAGGGTATTGGACACCATGATCGACCGCGCCAGTTGAGTGAAAGGGATCCATTCTGGTCGAGCGATCGACCGAAACACCTCGTGGATGGCGACGAATGAGTTTCTATACATCGTTCGCGATCTAGCGAGCCGGAAACGTCCATTGCTACCGGTGTGGTGCCCAGTGATGGATACGGCCGTCAGCTGGCACGGCCCTTTGCAGGCTCCATGTGCTTCGCTTCGCCTATTGCCCCGACCTGGATTGTGTACCCAGGGAGGCCTTCAACAGGCACTCTTAACAAGATGGCCGAGGCTGGTCCCCTAGCTCACAATGCACAACATCTCTCAGAGTCGATACCTGAATCCAAAGGTCTTCCAATCCGTCACGTCATCCAGCTCCTCCGACCTCAACTCGACCCCAACAAATAGTCTCCCCGCCAGATCACGATCATCTCCCTCATCAGCCATCTTGCCACCAGCAATGGCGCCTGCCGTCCCAGCACTACCTTTGACACCCTCAATTCGCTCCCGCTTGGTGTTCATATACTGCAGATAGAATCTGAGCAGCACTGCAAGCCCGACCACCAGCGAGTAGCAGATTAGGATGCTCTGAAAGCCATATTGTAATGCGGCGCATCAGATGCTTTGAAGAATTGTGGTCCAGCAATGTTGCCGGTGCAGTAGGCGATGAAGAGCAGAGCTGTCATCGTCATTTTCTTGGTGACGCCCTTGTAGTTCGCTCCAACCAGTGACATGAGCAGAGGGATGCCTCCGGGACCAGTAGAGAGCAGGAAGTAGCCAAAGAGCTGGACGCCCGACGATGTCCGTGGTCGCACGTAGATCAGAGAGCTGCCCACTACAGCCGGAAGCACAACGCAGACGATTAGAATGCAGTTCATCTGGCGATAGCGACCTGCAAGCCAACCAGTTCCAGCGATCGTAGCAGCAGAGATGACGGACGCTGGGACGACCAGTAGCGTTGACTCAAGAGATGTGAAGCCAAACGATTTGAGAACGATGTTGCCGAAGTTCTGCGTGCCGCCATTCGGGATCTGCGTAAGCAGAGACATGAAGAAGATGATCCAAGTCTTCGGATCTTGTAGGCACTCGAGCGCCTGGTCCATTCGCCACTTCGTCTTGTCCGTTCGGCCCGTTCCTGCGATGACGACTCGGGCAGCAGCATACTCGCGTTCCTGAGGCGTCAGGAACTTGGCGCTGTCGATCGAGTCGGGGAGCAGAAGCAACAAGGGAATGCCCCACAGGAAGGTTGCAACGCCGAGGATGATGTACATCCACTTCCATGGACTCAGACTATCTTCAATGTGGCCTGTACCGAACGCAATGAAGGAGGCAACAAGACCCCCGACCGAATTGCCCGCGAACCAGATGCCCGTTCTGGTGGGAATCTCGTCCCGAGTGTAGAAGGTCGACGTTATGAACAAGAAGGCTGGTGTGATCGTGGCCTCAGCCACACCCAGGAGAAATCTGACGGTGATCAAGCCTCCATAGTTGGAGCAAGCCGCGGTGACCGCAACGACAGCGCCCCAGAAAAAGGTGTTGGCCGCAAGATATTTCCCAACAGGCAAGCGGGCGATTAACAACGTGGTAGGGTACTCCCAGAACAGATACCCAAAGTAGAAGACGCTTGACACCCAACTGTACTGTTGTCCATGAAGGTGGTTATCCTCTCGCAATCCGAACACTGAGGCGCTAGACAGAATTGTCTTATCCATGAAATTGAGATTGTAGGTGATAAACATAAGAGGGATCAGCCGCCAGTCGATTTTGCGAAGGACTCGCTTTGCGAGGGCAGCGTCGCCATGCTGGTGTCCTTGCTCTGGCGATGCGGGCTGCTGTTCAGTCGTTGTCTGCTCCTTGTCGGCGCCCATAGTGGCAGTCAAATTTGGAGTAGTGCTGCCAGATCATTCACAACACCAGAGGGATGCCAAAGATATGTAGTAGTTCTGAGATATCGTCGCTCTCCACGTGGGCAGGCGTGAAAATGCGACATCGCAATCGCTACTACCATTCGTGAGCATTATTCGCCTACCTTATCAGTTCGAATGTGGAAACACCGAAAGTTCTTGCCGCATATTGCCCACGCATGGTGATCATCTTTTCCGGTAACGTGGTTGCTGATTGGAGACGATCTTGAGGAGATCACCGCGAATGAGCCGGTGCGCCGAAAAACGTGCGGCGAGTCTGCGAACACGACATTCTTATCAGCTCGGGGCGCCCTCAATGGTGACGCATCCCGTTGGCCGCATAGAACAGCCATGCAGTGCGTGGTCTAACAGAACATGAGCAAGTCGATCAACAAGACAACGAGGATGCACGTGAAGAGAAAGGAGAGCAAGACAAAACATCAGCATCAAGCTCAGAGAATCAGAGAAGAGTTACCAAACTTCCAGCCACGGAAAGCTTGAAAATCTTCCTGCATGTCCACTCTTGGCGAAGTGCTGCTGCCATCTCGGCACCCTTCGGACCATGTTCGTACACCTTAAGAGCGCTTCAGCACAATCAGGATTTGTGGGAAATGAGGGATGGCGCGCAGCTGACGGCAGAGAATTCCACAGCGCCCTGTGATGCTTTTAGGGCCACTCGGTTGTCGAAGTTCGGGCCGTGTTCTTCCTGGCAGCAAGACCTCCCCACCTGAACCCGGTCTGAGGAATGTTACTACAATCTACCCAACTAGGTAAGCATTCATACTAATTCTTGGACTGTAGAGCATGAACAGCTTTTGCTGTTTCATCTAGAGCAGACAAGAGCCGCAGATTTGTATGCGCTGCAGCAGCCCAAACAACCATGAACGGCCTTGAGATATCACCATTCATTCAGTCTCTGCCCAAAGTCGAACTACACGTTCACATCGAAGGCACTCTGACTCCTGCCCTCCGATGGAGACTCGCCAAGAAGAACAATGTTCCTCTGAAGTATGCTACGTACGATGAGTTGCTTGACTCCTACAAAGTGACCTACAACCATCGCAAGGAAGTCAATGGCGATGATGGCCGCCCTACGTTCCTTGAGGTCTACTTCGCAGGCTGCCAAGTGCTTTGCGACGAAGATGACTTCTACGAACTTGGCATGGCATACTTCGAGAAGTGCCGGGCTATGAACGTGCGCTATGCAGAGCCTTTCTTCGATACTCAAGCACACACTGAGCGAGGCATCCCTGCCGAGGTCGTGATGAACGGCTACCTCCGTGCTCAGAGGGACGGTGCTCGGATACACGGTGTCCACTCGACCTGGATCTTCTGCTTTCTGCGTGATCGACCTTTCGAAGACGGCATGAAAGCTTACGAAGCCGCCCTGCAGTACGCCACCGTCAACAATGGCAAGGGACTATTCCACGCCGTCGGTCTCGCATCAAATGAATTTGACAAGCCGCCTCTACTCTTCGAGGAGGCATTCCTACGCGCCCGGGACGACGGCCTGCACATCACTATGCATTGCGATGTCGACCAGAAGGACGCGGCCGATCATGTGCACGAAGCTATCTTCCAAGTTTGCACTGGTCGCGGCACGGAGCGAATAGATCATGGACTGAATGCCGTCGATCGACCAGAGCTCATTCAAGGTCTTCTGGACCGCAACATTCCCTTGACTCTATGCCCACATGCGTATCATCGACGACAGAAGACGGAGGTCCTATTCTCGAAAATCCAAAAGTTGCTCGAAGCAGGCGTGAAGGTTTCGATCAACAGTGACGATCCGACGCTCATGCACGACGTATGGATCGATGGAGCTCTGCAGAAGACTCAAACGTATTGCGCCTTGTCCAAATCAGATATGGTTCAGCTTTGCAGGAATGCCGTCGAGATGTCTTGGGCGCCAAAGGATATCAAGGCAGGTATACTCAATGAGCTCGATGCGATAGACAGTCCATAGCCTTCGGGACTTTGTCGGTAGTAATCGGCACCATGACCTGCTATGAAAGCTCATCAAATGATTCAAATTCGCTCAAGCAAGTCCACAACAGAATCGAAGCACGTTGATGACAGCGCCGCAACGGTGAGACTACCACGCACACGACAAGTGGTCCCCTTAGCCACGGATCTTCCCAACCAAGAAATCAGCCGCCTCGCCAGCATTCCGTGTGTACGACAGATGCGCCGCCGTAATGGTCAGGCTGCCACTGCAAACCAAATCCCCGGCCGCACAAAAGATCTTGACCTTGTCCTTCGGAAAGTTGGGCTACGCACACCAGTCAGTCAATTGATTTATTCGAAGAAAAGGCAACAACTCACAATCTGGCCCCTGTCCTGCAAATTCTGCGTATCCCCAAATGTCACCACACCCACAATCTTTGCCTTCACCGCATCGCTGAGATTCTCGATGGCACGATGGGTCAGCGCCGCGCCCTGGCTGTACCCTCCGGCCACGAGCTTGGAGTTAGGGCACTGCGAGGCGGCCTGCTCGAGGAGAGACTTCATGGTGGCGATGCCGTTGCGGTCGGCGCCGCCGGGCAGCAGGTTAGTGGAGATTGCGGCTGGGTAGTCGATGCCTTGGACCGCAACGGATGAGGCGCCGAGGGTGGATTTGAGGTTGCCGGCTAGGGGTGGGCCGATCACTGTGCCCTGTGTGCAAAGAGCGGGATGTCAGCTGACAATGCTTGCATGCACGACGCTGGTACTGGGGAACGCCGTGCCTGGCTTTAAGCGAGGATTTCGATCAAGGAGAAGAGGAGCGAACGCTCAACGTACCATGTTGCCAGCCTCAGTACTCCCCCTGGCAAAGAAGAAGATGACATCACGACAACCACCACTGGTGAATTCATTCGAGGTTGTGCCGCTGCTGAATTGGCGTGTCTCGAGGTCAGCGATGGCTTCGATGTCGATAGGATCCAAAGCGGGCTCGGTGACTGGAGCGGCTAGGGCTGCGGTTGCGAGGAAGAGTGGGATGGCGAGTGTGACCTTCATGTTGATGGAGGCCGTGGGTGGGAAGTTGAGTGAACAGAATGTGTGTGTGCGTTTTGAACTGTAAGCGAGTGTATGGAGTGAAAAGCAAGCAAGTGTAAGCGGGTCTGATCAATGTGAGATCAGCTGTCTCTTCACGGTATGGGAAGACGAAGGGGAAGCTGATCTTTATACATGTCTTTTGGTACGCAACGAGCCCACGCAAGAATTCAAGCAAGATCATTCTGGCAGAGCAGTGTCAAACTGGATGGGCTGAGATCTGTAACATCACCCATGTCTTCTGTGCCGTCATGAGAAGTGCAGCCAAGCCACGGATGTAGACAGAATGCCCCCAAAGCACCTCTGCTGTTCGCATATCCTTGTCGCCCAGATGTTCGTAAGTCAACGTATACAACGCTTTGTCACCAGTTTCAGCGTGGGGGAAAGGCCCGCGGGCAGCGTGCTTATAGCCTGCCTCGATCCGAGAGGTAGATGCGATGCTCAAGCGGTCATCGTGTACACGATACCATCACTGTTTGAAGAGTTGTGGGCAGACTATACTGTTGTAGAACTGATAGCGAATGTCACAGTCGATGATCCGAGGCAGGCAGACAATCCGGAATGCTTGCGACTTCGGAAGACCATGCCAAGGAATTGTATCCCTGTCCGCGTAGGCGAAACTGCCAAGCTCTCGCTCCTCGCCAATCTCGCTTCTACGAGATCCAGACAGATCTTGAATGTTACCGACTTTTATTGGCCAACTAGAGAGAAGGGCATTCTAGAAGTGCCGAGGTCGATGTTCTCGGATCTGCAGTCGAAAGAGCGTCATATGATATATGATATAAGAGAGACCTGTACGGCAAGGCCATCCGATGGCTAGAGTGTCCTGTAACATGTCATGTCGCAAGGCCTTCACCCCGTTACGCTGCCGCTGCCTTGCAGGATCTTATCTTCGAATCGATGTTTCGATTGCTTCCACGAAAGGGTGTAGGTGCCACGTAGTTGACTGCATGGTAGTCATGGCCAACATGTGTTCTTTGTACTTGGTGAAGCCTTTGGCTGGTTGGTCCACTGCTCCGCGACTCTTGCATGACGGGGAAGCCGGACAAAATCGCTGACGTGGATATATGTTACTCCGTCGTCGAATTTGAGTTGACGGCATGTTGGCTTGTTTCACAGCCAGGGTTGGCAGTTTTGGTGGCACGAGAATCAGGTACTGTGCATGGTCGTGCAATCAGAACATCTCGTCAAGATCGAAATCGTCGATATTGCCCAGTCCCATATTGTCGTCCTGCATGAAGTCAAAGTCGAGCGCGTCAACGCCTTGCATATCTTGCATGGCGGTATCCACAGTGGCGTCCAGATTCGACTCTATGGCAGTCAAGGCTGCCGACTCGTTCAACATCTGATCTATGTCGTCGACTCCTTGTGCATTGTCATTGTTCTCGACCTGCCCCAGTTCTTGCGTCGGTGTTACGTCTGGTAGGTTGCCAATGTCGATGTTGGCTTCCTTGACTTTCAGCAAGCCTGCATAGGACGATACTCGTCTGAACAGATGGACTACCACTTCTGCAGTCACGTTGCCACGCTTCTGCAACGTTCGGCCCAGCAGAGCATGTTCTGCGTAAATCAGTAGAGCCAAGTCCTGAGACTCTAGCATGCAAATAAGTATTGCTACCAAGTCGAGTGCCCAGACAAATTCGTTCGTACCTGAAAACGACACCAGGATGTCGATCAATGTTTGAAGAACAGCTGCAGGTCCGTCTCGCGAGACAGCGTACTTGAGTGACAGGTTCGGGCCTGGACGAGCTACTGCAGCTATGATGTCTTGGCGTAAAGCTTTGATGTCTCTGGTGTGATATATTGGCATTGCAAAATTGCCTGGACTTTGCATCATTGAAACAATCGTTCCATGAATCGCATTGTCGGTGTCCCTAGTCAGTATCGGTAGGACTTGTGCAGCCTTCTCCGGATGCCCATGGCACCACCGCAAAGCGGACACCAGAGAGGGCAGCAAGAATGGCACCAGGAGGTACTCCAGACCACCTTTGAGATCATCGTCTGTAAGCTTACCCATCTGATGGGCCAACGCGCTCTCTCGAACAAGGAATGGGACCAGTTGGTAGAACTCCTGTGGGCTGCATTTGGTCGTCACGTCATCGCTAAGTCCTTCAGCAAAGTAAAAGTTGTCGATCCAGTCATCAAGATGTTTCTTGACCTCTGGACTCATCTTGTGAATGCCCTGATCGTTGCCTTCTCGTTCGAGATAGCGAGCGACGAATCCGTTCACACCCAGTTTGGAGGCCGAGTATCGGAGCCGACGCATAGTAGTTAAGATCAGTAAGAAAATACTACCGAACTCATCGTACAAAGGCTGTGACTCGCCATGGATGTCGTCCCAGCTCCACTCGTCCAGCAGGGTGCACAGCGGTGAAATCCAGAGCGATGGCTGACGGAACAGTGCAATAGCGCTGATTGTGGCTGGTCTTCTCACTAAGGTTTGAGCCAGGTCTTTGAGATGGCGGTGATCTTTGCCCCTAGCATATGCGACCATGATTTCGGTCATTGCTTCGGCAATGGCCACGCCGTTGCCATCCGAAGTCAACAACTCATCGACTAGCTTGTCTAGTTTGTCTGCGGAATGAGTGTTCAGCTGCCCTAAGACCTCGTCCTTCGTTAGGAGCTGCTTGGTGAAGGTTGAATCATTGCTGTCGATGATTTGAACAGCCTTCTCCGGGGATATCATACCATGCAGCGAGCAGGCATGCACGAAGCCTTGGGCACAGCGCATAGTAGTTGGACTCAAATGCAGTTGAGATGACGCCGTAGTCAGCGCCTCTTCCGATGAGAAGTTCTCGAAAGAGGATTGCAAGATGAGATTCAGGGTCAGTGGCAAGCGGTTGCGGACGTATAGCTCAATCTGCTGCAAGACAAGCCCCTCACTTTGACCAAGTACGTGGAATGCTGCGAAGAGCAAGTCGACAAACATAGCCGAGTAGTCGTTACCATGCCGGCCAGCCAGAAAACCAAAGACGGGATTATCGCCAACTGTGTCACCCCTGCTGATCATCTCTTGGAGCATTGCCATTGTGCCAGATCTCGAAGCTACCACCTGAAGGTCTGCAACTGTGGCTTGAAACTGCATGGCACGCATGTCATCGGTCCCATCCTGGCTGAAAAGCGCTATGTGCTTCTGCACCTCACTCAGGTTGCCGAATAGTTGAGGCGACAAGGCAGAAAAGTTCGCGGTGGCTGCCTCGACAGCGCTGGCGACCAACTTTGTGAGCTGCGTCTGGTCATCGTTCGAGCTGTCTTGCTTTTCATTTCTTCCAGAGAGCAGCTCTGTTCCCGGACCCGTAGCACACAGGGTTGCCAGTAATGTTCCGACTGCTTCCAGAAGAATGTTATTTGGCATCTGAGGGCTTTGACTGCTCAATCTGACGATGCTGACCAGCCACTTCGCAACGACACCGAGGCAGTGCTTTGTCTGCACATGATCGAGAGCGAGATTTGCCGAAGCGAGCATTCTCGTCACATCTTGCGTTGTTTTGATATCGGCTTGATGAGGATGAGCTGTTGTAGTTCCCTCATGCTTGCGAGTCGACGCATTATATCGACTGATCAGGACCAGAAGAAAATCCAGAAGCTTCACTGTGTCCTGTCCGAGTATGGCTGCAATGTATCGCGGTGGCAGCGGATCGTTGGATGGGCAAAGCGTGGTTCTGACATCTAGGAGTGCTTTGACGATGGTCGTGCCCTTCACGCCAGTCTGGCGGCGGATCTGATCAGCAAACTCCTCGGCGGTAGATCTGTTGAATATGCAATTTCTGCAAAGCTCCGCAACTTCGGATATCGCCATTGATTCACACGGCGAATTATAAGTAGCGGCACCGAATAATCATTGTCGCCCGAATGGTCCAGCTCTGATGACTGAGCCGGCAACGCGTGCAGTACAATGCAGCCAGTAACGTATAACTGTGTATATTGTAGTCTATACGATTCAATGGGGTGGTTCATGCGGTGATGTGAAGGGGAAAGAGATCATTTATTATTTTGTTTAATTCAAGTTGACACCTTCCGCTCAGGCGGAGCGCGACGCGGGGCGCCGATGGCTCCACTTTCCGGCGGGTCTCCGGGCGGAGTCGGTGCCGCATTTTCTTTGCCGCAATGCGTGAGGGTGACTTTACATCAGAGCACCTCGGGAACTTCGCTATTCTACCCATTCGTGCCAATCGTTCGCAATGAAGAGCCTCAAGAGAGGACTGGCTTCGGATCCCGGCGCGGCCAATATCACAAGCAAAGTATTCCTCCGATCGACACGCAGCGGCAAGGTGCAGAAAGTGGTACGAGAACAGTATTTGCGAAAGGACATACCTTGCTCGTCGCAACTATGCTCAACATGCCCAGCGACCGCGGCTACAGACGTCCATGGCCAAGTGCCGCCGTTCGTTCTGTCGAAGCGCCCTGTCGGAATCAAGTCGTTTCCCAATGGCCACTACCTCATACCCGACACTAATGTTCTCTTAACCGGCATGGATGTCTTTGAGGATACAAACAATTTCCACGATGTCATCGTTCTACAGACTGTCCTGGAAGAGCTCAAGAATCGGTCCCTGCCTCTATACAATCGGCTGATGGCTTTGACAAAGAGCGAGGAGAAAAGATTCTACCTATTCTTCAATGAATTCAGATCCGAGACTAACGTACGTCGAGAAGAAGGCGAGAGCATCAACGATCGAAATGACAGGGCCGTGCGAAGAGCAGCAAGCTGGTATACCTCTCATCTATCGGCAAGCACCAAGAAGAAAGCGCCCACAATTGTAATCCTCACCAACGACCAGGACAATCGGAGGAAGGCCAGGGCGGAGGGCCTGCCTGCTCTGTCGCTGCGCGAGTATGTGTCAGAGCTGGATGACGCAGATAGACTACTCGATATGGTCGCCGAAGGTCAGGAAACGAAGCAGCTGGTTGGTGAACTATTTTACCCGGAGTATTACACTGCGTCAAGACTCGCCACAGGTATCAAGAATGGTACGCTTTATCAAGGCTTCTTTCACGTGTCCGCATACAACTATCTGGAGGGGACAGTCAAGACCGCTGCGTTCGACAAGCCACTGCTTATCTTGGGTCGCGAAAGTAGCAATCGTTCTGTGTCCGGAGATATTGTTGTGGTTGAGATGCTGCCGAAGGATCAGTGGCGGACAGCTTCTTCCAAGGTGGTCGATGAGGAAGAGGTCAATGCCAACGAGAATGCCGAAAATGAAGAGACAGGCGATGTGGTTGTGACTGAAGCCGAGAGGGAAGCCTTGCAAGCGGAGGCAAGAGATGCTCAGTCTGCAGGATCTGAGTCAAAAGCTCAACCGACCGCGCGAGTCGTCGGGGTCACGCGAAGAAATTGGAGGCAATTTGTGGGCACTATCGACTCCAAAGCTGCAATCTCTGGTGGCCGACAGACGACAGTGTTCCTCATGCCCATGGATAAGCGAATACCCAAAGTACGCATACGGACACGTCAGGCGGATGAGCTGGTTGGCAAGCGACTGCTAGCAACCATAGACGCGTGGGATCGAGACAGCAGATATCCGATTGGCCACTACATCCGATCGTTGGGTGAATTGGAGACAAAAGAGGCAGAGACTGAAGCTCTGCTGCTGGAGCACGATGTGCAGTATCGTCCATTCCCAAAAGCAGTCCTGGATTGCTTACCTGCCGAAGGCCACAACTGGAAAGTACCTCAGGCACTGGACGATCCTGGATGGAAAGGCCGCAAAGATCTACGAGAACTTCTTGTATGCTCGATCGATCCTCCCGGCTGTCAGGACATCGACGATGCACTGCATGCGCGACAGCTACCTAATGGCAATTTCGAAGTAGGCGTACATATTGCTGACGTTTCACACTTTGTTCGTCCAAGCAATGCCATGGACGCTGAAGCCACAGCGCGAGGCACGACAGTGTATCTAGTCGACAAGCGCATCGATATGCTGCCGTCGCTGCTCGGCACTGATCTGTGCTCGCTGAAGCCTCACATCGAGCGATTTGCTTTTTCGATTTTGTGGGAGCTAACTCCAGATGCCGATGTTGTATCAGCGTCATTCACCAAATCGGTCATTTACTCGAGGGAGGGCTTCTCATATGAGCAAGCACAAAAGCGTATTGACGACAAATCAGCCACAGATGATCTAACGCAGGGCATGAGAACTCTGTTGAGTTTGTCCCAGAAACTGCAAGCCAAGCGTATGGCGGCCGGTGCACTCAACCTGTCGTCTCCTGAAGTACGGATTGAGGCAGACAGCGATGAGACATCGGATGCCCTTGCCGACATCAAGACAAAAGCTTCGCTCGCAACGAACTCTCTCGTGGAGGAGTTCATGTTGCTCGCGAACACTACAGTCGCTCGGAAGATTCAAGGCGTCTTCCCTCAGACGGCTCTACTGCGCCGACACGCGGACCCCCCTGCGAGCAATTTTGCGGAACTGTCTGATCAACTCAAGCGCATGCGGGGGTTTGAACTTGACGTATCGAGCTCAAAGGCTCTGGCGGAGAGTCTCGACAAGTGCGTCGACCCTGCGCATCCGTTCTTCAACACCCTCATTCGTATCATGGCCACGCGATGCATGACGTCGGCAGAGTATTTCTGCAGTGGAGAACACGCGGAGCCCGAATTCCGCCATTACGGCCTCGCAAGCGACATCTACACACATTTCACGTCACCCATCAGACGATACGCGGATCTGCTCGTCCACCGCCAGCTTGCCTATGCTATCCAATACGATGGTCAAGGAAGCGAAAGAGTCGACGAAGGTCTACGGAATAAGTCAAAGTTGGACAAAGTCTGTGCGAACCTCAACTTCCGTCACCGGAATGCTCAAATGGCCGGACGAGCCAGCATCGAGTACTATGTTGGCCAAGCTCTTAAGGCTCGCGGTGAGAAGGCACCCAACAAGAAGATCGAAGTCGAAGGCTACGTCATGCGCGTCTTTGAGAATGGCATTGTTGTCTTTGTTCCCCAATTTGGAGTCGAAGGTCTCGTTCGACTGGAAGACTTTGAGCTGCGGAAGGAGGTGGGTGCAACAAGAGAGAGCGAGTATGATGCTGATGCACACACTTTGACTGTCTTCGAGAAGGACCAGCTCAGCGATGGTGTCAAGGTCGAGCTCTTCCAGCAGTTAAAGGTCCGCGTGAGCTCTGAGGAGAAGGGCGGTATTCGTGAGAAGGGCAAGCGACGAGTCAGAATTGTCGTGATATCCTCCTGATCACGCATGATTTCCATGCAGCTGTCAGACATCTCCTGGGAGCTTCTGTTGTCTGGCCGTCAAATAATGGCATGAGGTTGATCGCGAAGTATTTCTCATCCACGCCCTCAGCCACACTTTCTTTGTTCAGACCACTGAACCCTGTCATCACAAATAGCATCGGACTGTCATCTCGAACGACAAAGACTCTATGTTCCACGATCTATTGTTGCTCCCTTTGTCTCGTGAGACCAGAAAGACAAGTACGGATGGCTTCGCTGCGATTATGCGTGGAAGTATACACCATCGCAATCAACAGCGCTCTTCGCAAGAACCATCACTTCGTCAACATGTGCAACATCCACACCTTCTACTACGTGTGCGGACACACCTACCTCCGCACCCTTATCTCTTGTCCCAGAGCCGTCGATCAAGCCATTGCCGCCAAGAAATACTCAGAAGGAGGCCAGAATCACCTGTCTCGGCCATCTCCAATAGCGACGACGACCTAGAAACACTCTCTCCAATCCTCTCACCAAGCCATCCTCTCTTCCCGTTCTCGCCACCACCACAAACCCCACTAAGTCCGGCCCTCCAGCGACTAAACCCTTGTCCCAGCACAATCAACTCGCCATCTATAGTCCCCTTCGCCTGCGAGGCTTGTATCCAGCTTGAAGCTATCAGCAGCTCCGTCGCTGAACCAAGGGAGAATCGTGCGACTTACAACCTCGTGTCTTCGTGCAAGGCACGGGTCAGGCGGTATCATGGACGGACAAAGAGTGAGGTCGCGAGTCCGGTCATTACGAGTCCTGTGGGGCAGTGGCCGCCTAGCATTGACAGCTTTGAAGATGGGCTTGAGGACGGGAAGGGCAGTGATGACGAGGACATGAGTCCGGTTGCGACGACGTTCGAAACGAGGAGCCTATATGGAGAGAGCACGTGTGCGACGAGCGATATCAGTGCTAGTGCCACGAGAAGGCGGAGCGAGGCAGATACTAGTAGTGCTACGAGTCAGCACGCGAGGATCGCGAGCATGCGGAAGCGGATTCTGTTGAGCATGGGGAGGTCAGTGGAGGAGGCTGGGTTTGGGAAGGGAAGGGAAGGTACTGCGTTTGATAAACAGTGATTTCGCGTCAGCCCAGTACTGTCAGATCATACGCGCATTGTGTCCAATGGCGAGAGACGTTTGCAAAGGGCAATTTAATATTATTCATTACTGTCAGCCCGTGCGTCCGCTCTCGTTCTCGCTCTGTGGGTATAAAACGAATCCTCCCAATCATTTTAGTTTCTCCAAACACTGTAACTCCGTGCCGTTGCTTGCTTGATGTTGATTATATGTCGTTGCCAACCCATGGGATGACCTCTGAATGCACAGCCCTTATGAAGCATAAGAGACCCGGTAAGTCGGCCCCATCATGATCTCACCGAACTTGCGGTAGGCCTTGAGCGCCTTCTGGGCCTTGGTGGCCTTCTGTGCTTGCTGGCCCTCAGATGCGGAGGAGACCGAGGCGCGCTGGCTGGTGGGGGTAGAGGCGACGTTGACGGACTTGTAGGCAGCCATTGTGTTTGTGTTTGGTGGTTTGGTGATGAGGTTGAATTGGTTTGGTGGTGGTTGTAGTAGTGATGGGTGGGAGTTGTTGGTTGTTGTGGTTGTTGTTGGTTGCTTGTCTTAGCTGATGCTTGCTTGACTGTATTGCTGGATGCTCTACAACCAAGTACGACGATGTGCGACCTCAGCTTATATACTTACATCCCCAGAAATAACAACCCCAGCCTTGTTCCAATATTGCAAGAAAATTCTCGAATCCATTACTCAATAACCACCACCCTACGACATCATAGTCACAAGGTGTAGTACACCAGGTACGCCTTGCTCACTACATGCACGCCTTGGCTCAAGACGAGGTACTAAATGTGGTGACACACACGCACGTGTGGCTGTGTGCTCCGCCCTTCAGCACGACACCACTCGGAAAAAGCTTTGTGTCGTAAATGCTTATGAAATTTCTTCGCCCTTTGACGACGAATGACGAGAGGGTGTGAGAAAATGCCCTCAGCCAGTGAAAATTCTGCTTGGCGGAGATGAGCTGAGAGCCAATCGAAGATCAGCTCTGACAATGAGAATCGGATCGTGTCACGTGGGCAGGCGTTCTGAAAAGATTTTATCCGCTCATAAGCGCATGTGGTGGAATTCATTAGGTATAATGTTTCAGTGCAATTCAACTTCAGTGCTATGCCACAGAGATTTCTCTCAAATTCTCGAAGAAACGATGATTGGCGACAGGCGTCTAGCCGTAAACGAATGCCACGCCGGGCTGGGTATCGTAATGCTCAGCTGGGCAGGATTGGTTGCATAAAAGGATTCGACCACGAACGCCTATCCATAAAGCATTTCCGCTCCAGTATAGCCTCTGCTACTACATTTGCCGCAATGCTCTTCGAATAGTACCAATGACCGTTCTGTCTCCGGAAGCTGAGCGATTGTTCCCAACACTGGTGTCAGTACTCCGTCGGCGCTCGGGTCGTTGATCGAGCTCGACTGCCGCCCTGCTGTTTGCTGCAGAGATACGCCGATCTAAAATTGTAGACGGTGTTGTTGACATGCTGGTTCTTGTCGATTGGCGTGTGGGTCGGGCCCCGATGCCCAGGTCTCGGCCAACTCTGTGGTGTCGCGAAGCGGAAGCGGCGATACTCCTCTTCCCGTTGTTGGGGATGATAATGTGGTAGCTGCGACGACACCGTCGTGATCAAGTGCACTTAAGTGTGGAGAAATGAGCTCGACCCCCGAATCGCGCCTTGATGCGTTGCTGTCCCGGAACGATCGCAACGCGCCCGTCGACGACGGGGATGTCGATGTGGTTGATGACGACGGACCAAGGGCCTGCGGTATGGGCGTCGCACTTGCCGCCGACCTGACGACGTCGCGAGAACTGCTATTGAGTGAGCTTGACGGTGACTGCGTAGAGCCGGATGTCTGGCCCGAGCCTCTGCCTCTGGAAGCCAGGGCAAACACATCAGCCCTCGCTGGGACCGGTATTGGCTGAGCAGGAGCGGCGGAGCTTCTCGTCGCGTCATTGATCCTCGGCTGGTCTGGATCGTCCTCTCGTGCTTCTCGATGTGATGGTAAAGCTGGAGGCTGAAGACTCGGCCGTGCCCCTGAAGTTGTTGTACTAGCTGTTGATGCTCTCCTCGAAAGATTTTGTGATATGTATTCTTCCCTCCGGAGAGGCCTGTTGGACCTATGAATGAAGGCATTGGTAGCCAGATTCGCGTTGTTTCTCTGCCTGTCGCGTAAGGCGAGGCGGAACTCTAGTGCCTTATCGAAAGCGACTTTCGCACTGAGATCGGCGAACTTGAGCACCACGTGTTCTGTCTGCCTGACTTTTATTGCCTTGTAGTCAGGACGTCGCGGACGTCTAAACGGTAATATGTCGAAAGTATTGGGATTCGGGTTTCCTTGCGCGTCAAGATCAGAAACAGTGATCCTGACAGGGACCTGGCGCTGGCCTCTTCCGACCCCAGAGAGGACTAATTTTGAGCACTGGCTATAATCGTCTTTGCAACGACAAGCATTCCGGTCGATATGGATGCCCTCAACCAATTCTATGTAGATGACAGCGAAGCAATTCCTGTGCCTTCCGTGTTCGAGCTGTGTCAGTAGCACAAGTGCGGACAACTTGATACTGTCAGCTATCCAGCCTTCTGGTGTGGTTGTGATAGTATTGGTTCGAGCGATAGATGGCGCAAAGCTCGGCCGTCGGGATCTGGAGGCGGACGCGCCGTGATCGCTAGTGCCATCAGGCGATGTAGGTATCGGAGAGCTTGGCATATCGGGTTCGCTCTCCAATACAATGGGGTCCTGCCATAGTTGAGCTTTTCCTTGACAAACAAAGGAATCCATGCTTGGGCCGAATTGGCATAGCACATTGTTCTCGTGGTGGGCAACATCATGGCCCGTAAGGGCCCCTTGGAATCTCCATAAGTCTGCCTCGTTCGCGAAGAGAAAGTCGGTGATCTCATTGCGGCAAAAGATCGAAATCTCGGGCGCGGTCAATGGCAAGGTCGGCAACGCATATCGAGGGATGAGGGTATCTTCGCGTGTATACACTTGCTGAGGTGCGAGGACTTGCTGACCTGTGCTGGTCCAAGCATCTTTCACGATGCGAAAATTCTCATCGGAATGTTTGTAGACCGTCACGAAAGACGCTGGCGAGCCGGCATCGGTCGCGAGTTCTATCCTGACGACACCTTCCTCGTTGGCACGCGGCGTGAGTGGATTGGGCTCAGGAGGAACGGTCGCAGCGATCGACTCTACCGGATCCGATGCTGGCCAGATCTCACACCATTCAGGTGGAAGCGCGAGCATGACCGCCTCTCCGAACGCTGTGACTTGCCCGTAGCGAATTCTCATTCTTATACCCTGGTCAATTCGGTTTATGGCATGTCTGTAGAAAACAGATCTCATGTACACCTCGCTACTTCGCATTCGGCTGATGAGCCACCGAGACTTGAGGAGTAGCAAATACTTATGCGGGTCTCTGTTACGAGCCAGCATAAACAGATCGAATGCTGTGTGCAGTGCGTCAAACGAGAGCTGGAGGAGCATCTCGTCGGAGTAGCCGCTTGAATTAATGGTCCGGAATGAGTTTTCGAAGCGTTCGGAGATTGCTTCAGTGGCATAATGTACGTCGGCGACAACATGACCGTTGGATAGATTGCTCTCTCCCACAAGGAACTGCCGCAAACGTCGGATCTCATCGTTGCTGTCTTGCGTTATCGTCAGGATCTCATCCGTGGTGCCAATCAACTCGTTGAGCCTGATGTCCACCCGAGTCAACAGATCAATGGACAGTCTGTCGATCACGAGCCTTATTTTCTCGCAGTGAAAATCAATGCGTCGTCGCAGTCTGTCCATTTTTGACTCCTGCTGCTTGACATGCCTATAGTAATGAGCGTCACTGCCATCTTAGGCCACAGGAAACGTACCACAAGATACTTTCGAAGGCATTCGCATGACGATCTCTGAACTGAATGTGCTCCTGCAGTAGCGTATCGCAAGCTTCCAAGGTATCGTTGAAGTTTCCGATCAATGCATCACGCTCATTGATCAGCGCAGAAGCCGAGGGATCGTAAGCTTCCCTGGCTCGTGCTTGGATCCCAGCGTCGATGTAGCGACTTTGCGCATCTTGCATGGACTGCTCAAGCCGCTGCAGAAGTGTTCCGAAATTGCGGACATCATTCTGGAATGCCCGCCACCGGACATCTGGCCCAAATATGTTAGTCGACGACGATCATGCGTTGGCTATAACAAAAGGATAGGCTTGTCAGAGTCTGCGCGTGTGCTTACCGGCTGCGTTATCTGCATTGAACCCATACTCGTAGATAATGAATGCAACACGCACAGCAGCTGCTATGTCAGTGATGCCACAATTGAATGCCATCGTAAGTAACTTCCAGGCAAGGCGTCGTTAATCAAGATGCCAAGACTGGTCCAGGCGCTCCCGGGCCCCGAAGCTTCCGGTTGGGCAGGGGCGGGGCGGCCCCGATCTTCTCCTTCCAAAGGTTCTATTCTAACCCTATCAAGTACGGGTTTCTTCGACTTGTGCAGTATGTTGGACGATGCAACGTTGTTACATGAAGAAAACGATTAGACGTGGGCATGGTAACCTCAAATCATGGACGACCGCGACACTCGATTGGCAGTACGAGGGACTAGGTCTAGCCCGACCTGCCAAGCTGCCACTGTCTCAAAGCGTCGCTGCCTAGTGGGCTAATCACCCTGGCGGTACTTTTTGACAGACAATAAGCCACTGCGAACCACAGAGGCGGCATCAAGGAGCCAATGACAGCCAAATACCGCTCAGCAGTGCTTCGAGATGCAGCTGTTGGCACCTCTTCCAAGTCGCAGCCACGTTAGTCGGGCGCACTACAAGGCTTTCTCATGTCATGCTAACGTTCCGGAAAGTATGCAACACGAGGCCATCCCAGCGTGTTATATGTCGTGTCCGCAGCCCAGTCGCGATGATGCTCGAGGGTCTGAATCACCACTGCCTGGCCCAGTATGGCCTTGACTGCTCATGAGGAAGCGTTGCTCGAAAGACCGACAATTGAGGCAATCGAACATGGCCACCAGCGGTTGGAAGATGCGCCATCAAAGCCCAGGCTGATCGGAAAATATACGATCGTCGCTCTCATCCTCAATCGGACCATTGGTTCTGGCATCTTCTTGACGCCGCACAGAGTCCTTGCTGGCACTGGGTGCGTTGGCGGAGCTCTCTTTTTGTGGGCTTTGGGTGCTCTATTGTCCCTCTGCGGTCTCTATGTCTGGCTCGAATGCGGACTGTCTATGCCCAGACAGCACATTCCGGGAGAGGAGGAGCCTCGTGGGGTACCACGATCGGGAGGAGAAAAGAACTTCCTGGAATTCATGTTTCCGAATTCAGGCCTACGACTGGACCATGTCAGAACGACGTGCTCGTTCTCAATCATGTTCATACTTCTGTACAACCTTTCTGGGAACGCAATATCCTTTGCTATCATGATTATGACCGCTTCTGGGATATACGATCCGAACGGGGTTGAAGCACCTGACCAGGGCAAAGCAGTCGGCATTGCGTGTGGCGCCCTATCAATCGTCGTGCTACTTCACATGAGCTCGAGACGTGGTGGTATCTGGGTCAACAACACTCTGGCTGCAGTCAAGGTTGCCCTACTTCTGGCCATCATTTGCCTTGGTATTGCCAAGGCGACAGGCAGATTCCCAAATCCCGAAGGCAACTCGAACGCGGAAGTGATCAGGCACAATTTCAGGCGAGATGTCTGGAAGACTCAGCGGAACGATGTCGCTTCATGGTCCAGCTCGCTAATGCTGTGTATGTACAGCTTTAGTGGATTCGAACAGCCTTTCTACGTGCTTGCCGAAATCGAAAGCCCAAGAAAACACTTTCCAAAGTACACTGTACTCGCCTTGGCCGTCGCATCGTACTCTTCCTAGGTGTCAACATCAGCTATCTACTTGTTGTCGATAAGGATCTTGTTCTGAACGATGCGACATACAAAAGCGATCTTGCTTCTCTCTTCTTCAGAAATCTGTTTCATGGCAACAACGAGCAAGCGACCAAAGCAATGGCCGCACTGATAGCGCTCTCCATATTCGGCAATCTAATCGTCATGACCTTCACGGCAGCACGTGTCAAGCAAGAGATCGCCAAAGAAGGCATACTGCCCTGGTCGCTCTATATTGCGACGTCGTACACGACGCCATACGGCTACTACCAGCGGTGGACATCCCGTCGTCAACTTGCGGAGCACGAAATTGAGCACGCTCCAACTGCCGCCTTCCTGCTACACTGGTTCACTTCAGTGCTGCTTATCGTGGTGACACTTCCTGTCAGAGATCCCCGCTACGCATATTCGGCGCTGGTGACCCTGTACACGTACACTATCGTGGGACTCCTGGGCTTCTGGGTCTCAGCAGGACTGCTCTATATCAACCTCCGCCGGGACAAATGGCACTGGAAAGAGAAACGGCGCTTCAAGCCCTGGCTGTCACCCTTGCAACCTGCCGTTTACGCACTTGCTTCCGCTTTCATGCTCATTACTGCATTCATTCCTCCAAAACCTGGATCGCCTTTTCACCGAAGTGTCACTGGAATCAGTTGGTACATCGTTCCGACCATTGGTCTTTCAGGCCCACTTTGGGGGGTGCTGTATTACTGGGGGCTTCTGATGTATCAGTGGAAAATTGGCAAGCAGCTCGAAGTGTCTCGCCGAGCCTACTGCGAAAAAGATCCTGATTGCCCAACGGAGTATGTGCAGCGGGCTGAGATCATCGACCACACTTGGATTATCACTGCAAGCGATCAGATGCCAGATGGCTTCGCAGAGACTGGAAAGATGGGACACACCATCAACTTGCGAGAACGGCGTGCTTCTGTCAGTGGCTTCGTGGGCAGCGACAGTGACAGCATGTTCGGTGGTAACAATGGGACTGGACGCATGGCTGACGGATTTTGATGTATTCAGACCGAGCAGCTTTTCATCTCAAATGCCGATCAAAGACGGAAAGCCAATTCCCAAATGCTCGCGCCGTTGCCTGCTCGAAACAAATGTTACGCCACAGGTGTACAATGACGTACCGTATCATTGACACAGCAGCCTCCAAGGACGGCATCGAACCGATCTGAGAGTCCCCCGAGAATTTCCTTAGCGGGGCGAACTAAAAAGCTCGTATTTTAGCGAAGTCCTGATCAGGCATATGATCCCGCGTTCCTGCATCATGGCCTCATCTGAAGTCCTTCAGTGTGCTAAAAATTGCGTGCTTGATCGATATCGAACACTGCCAGCCTGAACATTCTCGTGGTCTTATCACGGGCCAGCAAGCGAGGTCGCTCCGCATGACCTCGCACTGCTCAGCGAAACATGCCATGCCTTGGTCGTGACTGCCCAACGTGCTGGGAGATATTTGGCGTATCGCCCTTGCATTGCTCGGCGTGCCTTTCGGTCCACGACACGTGTCGAGATCCTGACTTCCTACGCAGGGGACTCTACCCCATTGACGGAGGAGGCCGCCTCCGTGCTTCCGCCGGTTGTAGTCAGCAAGTCAACAAGCACTATAAATTGATGCTGCTGCCCAGATATGTGTTCTTGGCCTGATTGAAGCGAGGTCTAAGTCAACCAGGCCTTGGTCGACGTCATACGCAGCGGACTTTACACACCCTTGTGCCGACCGCATGTTACCGACGCCACGATGTCCATTCAAGATTGGCCTTCTAGCTCGCAAACAGTCCTGTACATGTTTCACAAATAAAGCAGTTACTCACGTTGGGGCCAGAAACTAATACCATGGCTTGCAGAAATACCATGACTCGCAGGTTAGCTATACCCTATCTCGTATCATAAGGCGTGTGATACAAGCCCAGCATAGCTAGAGCATCTGGTGGCATCGTGTCTTAAGGTGATCCTAGTATCGCTTGCATACCATGCTTCGGTCAGCGTCTTCAGTATAAGGGCAGGGACAGGCTGTCTGGCATTCTGAGTCTTCTAAGTGCAAGATGATCTTCCGCTTGACTTATGCGTTGCTAGGTCTCGCTGAAGCTGCTTCAACACACTTGAACCAGTTTGCGAGTAAGAGACATTTGAAAACGATAGACGAAGAATTTCCATACTGACAATTGACAGGCCGTGCGGATTGTGTCAATGGAACTGTTCACACCGAGATCGGCCTCGATTTCCGGATCCAATGTCAGACTAGAGTCATTGCCGCAACCGTGCGAGACGTCGAACGCGATGACTTCGACGCGTGCCTCGAGTGGTGTTCTGAACAAGCTCGCCCTACTGCCCAGGTCTGTGGCTGGAGCATCGACGAGCAGCGATGTTATCTGAAAGAGAAGACCTCTTTTACCCAGGCCCTGGAGTACTCCCCAGACAATATCACTATGTTCGCAGACTCTGCAGCATTAGAGAATCGCACTTCGGATTGCCCATATGTTAATGGAACAACCCAAGTTGACGAAAACGGACTACAGTATCAAATATACTGTCAAACAGATTATCCCGGCAATGACTTCGGCTGCACTGATTGTAGCCCGGGCAGCAGCAACCTATCAATAACGCCTTTCCACACGGACACCCTGCTCGAATGCATGAACATCTGCTCCTGGAACGATCCGCTCTGCTACGGCGCTGTCTGGCTGGGCAACCTGGTTGGCGGCTATCGAAATTGCTTCCACAAGAAAACAAACGTCAGCAACGATCTCTCAGAAATTGTACGAAACACGAACGTAACATTCGCGATGGCAGTGCTGCCTCTTGCCAATATTCAATGCACTGACACCATATACACTTCGCCCTCAGGCGCGGCCTTCAACAGAAGTTGTGGGACAAACGGCGACGGGCCCCTGCTCGAACGCATTCATGCGGTGGACTTCGAAGGCTGTATGAACGCATGCGCAGACTACCAGCCCCAACATGGCGACGACAGGTGTGCCACAGTTGAGTACAATCCAACTTCTGAATCAGGCTTCCTCAACTGTAATCTGAGACCATATCTGTCAAGCGTGACACCAGATCCCGACTGGCGCACAGCCAGAATGATATCAAATGACAACAGCAGTCCGAGTCGTACATGGATTGCAGGCGCGGCGGTTGGTCCTGCGGTCGGTGTGGCGTTAGTTGGAGCTCTTCTGTTCTGGTGGTACAGGCGTCGGAAAGCGAAGAATGATAGCAAGGCTAAGGCGTCAGAAGCAGAAGCCCTGACACCGGCGAATGGTATACACAGGGACAAGCCTGCAGCACTACCACCGTACTCGGTGTCCAAGCCGGAGTTGGACTCTCAGTCGACACAGTTGTTGCCAGAGATGAGCCCGAGAAAGACTCCCGTTGCTGAACTGCCTGGGTCTATTGGTAGTCCAGGTCAGAGCGCGTCGAGGTGACAGGATCATCCTGAATGGAGCGTCCCGAGGAGCACCTTTTGGCATAGACTTGCAACTCCAATGTCTGGATGCCGCTGGATAAGACAGCCCCCGAACAATGCGCGAGCCATGCATAGCACCGTGCATCAGACAGTGTAGCCATTCAGCCAACGCCATGACTCAGTTGTAAATTTCGAGATGAGGCGATGGTGTCACCGAAGGTAACGATGTATCGCACGGTAAGGACGCTAATACTCGCCTAAATGTGGGCCTTGAGTAGTGGCCGTTAGCAATGCCCAGCCTGGCTCGTCTAATACTATCCCTATTTGATGATCAGGTCCGAACGCTCTCATCAGTTCCTTGGCCGCAGGGTGACGTGTGGCGGTATCGATAGAGGACTATCGCGATCGAGATGGGTTTGATCGTGGCTGAGACAGAGACCACGGCCTCATATGATACGTCCAGCAAGTCGTAACCATCAAAATAACAGACTTACAGTCTCTGAGCTATCAGAATCTCTCACGTCATCGCAGTTAGCTGAATTGTCAGCCGACACCAGCAGTGATGTCGGGCAGCAGTTTCTTCACAATGTTGGGATACTACTGCAAGTGCTGTAAGTCTCTACTTCTCAGGTCCTCCACTCACACCCTTCCCACGAACGCGCGTCTGATGTCCGTACAGGCGTTATCGGAATCAACCGCTTTGCCTTGATGCTTCTGATTTGCGTCTGTTTGCCGTGTACGTGCGGTATGAGTGCTATGTGGTCTGATGCTATGATGGCGAACCCGAAGTTCGTATATCCCAAAATGCCTGGCGCGGGTGAACAGCGCGAGCAAAATTCTGAAACGAGAGCACGGGGACAAGTCGGCGAGACTGAGCCGGACAGCGCAGTCTAGTGGTTGGCAGATCTGGCGACGGAGAAGATAGGAGGTTGATCAATGGAAAGCAACAGAGCGAACACGATTTCAGATTGCCTGCCAAGACTGAACAGGGCAAACTGCCGAGTCTGACGACAGCATTTGGTGGGTTACGAAATCACACGGCTTCCCGAGGCCGCGACCTGTACATGCCTTTTGGAGGTTATTTGATGTATGCCACTTGCGAAGCTGAGCTATTGTATGAATCACTGCAATTGCGCACGACAGCAGGTGAAGACATACACTCCGCCACTTGGAAACCAATAGCCAACCCAGGAGATAACCATGCCTGTCGCCAATCTCCATCTCCTGCACATTAGCCCAGCTCTGCCATTGAAGAGCGCTCTACAGGTTCTCTCGAAGACGAGCCCTGCTCCGCTGACACTCTCCGTGCCAGTGCGATGGATGATCACGCCCAATGCGCTCTCAAATGCAGCACCGTCACCACTACTGAAAGTGCCCTGGTCGATCTTGCTGATTACCCTCTCATCTGACTTACCGTCGGCAATCACTTCAAATCTCATCGACCACTACCACCTGCGCGTCGGCGTCCCTTCTCGCCTCATTGACAATTTCAAAAGCAAGAATGAAACCCTGCTTCACCCAGAGCCTTCGGACGTGCCATCACTCACTGGATCATTGGATTCGCCACGGTTCGGAAAAACGAGTCAGACGATCGAGCTGACTCCCGATGTTCTACAATGGATCCAGTCGATGCAGTCCCGGAGCGATTCGTGGCGGACGGGAGCAATAAGCATGCTTAACCTCCTAGCCTTCAAAGAAGGCCTAGAGTTCAAGGAGAGCTATCTCAAGTACGGCAAAGCCTTTGGTGAAGACATCGGGAAGAAGAGAGGTGGCACTGCGAAATTGGTCGGAAACGTGATTCAACCCACAGCTTCGAAGGGCAAAGGCACCTCTCCAGATGTGAAGCAGCAAGCGAAGGAATGGAGCGGTGTTGCACGTATCGGCGACTCCCCAAACAAAGGCACCTCTCCAGGCGTGAAGCAAGAAGCAAAAGAGTGGAGCGGCATCGCACGTATCGGCGATGACGCGGGCTCTTCATCCAATGACAACACGCAAGACCGCAAATGGGACGAGTTTGCGCTCGCACACTACCCATCGCTCAAACACTTCGCGGATATGGTTGGGAGCGAGGATTACCAAGCTGTGAATCTGAAGAATCGTGTGCCGGCACTGGCGGACACGTGTATCTTGTTTACTAGTGAGTTGCTCGCGCAGGAAATTTTGGCAGCGGACGACGGGACGGGTAAGGCGAAATTGTGATAGATTCCAAGCTGCGTTGAGAAAGATGGATTTGGGAAGGGAAAAGGCAGGGAGGAGATGTTAGGCAGTGAAAACGGCTCATCTTCGGCTCGAAGCAGCATCTCCGCATCAACTTTTTTGGCGCATCTTCAACTCGAGTCTCCGATTCTCGACTGTAGACACTGTATCACTGCTTCTGTCGGAGTTCCTAGACCGCTTGATCAGCAAGCTTTAGTCGCGCATGCTCAAGTCTGGTCACTCATATCGTCCGCTCTGCCCGTTGCCTCCGGTAGGCACATGCTGCCCGAATCCGTACTTCCCAAGTCTACTGCCTGAACCAAAGCATCAAAAACAGCAGCAGCGAAAGCACCGCTCGGGATTCGAGCACACCGGACACTGTGCGTACCAGAGCCATCGCTTGGCCACGGTGCTCATATTCCCTGCCTAGAGTGAACATCCACACCCCGGACACGTCGCCATGGCATTCGCCTATAACCCCGACCCACCAGCACACCTCCACAGCACCACCCGCTTGACCCACGCCCAAGCACACACCTTCCTCAAGAACTACTTGTCCACGGCCGACAGCAACCCAGCCTACCGACCCGACGCCGTCCTGACCGAGCGAGGTCCTGTCTCTAACAGCGCTGGCGCTGTTACATCCAGCGATGGATCGGGTGGGGGTGATCTGACGCTCACGAACTTGGGGAGGGTGCTGAAGGGTATGGCAGGAACTCGCGTCGGCGGCGCAGAGTTCAAAGCTTCACTCGAGGAAGCAAGGTCTTTCAACAAAGGGAAGCGGAAGGCGCCTGACGCCGCTGTGTCTGCAACGCTCGCTTCAGCAGAACAACGAAACAGCAATGAAAAACGGAACGACGGTGATTCCAATGGACCTTCACCAGCGAAGCGCCCCAGACAAGAGACCAGGGCTGACTCTAACGACAACGACGAGCCCATCATCGTCGAGGAGCCAACAGCAGAAGAGCCACAACCTGATGACGCAGAACAAGGCTGGCAAGACAAAGACGACTACGAGATGGCACAGGACGACCTGGTCGTTCCAGAAGCGGAGGCTGATGACGCGCAGCCGGCTGTGGGCGGGAACACTACGAGTGGCGAGATGCTGAGTTTGGCGGAGGAGGTTCTAATTAAGAGCGTGAAGGCGGGTGTCACTACAACGGGCAGGCGAGCTGATGTTGAGGACTCTGATGACGGACGTGAAGAAGCCAAGCGGCGGAAGGCTGGGTCGAAGAAGGAGAGGAACAAACAGCAGAATGGCCCTAAGCTGATCCCAGAGACTGAAAATGCAGCGTCACCAGAAAAATCGCCAAGGCGAACAGAGTCAGAAAGCGCAAAGCCATCAGCGACAATCGACACAGGCAAGTCTCTGGACAAGGTCGAGCGCAAGAGGATGAAGAAGCTGAAGATGGACGCGGAGAAGAAGCAACGGCAGCAGGAGCGGCTTGCTACAAAGAAGCCCTGAATCTGATCTCTTGTCGTAAGACCAGGCTGTTTGTACACCAGAGCGTTTTCTCGTGCTCTGTTTCCCCATATGAGCTATTCTACAGCTCGCGATCCGCCGCCTTCGTCACCTCCGACTTCTCATCCTCCTTTGTGACCTTCCCAGTGCTGACCCACCCCAGGCCTTGCAATCGTTCAGCCAAGATCGGATGGCTGTAGTGATAGGTCGCGTATATCCAATCCGCGTCCATGGTACTCAAGTTTTGCACCTGCAGCTTAATCAGACTCTTCGCCAACTCCTTCTTATACCCCAAATCGAGCGCGAATTTATCTGCTTCAAATTCGAATTTCCTTGAGATGATATTCATGCCGAGCTTGACGATAGTATCCATGGGTGCAAGGGCGTCGGAGAAAAGGATGAAGCCGATGATAATCGGGTGTTGGTTGTGGAAGCCGAACGAGGAATACAGCGAATTATTGTTGATGAAGATTGAGAAGAGGGCGAAGATGTAGAAGGTGTGTAGCTGGGCTGTGTTAGGAAAGAGGCGGACTCGGTCAAGGGGCGCTTACCTGGGCGATGATCATAAGTTTGGTGGTGTGGGAAAGGGCCCAGTGGCCTAGCTCGTGGCCAAGGACTGCTACAACTTCTTCGGTTTCGCTCTTTTCGATCAGAGTGTCATAGATGACGATGTGCTTCTTCCAGGGCAGTCCGAAGAAGTAGGCGTTGCTGTGTGCGCTTCGCTTGCTGCCGTCAATGACGTACAGGGAGTTGAGAGGGAATTTGAGCTTCTGAGCCAAAGCTTCGACGCCGGTCTTGAGCTCGCCGGGCTCCAGTGGTGAGAGCTTGTTGAAGAGTGGGAGGATGAATACTGGATAGACGGTCATAGCGAAGATTTGTACCGCGATGGTGAAGAGCCATAGATAGTAGAAGAACTTTGTGCCGGTAACCTGGATGATCTTGAGGAATGCGCTCAGTATAGGTGGGCCAAGAGCAACCATCAATGCCTGTGACTTGAGCATGTCTGTGAACCATAGCGATAGTTTCTGCTTGTTGAATCCAAATTTCTCCTCGAGTACAAAGGTGCTATAGTACGATGTCGGAAGAGAAAGTATCTGTGAGATGACGTTGAAAGTCAGGAAGAAGAGCACCGAATGTGAGATCTCGCCAGAGAATCTCTGAGGCAGGTATGCCGACCAGAGACCTGTGAGCGACCATAGCTTCGGCAGGACGTCATACTGGATGAAGACAAAGTTCTGAAGTTGCGAATAGAGACCGGAGATGAAACCAAATTTTGCTTTGGCGCGACCATATGCCTGTGACTTGTCGTGGGTTTCTTGGGAGATCTCTTCTTGTAGTGCCTTGGGTGGCTTCGTGTGCTGGAGTACTCGGTACTGCCGTAATGAGAGGAGCCCTTCGAGGACAAATTGGCCGACTGAGAAGCCTAAGATGACCTTCTTCCAGGGAAAGCCAGGCCGGTCGAGGAACTCTGCCAGGCGCTGATGAACGAGGTTAGCATATATGTGGACTGTCATCGGGTGTGTCTGGTGAGCCTACCCGTGGTAAGTCGCCCAGCGACTGTAGCAAGGACGCCATAATGCTGCGGTCCAACACAAACGGTATTCAAGACGAATGCAAAGGAATGATGAATGTGGATGACCAGACGTTGGACGGTACTTCTCGCATGAGTGAGGTTGATGCCGGCGAGCCTAGCAAAACCCTAACCCTCACGTCTCAACTAGACTTCTTCGACTTCACATCATCGGCGAATTCACTTGACAACTACAAGCTCAGCTCATTCCGACTCAATTTGCATCCTTCTGCCGCAAAAGCGCTGCCTGGTACGGAACAGCCAATTGCCGTTATTCTTGTCTAGATCGAGCTCAGAACCACCGCCAAAGACGCCACACCGGCGCACTCTTCACCATGTGCCGAATATGCGGTCGCACGATAAAGTGCATATTCGACAGTATGCCATCGCGCATCGCGCCCTTTCCGAGCAGCCGTAGAGCATTCAGCACAGCACGAAGGCTACCCACTACGCCACATGCCGTCAGACCAACAGCGCCGCTGGCTCTCATCTCCAGCTTTTCACGCCTAATCCTCTCCACAGCCACATCAAGGCCTTCAATATCGTCAGCACCATTTCTGACGAGCTCGTTTCTCCCCTCCACATCAGCCCGAGCCTTCTCCGCGACATCCTCTGCTGCCGGCAAACAGCGCATGGGCGACACATACCAGCCCTCGAGGCGGCGACAGAAACGGAAACACGGGTTCCTGGCCAGAATGCGGACGAAAAGTGGACAGAAGGTCATCAAGAGGCGGAGGGCTGCGGGAAGACCTGTTAGTTGGTAGGATGGGGACTAGGATGTTCTGTGATGAGGCACAAGGGAGTTAGCTCTTGTCATGTTTGCTGCCTTGGAACGATGAAAGAAGGAATATCCGCTTCATAGTTGGCAAGCACCTGCAAGCCGATCTATATATTTCGGCAAGCATATGTTTCCTACTGTTGACAACTTTCATCAGCCATCTATCGCACGACACATCTCCAGAAAGCAAAGCCAACGGACTCAAACCACCTAGCTCTGCACCATGGCGTGGGGCCCTATCTGCAGGTGCTTCACATGCAATACCATCCGCGAGATCCTCCCCCACATCGATCCCGAGTTCTGTCGATCAGTAGAGAGAGGTTTGCCTCAGCCAGTAGGAATGGATCACGACTACCTCCACCACCGGTATAAGATCGACTATCCGCTCTAGGTCAAGGGCATGAAAGAGAAGCTAGAAAAGATGGAGCTGGAATTAGCTGTTGCCGAGCTGCGATTGAAGATTGGTGAGGTCGAGGTCAAGCAACTGGAACTGGAACTCAAGAAGGCTCGGATTAAGATGGGAACTTGAGAGGAGTCGACAGCTCTACTTGACTTTCCGATGCAAGACAAGTGGTACGTGACACCAGCGGAAACCATGTGCGCTTTGTGTCAACACATGCATCTGTCTAACCGTGGCACTAGCAGAAACGCGGCTGGGAGACTGTTGTTCATAGGTATGAAGGAGAGATTTCTGTGGGAGCCCACTAAGAAGGTGGCATTTGTGCTGCTTAATGCCTTGTGTGAAAGGATACAGAGCAAATATTGAACATTGACAAGTGCCTGAAGCCTGCAAATCTTGTCTAGGCAAGATTGTCTCAATTTCTTGATCTGTGCCGAACTTCATCATCATCCGCCACACCGCCATCGCATCTCCCCACAGTACATCCAGCGAACTCAAGCCACCATCGTCCACCATCATGACCCAATCAGTCTGCACATGCTTCATGTGCAACAACATCCGCACAGCCCTTCACAACATCGATCCGGAGTACACTCGCTCAATAGAGAGACGACTGTCCGTGCCACAAGGCTTAGATCACAAAGCTCTCATCACACGATACAGATACGAATACCCAGACTATCTCAAAGCCATGAAAGCGAAGGTCGAACACGAGCTGGTGATTGCGGAGTTACAACTCAAGAAGTCTGAGGTGGAGGTCAAGCAGTTGCGATTGGATATCGAGACGGGGCGATTGCAGCGGGAGAAGGCGGAGGATCAAGTCAGGATGAACAGTTCAGTTGTCACAACTGGTCTGCTTGACTCTTTCGAGGAAAAATAAGTGGTGAGTAATCTCTGAGAGACCCGTTGAGGAGCTACTTCAAGTCGTGCACCTAGCTAACGTGCTGCCAGCGAAGTTGCATCACGTACGCATCACTGCAGAGCGGCAGAAGAAAGTCCACAGCGATAGAAGCGATCTGCGAGAACGCAGGGTCGGCTGCCATGAATCAATACTCGATGCATCAGCCAAGCTTCGGAATCGAGAAGCTGCTCATCCTAATCCGTGCGATCTGTGCTCGCTATCAATGCTGGGTCGTCTATGCTTCCCACCTTATATTTTATGCTCTACTATTCGCCACTCACGTGGCCACCTCAGTAGCCTTGGATGGGACCTCGTCCTTCAAGTGAGCAAAACTCCTCGACTCAAACACCGGCTCCTGCTCGACCTCCACAAACCGACTCGCATCAGTCTGCATCGGCTCCAAGCCCCACCGTCTGAACATGTCCTTGTCCTCATCCCAACCATTACAGTCAGTGGTCAACATCTTCTCACCCGTGAAGATCGCGTTCGCGCCCGCCATGAAGCACATCATCTGCTCGCTCTCCGGCATCGTGACTCTCCCGGCAGCCAAACGAATGATTGTGGCTGGCATCACGAGTCGTGCTGTCGCTATGCACCGAACCAAGTCCTCGAACTTGACGGGCTCTTCGCCGAACATTGGTGTGCCCTTGATGGGGACGAGCTTATTGACAGGGAAGGACTCTGGGTGTGCGGGCAGTGTGGCTAGGGTGTGGATGAGGCCAACGTGGTCTGTCTGCGGGGTCTCTCCTAGACCGAGAATGCCACCGCTGCAAACGTGAATACCAGCTTCGCGGACGTTCTCGATGGTCTGTAACCGCTCGTCGTAGGACCGGGTCGTGATGATGTTAGGATAGTGCTCTCTGGAAGTGTCGAGATTGTGGTTGTACGCTGTCAGACCGGCGTCTTTGAGCATCTTGGCTTGTTCCCTGTCCACCATGCCGAGTGTCACACATGCTTCCATGCCTAGTGATCGTACACCTTTGACCATATCGACGATATTCTTCATTCCTCGGGATCGACCTCGCATGTCTCGCCATGCAGCACCCATACAAAAGCGGTTCGAGCCATTGGCTTTGGCAACTTTGGCGGCTTCCATGACCGACTCCACGGTGGAGAGCTTAGTTGCTTGTAGGCCAGTCTTATAGCGAGATGACTGGGCGCAGTATGAGCAGTCTTCTGTGCAGCCACCGGTTTTGATGTTCATGAGTGTGCAGAGCTGAACTGCGCCGGGCTTGTGGAAGCGTCTGTGGACATTACCCTACTCGAGATTAGTGGTGTATATGTGACATGAACACGAGTTCGTACAGCAGCGTATGTAAGCTCCATGAGCGGTGTCTGGTGTATTTGAGAAATCTGTTCTCTCGTCCAGTCATATCGTGGGCTTGCAGCCACGACGGCATCATCGAAGACACTTCTCGAGCGAGTCGGAGCTGGCGGTGCTGCATCTGTGAAGCTACCAACAGTTCTGGGGAGATCTTGTACTGTACTGTACAATCTCCTACGGCTGAGCTGTTGGGATGCCAGCCGTGATGTCGTGCGTACCAGCGAGGCTTCCATATCGACGGAGAGAGCGCGGCCACCTCGACGAGATCTGAGAGGAGTGGACCGTAGAGCCTGAAGAGTGTTTCTTAGGAATATTGTATACAAGCAATGTTGGTGGGGGTTGAGGTGCTGGTAAGATTCAACGGAGCGCCCGCCATTGGAGCCGCAGCTCGGCTCTCGAGTCTCGAACCTGCGGGGCAGCGGCTGTGGCGCCGGGAAGCAGCGATCAGGGGTTGATGCCGCAACGCCTACAGGAACAGGAAACTCGAAAGGGCGACTCGTGTTTCTCCCACCCGGTGACTCACTAGTGGTGCTTCCCACTGCTTTGTCGAATATGTCAAATCCTGCGGAAACGATGTCGTTCCTGCGCTCGTTGTCGTCCTCGACAACATCATTCACGGGATCGGTCCCTACGACTCACAAATGCACATCCGCCGTGGAGAGTTCAGCGAGGTGTCCGACATTGCGACCGTCGGCAGCGATGCCATGGCCGACGATGAAATGATCGGTCTGCGAGGATTTTGGTGTCATCTTGGCTACCTCTTCCCTGAAGCACGTCGCCACGGCATTCTACGTCGTACCAAGAGGCGCTTCTACTTGAGCATGGAACTTTTTCGTCATGGTGTCGGATGCGGAGGATGACGACTGGCATGGCTCGGAGCGCATCTTGGGCTTTATCGTGACTTCGAAGCCCCGACAGATCATCCAAGTGTCTTTGATGACTTGGCTCAACATCAAGCTGCATCAAGTCGAGGATACTTATCGATGGTATTTTCATCAAGACCCTTCCATGTCACATGAACGCCGAAAGGCATTCCTTGCCACACAGGCCTGTGTTGACATTGAAGCAGTGGCGGGACTGTCTAAGTGCGCGTATCGATATTGCGAGATGCTCGCTGTATCGCCGGCAGTCCAGCGACGTGGCATTGCTACAGCACTACTGAGACGCATCCAGAACGATGCAGCAGCCGAGGCGCAATCGATCATTCTTGTATCAAGTCGACGAGCTGAAAGCGTCTATGCTCGCTCGGGATTTCACGAAGTCGGTAGAGTTCCATTTGCAGAAGGCAGTGGCATTCTTGCAGCTGTTTTGCGTTGGGACCCACAATGATACTTCGTCTTCTCAGCTACGACAGACACCGCGTGAGGTACGTGCCGACAACGACATGGTCGAAATCGAGTTCGTTGAATTGTCAATTTTTCTGATTGAAAGATCCCCTAGCGCGAGGGCGCACGGTTGCCAAGATGTTATGTGTCGCCTCGCGATTACTAACGTCATCGAGGATTACTGCAGCCGAAATCAAAGCCCGGACCGGTCTCTAACGCAGCTCAGCATCACCTCGATGTTATTCTCGGATGCCACTTTGCCGATCTGGCCGATCAAGGCTCGCAGCCAGGCACATTCTGGGCGAGGTTGCCCGATGCCTCGTATACCATGTGGCCCAAACGTACTAAACTCGTTCGGTGGAGGCCTCGCTGCCTCGCAAATCTCGTACCAGACATCGAGCTACGCATAAGCAAAAGTAACAAAGCCCGCTTAGTACTTGACACTCAATGGCGCAGTCGTCGTAGGTTGATTCGTGGAAGCTCGCCGTCAAGCAATCCACCGATGCTCTGGACAGCTTCCGCTTCGCATGGCATGCGGCACTGGATCCTCTCTTCCGGGAAATCGCACGCGATGGACCGACTATGACGATGACGAAGTTGCAGCGACGATGACCCCAACGTCAATCTGGAGAATGGATGTTCCAGCTCTGACAGTGTGTCTATCGGGAATGAGTGTCCTTCTGTTGGATTTTTCGCAGGTCAGCCTATGTTTGGCAGTCTGACTGACTCAGTAGGCTCACCTCGCCTACATCACTCATATGACATGCATCGTGGATACTCAGCTACAGTTTAGCATGGGCCACATACACAGACCATGGCCCATATAGGCCTCGATATCATCGCACTCTACGCCATGATACTGGAATTCAATTCAGAGCAGACAAGTGCATGCTCAATCATTCTTAACAGCAAACTTGATGAGCCCCGACAATGGCCTGCAAGAGCAACTGGTGCCAGACCAGAGAGCAGTGTCCGACAAAGCGACGTGCCCAGAAGCTGCGGATGGCGCCATCGCCCTCAATGGATGTGGACGAAAGACCGAGGGTCAAGATGGCGGTTGGCCGGCATACCGCGTGTTGCTGGCGGTCACCGTGATATCTGCCGTACCTCTTGGTAAGAGCCTGTTAGCTACATCACGATACACGGTCGCTAAGAAGATCAGGCATCATCCTCTCCTACGGCGTATTCAATGCTCACTACCAGGATATCTATTCATCGGCCGACGATGCAGTTTGGATCGGTGTCGTGTCGAACGGCATCACATTCCTACTCATGCCGCCTTTGATATACGTGTATACAACAGTCTGCCGGCGGCAACCGCTCATACACTTCGTCTGGATTGGCTGGCTTGTCACAGGAATCAGCTTGCTCGGCGCCGCATTCTCCACCACAATCAACGCACTCGTTGTCACACAAGGACTTCTTTTGGGTCTCGGAGTCCTACTATGCGAAAGTCCCATGCTGCAAATCCTGAATACCTGGTTTGTGAGCAAGCGCGGTCTGGCATACGGCATATACTGGGGAGCTGGTGATACCTTGGCCGTTGGTATCTCCTTCTTGGCAGACTATTTGCTCGGCTCCCTTGGCACAAGACCGACGTTCCTCATCTTCTGCGGGTTTGTATCTGTGGTCCCGCTTCCGTGTCTCTTTCTGTTGCGCGAGCGCGGCTCGCAGTCTGTCTGGATTAGATCTGTCGAGAAGGATGACCTCATCCGATGGGACAGCGCCTCCCAGCAGCGCCGCCGCCCGTCACGGTGGCTAGGTGTTCGGTCGCGTTCTTCAAGCATCCGCTGTTCTATCTCTTGCTGAGCGCATCGCTCTTCCATGCCCTGTGCTTCTACATTCCACAGATCTACCTCTCAACCTTCGCCATCGAGATCTTAGCTCTACCAGCCTACTCACGACCGCTACTCACCGCACTACAGAACGTTGCTGCCATCGTGGGCCAACTCTCATTCGGATGGCTATCCGACATCACGTCACTGCATATCCTGGTCATTACTTCGTCCGGCACCTGTGCCGTCGCAGCAATCACACTTTGGGGATGCACGTCTCTCACTGGGACTCCGTCGAGCCAGCTAGCGATCTTGTGCATCTTCGCTATCGTCTTCGGGGTATTGAGTTCGGGCATGATGAGTTTGTGGGCGCGGATGGGCTTGTGCTTCAGCTCATCCCAACAACAAGCAGGACCCGACGACATTGTCGATCATACGCAGCCTGAGGACGAACAGCACAACAACAAACACAGCGTCCCTGCAACAAGCCAAGTCAATAGCGACTGCTCGCAGCTAGTCTTCGGCTGGCTTAATGCCTCACGCGGTCTGGGCATACTGGTCAGCGGACCTTTGAGCAAAGCTCTCCTGAATGGCCATCAAGACAGGCCGGTCAGCACTAACAGCGCCACATTCGGCGCAGGCCGACATTGGCAGCGGGTGGTGATTTTTGTGGCATGTATGATGGCCGCGAGTGCAATAGCAGGCTTGGCTGCGTGGGCAATTGATCGCAGGGAGAGAAGGGGCCGCCCCAGGAAGCGGTAGTGACTGTGACCAAGCTGAGTGCTACTGCGCAAACACATGTATAGGCAAAGCTGCAAGCAAACAACGACCTGCACAGAATACAGTAGACCACTCGCGAACGTCCATGCCCGCCTAGGGCTATGTGTGAGCAGTCTCGCCATAGCATATCTGCAAGCACTATGTGCAGAGCACGGAGGCTGAGCCCATTCGTCTGCTGCCATATATATCTATATTTGCTGGTAGGAGAGGTGGTGATATAGACAACAGTTCTTGCGATCCCATGAAATATTTGAGGGGTGCCCGCATAGCAGGTCGCTCCTGCTGTAGCACACGGTATGCATCCATCCATCGAGACATTCCGACTGCGATCTAGACTGTATTTTCCGGGACTCTTATGCCTTCTTCTTCTCCCTCTGGGACTCAAAGTGACTTGATGCAATGGTGATGGGCTACGAACTACCGCGGCATCAAGTGATCTCTTGGCGTTGCAAATCTCGATGAGGCGCGGAACCACGTCATGGAGAAAGTGGTGACTGCGCCGCAACCCAAGCGCGTGGGGCAGAGTTCCGCTTCACGAGGCATCGAGGACAACTAGTGATTGACTGTTCGCCAATAGCCTCAGGCGACCGAGATCGCGTTCAGCGCCACTGCCTGTTTTCAAGAAGATCCCAAACAAGCACGCCATCAGTGAGGCGCGACAACGACGGAAGTGAGTCGAAGTTGACTCGATCGCGTTCCACCACCATGCGCGACAGTGAGCAGTAGAAGAACAGATTCGACTATGCCAGACATCGGGGGTCATTTCCATAGGTTGAGCAGACACCTGGGAAGAGTAGGTGCCACGACTTCACTTTTTGCTGCCCTCGACCCGAGCCAGAAGCCGACGAGGTCGCACTGGCCATCCACGTGCCAGGCCCCGTGCTTTTTGGTGTCGCCCTTTCCCTGCAACCTCAACCCAGTGTCCTTCAACCACCAGTGTTCTCGAAACCGTTGAAATGGAAGAAGAGCGTGCTAACAGGCTTCAAAAGCTGGCTCCCGACGATGCGTGGCTTAGTTGTGAGTGTGTCCCAGCATGAATGAGGTACAGAGACCTGGGCTAACAGGACTAGATTACGACGTGCGATGTATGGTCCGCCCTTGCTCCAAGAGCAATTGTACACGACGATGATTATTGACTCTATGGCAGTGACCAAGGAAGATGTGAACACACTCAAGAATGACTGGTTGACGGACAATGTAACACGATATACTCTGAATGCTGATTCTCATCGCTAATATATGCCAGGTTATCTGCTTCTGGGAAGAGTAAGTCGTTCTGGCCGATCCCATTCCTGCGTGATCTAAGACGTGCCCGTCCGACAGATACCTAGAACGCGAGTTCTTGACCGCATACAAGAATTCGAAGATAGTCCTACTCCGGCCGAGCATGTCGATGATGCTCAGCGTCACGCCAGATCACGCAATATCGACAATCAAGGTAGGCTCGGATCAGTCAATATTTTTGGTACTTCCAGCTGATCCATCTTAGGACGTACTGCCCACATTCAATGGCATCACACATGCATTCCTACCTATCAACGACTGCACGAACCCCAACCAGGCCGAAGGCGGCACGCACTGGTCGCTCCTTCTCGTGTCGATCGTCGACGGGGTGGCATTCCACTACGACTCTCTGCCACCGGGCAACGAACACGAAGCCGCAAATACCACGCATAAGCTTTCCAGACTGGTGAACAAGCCGATCCGATTCATTCAGCTTCGAGACAGTCCCCAACAAGAGAACTCGTCTGATTGTGGAGTGTTTGTGTGTCTGAATATGCGGCATTTGCTGCTTAAGAGGCTACTGCAAGTACATACGAATGAGAAAGTTAGCATGAGTCTGGGCGGCAGGAGGGTCGATGCGAGGGAGGGCAGGAAGGAAATGTTCCGGACGATAGAGGGCTTCCGCAAGGAAGGGGAAAGGCGGAGATCGTAAGTCATCACGGGCGTCTTGCTACAGCTTCATACTGACACACCATCCAGAATGAGCGAGTCGCCACACCCAGGCAGAAGTTCGAAGAGCCCGCCACGGATAGATTCGCCGATCGGTAGTGTCCCGTCGAGTCCACGGAGGAAGTCGTAGAGAGGCTTCTCTGTGGGTCATGAGATTATGAAATCGCTGTTTGAGGATTCAAGGAACGACGACTATGAGCACTACTGCCACACCTGATTTAGAATAGCACTTAGGGTTGCTCAATGAAAAAGTAGAAGCTTTACCCTGACAGCGCCCTCCCTGGCCAAGGAGTCCGCGACACATCTTTCTACGAACTGACGCTCAAGTGAGGCTCCTTTAAATCTATCTACTGAATCAGCGAAATAATCTCACACCTTCAGTGCCCTCCTTGGCCCAGAAAATGATCAACAAGAACGCTCAGTACTTGTGGTGCTTGCAGTCATAGCCTGGCTTGTTCGTAGCCCTGCTACGTAGTTCGTGAAGCGGAAATCAACAGGGGTCGGCTACCAGGAATTTCCTGAGCCGATCGTGCCACTTTGACTGCAGCCAATCAAACACCTCGCGTACCTGACTCGTACATTTTTGGAGAGCAAATGTTCGGGTGTTGAGCAGCGCGAACTTTTTTGTGGGTGATGCCACTGCAGGTGCGTGCTGGGCTCGCGTAACCAGATTGACCGCCACCGCAGACTGCCTGTCGCTATCTTCAGCTTCTCGACCATTTGTACTCGTTAATACTACACATCATGGGCCTCTTCACCACTCTCTCGGAGCCCTTCGAGCGACTTCTCGCCGCCCTCCCACTATGGCAGGTGCTTTTGTTGGGAGGAACCGCCTTTCTCACGCTCGCTGTTGCGATCAACATAGTACAGCAACTTTTCTTCTACGATCGAAATGCGCCGCCTATGGTCTTCCACACTGTGCCCATCGTGGGCTCGGCCGTGTCGTATGGCATGGACCCGTTCAAGTTCTTCTTTGCCAACCACGAGAAGTACGGCGATGTCTTCTCGTTCATGCTCCTCGGACGCACGGTCACGGTCTGCTTGGGCACAAAAGGGAATGAGTTCATACTGAACGGGAAGTTGAAGGATGTCAACGCGGAAGAGATCTACACGCCCTTGACTACGCCCGTATTCGGGTCTGGTAGGTCAGGCCTTGCCCCGGATGGATATCAATACTAAGACGATATAGATGTGGTCTACGACTGCCCGAATCATAAGCTCATGGAACAGAAGAAGTTCGTCAAACACGGCCTCACCACCGAGGCCTTCCGCAGCTACGTCTCCCTTATCTCGGGCGAGGTGTTAGACTTCGTCGCCCACAACAAGAACTTCGCCGGCAATGCCGGCACCGTCGACATCACCAAAGCCATGTCCGAACTCACCATCTACACCGCCTCCCGCTCCCTACAAGGCCGCGAAGTGCGCGAAAAGTTCAACTCGACCTTCGCCGACCTTTACCACGACCTCGACATGGGCTTCTCCCCCATCAACTTCATGCTCTCTTGGGCACCCCTCCCTCACAATCGCGCCCGCGACCACGCCCAACGCACCATGGCCAACCTGTACATGGACATCATCAAAGAGCGGCGCTCCACCAACGGCGGCCAGCGCGTTTCCGGCGAGGAAGACATGCTCTGGAACCTCATGTCCTGCTCCTACAAAGATGGCACCAAAGTCCCGGACAAGGAAGCTGCCCACATGATGATCGCCCTTCTCATGGCGGGACAGCACTCCTCCAGCAGCACCTCTGCTTGGATCCTGCTCCGCCTCGCCACCCGTCCGGACATTCAAGACGAGCTCCTCGCCGAACAGAAACAAATCCTCGGCGAGAATCTCCCACCCTTGACCTACGAGAACCTCTCGAAATTGACACTCAACGCCAAAGTCGTCAAGGAAACTCTCCGCCTTCACGCGCCTATCCACAGCATCATGCGTAAAGTCCAGAACCCACTCACCATCATCGCGGAAACGCCCAACTCCAACACCAAGGAATACCTCATCCCCACAACGCACACCCTCATGTCTGCCCCCGGCTTCACTTCCCGCCAAGCAACCTACTTTCCCAACCCATCGCTATGGGAGCCGCACCGCTGGGACGAGGGCCACAATCTCGCATACACTCAAATGGGCCAGGAAAAGGAAGAGATGGAGGACTACGGATACGGCATGATCAGCAAGGGTGCATCGAGTCCGTACTTGCCCTTTGGGGCGGGCAGGCATAGGTGTATAGGCGAGCAATTCGCGTACGTGCAGTTGGGGACTGTGTTGGCCATGTTGATGCGGTATGTGCGGCTAGAAAACTTGGAGGGGAAGACCGGGGTTGTGGATACGGATTACTCGAGTCTCTTCAGCAGGCCAATGGCACCAGCGAAAGTGAAGTTCGTGAGGAGGTCTGACGGAGCGGAGCTGCCCAATGGCTTCACCAAGGCTTGAATGATAGCGGCTGCTTTCGGATGATGCAGCGGAAACGCCGAGGCATTGGTCGAAAGGGGCACTGCTGAATAATGGGCATAGCATGGCGTACGGCGTTTTGTCTAGGGGTTCGAAGGTGCCCGGAACAAACACTCCACTACAGGAGCGAGCCATTGGGAATAGGTTGTGAGTTGAAAGATGCTATAGATGGGTCACTATACTGTCCGTCCGACTTGTGATGAGGGCTTAATGCGATTCAAAGATCAGTCCGATACATCTCCTCTTGAAGAACTTGGGGTAGACGTGCATGACCTTGCATGTATAGACTCGCGAGAAAGCGTAAAAAACAGGTAGCCATGGTCGACTGTGAGGCAACTCTATTGCGACTTCCTTCCCGCTAGGGGCAGGCGTAACGTGTTCCAGAATCTCGCAGAGCTTTCGTTGAGATGACAGCAGAGCGACGTCGTTGATGTTCGATGACACCTGCCAGACCGTCGTCCTCCTCACGCGTGGAAAAGCTTAAATTGAGTTCGAGACGTCGTATTGCTTCTGCTCTCTCTTCCCGTTCTTCTTATTACTCTCCTAAAGACCTCACGACTAGTCTCTATCTGGACACTTCTCCGTTCTGCCCTATGGATACTGTGCCGAGCATGCAGCAGTTGAGGAGTGCATGTGAACTCAATCTCCACGACAGGGGACTGAAGACCAGGTTTCTCATGAACGGGGCCTCGGCAGCTTGAGGAACTTGCGCCATCAACAGACTACCGAGCATTGGGTGGGGACATCAAAAGTTGTGGCTCTTGCGTTGCAACTTCCGAGGCTTTCTATACGGCAACATGTAAGTCAGTCACGACAAACGGCGAGTCTGCTCAGCACGCCCTGTGGTGACCGCATAGCTTCAGGATGGACTGCCATATCGAGCTTCAAAGCTTCACGGCGCCACCACGAACGCACTCCAGTACTTGTGCAAGAACTTTCGATTGCCGCACCATTGACAACAGTGTCAAAAGTATCAGCATTCTCCCCGCACTCCTCGAATGCAGATGGGTTAGACCCTGGCTCGTGCAGCGGCGAGATGGCTCGATTTGTACCGATTTGCTTCTGTCATGCTGGATCCAGGCATCAACCCGCTTCGAACGCGGTATGTGTCGTCCAAATTCCCATGAAACACCTCTGAGCCATTTCTACGAGCATGGGTGCCATGTGAACCTTGTCGAGAAACCCCAGACTCCAGAAGCACGGTTAGTCTCGGCTCCTGGGCCACATGGCAGAAGATTTGCAGCAGGCAGGTAGGATGAACCCTGTGTTCGTGCTCATTCAAATGGGGGCCGCTCCTGCTACTGAGGAGCTCGCTCGACTCTCGACTGTGTGTGTCCGTCCATATAACGCCACCAATCTCACTGTCAGTCATGGCGCTTGGAGTCGCAGGTCGTGGACCGGAGGTTCTGGGCACATACGCCTTCTTCGCAGCCCTCACGACCGTTGCGATTACCCTCCGACTCTACACCCGGTCATGTATTGTGAAAAAGCTGGGCCTTGATGACTGGCTTGCTCTTGCCTCATGGGTAGGTCCACTCCACACAGCAACGGCAGGGATGATTGACCAATGCCCAGATCTTCTTCATACCTTGCTGTGCCTTCGCCATTGCTGGGACTCACCACGGCACCGGACAGCACTCTTGGGAGATCCTGCCCATATCAGAGATACCGAAAGGCCTGATGGTGTGCATATTTCTCATCTCAGCACCTTTCCGCACTAACAATGGAGTGCAGTTCTGGTGGCTATGCGAGCCAGTCTATGTTCTCGCCAACATGTCCATCAAAGCTTCCATCGCCGTCATGCTGCTACGCTTGACAGTTGATCGCATGCATCACATCATCATCTGGGCTACGCTTCTAGTCACCGAGCTCTACAGCATCTACTTCTTCTTTTTGTTCGTCTTCCAGTGCCGGCCCTCTGCCTACTTCTGGACACGCTGGACAGGGAGCTCAGGGAGCTGCATCGACACGAACATCGTGGTCCGCTCCACGTACGGCTACTCCGCTGTTCAATGCCTTACAGATTGGATCTTCGCTGTCCTGCCCTTCTTCCTTGTCTGGAAACTCCAAATGACCAAACGCAGCAAAGTCAGCGTGGCTTTGATTCTCTCGATGGGCGCCATCGCCTCCACGGCCACCATAATCCGCATTCCTTACCTGCACACCATGGGGGACGTCACCGACTTTCTGTACGCTACCACTGACGTGGCCATTTGGTCAGGCGTCGAGACCGGGGTCGGCATCACGGCAGCATGTCTTGCTACCCTTCGGCCACTGTTCAGGGGCTGGTTGGCCAACACGCGCCGCACAACGAACGCTCTGACGAGACATACCAGCCACAGGAACAGGCAGATCAGCAAGCCTTTTCCGTGGGCTGGCGGCAATGCGCACCAGTCACGAGGCTATATTCGCAGCCACAGTGCAGTCGGTGGCCGCCCGTTCAGTCCTGAGCACGAGACCAGAATGGACGCACTGGGGATGCGCGGCATTCAGAAGACCACTCGTGTCAGCGTTGAGGCTCAATACGGGCCGTGGGCGGTCGACCTGGAGCAGCAAGTGGACGAAGACAGCAGGGATCGACACTCCCCAAAGACGTCTTCTTCCGTGGGCTCCAAGACCAGGATACACAAGTGCCATTTGGCGGGCATGATGCGGCCGTCGAGGGAAGATGCGTTCTTTCACTCTCACGACGACAAACCCAACAGCAGATAAATCAGGGCGTAGTGGGCATGTTCTGACCGGGTTGAGTATTTGAGTGTACCAACAACACCGTATATGTAACGTAACGAGCAGGTGGGATCGGACCTGACAGACAGAACAGGATTGTATGTAGTGAGGCGCGTACAGCGCCAGTGTACGACTAGTCATCGACAGTCCACTGCGGCATTTTATCATCATGGCTCCGCGTTGCCTTCATATCGACTTTCTCATGGCAAGCCTGTTGACATTCTCCTCTTCCATTCCTGTTGAAGGGAAACGCTATACCGGGCTAGTGACCTCAACGATTCAGGCATGTATATTCCGTGGCTGGGTAGCGAGACCCCGCTTGACAGGCTCGTTGTCAGTGAAGACAAGCTGATGACGCTAATGAGGGTCTGCGTGGCCGACTGAAAAGGCCTACAGAGTCTTAGAATGATTGACCATCGCAGGGGGACTTGAGAGTGATCACTCTCCGGTCGATATAGCGGCCGGTTGACGTGAAGCCCCGCACGAGACCGGATGACCAAGTGCACCAGATCATCCACCCAAAATCGGACTTTCGACCCCGGCCGTCTACCGACTTAAAGCTCCGTAAGATCAGCGAGCTACCCATCCTTCATCATGCCGACCGGTCCTCGTGTCTGGGGCGGCAGGGGCCCGGCTGGGAATCCCATTTCCTGAATAGAGATGTTGGTGGGAACTGATATCGAGGTCTCTGACCTCCAGGGTCTCGAACAAGAAACTCATGTCATTGGATAGGTGCTGACCAGGGACTCATCCTCGTGCAGGGGCAGTTGCCGACCGGTCTCGCAGGAGATGTGATGAAGGATCGAACTTTGGGTGAAGGTCTTGGCGGAGGCGCACGCCGGATGACGAGATTTGCACTCCGACATACTTATCGCCGGTTGACAGCGTGCTCGCTTTCCCTTGTCAACCAACTTCTGCCGTTGCCATCTACATCGGCCAAGTCAAGGCTACGCTGCGTTCACAAGTGCCGATTCTACCCGTGTGTCATTGAGTATTGGGCACTGCAGATTCCAAGCAGTAGCCCTAATACCCGACACGAATCGTGAGACGCCTTATTTCGTCGCGACCGTATGTCTCCACTTTAGCTAAGCGAAGCCGATTTGGAGGCTATCTCAGACTTGAACGTCAACAACAATCCTACATAACTCTTCAGCGTGCGATAGTTCCTTGAGCATTGTATCACTATCCACATCATGGCGATCGCTGCAATAGGCCAGATCTGCTCGACGGCCTGTATGGCACACAACCTCGCTCAGTGTCAGAAGTTGGTCCTGAAAGCTACAAAGGCGGGAGCAAAGGTAAGCTAGATATCTCTCGCCGGCAGATCGAACCCTGCTTTCAGACCTAGTGTGAAGCTAGCTGTTACTCATGCCTCACTCAGGCACTTTTTCTCCCGGAAGCAAGTGACTACATCGCTTCGTCTTCAGCAGAGTCCGTAGAGATGTGTCTCTCAGTTGAGAAGTCGCCGTTCGTGCTCGGCCTACAGAAAGCGGCTTCAGATCATTCCTTGCATATCAACGTTGGCATCCACGAGCCTACAGAACCTCCGTCGAAACGAATCAGGAACAATCTTATCTGGATCGATACGTCCGGGAGCATCGTCCACCGATACCAAAAGCTACATATGTTTGACATTGATCTGAGCAGCGAAGGTGGACCTCATCTCCGGGAAAGCGACAGCTCTGAGCCTGGCAAAGAGATTGTCGCGCCATTCGATGAAATCCATGGTATGGGTGGTGTTGGCAGTCTGATCTGCTTCGACCTCCGCTTCCCAGAGCCAGCGCTCGCTCTCAGGCGGATGGGTGCAGATGTGATTCTCTACCCCTCGGCATTTACCGTGCCTACCGGTCAACGGCACTGGGAGACTCTTCTACGCTGCCGGGCCATCGAGACGCAGTCTTGGGTTCTGGCGGCTGCTCAATGTGGACGGCATAACGGCAAGCGTGTCTCGTATGGAGACAGCATCGCCATCGATCCCAATGGAACCATAGTGAAGAGGCTGGACAAAGTCAAGGATCTGGAAAACGAGAAGGAGGCAACGCGTGACCCTGATTTGTTCACTGTTGACATCGACCTAGACCAAGTCGCTTCTGTTCGCAAAGGCATACCACTCCTTCGGAGGACCGACGTGTATCCGAAAATATGAAGTTTCTTCCTTCCTTGGTTGTCCACCATGAGAATCTCATCTCGACCACTGGATGCGCCACTCCGCTTGGTGATCATTGATGAGCAGCGCTATACTTCGATCAAGTCGCACAGTGGGACGATATCTCCCCGTCAGGGAGCTTGTTGCCGAATTTAGCTTGCCGACGTGGAGCGCGATTCAGCTGATTAGAAAGCTGTTGTCCAATGTCATAGCGCTCGAGCACTTCTCACTTTGGGGCAGAGGTTTTCAAGGCTGTTGACTCCGGTGTCGAATAAATTCGCTGCTGGCTTCAAACAACGCCAGTCGGCCGACGGCTCACCGGATGCACCATCTGTCACAATCTGCTGTCCGGATCTGTACGTCAAGGCCTGCTGCAATCGCCAACAGCCAGCCAAAAGAAAGAGCAGCGCGGTTTGCTGCTGTGACAAGATGTACCGACCATACTTCCAGCGAACGGACGATGGGAGAGCCGCGGGCTATGTTTAGAGTCCACTTCTGTAAGCACCGAGGTGAGTCTCAAAACATTTACGCTTGAGGATCTACGACACACGCACAACCCTCCTAAGTAACGAGTATTGCCCGATCTACCAAGCTTGGACGAGATACCCGAGACAGTCGCACAACTTCACGACAATGTGTCAGATCTTTGGCCTCGCCTTCCAGGGCATCTGTGATGACTGCATGTACGACGACCATCCCGATGAGTACTTCCAAATCCCCTGCTGTTGGGACGAGTACGGCGAATTGTGGCTCAGTCCGGATTATGATTGTCCTCGAGGCTATCTTGCCTGCTCACTCGACGACGAACGCGACCCAGACGTCCTGAACACGATCAGAGTCATGCCACCAAAGGACGACGGCGAAATGAGATACACATGCACGGACTGTTGTGACCCAACGCTTGATGACCTAATGGAATTCTTCAATATGATCAAATGGCACACCGCTCTCTACGAGGAGAGGGCGTGTCTATTGGAAGGTGGTTTTGGACGCCGTATCGACACTCGCTACGTGTCGATTCCAGACACGTATCATGGAAACATCGATATGGACTCGGAGGTCATGCAGCGCGGAGACTTAGAGGACGGGTGGAATTATCGTCCGATGTGGCGATGAGTGAGCAAGCATCGAACGTTGCAGGCATATCGGGCAGATTCGATCCATTCGCGGTCATCAAACATTGCGAAGGGGGGCCTGTCGACATTATGTCGACTAGTGGTCGTCGGCAATGTCACATGGCAAGGTCTTCGAATCTCTCACCGAGATGCTTCTTCATGTCCCTCGGCGCAATCCGAAGCTCTCATCGAGGCAACAGACTGGAAGCTGTGTAATCTCCTTATTGTCTGCTAGGTCGGGCGAGCCTTTCATTGTCTTGACCAGCTCAATGGATTCGAGACGTCGTATCAAGAATGGCATGGATACGGGTCAGCGCCGCGGCTCGAGGTAGCCCAAATACATATTTATCTCTAATTCAGCCTCTTCCCTTGATGGTAGTTCTTGGAGTTGGAGCCCGTCGGGCCAGTGGCCGCAGGAGATGGGACTGACGCAGAGGAGTGGTTACAGCCTTGTACATGGAGGTTGACAAGCCCATCGACTGTCAGTGCCAGTTTGTACTACTAGTACCTGCTGAGCGCTAGACAATGCCAAGCCATTCCCCAAAGTCCTGCCCCCGAGCTCGCCAAGCTTCTCCGCGACCATCGCCTTGGGGTATGGCCGAGGCTTTGATCTCAACTCCATCACTTCGAGCAGTCTTGTCAATTACCGGGTAAGTCAGCTTCGTTAGTGCACCGGCAAGGACACGGAACAAGGCATTGCATGGGGTTTCTCGTCATCGCCGCGTGACCAAAAGCTCACTTGGCTGCATTCACCTAGCTCTTCCCCATGGAAATGCCACTAATGTCCTCGAATGACGATGAAGCTCTGAAGCTACCGCACGGTGGGTTTTCTATTCGGCGAAATGATGGCGAGCTCACGAGCTCGATCTGGTGACCAGACAGTATAAGTCGGTCAGAAGCGGCGGAGACGACCTCGATTTTCCATGCCTGCGAGTAAGTATCAGGATCGCGTAGGGACTGCCACCATGTATTCCGATCTCATGTCCTACAACATCCTTCTGGCCATCTACCTGCGGCCAGTAGCTGCACAGTACCTAGCTCCGCTTCCTGAAGAGTATAGTGGTGTTGCAGCCGTGCTCATCGAAGACAACCTTGCTGTCATCCCGGGCAACTGGAGCTATGAGTCCAACAGTACGCTTCCTGGGTGCAACATGCAAAGGCTGAATGCTCACAGAATCTAGTGGTGCCCTTCTACAACGTGACCAGCGACGACGAAGACTTCCAAGATGCCGCCGACACGATCGCCGCAGCCGACTTCATCGCCTTGAGCCCAGACTTCCTCTCCCTAATCGGTCCCTCAGCAACCCTTGACCGCATCGTCAACTTCACCAGTCCAGAAGTCGAGCTCGTCCACGAAGCACCCGCCTACGTCCCCGACACAAACGAGCTCCTCTTCTCCACGACTACCGCCATCGGCCGCCTCTGGGCTCTCAACCTCGATACCCTCGAGCTCCGCAACCTCACCCTTGACCCACCGCTCTCCAACATCAACGGCGCTACCTATCACAATGGCACCGTCTACGTCTGCACCAACGGCGGCGACGTCCGCGGTATCTTCTCCGTCAACTTCACCACGGGCGCCACGGCACCGATCGTGAACAACTACCGCGGCCGACGCCTCAACTCGCCCAACGACGTCATCTTTGATAGCCCGGGTAATATGTGGTTCACCGACCCGGCGTATGGGTGGTATTCCGAGTTCGAGGGTGTCGGCGAGCCCGAGCTGCCGCAATCGATCTACTTCTTCAACATGACATCGAAGGCGCTGCAGGTCGTGTCGAATGATGTGGTGCATGTGCCGAATGGGCTGGCGTTTTCACCAGATGAGACGAAGCTGTACGTGGCGGACTCAGCAAACTTGCAGGGACGCCCTCTGGGGGACACAGATCCGATGGGCTTGAGGAATGTGGTTGCGTTTGATGTTGAGCAGTATCCTTTGTTGAGCAATCCGACGTTGGTGCATCAGACTGAGGTTGGCGTGAGTAATCGTCTTTCTCTTCCATTTCCATCTCCATTACTGTTCAGACCCACTCCAGGCTACATTCTGTCTCTTCTTTTCGGTTCCGTGCTGACAATATTCGCCGCCAACAGTGGCCAGACGGCCTCCGCATTTCCTCCTCCGGCCTGATCGTAGTCGGCGTCAGAGGCGCGGCGGACGTCGTCGACCCTCGCACTGGCACCCTTCTCGGCAAGTTCAATTGTCCGGACGACATTATCTACAACGTCGAACGCATCGCTGAAACTGGGACCTGGTTCCTGATCGGCGGCAAGCATATCTACCGTGTTGCGATTGCCGAGACGAGCCCGCCTTTGGCCGGTTCTTGATTCGAATTCCAGCACCGTTGACTATGACAAGGCGTGACGGAGAGGCATGGAGGAGGCTGCATTGGATTGATGCACCTCGACGCCAATGCGTCAAGCAGAGGAATGAACCTTGAGCACACACAATTGATATCTTGTCAGGCATACAATATTTGCTGCTCGCACACGAAACGTGCTTAAACGCATATGATCTCACGACTCCTGTAATCGTCTCAATCGTCAAATTTGATCATCGAAAGCCTAGTCCTTTCGCCATGCCCGCTCATCAGAAAGTCCGAAAGCTCAGCAGAGGCTCACTCGCCCTCGTAGCCCTCACCGACACTCCGATCCCTCCGCACCAGGATCTCCTGCATCAGTCCCTTCTGCTGGTGCTGCTGGGCATTCTCCAACGCCTGCTCTTGACTATCAGCATCGCCGAGCACGTCGCCTTCCAGCACTAAGCCCTTCTCATTTGCCAAGTGGAGCAGACAGATGAAGCAGTAGCTCGTGCTGATGTCCTTCATCTGCTGAGCCGGGTAAACCTTCTGCAGATCCGAGATCATTTGTGTGAACTTCAAGACTTCGCCTTCTTTCAGATCAGCTACGTTACCGTTTTGCGGCGTTGCTGGTCCTGGAGTATCCGTGGCTGAATCCTGATCAACCTCCATCATGTCCACGTCGCCATCGTTCTCGGCCTGCTGTGGAGCAAAAGCGGTGTTCTTGGCAAGGGCAGCATCAATATCCTTCATAAGAGGCCCTGCCATGCCTTTCCACATATTTTCTTTCAAGCGTCGAACGTCAACTTTCTTGGCTGTACGCGCGTAGTTGACATACTCTGGCCGCATGCGTCTGCCCTGCTGTGTGACGAGCTGACTGCCGAAGCTGCCAGGTGGAAGATCGCCGTCCGGCAGGAGTGCTTGCGAGCCCACCAGCCCGGCTGCATCTGCAGCTTCCGCGCTGGCGAGCAAATTGTCTTGGCCTAGACCTAGACCCTCGAGTGCGAGTGTCGCGTCCAAGTCGCCTTGTAGTTGTCCTTCTGGACCTGGAGAGAGCATTTCTCGCGCATCGACGAAGTCATCGTTGCCATTGATGCCGAGACCTTCGTCGATGCCAAAGCCCAGGCCGTCGTCGTCGTCATCGTCGATCGGGAGTGGTCCATCAAACGGCAGTGCGTCCTCACCCTCAGCGAAGAAATTTGCGTCGTAGTCTCCTTTCCGGCCTTCGTCTTGGTCCTCGCTCTGCTGCTTGCCACGAGCACCGAAGCCTTCGTCAACGACACCATAGCCACCATTCTTGCGTCGTCCTACACGACACCGTGGCTTGATCCAAAGTCGCATGAGGTTCTTGACATCGATCATCTCATCATCTCGATCCAATAGATTGCGACCCTTGGTCTTTCGTGAGGCTTTCGGTAGGCTAATCTGACTATTGCTGACAGGTGGAGCGTCCAGCAGATCTTGCAGTGTTGAAGAAATAGGGCCGTTGAAATCAATGAAGAATGGCTCTTTCTCTTTCCGAGTACGCGTCGGCTTAGCAGTCTCCGGTCCTTCTGACGATCGCGCCTTCTGCAATTTGTGAATCCGCCAATTCTCTAAGGTGACGAATTGTTTGGTCCCAACTTTGGCTCTTGAGTTGAACGCCTTTGAGAAATATTCGAGAAGACCTTCATGTTCGACCTGATCGTTCCGGAAACGATCTCGGTGATCAAGACTGACTGCATAGCCATCGTCTCCGTCAATGAGATTGTCGTCAAGCTCTTCGCCAGCTGGCACTGGTTGCAGCTGGTTCTCGAGTGCAGCATCTCGAGCCCAAGCTTCGCCGCCTTCTCCAAAGCCGACATTGTCTGGCATATTCATGTCGAAGCCGCCTATTCCTTCGTCATCGTCGTCGAAGCCAAGGACTGGCGCGTCGTGTAGGAAGATGCCGGATTGCTCTGCGAGGTCCAGACCAGAATCGAGTGCATGTGGTGACCCAGGCTCTTTTGTTTTCTCACGCCAGTCTTCCGGTGCCTTCGCAAAGGGTAGTGTCAGGTCAGCCGATCCCAAAGTGAAGGTCTTCATGCTTGGACAAATATCCTGCGTATCTAGTACCGACATGTCGGGAAAGAATCTGATTGCCAGAGAGTCAAGATCGATGTCAGCGTCCTCTTCTAGCGCTTCTGACACTTTTGTCGCCTCTTCAGGAGGGCCTGACTCTGGAGATGGCTCACTGTGTGCATCTTCCTGCTCAGTTGGCTGGTCGTTGTTCAACGCCTGATCACCGGCGTCATCGCTGCTGTCGAAGACTATCCGACCTTCAGAATCAATGCTCAGATGGTTGAGAAGGAGGCCTTTGGCGCCACCTTCATCAAAATCTGCTGAAGCCTTCTTGAAGAGCGGATCGACAGCGAATTCCAGCTCTAACTTCTTCAGTTGCAGACTGGCGAAGCTGGGTGCAAGGGTGGCCTCGTGTGACTTTGCAGCTTTCTTTTCCCTTGGTTTTTTGTTGCCCTCCTCGTCTTCGTCCTCGTCTTCGCCTTCTTCGTCGTCCTCGCCGCTTTCGCGAGTCTTCTTTCCCTTGCCCTCCGCCCCATCGGCCAACCCGGATAGCAGTCGCCCAGTCTCAGTCGCGACACTGTCGACTCTTGAAGTGTAGATCTTAACGCAACCATCGAGTGTACAGCTAGCTTTCTGGAAGTTGACTCCATCGCCCTCCTTGAGCAGACTCATGTCATGAAAATAGTCGATAAGGGCGAAATTCCAGCTGTTGGCAGCATTGATCTTGTTGTCTGTTGCCATTTTCATCCATTCTTCAAAGTTTGCCAGTATAGGCACGCGTTTCATGGGAGTGACTGCGCCGGTGCCGATCACATCGAGCTGACCAGGACTGTTGGGCTCTCCATTGTGCTGACCTCGTCTTGATATTCGTCGACGCAAGTCGTTGGCATTGGATGTTCGTGGAGTCTGGGGCGAGTCTGAGGCGGCGCGATTGCGCGCGCTCTGGTTGATCTTGCGCATGGGAGACGCGGCAGAGCGGGCCTCGTTCAGATGTATCTCCTGTAGTGCCTGTCGTCTGGCGGCTTTCTCGCCCTTGTCGTCATTGAGTGCAAGCCTATGCCAACATGAGATCGAGCGGAACTGCAGTAAACGCTTTGGACTTACTTCATTGATGAGGTTTTGTGAGGCGTTGCCATCATGTTTCGGGTTGCTCGGCTACCCGCAGGCGGGTTTGCAACTCGAGGCATTTTAGTGGCGTCGTGATCGAAAGCGCGATCTCGCAGCGCGTCACTTGATGCGACTGAGTGCAGCAGCTCTTGTGTTGTGCAAGTGAGCCTGCTTTCGTATGGTCGAGTCGCAAGTGGTTCGAGTGCTGGCACTGGCATTGCACTGGCAGTGTTTGGATTCTGAATCGGGTCTAGTCTAGCTGTCGGCGGAATATACTGCCGCTCCGACATGTTTCCGCACAACTTGCTCCAGTCTTCCTTTTCAATTCCTACCTAGTGGCCACCGGCGGACTGGTACACACAGTAGACCACCTGAATATTGGTCACTATCCAGGATACCTGTGGATATCAATGAATTCAACCACTCGTTTCCGTCTCCTTCCCTCACGATTGTGGTCAATGTAGTACATCTGGAGAACTTTCGAGCTGCATGTATGTTACATGAGCTGGTCAGATAGCCCAAGCGTCGACTTAGATCACACGCGCGGGAGTTAGAGCACTTGCTAGCCCCCATTCGCCGGCGGGCGGACAGTGCCAGTTGCTCATCGCTGTCCCACAGTTGTACTTCAGCGAATCGTGCCTCTTCCTTGTTGCATTTCACGACTACGCCGTCACGTTTCCAGCCGGATCCTTGGAAGGTGTGGTCATGAGATTCAGAATGATGAGCACAGGTGACGCTCTGGAGTCCTCGTACTATGAGTTCATAGCAGGCAAGCGCCCTGGTGCAGACGTTGCCATCCCAGTATGGAATGTGCGCGCAAGCATAGTCCAAAAGATCACGAAACCCGTCCACAAGGTCCATGCGGCCTCGTCTTTGGACGAATAACACATCATGAACGACATGCCGCAGACATGCCGACGACTGGTGTTGGATACATGCCCTCATCATGTCATAGTCGATGGACGTTGGGCGACCACAAGCCCTATTGAGCCGAAGCCAGAAATCCAACCGGCTGTAAGTCAATCGTGCGTCCGAGCTATTGAGCCCACGATAGATATATAGCGATCTGTAGCTCAATTGTGCGTTCGGAGTCGAATTGTGAGGTAAGTCTTGACGTCGCTCAGCCGGTAAGAGCTGGCGAATTGCAATCTCTATCAGGGTGGAATCACAACTGAACAGCTGTTCATAGTCCTCTCCGACCGGATTCGGAAGAAGTGTGGTGACTGAATTGGAAATGCTCAGAAAGAGGTCTCGAACGCGATCGTGTTGACTTTCGCCAGTCATTAGAAAGTCTGGCATATAACTTACGGACCACCAGTCGAACGCCCTTGCATTGCCGTCGAAGTTATCATAGTACCTTTCTGATTCCACATCGTCGTCGGGCTCTGCAGGTCCGAGGTCATTGAAACACATATACGTGAGTGGACTGTTTGCGAGCCATATCTCACGACGTTCGCCCTTTATTGTAGCATCAATGGTGACCATCTCGAACTCTTGCAGCTGCTCTAAGTTGAAGGAAAACAAGTCTTCCACTTGAGCTCTTGATTGTGGCGTCATGACAATATTCGTGTCCTCTAGGATACGCTGTTGAATGGCATACCGGAACAAAGCGGGGAACATATGGCTGATGTGTGCGACCTTCAACCAGGAGCTTCTGCCGACTTGTTCTTGCAAAGCAGCACGATCCATACTAGCCCACTCAGAGTTCAAACATGGTGGTACAAACGAGGCCCATGGACGGAACTCCCTCGTACATAGCCAGCTGTCCGAGTCCCGTGTGCCGAATGCGAAGGCGACCAGATCCTTTGTGTATTCGACAAAGTTTGGCAAAGAGCAATAGAAGTATCTGCAAGTGTGGATCAAATTCGGCTCTTGAGCAGCGCGGAAGATCACGAGGAGCAGCTCTTGTGGCAAGTTGATCAATGTGGCTTTCTCGTTGAAGCAGCTAACGCTAGAAGGAGTGTTCCCGCGGCGTTTCATGTCAAACAACTCTGACCAAGTGTTGATGTCGCCGACGTGGCTCGGGGCGGTCTGCATGGCGGGCTTGCCTGACAATCCCCCGGCGGCACTGTCAGCCAGAGGCAAGACCTAGGCGACAGAGCCGTCCACCTAGACCGTGGCGACGACGCTGGACTCGTAGCCGGGCATACTACGGCCAAGCCGATATTCAGGTAAACCTTGAAGGTGCCGTCAATGCTTGGCGTTCAGAGTTTAGCTCAATTGTGGAATGCGGGCATCATTGGCGGCGATAAGAGCGGAACAAGTGCCATATACGCCTGGAGTCGTACGATACAACGACCATTAAACGCAGATTTCACGGTCTGACATGGTGAGATGGAAGAAGTGCGAGACTTTGGTGGCACGGGAGTCGTTGACGAACCTGTGGCGGTGCGTGAAGCTTTCCTGCCTAGCAGCTTGGCGGTTCGGTGCAGCAGCACAGCCACAACGGCGATCGGTACCGCAGCAACATCGAACGACATCATTCGAAGCACTATCTTGCAGCACAATGCGTCGCATCAATATTTTCGCCTCTTACCTGGCCTCATAGCGATGCCGCGCGTTGCTTGAACATATTGCTTAACGTTGGTTCTGCGAGCCATTCCCAGACTCACAGAATGCGACTCACACCTTCGCTATGGCCTCTGCATTTCCGCTTCCACGAGCTCGGCCGCGCCCTCGACCGATAGCCCACGCTCGGCTATTCTATACCACCGCATTGGTCTTGACGGTGTTCGCATGTTATTCCTTCGTCAAGAACTCCACACCAGCTATTCAAGAGCGCAATGCAAGACTCGTCCTCCGTGCGCTGGAGCATCAGGATGTCGAGTGTCGGCTGGTGCACGGCACGGAAAAGAGCAAGCAATGCGACTTCGTACGGGCGAACTGTCCGGATGAAGAGGCGGGTCTGTTCTCATATCTGCAGATGTACTATTGCGACCTGGCCAATGCGAAACCTGTCGGCATGACCATCATCATTCTGTGGGTCAGTCTGCTGTTCAGTACCATCGGTATCGCTGCCTCAGACTTTCTCTGTATCAACCTCAGTACCATAGCAGCCCTGCTTGGAATGAGTGAGAGTCTTACTGGCGTCACATTCCTGGCCTTCGGCAATGGCAGTCCTGATGTCTTCTCTACATTTGCCGCCATGAGCACGAATAGTGGCAGCCTAGCGGTCGGAGAACTGATCGGCGCTGCGAGCTTTATAACAGCTGTTGTGTCCGGGTCCATGGCTATTACGAAGCCGTTCAAGGTGGCCAAGAAAGCATTCATCAGAGACGTCCTCTTCTTTGCAGTCGCAGCAAGCTTCAGTCTGGTATTCATGGCGGATGGCAGTCTACGACTTTGGGAATGCATTGTCATGATCGCATTCTACGTGTTCTATGTCTGCTTCGTTGTTGCGTGGCACTGGTACCTGACAAGGTCAAGACGGATCAAGCTAGCTGAGACTGCAGCCCGGATGCAGCTTCACATCCCCGAGCAGCAAGAATTGGAAGCACCGGCAATCGAGATCGATGAGGAAGCCAGACCTGCGACTGAGCGATCGCCCCTCATGCGTGGCCAGTCTACCGATTCTGTTTACACCCTGCATGCCGAAACTCCTGCCTGGAGATCACAGGAGGACGAGGACGATGAAACGAGAGACAGATATCTGGCTGAGCTGCAGAGCAACATGCGACTCGACAGGAGCCGAAGTACTCGCCGGAACACTATGACGCCTATCAGACCTAGCCTGGTTGGTGCTCTTGAGTTCCGGTCTGTACTAAGCTCGCTGGAGAAGAAGGGAACAAACCAGCCCATTAGCCTTACTCGATATTCAGACGATCCCTCTTTTCAGCTTGGAGCTACGCAGGATACGTCAGCATCACAGCCAGATCTGCTCGATCTTGGGCCTGCGATTGAAGCTCCTCGGAAGACCAGTGCCAGCGGGTCAGGGCGCAATAGGGCCGTGTCTGCCAATGATGCGGCAAGCCTTCACATTAGCACGGATCTCTTGACACCTGTGATCAGTAATGAAGAGGCTGTCTTCAGTGCAACTCCGCAACCGTCACCTGGAGTTGCTCATCAACGACCGAGTGCTAGGTTCCTTCGACCGCTCCAGACCGGACAGTCCGAGTCGCCCAAGCTGGTGGTATCCGGGGCTGACGAAGGGGCTGGAGAGTCTCAGGAAACTCCCAGATCAGCGAACCTTCTGGCACCTCCGATGAACACATTCCACAGCCCACGCTATGATGAGGGTCGTCAGGCTCCTCGAAGTCCAATCATGTCTCCGTTGTCGCCTGGTTCAGGCTTGCAGGTCCCAGTGCTACACAGTCCCCACCCCGAGACATATCATCACGGCGTCTCCAAAGGTGCCGTGAGCTCGGAGGCGGAAGATCGGTCAAGACCCTCTTCTCGATCGAGGAGTGCGTCAACTGTTTCATCAAGGTCGGCAAGTGTCAGAAGCATTCGGCTTCCAGCGCCAAGCATATCTCCTGAGTCAACGCATGAATTGATTATAATCGATGATGATGAATCAGAACACGACCCTCGCCCACTCAGATGGTGGCCGTATCGGATTCTGCCTGCACCAGATGAGCTTGGAGCTACGCTCTTCCCGACTCTTTTTGGCTGGAAGAAAAAGAGCTGGACAGACAGGATTCTTGGTGTTGTGACTGCGCCGAGTGTCTTCCTTCTCACCATCACACTGCCCGTGGTCGATTCAGATGGAAGTGAAGCGCATCCAGAAACTACGACTGGCGCCCCAACGCCCGCTATTGAGCCACAGGCCCACAGACCAAGTTTGAGTGTAATCCCTCCCGACACGCCGGCCGCTACGCCCAAGATGGGTCCCGAGTCGTCGCCACACCCGCATCGACAACACAATAGGACCGTCTCTGATGCAATGCCGAACATGACGTTGACCACCAGTAATGACGCAGGGCCTCAGGAGTGGAAGCGATGGCTTGTCTTTGTGCAGGTCTTTACTGCGCCCTTCTTCACAACGACCATCATCTGGGCGAACATGGATGACGACCACTCCCTCCGGCTGTACCTGCGTCTTGCACTGGGCTCGATCGTCTTTTCCCTCGTACTGTTACTGGTTCTTCTCATCACCACCACATCCGACCGTGTACCCAAGTTCCGGCCCTTGCTCTGTTTTCTTGGCTTCCTTGTCGCGATTGCCTGGATAAGCACCATCGCAAATGAGGTCGTCGGTGTACTGAAGGCCATAGGAGTAATCCTCAATATGTCGGACGCCATTCTCGGTCTCACCATCTTTGCCGTCGGCAACTCACTGGGTGATCTTGTGGCAGACATTACTGTTGCGAAGCTCGGATATCCAGTGATGGCGCTCAGTGCATGCTTTGGCGGGCCGATGCTCAATATTCTTTTAGGTGTTGGGCTGAGTGGGACGTATCTGACAATCAGGAGTGGTGAGCACAGAGCACACAAGCATCACAGCAAGCATGTCAGGTTCAAGCCTTATGAGTTGGAAATCAGCACGACATTGATGATCAGTGGCATTACTTTACTGGTGACGCTGCTGGGGCTGTTGATTGTGGTGCCACTGAACGGCTGGCGCATGGATCGGAAGGTTGGGATAGGGCTGATTTCATTGTGGTGTTTGAGTACACTCGGAAATGTCATTGTGGAAGTTTTGGGTTTCGGCGGCGATTTGGAATAGCAACACAAGGAGCTTTGAGGTTCAGGCTGTACTTTCTTTTCCCTTTACCGGGTTGTATATACATAGCATTACGATTATGACTATCTTTCGAGATCAGAACTTCTCAGCTGCTGGTCTCATGTCAAGCTCATGTACCCAGAGGTCGCACTCCTGCTCCATCAAGCTAAGGTACAGCTTGCCAACGCTCTCGGCGCGAATCTTCTTGCCTTTCATGACTGCTTCGGCGTCTTTGCCTTTGCCTTTGCCGGCTTTGCCGCCGTGCCAGTCATCTGTGAGCATCGTCAGTTCGAAGCCACGAACATGAGTTGAACAGTAAAAGTACTCACGGTAGTCATCGGTGATCCCACCATTAGCAATCGCATGCACGACCTGCACACCCTTCTCACTGAACTCCCTCGCCAGACTCTGGGCCAGCATCCTGGCACTCGCCCTTCCAGCACCATATGCTGCATATCCTACGTTCGTCCGCAAACTCCCCAATGTTCCCGTAAAGATCAACGTACCCCGTTTGTGTAAAGGCTGCTCATCAGCGTGCCATTCCGGATACTGCTCCATCATCCACTTCAGTGACAGCTGCGAGAAGTTCATCGCCCCCGTCACGTACGTCTCGATGCTCTCGGAGAACTTGTCGGCGGTTTCCTCAAGGAATGGCGTGCGGTGGGAGTGCTTGATGTTGAAGATGGCGAGTTTGAGTTTCAGGTCGTCGGCGCGAGAGTGGTTGACCATTCCTTGATTTCCGCGAAGGCTTTCTCGAGTTGGGAGCGAGAGGTGTCGGTTTTGAAGGCTTTGAGAACGCCTTGTTCGGAGAGTGCGGAGGTGTCGTCGTGGATGCTCTTGCCGATGTCCTCGGTCAGTTGGTCGGAGCCGGTGCGGGAGAGGAGGGCGACAGCGAGGTTGCCGTGAGACGGAGAGGCGAGGATGCGGGCTATGCCGGCGGCTGTGGTTGGGCCAGCGCCGAGGAGGATTGCGAGACCGGAGGGTGGCATGGTTGTATGGGCTACAAGAATCGGTGTCTACTTGATATGTACAGGTTGGAAGGTAGAGACTGCTTCAGACCTGTTGCAGTATGGGCTTTATCCGCTTCAGTACCCTGTACCCGGACGCAGCATTTCGAACTGGGGGCGCCTTTCGTGTATATACTACATCGATACCCCCGACGATCTACTAATATGCTTTGAGAAAAGCAGGGATGTGGTACTGCCGATGATGCTGGTATAGACTTCTCCAGGCACACTGGCAAAGTTCGCAATGACGTAAGCGGTGACAGCTGTCACGACGTAGCAAGGAGCTGTCTGTATCTCCAAGGGGACTATGGCACAATCGTTGCCTTTGTTCGTATCTTTAGTCCACGGAGCGCGATGGAGGTTGTATCGGTGCGGCTTGAAGACATTGGTCGAAGCAGATGCAAAAGTGTTGGTCGACAGCCTCGAGCACAGACGATGGCAAACACATTGCCTCGAACACTAGACACTGGCGCTGCAACGAGAGAGAGGGGTTCGGTCGACTGATGATGAGAACGGCGGCGCAGAACTAGTTGGGGCAGGAGAAGCTGCATGAGGAGCGTGGACTGTAAACCTGCCTAGGTACTCACAAGCGTTGCCTTCCACGGTAAGCATTGAGAGATGGGGCGGCGGTGGCTTCGCAATACTACGAGGCTGGTACTCAGAGATTGAGAAGGAAGAGAAGGACAGGCAAGCGCGAGGTTAAGTCTGGTAGAGCCTGCTGCGAGGAAACAGTAAGTGCGTGCAGTCGCTGGGTTGCGACTTCCCGTTGGCAGCAAGATCATTCCATTTCAAATCGAATTTTCCGGACCTCGTTTCGTCTCGTAGACCACAATGCTTTCATGACCCCCTCCACTACCCGCCTTCCAGTCGCAATGGACGACGACGCAACTAGGATGAGGAGATTCTTCTCCACGCTTGAAGAACGATTCTGCACCCTGGAGACGAAATTCTCGGCTTACGTCGAGGCAGCTTCTGTTCACGGCTCGCCCCGTGAGTTCGAGCTCGCTTTATTGCAGCTGCCTTTACGGACGGTCTCTCAGACCCTCGATCAACAGGCATTGATCCTTGAGGAAGCCCTGGAAGTGGCTGAAGCCGCCTTCAATCCATTTGAAGAGTCTGTGCGTCAACAGCACATGCGATCGGACTTCGAGGCACCGCAGCCTGAAGTCGGGAAAAGTCATCAGACTTTGGAGAAGCAGATTCGAGAAAAGGACATACAGATTGCTGAGCTAGAGTTGAACCTCAAGCGAGCTGCTGAGCAGCTCAAGACGAAGAGCTCAGGATGTCGATCACTGGATCGCGCCCCCAGGCAAGCGGCTCATACGCTTCAGCAAGAGCAGGACACCACAGTCCACGTACAGACAGATTCTGACGCAACTCATAGCCAGAATGCGGCAAAGGACAAGACAGTCCACTTTCAGTCGAGATCTGATGCTACTGATGATTCAGAGAGCGGCGAGAGACACTCAGTCTTGGTCCAGCCCAAGACACAACATAATGCTACTGATGACTCAGTACGCTGTGAGGGACACTCAGTCCATCTACCAGCACAACATAATGCTACTGATGATTCAGAGAGTGGCGAGAGACGCTCTGTCTTCGTCCAACACCGGACACAACATGATGCTACTGATCACTCAGTACGTTGTGAGGGACACTCAGTCCATCTGCCATCCCGAAGTGACGCTACTGATGATTCAGGGCACGACGAAGGACATTCAGTCCAACACTGGATACAGCGTGATGATACTGATCACTTAGTATGCTGTAAAGGACATTCAGTCCACCATCTGACACAACACGCCACAACTGATCATTCAGTGCGCGACGACAGACACCCAGTCCAACACCGGATACAACACGATGCTACTGATCCCTCAGTGCATTGCAAAGGACATTCAGTCCAGCGTGAGATACGATCTGATGATCAGTACACCGGAAACTTGGCTGTTTATGGTACGAATCCCACCTGTTCTTATGCTGATCTTGCTAGAAATCTGAAAACAGTGACCGAAGCATACGATGAAAAGGCAGCAGCCTATAACCAGCTGGACGCACGTCTCAAGACGAAGTCAGACCAGCTCCGCGAGAAGACTGCTGAATGCGTTGAGCTGAAGTCAACAGTTGCGCATGCGCTAGCGACTGCTCGCGACTTCAGCATGTTACATCAAGTGGAGGCGCAATCAAGAATCGCAGCTGAACAACGGCTGCTGAACAGAGTCGACCGACTTGCGGAGAGACTTGCCGACACAACACGATCACCTCCTCTGGTCAATGAGGGCATGGTCGCTGCCAGTGTCAACACAGCTGATGCTGTGCCTGCAGGCATCTTGATGCACACTGCTGGCCAGGACATACGATTACCCGGAGCCCATCACACAGGTGACACCCACGAAAATAGAGGTCCTTTCCCTGAAAGCACCGCCCACAGTGCTGCCCTGCTAGCCAAGCAGGTCGGAAGAAGCACGAGCGTTCAACTTCAAGCCACCCAGGCCCGTACCACCACAGCCGTGGAGACAACGCAGGATATCCCTGCATCAGGAGGCACAGATCTCGTCGTTGAGCCACAGCTAGGACATAAGAGACTTCTCACAGGTTCAGACCAAGACCATCGTGGCAGTAAGAGGCAACGAGCTGCTACCCACACATTTCGGCATGGGAGCAGTGCTAATTATGCGTCTCGAGACGAATTTTCTGGTGATATTGAGGGCCATGGAGCTTTCAATCGCGCAGGGCCAAGCAGTCCAGCCGGACCGAATGAGCTCGTCCGCCAATCGCGGCAAAACGCTCGTATGTCTTCCTCGTCGCCACCTGCGGCCAATGATGATCATCATTCCTTTCGGGATGACAGTCCAGGATTGCATCCAGAGGATGAGCTCCCTGGCGACATTCCACTAGATCCACTGGATGCTGAATATCGCGTCTGGATTCATCAATTCAACGTCGACAGTTTCAGAATCACAGACGCGGAAGCAGACTGGATGCGTAAGCAATTCCTACGTTGGCTCCGTGTTGGAGAGCGAACCTTCGCTGGTCTCACCAAAGAGATCGATGTACACGCATTCGGTCCACCGACGAAGGTGAGACGCAAGAACGCCAAGATCTGCTTGTGGCTCATTTGAGTAAGATGAGTCCCAAGGGCGGAAACGGTGCTTGCGCCTACTGCCTACCACGTGATGGATTCGTGTGCTGCTGGGTCAAGCATGTTGATGGCGTTGTGGCTTCCACCCGCGAGGAGACAAGGGAATGGCGCCCGCCGGATACGATCCGTTGGCTCAGCCACAGCAAAATGCTGATGGATATCGTTGGATTCTGATGCGCCATTAAGGCAAGCTGGATAAGCTGGCAAGGCGTTGAAGAAGAGACTGCGAAGCAAGGATCCGTGGGAGATCCTGGGTAGCTAAATACAGTCAAAGATTCAAGAGTTGTTGAACGTTGTCCCAGCCTGACTCGTGATGCTACTCCATACCCCATAAGTCTTGGCAGATTGGCCCCACTCAGAAGTCTCCCCGAGCTGACTCGGATTTTGCCTGTGATTCACTCTTCGTTCGGTGCTCTCGTCATCGCGATCTCCTCTCGCTTGCACTGCCGCCGCTTCCTATTAATCAAGTCCACACTTCGGGTAAATCGTCCACGGTATCTGATCCTGGGGCTGCCGCATTTGGAAATGAACTCGCCCGGCAGGATCAGCGACTGCGTACGCATCCGCCCCTCCACGCCATTGCAGCGGATTTAAGGTCGTGAGATGCATTGCGTTTGAAGTCAAGATACGATCTTGGTGCACCGAGTCGTTTAGATGGCCTTGTCTCCCACGGCGTTGACGGCGGCTTTGTCCCTTCACGGCCTAATGGCTACAGTAGTCCCAAGGCGTAACCCAAGCAGACATTTACGGCCCCCGAGCGCATCTCTCGAAGCATGCCTTATTGACCCCTTGGTAAGGCCCAACAGCAGGTAGGTATATCTTGGGCATGCACCGCTGCGATCTCAGAGCTACCAGGTATGTCCGCTCCAAGGTAAACGCTATTAGGAAGGCAGAGAGTCGATTCAACAAGCATAACTAATGCCCGCCCGCCCTGATCAAAGAGCAACAAATACGTTGTCAGACGGCTACGCCAGATGTCGCACGATATCATTATAGTCGGTGGAGGTGTTGCGGGTTGCGCCTTGGCTGCGCGACTGTCAGAGGCTGACTCACTTCAAGTGCTACTGATCGAAGCAGGAAGCGATCACAACAAAGATCCACGAGTCAAGACACCTATGCTTTTCCGTCAATCTTTCAGTGATAGGAACATTGACTGGGACCACCATGCGATACCTCAAGAGGAGATCCATGGGAAGCAGACGGTACATCCACGAGGCAAAGGCCTCGGCGGGTCGAGCCTGATCAACTACATGAGTCTACATCATCCAACAAGATCCGTATACGATGCGTGGGCTTCAGCAGGAAACCCTGGTTGGGGCTGGGACGACATGTTGCCGTACATTCGGAAGTTTCATACCTACGTGGAGCCGTCGGACGAAGTTCGCAATGCGCTCAAGCTTGACAACATCGACAAGAATGCTCAGGGCAAGGACGGGCCGGTGCAGCTGACTCACGCAACTGAGGTCAATCCACTCGATAAGGTATGGCTGGAGACATTCGAGAACATCGGCCACGCAATGACCATGGATCCTCTGTCGGGAGAGCCTACTGGGGCGTACAATGTGCTGGCAACAGCCGCCGCCAACAAAGAGAGATCGCACGCAGCCGCAGCGTATCTCGACAGCGCCAGGAATCGATCTAACCTGACGGTTGTTTGCAATGCTCAGGTCACCAAGCTCATCTTCTCCGGCAACAGAGCTACGGGGGTAATCTACACGCAGGATGGCTCTGAGAACTCCGTCAGTGCTTCCAAGGAGGTGATTTTGTGTTGCGGCGCGTTTGAGTCGCCGGCTCTACTAGAGCGCTCTGGTATTGGCAGATCCGATGTCCTGCAGAGACTCGGTGTTGCACCCGCCCTGATCAACGAGAACGTTGGCGAGAGCCTTCAGGACCACCTCTTCACAGCGTGTTCCCTCGAGATCGATCCAAAGTTCGTGACGTTCGACCAGTTTCGTGATATAGACAACGTCAAACGAGCACTGGAAGCATATCAGAATAACCATACAGGGCCCTTTGCTGGCACTTTCCGCAACATGGCTCACCTCCCGCTGCTCTCATCGGCCGACGACTTTGACATTGACGGCATTCTCAGCTCCTACAAGGGCCCTCGCACCCCTGCCTTCAATCTGGCAGAGGACCATGTCCGCACTCTGCTGAAGCAGAATCGTAATGCTTCTGCAACCTTCATCCTTGTCCCGGCTCAGGTCCATATGCAGCATACCGACTCGTTGGCAAACATTATCGCGCCGACGGATCCTGGCAGCTACGTAAGTCCCCACGTCGCCATCAGTCATCCTCTCTCCCGTGGCAGCGTTCATGCGCGCTCCACGGACGTTGGCGACATCATTATCGACCCGAGGTACTACACCCATCCACTGGACGTCGCACTTGCTGCCAGGCACGTCAAGTTCATCGATACGCTCATCAACACAGAGCCATTGAAGTCCGTCATTGTTCCTGACGGGCGCCGCATTCCGGAGTGGGCATCATTCGACACCCTGGACGACACTGAGAAGCTTCTGCGCTACAGCAATGCATCATTCTACCACCCGGTCGGGACTTGCTCGATGCTGCCTCGAGAGAAGGGTGGCGTAGTGGATAGCAGGCTCAGGGTATATGGTATTGAGGGATTGCGCATATGTGATGCGAGCGTCTTTCCCCTCATCCCGAGATCAAGTCTGATGAGCAGCGTATACACCGCTGCGGAGAAGGCAGCGGACATGATCAAAGAAGATCTCGGTGTGCGTGGGTAGTAAATTTTGTTGTTCGAGCTGAGCAGCAAAGACCAGCTGTCTATCTATGCATGCGCCTGCAAATGCAAATGCTCAATGATGTTGCCGTGATGTCATCGTCTATACATGCACTCTACATCGGTATCTTGCCCTTGATGCTTCCTCGTTTGGCTATTGGCACAATCACGCTTGCCACGCACATCACAACCACGGTCATGATGAATGGCACCTTCAGACCTTCCATGTATGCGTCTAGGACGCCGTTCAGCTCGTCGCCCTCGAAGAAGTCTGCCAGCTCCGATGCACCGATCGTGAGGACCTGGTATGGGTTCACATTTGGAGCGTCCGAGGGCAGAGCATCAAGGAGCTTGTTTGCGAACCCGGCCTGACCGGCAGAGACCAGAATAGCGCTACCCATGGTCTGGCCCCAGAGCACGATAGACGAGACCGTCGAGACGTCGTTCTGTGGCACAATGCTTTGCGCAACCATGATGGGAATCTGAAGGTTGAGGCCGATGCCAGTCCCGAGCAGAAGCTCGTATCCGACATACTTACCTGTACTAGTGTGTCGACCAAGGGTGACCAAGAGTCCAGCACCAACGCACAGAGGCACTGATCCGATCAGCAGCAGCTCCACATATCGCCCCCAGAATGCCATGATGCCACCAGAGAGGATGACAAAGAATGAACAGCTGAGGACGAGAGCAAGTATATTGACGCCGGAGCTTGCGGCGCTGACGTCTCTTGTTGACTGGAAGTAGACTGGCACGTAATAGAGCACAAGCTGAAAGGCGCCAGTGATGAAGAAGGCAATCCACCACATGACAACAAGCGTGCGATTCTTGACTAGGTTGCCCTGAAACACCGCACGCTCGCCTGCGAAGTACTGCTCCACGCAGAACAGGATAAGCAACAGGCCGAAGCCGACAAGTAGGCCGATGATGCGGGCCGAGTTCCAGGCGTACTCAGTCCCGCCCTCCTGCATGGCGAGAAGATAGCAGATGACGGATCCGAGGATTATGAAGCTGCCAGGAAGATCGAGCTGCAGGAACTTCTCCTTGAGTGGTGTGCTGTGTGGCTCGTACGTCGACTTGGGCTGACGGAAGAATATCAGGAATAGGATAATCGCTGGAGCGATGATCGGCAGATTGATCCAGAAAACCCAGCGCCAAGTCGCATGATCTGTGAAAACGCCGCCCAGAGGAGGCCCGACCACGCTTGCAATGCCGAAGACAGCTCCCAGAGCTCCCATGTACATTGGTTTTTGCTTCGGCGGTGCGATATGGGCAACCACTGTATACACGCCCGGGGCTAGACCTGCACCTAGAGCTCCCATGACGGCGCGACCAGCAATGAGGGTCTCTGAGTTCTGAGCAACAGCGCATATGATGCAGCCAATGCAGAACCCGACAGCTGCGGCAGGGAAGACGAATTTGATTGGAAAGTACTTCAGTAGCTTTCCCCAGGCAGGCTGGAATGCTGCGATGCACATGAAGTAGGATGATCCGTACCAGCCGATGTCCGAAAGTGATTGGAACTCGTCTGTGATACGCGGAATAGCGGTCGATATGATTGTCATCTCTATGGCAAGACAGAACTGCGCGCTTCAATTAGTGGGTGGGCGTGATAGTGCGATTGACGTACCATCATGAATATAACGACGGTGATTGTGGCGTAGAGAGGTAGTCCGGACATCTTTTCCGGGTCGTCGGTGGGTGTCTCGTCGTCGATGGTCGCCATGGCCTTCTCGTCGCTCTCAGCGCTGATTACTTCACTGCTGTCCTGATCGACCACATCTTTACTGCGCCGACGTCCGTCTTCAGGAGTCGCTTCAGCTGCCGCTTCCACGGACTTCATGCTGCCCTTTTCTGACATTTCGATGCGGTTGTGAGATTAAAAGGGCGGTACATAGGAAAGACGAAGAGGACAACCATTCATCAAGTACCGCACGCAAAAGTATCCGCGATTGAGAAGTATCTTGGCGGCTAAATTGTCCGGTCTCGTCCGTTAGTAACCCTTCGTGTCTCCGTATCGTAGATCCAAGAGATTCAATCCCAGGGACGGGAAGCCTGATGTGCAGCGTCTGCCCTGTCGCGAGCCAATAATGTGTCCGCTAGCGCATGATTGACGAGTCTCACCTACTTACCCGAACGAGGCCTCGCAACAGCATATCAGAACGAGCTCGAGCTGCTCGAATGCGTTCTCGGCATGCATAAAGCATGGTCAAACGTCATTGTACCATGCACAATCTCGACAGCCCATATTCCGAGCTCGAGAGGCAGTGCGTGGATCGCTTGTGGGAAGTGCATGTCATTAAGGAGAGGAAGTCGGCATCTCGCTTGGCCAAAAGAGATGTTACCGAAATGGCGTATTGGCAGTGGGTTCCGAGCTCCGCGGATCGTCTTGGCCCTCGTACCTCACACTCTGAATTGACTCGAGTATTGCAACGTTGACTTGACAGCGCAATTCTTGCACTCATTCTAGACTGAAGCAGATCTTTGTGGGGCAGGACGTCGTACACAAGCGCTCCCTCGGAGTTGTAAAACCTGACGAGCAAGACTGACATCGGGGTCCTTCATAACAGCTTCAACGGCCATTCGAAGTTTGAAACTCTTGTTGGAGAAATCCGAGCCACGACTTGGCAGTTCCGAAGCCACCGCATTACTTCGGCCGATTTCCTCCTTTTACTGCGGCTTGTATCTCAGTGTTGCGACTTCCCTCGGACTTGTGCAGGAGCTGCTGCTGCTGAGCTGGATTATGCGCGCGACTTCCTCATCGGTGTTAGGAGTAGCTGGCCCCGGGTATCTGTCGGGCAGCTCGTGCTGTTCATAAAGCAAATATATTCAACGTCCGTCTACTTTGGTGCCTGGCCTCGCCTTCCTATCCCTGTCACGCCTGCTCTCTTCGAGTACATAGCTTCCATCTGACTTCTTCCATTGCCCGCCTGCACAATCTATCCGCCCGGCTCCATCACTTTTGCCCTGCCGGCACTTCATGGATCCATGTTTCTCGAACATTGGTTGCCGTTAAAGTCATCGGGAACCGACCACGAGTCATACGCGGTTCTGAGTGACAGATGACGCCCCAGTAACGAGGGCCAGAACACTGCCAGTCCGTACTGCCGCAATAAGAGGTCCATTAGATGTCGCAGCTGGCATCAACGAGCTGTTCGCGAACTTGCTCGATGTTGCTAACGCTGAGGATCAATTCCGGTAGGTTTACGAGGCTCGTGCGACCAATCTGCGCTTGCTGAATCGGAATGCAAAGGCGTCAGTGATGATGCAGCGGAAGAGGATAGTTTGGCTCTATTCCTCGCATTGGTCCAGAATTCGGAGGCCAGAGACTCTCCTACCTTCTCATGACAGCAGCGTCCCTAGCGCGCAGCGCTCCAGCATACTCCGCTTGCTCCATCTAATTTCATTCGCCTAAGACATTTGACAATTGCTGAGACGGTCGGTCGTGGGCGAGGTTGACCTTGGCAATCAGGCGACTTGTGGCTGCTGCGTCGAGCATCACGGTGACGATTGATCTCGCTGTCGCTGCAACCCATGTGGAATTGTACCCGCAGATCCTAATGTGCTGTTCAACACGCCACTCTGCAGACACGACTATGGCCGCATACGCTTGCTTCACAGCGAATGGGGTCAACGCCCCCGTGTGCAACCGTCAAAACTCCTCGCAGGGACCGACAAGCTCACCAAGCATTATCTGAGGGCAACAGCACCGGCATATTTGATCATTTTATGGACAGCGCTCCGCATCAAATGCTGTTTTACGCAGCCAAAAAATTCCATTAAGACAAAAAGCAGTTACCATGGGCTAAGTCGACGAAATACCGCCTAGCTCTGCAAGAAATCACCACCGCTCATGTGTTGCACGTTGCGGTCCATTGCTTGAGCATGAGCAGATCGAGGAACATCCTTGATGACCAAGGGCTGCGACATAGAGGATTCTGGCCATGGCTGGGGACTTTCTTTGCTCTCATATATCTCAAGCGGAATGCCATGTCGATCGAGTTTGTCCACATCTTACCTAGATGGCCCTGAGATGACCACGAACTGACCTCGTGCCTCGAGGCAGCACCTTTTACAAGCCCTGTGAGAACCCCTTGCTGCCTGCCTACTCCTTCTGCTCCCTGGATCCCTAGCTATCTGCTCCCTCAGCTTCCTGTTGCTTATACTTATACCTAGGTAGTCTGGGTGTCGTTTAGTGTAAGGGCTTTCTGGCTGTAGAAGTGTACTTAATAGCCCTTAAGTATACTCCTCTTTATCCTAATAAGTATTCGCAATAGACACTTTCTAGCGAGCAGCTCTATATAGTACCAGGCGCTTGCTTAGTGCCTAGGTACCTCAGTCCTGTAGGCACCTGTGCGGGACCTCAAGTACCCTTGACAGGTATCTAGGTAGCGAACATCTTCCCGTGTACAGACTTGAAATGCTGAAAGTCACGTGAGGTGCGAGGCTTGAAAAAAGGTGCTGCCCCGAGGGACGAGGACAGACTGACACATTTTAGGCGAACGGCGATGTCACTCGGCCGCTTCTGTGTATCATGGGAAAGCCTGGTCAAAGTAACTGGCAAGGCTTGACACTCTTCATCTTCGGCTAAGTTCCATACCATGGAGCCTATAACACCCTTCATTACATGAGTTTAGATGAGCTTCAGTCATACTACATTCTACCTGATTGCCAGTGGGCTGCCAAACCCATTTTTTTGCTGATTTAAACCAGTTTTTGGTAGGGCCTGAGCTTGTTTGCTCGCGGTCTTAGTCCCGTGCATGTCTTCAAGAGCCATATCCAGCCTTCAGCACATACGTTGCAAGCAGTCTATACCCTACTATCTATCCTTCCCACAGTCATCACTAGACTGCGAGGATTTACAGTACTTTGCTACTGGCCTTGACCGTCCCTATCCTCTGGCAGGCTTGGTACTATTTTGCTACGACCTGAGTGCTATACTTGTTGAGCCTTAACCACCTTTCAGCATATACATGTTTCGAGGAGCCTACTGTAAAAATTGCTGTCCCTCAGCCGACTGTCCCGGGAGTGTAAGCATCCCTTTGGCGCTGGCTATGACTGTCCCACGAGCTCGGGTGAGGTTTGGCGCCTCGAGCCGGGTGTCATGCTGGTCAGGTTCGTCGCCACCATGCGGCATGTTTAGTTTGAAGGGTACTGTTATGAACCGCTCTGAACGTCGGGTTCAACTGGGTTTAGCAGCTGAGGATGCAGGACAGGGTTATGCGCTAGGCCAGAGTAAACGATAGAATAGCAATTGGAACTATTCGTATACACTAAGAGCAGTGTTGTAGCGAGCTGGGTATGCTCACTGGTTAACGAAGTTAACTACGAGAGTCCTATCTAAAGTCGGGACAGGACGTCCCTCTATATAGTGCTATATAGCTGTGGGTTCTATATTACTATGCTTCTATACTAAATGGTAGTAAGGTACCATGATGCCAAGACTTTCTTTTCTAGAAGTCATGTGACACAGTAGTATCTTTAGAAAACCTTCCAGACTTGGAATTCCTTGTACCTGGGCGGCCACTCTGCGGCCTGGATCGTAACACTTTCCCCCTCCTATTGTTCTTGTGTCCATGCAAGTACTTAAGGTAGGTTGTTCTCTGGCCTAAAGGGCTGAGTTCTCTTCTTCCTTTTCTATAGCTCACTATATAGACACTCTTTTATATCACTAAACACTATATTTCTTGAGCCACACATTGAACAGAACACAAACATCTGAATAGTATTGTTAACACACTTTTAGAGGATCCTAATAATCTGGTGATAGTTGTCTATATGAGTTGTGTGAATATGGGATTGTTGTGTTATTACAATCACAAGTAATTAAAGAAGTGTGCTGAGTGCCTGTGGTATTAGAGAGATTGTGATAGGACTTTTTCCTTGGAGGAGTTTTGAAAAGTTAGGGAATAAAAGAAAGAGGTAGAGGCTATTCTGCTAGAAAAGGAGTGGGTGATTACCTAAATACGCTGGGCACTGGTAGAGGTGGAAGAGGAAGGTCTGAAGGTGAAGGAGTGGCTTGCCCACCTGTTGAATGTGTCTAGCAGGATGATTCAGCGAGAAATAATAGTGTTAGGGATGTTTAAGGAGCTTCTCCAGGATAGTTTAGTAGCTCTAGGAAGTCTGCTAGTGCATGGTCCTGCTGCTAATACTATACTGGCCTCCTATTATTATACTGACAATCCTGATTCTGTCTAGTGGTCTAGAGGTTCCTTAGGGACTGGTGATATTGATGGTATAACTTAATCAAGTCAGTTATAAGCTTGCCCTAGGGTTCCTAGATATTGTTGTTATACTGACTATCTTTCTAGTATACTAAGTAGTAGGGAACATTGTTAATGAATTTATGGCTAATGATCTGATCAACTTCTGTTTTATTGTGTTATGCTTCTTGTGCTTCTGGTGCAATCAGGATGGGTTCGTCTGATTATTATGTGTTGTTTAGGGCTGACTCTAAGAGGGAGATATAAAAGGTATTATGGATTCTTATATACTTTAGGAGCTCCAGTTTAAATGTGACTAGCCTGTATTTCTTCTTGATTTAGTAGGGTCCTAGTTTTGTGTAATCCAGCTTGCTGCTGGGTCGTTTTATTTTGATGTTTTTTCTTAGTAGGTAAACCATTCCTCCCTCTTTTAGGGTTAGTCCCTTAGTCCTTTTCTTGTTTATATACTTTGTTATTTTCATAGTTATTTCTTCTAAGTGTTTTTATAAGGTTTGGTGTAGTTCTTTTATATAAGATGTTATTACTTGTGCTTTATCCACTACTGGTTTAATACCTTTAGGGTTGTAATCCAAGTTTAGGTGTTTCCTATAGTTTGTAAAGAAAGGAGAGATTCTAGTCTAAGTGGTGCTATTATTAT